ACCGAGAAAACCCAGCTGCAATGCAATCAATGCCAACAGAACATTGCAAGCAGTAGACACATAATTAATCTGCTTTTGTTTAAATGGTCTTGTGGTCAACATTAGTGTTTTGATTCTTATTTTGATTCTCGGACACACATCTTCATTTGTACTTAAATGACATGACAATCGGGAGAAAGGGAGTGCTGTGCAATCTCGTACGGGTGACCTCAGTGACAAGTCCTTCACGTACTTCGTCAGCCAGTGGCTGGTGTGTCAACAATTGTCCAGATTTCTTCATTAGAATCTCCAGGCGGTTCAACTCTACGACGTCTTGGAAGAGCTCTTTACGCATAAGCGCTTTCGCAAGCGTCTCTTCTTCAGGAGTTAGCTTTCCAAAACAGTCTTCTGCGTGCTTGGTCCAATGCACAGCTGCGTCTTTTCCACCTTTGATAAAGGCAAGTTCACCGAGCTGGTAGAAGTCCCCAAGAACGGCTTGGAGAGCAGTGCTGCCCATGGCCGTGCCCCATTCCGCCATAGAGAGGGCACCCGCCCCTTCCGTCAGCGTGGTCCCGACTGCGAGCATCAGTGGCGCCGACGCCTCCGCGATAAAGACGCCCGCACAGACCGGAGCCGCGACGGTCAGCCCGACTTCGAGAGCCAGGATCACTTTCATCTGCCAGGGCGCGTTGTTAAACTGGTCCAAGCCATGTTGGATGGCTCCCTGCCATTTTTCTGGGTGCTGAAGCCACCAAGCAGTGTCCTGGAAACCTTTCGCAGCGGCCTGAATCTGCGAAAATCCACCAAATGTCGCATAAGCGCCTTTAGTTCCTTCTACAACCCAATCTTTTGCATGTGCGGCAGCCCCGCGAGGGTCCGTTTGAGCATACCTTACCGCCTCTACAGCCGCATCAGCGGTGTGCTGGGCCGCATCCTGGAAAGCCCCCGAAGCTGCGTTTGCGCCCTCGGCTCTATATTCTCGCGAAACACGAAGGAACCAGGCGTAGCCGTAGGCGTACTAATTTGTATTTCTACTTAAATCAAATTGCTACAAGCAATAGCTGCAACTCATACTTACCAATAAAGGAATGCGCAGTTTTGAGGTTCACCTTCATGCTCTTGCAGCTACTCTTCATATATGGAGATGAAGAAAGGAACCCGCATGCGGACTAGGTATTTGTCCGAAGTTCACTATAATACAAATACTCTGATATTATCTCGAAGATCAGTTCTCCTTCATCTCTCCTATGCAACATAAGTATGTTGAGCTGGTCATGTTCCTGTTTTTTTATTGCCAAAGTGACTCTGCCCCCCATTTCGCGTGGCATAGTGTCGCTTGACCAGCGGCAGCGCGCAGACCAGCATTCAAGTCGATGCCGCCTCCACCTTGTTGCGATGTCGGTTGCGCGACGGGTGTGGCGCCGCTTGCTCCAGTACCAGGTCCATAACCATCATAAAAGGTCCCTCCATAACCTGCATTGACCCAGTCCCCCGAGAGTCGCGTGTATGCCAGAGCCACAGTCGTAGAGCATGTCACTTATTTTATTTACGCCGATGTCGAGTTTTATTACAACGCTACACACAGCTATTAATTTCTCCTCACCACGCACGGTCACCTTTGGCTTTGCCGGGCCGTCCTCCCCTAGGAATCCTAAACGAAAAAGAAGAGGATGGGCCCTGCTCGTCCTGCTAAATTTACTGCTAGCACTATCTGGAGATCAGGACCAGAAACCACGAAAGAGACTGCTTCAGAGCCAAAAATCCACTATGATGATGATTAGTTCGAGCGGGGCTCGGCACAGCTCCCCCCTCCGACGCGCGGCAGGAGTAGCCTGGTGCGGGTGCCCTGATCGATATTATACCAACATAAATAAATTACTCAAGAAATCAATGCATCTTTACATAGCAGAGCTCGATCAGACACAGGCCACATCGTTGTTAATGCCAGAAGACTCAGCGCAAATTGCTTCATGATCATGCGCTTGTGCTTCCAGTGACATAAGTAGCGCTCGCGCTGCTGAACCTGAAGAAGCGCCAGAGGATGAACGTCGCCAGCGCCGCGTCGCTGCCTCTGCGTCTCAATTCCGGATGTCTTTTGGAACTGGTCGTACTGGATGAACTGTACTGCAGTATAATTCTTCGGGGCCAAGTCAAAAACTGTTGGTACTCCATCTTCTGCGCTCTGCTGATTTTTCCGATGATCTTGTGGTGGCGTGACATCCGTCTCTGCAGTGCGATTTCTTTGTCGGTGATCTGATTCTAATCGTACAAGATGATGCGGCTGGATATCTTGTTTCTCTCTGGACCCGAAACCCTGTTCGTTGTCTGCTCCATGTCGTAAAGAAGATCGTGTCGTCGACGAGGCCGCACGAACTAGTTCAGCATCCCTTTTGAACCACTGCTGGTGCTCCAAACTCCTCGTCGCTTCGCTTTCCTCAATGGACTTACGCCCTCTCCGCACTTCGCCGTCCAGCCCTCGATCGCAGCGGTGAGGAGAATTGTCAACCGGCAAAAACTCCGTACTTTCCCTGACTTCGCCTGAATTGCCGCCGTCGGACAATGATGAAGCAGGCAGAGTGTCGCTGCTGCCAGTATTTTGTTGAACACTCTCTGACTGACGCTCATGGCGGAGGTGCGTGAGCCTGGCCGCACCTGAAGGCAGCTCCCCTGCAAAAGAGCCGACATGTCCAGCGGCGCTACTTGAGATGTGGCGCGCACTATGTTCCTCGCCGCGAGCGACGGACTCACTAGAGAAACCCCAGCATGTCGTTTCTGAAAGCAAGATTGAGAGCGTCGCTCTTCCCAGAAGCACGCGCATCGGCATGTGCCCGCTCATTTTCCCTCTACCTGTACGGGAGTAGAAATACTCCTGAGTGGTAATGTTCACCTTCAAGGATGCTGCTGGACAACTTGCAAAATATTATAAAATACCAATACGCTCGCTAAATCAAAAGCTTTCTCTTTTTTTTCGCATTCTTCATTTACGTTTCCTCTCCAGGAGCGTAGTAGTTTACCATAGTGAGGGGCTACCTCATCGGGCTATATGTAAACAGCACGCAAAACATTGATTACGCTACGCTGAAACAGGTCGGACAAATGAGGGAAAAGCATGAAGACACAAATAAGAAACTTAACTGATTTATTGCATCAGACATCAAACGGCCGAAGACGCATCGAACATGGCACACATAACAATACTTACCGATGTCATGCGTGTGATGCCGCCATACAGCTAGACAACCATGGCACTTCTTTGAACGACGACGTGCAATCACCTTTCCGATGTTGGCACATCATACGAAATCTTCATGCAGGAACGTACCGCAGTACCAGTACACCGAGTTGTTGATGCAGAAGCAGAAGACTCACGACCGATATGTTATTTCAATTTCTTTCAACGAGGATGACACACCGATTTATATATAACGTCAGCGCCAAGAAATGCGCATGAATTTCGGTAAGACGAAATCAACAGGAAAGAACAACTGCATACCGAGGCGATGCACAAGAGTAGCAACCGAGGTAGGTTTTTTCTTGACTACGGCGGCACACCGAAACATGATGACGGCGGGATATCATCACGTACTTCGGTACTAATGAACGAGACGAAATGGAAAAGGGACACGACAAAGTTGCCGATTCGACGCACTAAAAATTTCGTGTCGACTGGTAGCACCACCTACTATGGGACGTCTTGCTCTTGGGACTTGACAAATTAACTTGTCACAAGCTTGTGCTAGTCTTGCTCACATTATATTAATAAAGCAATAGTGCCGCTAGCTGAATGTCTCCTGGGAATCGACCTCACACCGAAGTCAAACGCCACGATCGCGGTCAATCAAACTAAGAAGGTAGTACGAAGTCAGATTTACACTTACTAGATTTTCTCTGCAGATGAAGCAAGCGAGCGGGCGGCTCTCGGGTCGACAAGTAAGAAATGTAACGCGCCGAATCCCATCGGACTATCGGCAGAAGATGAATCAGCCAGAACCACAGCGCATGCTAATGGCGGTGCCAGATAGTCATAGTACAGAATCTGTAGACAGGCAACATCTGCCTTCTGACACTCAACACAGCCACTATGCCTTTATTTTTTTCACTCGGTGCTGCATACAGGCTGCCGATCTAGTCTTGTGAAACCAACGAAAGCAGCGGTGGCCGGCGCCTAGCACAACTGGGACACTGCGAGTCCCTTCATCCTTTTGCTTCGCAATCAGAGCCGCAGCGGGACTTCCTGCACTCGACAGGAGGACGCAACCAGCACATTTATTACCATTTCTATTATACACCGGCCAACTTGACGGCAGAAGTAAACGTGATGAAAAAACATTCTTTCTGGGTGCGATGATGAACACTATCACTAAATAAAGTCAGCCCTGCTATAATTGCGAGAGCTAATTGCATTTTTATACACACGAACAAAACCAATTGCTAAACGGAAAATTAGAAAATATCGAAAACCTCTGAGTCAAGTTGCAACCCGAGTATAACAAGAACAATTGCAAATAACCCCCTTAGCTTCGATTAGTAAATTTACATGTGCAGTTCCTGGAAGGGGTTCGCTTTGCTACATTGGCATTGCATCGCGATAGAACAGAATCTAAACTCTCACGAAGCAAGGAGCTGATACGCGCCGCGTCTTCCAATATCAGGAAATCTAAATCCTACAATGAAATGCATGATGAAAGCCTGATTGTTCCTACAGATGAAAATTGCAGCATCATGTGACAGTGACTCGGAGCAGCTCCTATAGTGTCTGCGTCAGCGTCAGCCACAAAAATAAAAATTAGATGACGCAAACATATTCATATTGTACAAAGGAGAAGGACGTATTATGTACATAACATTAACAACACGACCCGATAGTACTATCTCACTTTAAAACGCACTTTTCTTTTACGGCATCAACTTTCCGGGTTTTACGGCGTCGTACTCAGCAGGGCGGACGGTTTTGAAGAGTCCAACGGCAGCGGCAGCGCCGACACCCTCCAGCAAGGTATACAGCAGAGAGTTTCCGAAGTGTCCGCCTTTCACCATGTTCGTGAAATCGATGCCGATTCCGACACCGCTATGGAAAGACGAAAGTCCACGCAATCGCCGCTCTGCGCAATTTAACCGCGAACGAAAAAATGGTCATATCTGGCAGGACCAGGCTTTATAGATGCACGCACAATGTACTTTTAAGCATGAAATGAACTTGTAGAGGAATTTCCTGTAACGAGTGGCATTTGGAATTCTTGTAAACCAGTTCAGACAGGCAATCCATAACAACACATGTCGGGTTTGGACGCAGTGAGCTTGTGAATGCGCGCATTACAATTTCGTACGCCGGGTTCAATACCTTTATTAATTTTTGTCGTTTTAGATTTAGTTTTGTCAAACAATCCGTGTTCAGTACGGCATGGACAGAATGTAAGAAAAAAGAGAAAACACAGTGGTAACTGAACATAAGTTAAAATGTACCACTCCCATGCTTGCGCCGGCGAAGCCCGCGACGGTGATAACCGAGCCGATCGCGAGGCCGAACATATCAGCGGACGGCTTCTTGACCGTGGCGACCGAGAGCACAACGAAGCAGAGCAGGGCGGTGTAGACGACCTCGCCCAGTCCCGTCTTGAACCAGCCCAGTCCCGGCGCCACGCGGAAAGACATGCCCAGCACGCCCATGTAGGTGAGGCCGGCCACCATGGCGGCCAGGGTCTGCACCCCCATGTACTTCAGCGCATCGTTGGTGGAGATGATGTCCCGCCCGGACAACAGCACGGCCAGCGTTACCGCCGGGTTGAAGTGCGCGCCAGAAACGTTCCCCAGCGCGTAGATCATGCACATCAAGCTGGCCCCGATGGAGTACGCGCCCGCGGCGGAGGCCGTGAGCACGTTGAAGCCCACGGTGAGGGTGAGTACGAAGGTTCCGACGGCTTCCGCGATCAACTTGCTGTTCAGCGTGTTCGCCACGCCGCCGAAGTCCTCCGCGCGGACCAGGCGAAAGAGCCCGGCCGCGAGCGCGGCGCCGATCATCTGGAACACGAGGTACACGAAGCACATGTAGACGCCCTTGTCGTAGCTGGCCAGGTCGATACCGAAGGAGACGGCGGGGTTGAAGCAACCCCCGGAAATGGTGCCCACCGCATAGCCTCCCGCGACAACCACAAACCCGATGGCCAGCCCGTAGTACTGGTTGTCCGTGCTGGCCGACGCGCAGGCCACGTTCAACACCACGAAGCACAGCATGGCTGTGTACAGCAATTCCACTACGCCGGCCGCGAGCCAGGTGTGGCCCTTTCCTGGGCCCAGTTCAAATGCCGTTTTGAACAGCCCGAGGTAGGTAAACCCAGCACAGATACCGCCCGCGAGCTGCACGGCCTGCGATTTAGATTGTCTTTACGATTTTATGGCAATGTCATCCTCCTCGACTTTCAGTGTCTGTTCGAGGTCTCTTACAGTACGACACGAACAATTTTTAGAAGACAGCTACTACAGCTGCAGCTTCACTGCCAGCCATAACATCATCGAATCTCCATACGAAGCTTGTGTTTTTTCTTTTTTCTTTTTCCAACGGACGCCGCCAATGAAGAACAATTTCCAAATGCAGAGTGGTACCATGTAGATGGCAGCTTCCTTAAACCCCCCGGGCATTTTGTTCGTGAGAGCAATGGAGAGTGTGACCGCAGGATTGAAGTGCGCCCCGGAGACTGCACCGAAGGCGTAGATGCTTACCATCAGAGCGCAGGCAATCGAGGTGACCGCCCACACCGCGGTGCCACCGAGGACATTACATCCGATGGTGAGCACCAGGATGTAGGTCCCGACGAACTCGGACGCATATTTAGGAATGTCGATGGAGGTCGACATTTTCTTCTGGCGGTCTTGCGACCGATGCGACAAACTCGACCTCCGCGCACCCAACCAATTCCCTATCAAAATGAAAATCACAAAATCAAAAATATCCGAGGTAATTATAATTTACTGTAGCTCAACATGATCGCCAAGTGCGCCAGGTGTGAACCAAAAAAGACACGAAAGAAAAGAGACAATAGGAGGAACTGCCCAAAGCCTGAAGCAATGCTCACCGGCACTGGGAACGTCTGCCATCAACAGCCGTCGGTTTAGGTCAGTTGTAACCGATAATGATCATAACCGAAAAGCAATCAAGACGCGGACACAACCGAATATCGCATATTGCTTTCGACTTTAGATTTGATCGTCGACGATGGAAGCCTATTGCTATTTCTGATCCAGTTACAAAAGCTAACCTCTTAGAACGCGCCGCCTCATCTGTGTGAAGATGAACTGTCATGAGCTTGTTCCGAAGCTTCTCCTTTATCTTTCTCGCAGCAGTGATTTAGATTTTCATTTTTTTCCTGTATATTTTTACGGCGGCATCTTGATGTGCGTGCGACGTTGCGATTAATTGCAGATGCAGAGGACCGATTCATTGTGGTGAGCTTCGTGGAATGAAAGTGCTGACGCCTCTTTCGAGCGGCTCCTCCGGTGTTCAAATTTGCAGTCAAAATTGCTCGCAACTTCCGGGTTCGACCGGGAGCCTGACGCCCTCGTAGGAAACATCAAGTTCAAGAAAATCTTCAAATATTGGGGCCGATGAAGCGGATAATCAAGAAGCGCCTTTTCTTCGAAAGAAGTTCATTCGCAAGCAGCAGTTTCGCGTACTGAAACCAACTTCCATTTGCACCACACATTTGTTGCTCACGTTTGCTGTTCTGCGATTAAGGCCTGGCGGACGAGGACAGCCGTTCTCACATCAAAGTGAAGTCCAGTTACAACATTCTCATCTCCACTTAAGATCAGCCCAATCGCGTCTGCACTGCACAGGAGCTACCCGGTTTCAGTTTCTGCTTCTGCGAATTCGCCGAAGGAACAACGCCTCCTCTTGTTCCGTCTTCTCATTTCATCTACGCACGATCGTTGATGGTCTTTTTTATCTGTGCGACAGGGTACAGCAGCTCTATGTGGGACTTCGAAAGGTCCATAAACTGCTCGTACGTCAAAGGCGTGCCGCTGTCAAGCCCGATGGCTTTGTATATGTCCTCCGCCTTGCGTTCAATCTCGTTTTGGAGGAGGTTCGCGGTCATAAAATTTGCGCGCAGAATACGCTCCAACTCTGCACGCTCCAGCTGCCCGCTTCCGTCCTCGTCCAGCTATGCAGCGGAACAGCGCCCCCATCGACGATAATGCGAATTTGAATTTAGAAGAAGCTCCCACATCATACTTGCAATAGCGAAGAAGGCGAGCGAGTCATCATTTTTTTCTTGCTTTAGGTTTAGTGGTCCAGGTCCTTCTCCTACTTGCAACAACTATTTCTATTTGCATAGACCTGCATGTCGTTCTTCGCGTCTTCACGCATACAACCTTCACGTGAGCATCGAGGAGTTTTTGCTTCCGCCTCGCATACGAACATCATGAATGCGAATTTGAGTTTGTCAGTCTTGGTTGCGGTGGTGAAGGAGGAAAGGACCGTCACAAACTCCTTCAGTTCGACCGTCCCGTTGAAGTCCAATATGGAAGCGTCAGGATCGAAATCGTCAGAGTTGCAATAGTTTGTCTTGCATAGAATGCAACACAGAAATTGCCTCTCTTGCAGAGGACGCAAGGGAGGCAGATTGTAGTGCTGGTAAGGGTCGAGAATTGGGCTGCTGATTAGCATCACAGAGGGGAGCCCCTTTGCCCTAAGCAGCATGACAAATTGGCCTCCCGTACGGACAAAATTTGTCACGCAGCGACTACAAACTGTAGTTCTAACGTAACTAGTATCCATTGCATGCGTCACAAATCATCTCAACTCTGACGATTTCAATCCTGACAGATCCATATCCAAGTCGAACAGTTTAAAGACCTCTTTCATGATGGCGGAGTCGTTTTGCTTCAGGACCTCCAGGAACTCGGGGTAATCTACAAAACCCGTGCCGTCTTTATCCACCGCTTGAAACGACTTGTAAATTTTCTTGATGTGACTTGGCTTCAGCCGACCACCTGAGATGAGGACGAGAAAAGAAATAAAAATACCATTCGCATTCGTCGACATCGAAGCAATCTCACAAAAATCTATGGTTGCAGCACGAGTCCCGGTCCTCGTTCTGCGTCGAAGTGGCCGTGTGGATGTACGCAAAAAACCAACTCGTCCTGAGACAACTCTAACGAATTCAATAGCGCGCGCCCGCGTAATTATATTTCAGCACTGCCAAATTCAGTTGGTACATCAAAAAGTGTTGATGGAGGTATACCGCCCGCTAGCTGCGTGATGACGTCCTGCAGAACCTCGGCCACCTTAGTTTTTGGCACAGGTTTATCGATGCCACCCTTCGGTGCGGTGGGCCCCAGACGGGGATGCGCTGCGATAACGAACTGCGTTTTGGGCATCGTGGGGAGTGGTCGCTCCTTGTAGGGGTTTGACATCAACTTGTAAAATTCGTCAAACGTGACCTGCCCGTCTCCATCGGCGTCGCACATCCGTATCATTTCGTCGACCTCATCGTCGGTTGCCTTCTCGCCCACAAGGCCAAGAATGTGCTTGATTTCTGCCGCTCCGACAAAATTATTGTTGTCCAAATCAAACGTTTCAAATGCCTGTCATAAGTTGTTGAAAAGTGCCTTAATAAGCGACCGCATCTTCGCAATGCTACTGTCACTTTCCTTTTCGCAATACTGAAGAGTTTCTATTAGAAACTCTTTACAATACTGAGAGGATCGCTTTCTCCTGGGGACAGCGCAGAGGCGCCGACGTTGCAGGGTCATCAAAGTCAAAGACGTGGGTAAACATTAGAATGACCACGTAGGAGGTAGTACCTCCTTTATCTCTTCGTCGCTAAATTGCCGATGCGTCATACTCATCTGAGCCTGCGCCGCAAGTGCAGGTCCTGCGTGCCGCTCTCCCATGCCGGCAGGCGGCTCTATCGTCTGGAAGGACGTCGTCATGGGGCCGGTTTCTCCTTTCGCCGACGAATCGATTGCTCCTCTAGGGTGGATGAGAAGTTGTAATCCCGAAAGCACGTCCTTGGGGAAGAATGCGTGCCTGCGGCTCCTCTTACCCCCGGCCCCGTGGACCTCCCTCTGGTTTTACTTAGTCACGAATCAAGAAGCTTGCTCCCAGATATACGGAAATCGCAATCAGACGCAGCTATTTACGAAAATGAAAATACGAAGAAGCAATGGTGTCTATAAAGTCTAAATCATCTCATCTTCACGCGAATGGGGTATGATAAGTTCGTAGCAAATGAAACCCGAAGAGCAATCTTTGTCTATCACTAGTGCTAGCGGGAGGGGCGGCATGGAGGAGTTTCTGCGACGATTATAATTGGTCTTGAATCTTCTCAAGCACGATATTCCGGCGACCGACGTTCTTGCTTTCTGACCCGTCGCTGTGAGTGCCTTGCTCTGCGTCCGCTCCTTTGGCTATTCTCTATCCACAAAAGCTAAGCTGCTAAAGCTTGTGCTTCCATCTCGTGATGACTTCTATGACACTAGCACTAGTAGTAGTACACATGCAACAATCATATATACAACGTCCAAGTGCAGTTACAGTCGCGTCGCGTTAATCAATGCGCGGGCCTAATTTCGAAGAGCAATCGCGATCGGGATCGCTCTTACGATAAATTTTTGAAACCCTGCAGCTATTTCATAGCCGCCTCCTAGCACGTCTTTGTGTTTCAATTTCGTTTTCATCCTGCACCGTTCTAGGCACCTGGATCATGCTACTCTTTGCGGCCAGAGAAGCCCCGCAACTGTAATGGTGTAAGTGACTGATGCAACTGCCGGTGCGTTCTTCTGTTTTTTCCCTGTACTCATGGTTCCACCTGCGTAAAGATTGCGGCAACAAGAGCGCCGGCGATATTATGTTTCACTATCTGCTCACGATGAGGTAGCCCCAGCTTCCAAATGCAACATCAGCGGCGAAGGGGCGCGGAGAAGTTCCTCGATAGCTGCAACTCGAACGATCACAAATATGAGAAATAAAGAAGAGGTCACGACGCGCATGTTTTTGCGACCGTGTCTGCGAAGAGACGAAGTCAAAGACACGAAATCTGGATCACATTATTTGCGTGAAGACACGACGCAAAGTTATAGCGAAGAAACACGGGCGGGGGCCACATAGACATAGTAGAAAGAACTACCACGGCTTAATATTTCCACGGCTCCACCTCCACTTGATGATCCGCACTCTCGTGCTGATCGTCAGCGATCATGAACGGGAGCTCAGGGATGAAATAAAGGAACTTCATCAGTTGGAACTACGGGTCTTCTTGGTCAAGGACTTTTGCTTTTTCTCCGAATTCCCACTTTTCTTCTTTTTCACCGGCGTCGACGGAACTTGCATTTTCTTCGCTTCCGCACCACTCGCACTGAAAACCGAAAGAAGATTAACGTTTCCACCCGCGTCTAGAGGAGCAGCGCCGGTGGAGTTGTAGTACCCACCCCGTGGTGTCGTCGTAGTAACGACCGCGCTCGAGGTAGCCAAATGCTGCGCAGGAGGCCCTCCACGGCGCGCACTGTTGCCGAGTAAGTCCACCCGGCCGTCTTGATGATCATTGAATACACCGTCTGAGACAGCTGCTGTTGAGTCTCCCAGATATTGTTGACCTTGACCACCGTGTGCCAGACTGCTCGAAGCGGTTGCTCCACTACCCACCACTTGTAAGTTGGTGCCTCGATTGCCGTTCTCTGCGCCGCCCGTGTCGCTCGGCACCTCTTCGACGTCGCTCCCATCTTCGCTGTCGCAATTGATGGAACCGCTACTCTGCGCCAACTCCTTCGCCAGTTGCGACAGCTTCTGCTGGTTCTCGTAATCGAGAAGCGTCTTACACAAATCCGCGCCCATTCGCTCCAACTGATTTTTTTTCGGTTAATTTGATGCAGCATACTGCTCCGGCAACACGCCGATATCTTTCTAAGACTAAAGCGTACACTTTTCTATGCCGTGCATGTGCTGGATATTGTTTCTGGTCGGCGCCATATCCAGACTACTCTGCTCGATGCGTTTTATTTGCTTGACCTACTCACAGCCTAGAGCCAACGTTGGTACAGCTCGAAAAGATCATTTTCTGCAACACATGTAAAGAGAAAGACAAATAAATAAGAATTCAATTGGCCAATGACAAATGTACATGATGGGTGTTGAAATGGTTGTCCCTGAGCCGTCCGATGCTGGGGCCGCAAAAACTTGCCTCCAGCGTGAACGAGTTGACAATCCCGAATTCTTTGTAGACGACACACCGCGCTGTGCTCTCTTTGACCCGCTTGAAGTTGCAGTCCGGAAAGGAGAAGTAGTCAGAGTTTTGCGACAGCAGTTTCGGAAAGATTCGCTCCACCCCAAACTCCTGCTCCTCCGCCGGGATGTTTCCGTACATGAATATGTTTTTCTTCCGCGAGTGACCGTGAATGTCGAGAAAAAGCGCAATGTCCCGATCCTCCAGAAGTCGCTTGATCAAATTATCGGAGTGCAGCCATGCAGAGAGTCGCTAATTTTTCAAAATAGACCTCGTACTTGTACAAGCTTGCGCTCAATGCTGGGCGGGCCACGCATATAAAGGTAAAGCCGTACAAATTAGGAAAAATAAGGCCAGCTATTCTTTCTTTCGCTAAGGAGCGGCACGCGACAGCGTTCGTTCGAGCTGCAAGTCCTCGGTAAGTAGCGCTACGACCGCTATTCGACCACATAAAAACCTACCTAGTCACCATTTAAATGACGACTTCCCGCCAGCTCGCACCACTTCCATACAGATTTTTCGTGAAGTAGATCGTGGGATTCAGCTTGCGACTTGGCTCCTGCCACCGACGGTTCAAGTCTAGGCCAGCTAGGCTGCAGCGGTAGTTTCCCACCACCACACCATCAGGGTTCAGCATGGGGATCAGCTTAAACACGAACTTGTCGCGCAAAATTTCCGCCTCGCGGCTCGGTCCGCTCAGAAACTCTAGAATCCCCTTCATCACCCAGCTGGCGCTGGTTTCCCCCGGGTGGACCCGCGCAGTGATAACCACGCCGAACCGATCTCGCAGGTGATTGAACGTCGCCGTCGCGGTTGTAGGGCCTGTTGTAGATGAGACGGCACGAGTTGTGCTGCTGCCGGCTGAGGCTGACGCGCCGTTTTTCCCCTGCACACCGGTCGCTGCGCTAGCGGGTGGAGGCGCCGCGAAGTTTGTGATCGTTATCAGGTCGCAGGCGTTCGCAGCCAGCGTCTCGCAGAGTTTGCGGCGGCGGAAGCAGTTGCGGGGCTTCGCGTCCTCCTCGATTTTTGACAAATCGTACTGCAGGTCGGTGTAGGTGTACGGATAGCACTGCGCCATATGGGATTCTCAAATGTTACTACACTCTCAACTGTTACATGATTTGCCATGCAAATTTGCCATCAAGATCGCCACCATTAAGCTGCTTCGCACGACAAATCTTCGAAGGGGCTAAACAGCATGTAAATCAGTGCCAAATCTGTGATGCAAAAGGCGCAAGCTTCCCCCATTCACTTTTGCCGTTCTCGCATTACAAATTCATGTAACAATTTAGAATGTAACATTTGAGAACGCCATATGCCACGTAAACCACGTCGAAGTCGTAGGAAAAGGCGATCTGAAAGGTGAGCGTGTAGTAGACCCCGCGCCGCTTGTATCGCAAGAAAAAACTGTTTCACTGTAAACTTGTGATGCATAGAACGGAACGCAAATGTGTTTGTCTTGCTACACATGCAAGACATTGGATTTTTAGCAGTGTTTTCCCTTAGGAAGCACGCATGCCAAGTTTTCTTCTTCATGTGTAACAAACTTGTGATGCAAATCTTGCAAAATCATCACAGTGAAGCAGTTTTTTCGTGGGATAGCTTGGCAATACCGTTCTGGTAGTAGGCACACTTTTCCCCCGCGCGCATCCACTTCCCGCCAATGCTCGGGTCGTTGTGCTCGCGCATGCTGTACACCACGGGCCGCATGCCCTCGTTGTACAAGGACGTGGGCTTGATCATGTTGATCAAATTGAACCGGTACCGCACGTTTTTCCGCGTGTTCGCCACACGAAAATAGAACCACTGCGCGTGCGACGTCGTGTTGTAGTCCGGGTTCAAAACCAAGTCATATTCGAACGCCGAAACCTGGACGACGCGCCGCAGGTTCCCGCTCTCGAATCTCGACTCAAACTGCAGTGTCGTGTCCGCATCGGCATCATGATCCTGTCGCAGCGAGCAACTACCGGAGGCAGCACTGCTTGACATGGGGTTGCAGTTCGAGTTGTTTTTCAGTTTGTTCGATGTGGTGCTCGTTTTGTTCCCTATCCCTCCATTGCAGGTCGTCGTGCCACAAAGGTTCACTGGCGCGGCAGTCGAAGAACAAGCTATGGAACGTCAGAAGCAGAAGTGCTGCCACAATAAAATCACGGCGAGATGAAAAAGGCACAGCAGGACCGCCTTTGAATACAAAGTGGTGGAAAATGTGCCTGAAAAAAATCACTGCCAGTATCGGCTTCGCGCTCGAAAATCTGGACGACGAAGCGACGCACTATTAGGTGTGCAGGTGTAGGTGCAAGCGAGTTATTATATTACAAAATCTATTCATATCTACTCCTCCCTTCTGTTGATACTCGCCACCTACTTAGAAGAGATGGGAAGATCGGATCCTGCTTTTCTTGGATGACTAGAATACGTCGAGGACGTGCCGTGGTTCATCGATCGCACTTAGGCGCACCAGATTTTCTTTCCGATACAGGCAGACGAGGAACTGCTGCTCTGCAGCTCGGCCACGCTCGTTACCGTGCTGCGGTTGCTGTCCTTGCTGGTACCGGACGACGAAGAGGAATCTTTGCTCGTGTTGCGCGAAAAAGAGTTTACGTGCAGCAATTGCTCTGAGACTCGAGGAGCGTTCGCGAGCGGATACCACGGATCCAGCTCGTGCGTCACGCAGCCAGTGTTACCCGTAAGCAGCTTCGATGCTGGAGTTGTGCTTGATTTTTCTTTGTGCTTCTTCCGCTTTTTTTCGGAAAAAAAGGGTCCCTTGGTTGTGCCTTCACCCTCTGGATTGCCGTTTCTTTGTTGGAGGAAAGGGCTCGGGTCGACCGAATCGTAGACAATGCGATTCATACACTTTTCCGGATTCGCGATGCGGTCCGCCTCGTGACGATAGACTTCCTCCAGAATGTTCCCACTGGTGCCCATACTGTAGTCACTCACTCCGGTCGTCTTTGCTCCAGCTGACTCTCGGTCAGCACCCAGTGCAGTCGAGTGCTGGCCCAGAAAAGCTGCACTGCTCGAGGGTGGTGGGTAGGCAGAGGTCGAGGAAGAGCCCCCACCGCCTGCCGCCGTTCCCATGCGACTGCTGCCCGCGCCTCCACTGGTATGGAATCCGCCCGCGGACGAGCCAAAAGGCGGGGCGGGGACGGGCACAGGTTGTGCACCTCCTGGGCCGCCGCCTGATGGGTTTGTCGGTGGCACCTCAAGTGGCGGGAAGCAAGGTTCCAGGTGCTCCGGCATCTGGGTGTGAAAAAGACGCCGCTTCTCCGCCTGGATGGTCATAGGGACGAGAATGCCCGTCTTGCAGGGCAGGTTGCTCTCTGGGTAAAAGGCGTTAGGATTTTCATCCAGAAAGCTGCCGGCAAGATGCGCCGACGTCGCACCTGCTTGCGGTGCGAAACCTCCTTGTTGATCATCTACCAGGGCGCTCGATGGTGGAAGCGGCTCTTCAGGTTCATCGCTCTCTCCTGCTATGGCAGATGGGGCGGACTGGAGTGGCGGATCAGCGCCGGGCACTGGTGGTCTCCGAGGATCGCGCCCCCGAGGTTTCATATCAGTTAGCGCACCACCACCGTGATCTTCGTCTGATGTACCTGCAACACCGGCGGCCCCGGCAATGGCGGCGTGGTCCGGCAGGTCATCGATTCCGATGACCGCCTCCCCATTTCCCGGGTCCGTGGAGCTGCCGTCCCGTCTACTAGCAGTGCCACAATGGTCTAATGGATTCTGATCCATCTTCGTCTTTCCGTTGTAATAGGGCAACTACATCACGCCAGGAAGAAAGACCTCGCTTACATTGTCGTCCCCGACGTCGAAAATTTATTTTACTGCACGTGCAACATCTAAATGTGGAACATTATGTATATATATCACGTTGACGATGACGTTGACGACATCATGCTGATACTGAAAAAGACGCATATCGATATCACACATCTTTGTCCGCATACCATAGTACTAGTAGAGACTAAAGCAAGTATAGCACAACGCTCTCAGCGGCAATTCCAGTTCAGTCCCTCTTTCAGGACTAAAGGAGGCAAATCTCCACGGAACTCATAATGGAAAAAAGCACTCTCGTCAACAAGTTCGTCTTGGTCAACCAGAAAAGAAAAAAAGAATCAAGTAGACGGAAGGCAGTGCCAAGCCTGACGAGCACGTTGCACTTTCGTGATCTAGTACTCAGCTCCATCTAGTGTCACTTCTCAATGTTCTTTTATACTTGGGGAGGTAAAAAGTCGGAGAGATAAGGCTGCGCCACCTTATTTGCACCTCCCGAGAAAAATGACGCGAAAAAAGGGCCAGTAGAAGATGTACTACGCATTCACGCTCAACACTCGTCGGGGCTGGGCGGCAGTCACATACTAAAAATGAAAAAACGATGAACATGAGTCTCAACTTCGGCGCAAACACCACAGTCGAAGACCACTGCCACGACCTGGCTGTCATTTTATCTTTCGTAGTTCCGGCATTTTGATGGTGGTGCGCTTTTCAAACCATTCTTGGTAGGAAGAAGCTCGTGCTGATTCTGATGAAGAACTTCAATGTATTCTACCAAGCGTGATCTAGGTAAGTTCTCGTCTACTGGTACTGCGGCGATGAACATATATGAATCTATTTCTGTCGTGAAATAGACCGCCCGAGACCAACCCCTTACAGCGCGACTGCGTCTGCCGCGGCAGCCAACACCATTCAAAAATTTCTTCGTAATGTTCGCCAAGTAATGTCCTCGAGGATAGTCTTCTAGCAAGTTCATCAAGGCATCGCTTCATCAACATCGAGCCATGACTTTGCGGAGCAGCGCCGCGACGTCGTCGTTGGTTGTTCATTCTGATTCTCCCCGTTGTTCTCCTTTGCGGTTTTCCGCGGTGCTTTGCATGATGCCAGAGTGTCGTCGTGTTTGCAGCTCTTCTTTTCTTCGTCTCCCTCACTAATTGAGTGAGACCGGTGTCCATCATCATTTTCCGAATGGACTTGCTACATCTTCAGCCACGTGTACCAGAAAATTCCAGCCAAAGCCATGCCGCACCCGAGCAAGTTCTGCAATGAGGGCAAGTCTCCGAACATGAGGAATGCGGAAAGCATCACGACAAATAGCTTCGAGTGTCCCAGAACCTGGCACCATCACTGCAAAAACTTGCGGGGGGAGCGGCAGAGTCTAGTCAAAATCAAGAACCTACAAAAAGACATGACCACTGCAAGACCTTTGTTATCTTCATCCCGATGAAGAGTGATTTACTACTAGCAAAGTACATGTACATCCAGATCCACGCAGGTTTTTGCTCGCATAAATAACTCACGGGGCTGGTCTTTCCAATGACGAGAAACGTTGACAGGTTTACCAGGTAGGCTAGGAAACAGCTGCAACCGACAGCCGACACAAACCACGGATCGCCTGTTGTAAAGTAATGAAAGTGAAACGTCGTGCGAGCATTATCCAAATTGAAGTCAAATTTTCGACGGACCATGCTGCGACGTGTACTTTATTTGAGCGCATTCTCATCAGGCATATCAAACTTTATCAACAGCACACGATCACTGACACAGACATACTGATACCCAGCATACTAGAAAAATTCAAATTGACATCAAAAGGAATAGATCGAGATTTTTACTCAAAGGCTGGATGACTTTGACATGGCACACCGGGTCGGGCTGCACCGCTAAGGCGAAGTCTTGGAGGCAGAAGAGGAACGATCGGTCCACGTAGAATGCCAGCGGTGCGAGCATGAGCATGGATAGAAAGGACTGGTGATGCAGTAGCTGAAAGGGGTTCAGCTGCAAATCTGCTTGCTTGGACTTCACCCAAATCTGGTAGAGGGAGGTCGAAAAGATCCCCATGGCGCCGAAAAAAAGCCCGAGGAACCCGTTCACCTCTAGACTGGAGATGGTTGCCATCGCCACCCCGCAGCAGATCGGGATAAGGGACACCGACTGCCAGAAGGTGAGAAGCGTCCCGTGCATGCAGAACTGCAGGGCGACAATAACTGGGGTCATGAGGACCTTCAGCAGCTGGTAGATACCGACGGTATTATACTGGAGCGACAGGTTGTTGAACACCACAAACGCGATGAAGGAAGCGCAAAGCGGAACCACCTGCCGCAGGTTCGTGTCTTTCGGTTCGAAAAGTTGGAGACGCCTGTTTTTTGGATTCAAAAAATATCATGCTATTTTTGCGCGTTAACTGTGCTTGTACGCTATTTGTCGTGCTATTGAAGTGGCGAACTGGACGTATGTCATTGCAGCAGGTGGGAAGGTCGCACTTCAAGGTGAATGTAGTAAGTGAAGATGAAATTATAATTATACCTCCATGAAATCTCCAAACCGATGTACGAAGCGACGAAGTGCATCCGCAAGATTCACGAAAAACCTTCTCCAGGCAAGTGCGTGCTGGGAAAATGTTTAGCGATTTACGAAAAAAAAATTACTGAACGCACGCCACGAAACTACAGGCTCCGAGTATGCAAGTCTGTATTCCAACTTCAAACATACAAAAGAAACGTTCAGGCCGTAGTATTTCAGTTTATTCATCGGTATTCTTTACACGACTTATTCATGTCGGTCAACAAACCTTGCCCTTGTGCACCAGGAGGAGTCTACAATTCCTAAATGTGAGCAGCGTCGTCCAGGTCCAGCCATGATTCATGACCCACTTGTTGACCCAAATAATTCCGACGTCGTATGCAAGAAAACGAATCGAGCTGACATCAATAAATCTTGTATTTTCTTATCGTGATGATCATTTGTCCCTCCGTGTTGAGTGTAGCGTCGAAGTGACGATTGTGCGCACTAGACATCTATCTAGCAGCAGGAGCATCATATTCATAACTCTGTATGTACAACTAGATCAAGACGCGGACGCCGCCTCGGCCCGCACTCCGTCTTGCAATAGCAACATTAGCAGGTCGTGCAGGGAGGGAGGGCGAATAAAATTGCATTGATGTCGTCAGAACTTTTTTCTTTATCTTGGATATCGCGCTCCAAAAGTTAAGAAACATACAGCCGATGATCGCCAACTTGCTTGGAGGTTCGGGCTCCTCTGTCGTGCCGCCCTTCTCCGCATGATCTGTCGGCTGCTTGATCGAATTGTCCGGGTCGTTCTCGTCATCGTTGATTTGTATCTTACTGTGGTTTTTTCCAATGGTGTGTGGGGCCTTCGCGGTTCCACTGTCCACAAAGGACGTCAATTCGTTCCCACCTTCCTCCGGATCTTCGACGTCGTTGTAGGCCGCCTGCTTTGCACCAGGCGACTTCTTCGGTTGTGTTCCTCCTTTGCTAACATTGCGAGAAGGCGCCATCGAGGGCATAGGCACGGCTTTGCTTTTGGCACCCGGTTTTCTCGCACGTACTTGCTGGCTCGAGCTCGTGCGCGGTCTGCTGTTATTCCTTTTCATCCATTGATTCTCGACTACGCGCAGAGGCTCAGGGACAAACGAACAAGAAGCGGAACACGTGTTTCACGAATTATCATGATCACAGACCATGATAAAAGTGGACAAGAAGCAAAAATCGAAGCACAGGGCGACTCTGTCATCTAATACACGACCATGAGAGCGAGAGGCACATCATATAATTTCAATTTCAGCAACCGCGTCGGATATACACAACGATTGACACGGCCACCGATGTACACATTCTGAAAGGTGTCTCATGTCCAAATTGTGGCAAATGGGTTAGCTTCCTTGGTCAGCAAAGCTACTATGACTATCCAACTCAACATATGCTAGAAATGACACCGGAACACCACATGATTTTCGTTTGGCCGCACGAAGAACCCCCATGGCTCACAGACGAAACTTCACGTACTAAGTGACGGCACAACTCGATTTCATTTTACATCGAACTGGCCATAAAGTCCTCGGTCCCATGGTTCGACAAAAGAGGCGTAAGTGCGAGTGTGTTGGTGATGAAATTGTACGATCTCGACCGGTGGATCAAATTAAGCAGAAAAAAGCATCATACAATTTTCCGCCCGCGTCCTTGAAACTATGCCTACAACAAGGTGCTCGAAAGTATAAGTATGTACCACGCAAAGCAGCCATATTCATGCTCTCGTAGTTCTTGCGGGGGCTTTTTTACTCTGCAACTTCCACCTCTATACAATAGTCTTTACATTTTGCAAACAAAAGAAAGTGGCTTTGAGTTTGGCAGACAACAAAAATTCGATGCGCGCTCCCAATATCTGTGCGTTCGGGCCCCCGAACGCCGCATATTGAATGTCCCTAGAAGAGGAGGATGGCACATGTAGATCAAAGGAAGGGCGTCATGTTTCTTGGGCGGGGCTTTGGAACGTGTACAATCCCTGGAAGTGGTTAGGCTTAGGTGGTAGACATTATCTTTATCATGCAAATTAAGAGTAGTTAAAGCATCAGCTGAGATCATAACAATGAAGCGGCGTGGTTATCTGCTGCGATCAATTTCAAAGCAGAAAGGCGTCTAAAAACGAAAGCAGATGCGTTTCGCGAAGTCAGAAAGAGCAGGGTAACTATATTTATATTGAAGAACAGGAGTAGAAATGGTATCATTGCAAAATACAGTGGAGCAAAAAGTTGAGACGGAGTTCAAAATTTGGATTTGGAACGTCGACAAGTACGTAAAAGTCTGGTCCAGAGGAGCTGTACGTTATGGAAGCAGGTCGTTTTTTTGTGGTCGGAGTGCTGGTGCTGGGGGTGTAGCTTTCATTCTTGTTCAAGAAAATCAGTACTGGAAAAAGCTCGTCGAGAAGTCGCCCGTCGGCGGCACGTCATCCGGGTGGCTGGGTGGAGGCAAGCTTCGGAGCGAAGTTTGTGTGTGATGGTTGAAAGGCCAGCCGAAAGTCCAGTGGAACCCGGCGTTAGAAGTGCCAGCTCCACGAGTAGTACTCGACAGATCTGCGTGAGCAGCAGCTGTACGGTTTTGCAGTGGTTTTCCAATGGTTTTGGGCTGACTTCGCTGCGGCGCCGCTGGCGGAAGTTCATTGATTACGGGACTGCTTGTGGCCGTCGCCCGTGCAGTTGCAGTTCCGTTCGTGGCCGCATAGACCGGCGCAGCACCTGGAATAGCAGGAGACGGCGTGGAAATTGTGCCAGGTTGGGGTGGTCTTGCCGAGCCGGGCAGCTGGTGTTGACTTGGAGCAAGTAGCGCACTTGGCTGTACTTGTGAGCGATGGTGCGCGGCATCGATAGTCGTGCCCTCCTGGAGATGGTGCGTGGTTCCATTTGTCGCACGGTGGAGCAAATCCTGTCCACCAGCCAGGGCGGCCTCCCTATCCTGATTCAACAGCTGCTGCCACTTTTTCTGGTCTTCCACAGAAGCGAAGGAGCTGGCAATGTCTCCCAAAATCAGATCGACGCGCTGCAGTGCCGTCTTACCGTCACGCGTGTAGCCGGAAACGCTGCACTTATTTTTCCTCGTGTCCAAGTCTGCCCAGGAGCTGCTCAATTCGCGCCACACCTCCCCCCGCCGTTGACGCGCGTAGTCTTGGACAAAGCTTTCGAAAGGGTCGTCTCCATCGTCCTCTGCACCACCCGAGGATGAAAGCGGCTTTGTTCCTGTAGTTGCGTGTGTAGTTCCACAGCGGCAGACGTGCTGCTTCGTCGCTCCTGCGCCTGCGCTGCTATTGACGCCGGCTCCCTGTGCATGGAGACCATGGGATGTTGAGGCAGTAGCCGCAGAGGCGGTCGGTGTCGAAATAATGTTTGCCCCAGCTCCACCTGCTGAGTTATTTCCTCCATTCGTAGCAGTCGGGGTTGCCAGTGCAGAAACTGCTGCGGAAGCAGACGAGGTAGCTCCTGTCTGGGACATCCTCCCTGCACTTCCAGGGCTCCTCTTCTTTGCGTTCATGTTTTCCGAAGTAGCAGTCGCAGCGTTTATTTCCTCAGTGCTGTTCGTTGCGATGTTGTTGCTCCTTCCGCAGTCACAAGATGCGGTGCAGGGCACTCCTGCTGCAAGAACTTTTCCATGGACCCCGACGCCCCGAGCGGATTTGCTAGAGAAGTTTTTTTCCTCGGCGACGCACGACCTTTTGCTCCTCGTCATACTTCGTTCTGCGAACATCCACCGCAAGACCTCCTGGACGCGGCGCAACTGCGTTGGGTGCAGGGCGGAGATAAAGAGGAAGTACTCCAACAGGGTGACCACTTGATCACGCGACAAAAAAATGCTGTACTCCGGAACCACATCCCGCCAGCCATCGTCGGTGAGGGCCTTGCGCAACTCCGAAAAGAGCGGCACCACATCCTCCCAGGTTTTGCGATTTTTCCACGGATCGCCGTCGTGTAAGGCCGCCACGCGCGCCAGCACGCCCCCGATTTTCGTACTCGATATCATCTCGTCGGTCAACGGATTGATCCGGCTTGTATAGCGGTGTCTGCGTTGTTCGATCAAAGCATCCAACTTTTGCAGCGTGGCAAGCGAGGAGCGATCACCCGCAAGCTGGAGGAGCGCTTCTGCGCCGGTGGAGCCACCAGCTCCTGCTCCCGGGGACGGTTGTTGTTGATATTTGTCGCTTACCTCATCATCTCGATCTGCTGCTTCATCGTTTTCGTGTCCGTCTCCGTTTACTGGCGTAGCAGCTCTTGTCGCGTTGATCGTCGGGCCGACTTGAGCATATGTAGTCGGAGCTATCACCACAGTCCGCTCATCTACGTCGATGCTGTCGTCGTCCGACAAAGTGTCACCGTCCCCATGACCGAGCGGCAGCGCGCTGAGGGCTCCGACATTGACCACGCGCCGCCGTCGCGGCCCTCCGACACTGGCAGCCGTGACATGGTGGCAGAGCGACCAAGCTCCAGAGTCGAAGTCGAACAGCGAAAAAAGAAGTCGTAGCAAGACTCCACAACGTAGGCCGCTCGTGAAAACGCAAGCAGGACTTCGGGAAAAAGCAGAAGGAGCTGGGAAAGAAGGAGCCACAAGCATCTTCTATTTGCTTATGCGACTGCGACTCAATCTCGAAGCGTCGACGAGGGGAGCACAACTATCTATTGTTAGCGAAGAGCGTGTGTCTCCGCTAGACAGTGCTGTAATCGCTGTGACTACTAGAACTTCGGTTCTTTTTTGATATCCACAATCGGATAGTGAAGATGTTGCCTCTTACTTAGCCATAGCATACCTTGATCTGCACACACTGATGTAATTTTCTGATAGCATCGTGCTTGACATTACGTGTCCCTCAAGCACCTTCGTAAGAAAAGGTTTATGTTCGCTCTTCGCCACACCCGGATCTCGTGGCCGTGGCTACAAGAAAATCATTCACGCTGCTGGAAGACTTGGGAACGACGTATGTCTAAGTTCATCAAGAGTTGAATGCGATCCCTTTCCCAGCCGATGAGCCGCCATGAACACATTAGCGCTAACGCTGAGAACCAACGTACAGAGGGTCATTTTCTTGCAGATGCACATGCAGAGACAATTTTTTGACATCTTAAAATATCACTCCTTCAACGTAAGAACAGCTTTTGCTCGAACTCGAACCGACGCTCGAGCAGAGGTCAAACAAGGCAGGCAAAATAACTGGTCTAAAAAATTTCATCTTCACAGAGAACAACATAAAGCGAATCCGTGTGTTCAAAGCATTCCATGCGCCGCTCCTCATCTGCATTGCTTCTCATAACATTCGTTCCCAATAATCAACGTTGCGACGGGCGCGGTCAGTAGCTCTAGCTGCGGCAGCCTCGATAACAACATTTTGAATGTCGTCAAGAATCCCTCACGACCGGTGTCTTTTTGGCAAAATCCGAGGTGCGCGCCGCACAACGGAAAAAGTGGATCGACGCTCAGGACAGCGGTTCCATAGAGTAAGCATTACTACTTCCACCGCCACGTCCTCTCTGCTCGAAATTGTTAGTTCGGCTTTGTTTGTAGGAGCGACACAAAACGTAAGTACCCGCGTACATCCCGGCGGCGATCTGTTAGAGTTAGTTGGAGAGAGTCAAACACAAAATCTGGTTTACAAGCTGTGCTGGTGTTGAAGAGCTATTTTTCTACGACGGAGAACCCAATTAGCCTAAGCAGCCACGGCGCAACTACGTGGCTGTGAAGAAAAGAACAAAATGCAAGAGCGTAACGGAGCAGGAGTCCTTCATCTGGAGCAGCAACTATAAACAGCACTTGTATACAGGATGAAACACACGTCGCGCAGATGACTGGAGAAGACAGAGAAGTCGCAACGCAGGCCTGAAGAAGAATGAATGTCGGTAGAGCTGCAGACGCAGAAAGCGGTGCAAGGACGGTCTGAAGCACAACTGAGCATGTTTTCATCATGACTCACACGTCATCTTGCAATCTACGCATGTCCCCGCAGTACGTAGGCATTCGGATCCGCCAGCGATTCGGGGGTTCTTGTTTGCTTGTAGGTGATGCTTAAGACCAACGTGACGCAGTACATTGCCGCGGCACCCTAAATTTTTGCGATTTCGTGTGACGAAAGTCAAATCCAATTGGAATTGTCAGCTACTCTATCTGAAATAGATACGGCCGAAAATGATCAGGCTCCATGAGTTTCAGATTCAGCTTCACTTGGCCCTGGTCCACCTAATAATGGTCTTTCTTAATTTTACATCATGCAACATGTTGGGTTCTCCGTCGTATAAAATTGCTATTGCGTCCAGCATCAGTAAATAAACAAAAAGGTGTGCATATATTTCTTGTCTTCTGTCGGCTACAGCAATGGATTCGAAGTCGTACAGGAGAATAGGAAAAATACCCAGCATCCGAACGCAGCTCCTTGCTTTTTGTCGACTGGAATCTCCAATAAACGCGACTCGGAATAGCCAAGGTAACCTATTGAAGATTTTTTTCGTTTCATCCTCGCATCGTCTTCTACTCATTCGGATCACGGTTGAATATAGTTACGGACGGCCGCCCCAAAGCAGCACATTGAATATCGAAGGTGACATGCACGTGTCTCCAAGCGATACCTCCGCCGGGTCCCGATACTTGCTAATCGTCCTTTCAAGTTCAAAAATTAAGACCTTCACATTGCATACCGGCGCAGTTCTTCGTAATATTTACGTTTACCAAATAATATCAAGACAAACAAATTGCAAAATTACCGAAGTAGAGGAGCATTGGAATTGCCACCATTGACAAAAGCTGGCATGCGGTGGCACACGCCGTGTAATCTTTCGCCATGGTGATGTTGGTCTCGTGTCCTTTACTCTTCCTGCAATGTGCCTTCTACTGATGTTTCTACATGTAGACAAAAATCCGAGAGTTTGTTGCTTCAATTGGTGTCTGTCATATCTGTTGCAACCACAAGTAATTTCGAGGTCACACCAAGAAGATCTACTTCTTACGGTTCACATCTGAAACCTGCACTTGCGCGTCGTGCGGAAAAAAAATAGCACCACAAGCAGTGTGTGTCCGTGTGCAAAACAAAGAAGCTTGACACATAGCTAGAGGTGGTCGATCGTCAGAACACAATGGGACCACAAATGTCCATGGTCAGGAGCCAACACACACTTGAAAGAAATGTTGTAAGTGTAGCGAAAGCAAAATCTATGCTCCCATTTCTTTGGAACTACAACAGCGCCGATTCTTATAATGGGCACTGACGAGCGCCAAAATGCTACAAGGCGATTATGGTCCGACGCTTCTCCGTCGCCGTTCTCCGTCCTACTTGTAATAGATACAACATACAACCATAGGAGTGCGAGCATTCATATCATTGTGTGAAAATACACACAGAATCGAAATCCCGCCTTACAGATCACACCTAGAAAAAGTCCGACGCAAGAAAGAAGAAAGTATAACTTTCAATTGGGATTTGCCAACACAATCTTTTTTTTCAGCTCGATGATGGTTTTATCCTTCGGCTCCAATCGCGTGGCTTCGAAGATGGCCGCTTCCGCGGTTTCCATGTCATTTAAGGCGAATGCTGCCTCGGCGTGGCGGTAAAACGCTTTTGCGAACGTCGGATCCAGTGCGCAGGCCCTTTTTGCGTGCAGCGCGCTCTCCGCAGTCCGGGACGTCTTCCAGAAACTCATGGCCAGATTATTTTCGATGCGCGAAAGGTCGGCGTGCAGTTCTCTATCTGCGCCGGCACGACGGTCGAGCTCTTTCAGAAAAACTGACTCGGCTTTTTCCACTTGGTCTTGGTCAGCGTCAGGCAGGAGGCCACAAGCTTTGTAGTACCCCTGGAGAAGCGCAAACGAAGTTGAACCGGCGCCAGCATCATCAACCGCGGCCTCGTAACAGGCAATGGATCCGGGAAAATTTTGCTTCTTGAAAGCCTCGTTCCCCATCTTTTTGTAGAAGCCCAAGTGAAACTGCATGTCCTGAAAGGCCTTTTCTACGTTTTCCATATGTCGCTTCGCATTCATACTGGGGAAAAGAACGGTGTCGTCGTGAGCATCGTATGACAAATTATACAAAAACAAACCGCTGAGAATGAAATGGCACACTTCATCGCGTAAAACATGTCATGTTGACAACGAGAACTCTGCTAAATAGGCAACGCTAACACGAAGACGAATGTCATACGACGTAGACGACACGCGGTTATTTTCTTTTACTCTGTTCCATACTGTCCTTGCGTTGTGCAACAGATGAAGGGCTTTCCCCGCTTGCAAGTTCAACATCAGCTACGGCGGGCATTGCTCCTGAGCCGTTGTGTGCGCCAGTTTCCGCCGAAGAAGCACCAGTTTTATTCTTTGATACGCCAACATCCGCGTCTACCAGGTCGAGTTGACTGCTAATGAAATCCTCGGTGGCAGCCGCGCCAGAGGCAGGGGACGATGTTGCCGCAGATGCTGCTAAAGGGGGTCCGTAAGTCGCTTTCTGCAGGCCCCCATCAGCACCCTTTTCTACCGACGTGCATGTCTTCTTGCCGTAAATACGTTGCAGCGCTGCCACGTCTTCGGCATCCTCACGCGCCGCAGCTGCCCGCTCGGCGTCAAAATCATAGTCGTTCAAAAAATTCAATAATTCCAGCACAACCTCCATGTCGTCTGGGGGCAATTCGCCGCTTTCGTGCAGGGCCAGAATCCGCCCGTACAACTCGCTGGGGATCCGGACGACTCTACTCGCAGAGCTGGAGGAGGACAGCATAGTTTTGCTTCGCCTCAAAAGTGGCTGGCAGATAACCTCCAGTTTTTTGTTGATACAACTCATAAAAAACGTGTACATGATCATGCTTTTGCTTTTCTGCTACATTATTGGGGATGGTGAAAGTGAAAGTGAAAGTGTGCAAAGTCCGAGTCATTCCTGGGGAGGACGACGTTGGGTGGGAATTTAAGACAAGAACCAATGAAGCGTGAATGTCCGAAAGAGAGCTGTACCATCTGCACTGTAGTTGATCCAGTTGACGAGCCAATACGACCGATCCGGGGTACTAGAGTCAATAGGATCAAGTGACGGGGTAGGGAATCTCAAGGCGACTCTCATTCACGGACCAATGTATGGGTAAAAAACAAAGGTCCGTGAAAGTGCTTCCGATGCTCCGGGGCCGGGAACGCGGGTGGCCGCTAGGCAAGTGGGAAGATCCATTATGGCGGGTGGTTCCCTATCCGGCGGTTCCTACATCGTATTAAGAATCCGAGAAAAAAACGGATCCTTTTTGATCCGTCAGGATCGGAAGGGGGGGAGAGTTCCCTTTCCTTGGGGGGGGGGGGGGAGTTCCCTTTCCTTCCCCCCCCGACGGGGGAGGGAAAAGGCGTTAAATCATGACCAAGCAAACTAAATACCCGACAGATTATGCCAACCCGCAAAATCTTGGGGACAATGTTGATGGAATAAACTGAAGGGGGTACAAGGGTAGAGCAGGCTTCATTCATGCAAACAGTTTTCCCGTGTACGAGCCTCAAAGAACGCCAAAGGCGCGAACAAGCAGTCTCGGCATGCAAGAGGATCAGACGCGACTGCTGTGCCAAACTTTGCCAAGCAGTAACACCGAACCGAAGAAAGCCGGGGCGGCACAACGGATAAGGGAAACGGGAAGCAAGGCTTCGCCCGCCATTTTTCGGCACACAAGGTCTCTGCGGGAAGCAAGAAGGGGGGGGCATCAGTTGGGCAATGCAAAAACGACAGCGAGTTCACAACCCCCCACACACGAGCGGCACATAGATATGCAAAAACGAGCGGGCTCGTTGATAGTAAAGGGGAACTATCTGGCGGTCCGAAAAAGAAAAACAAAATGAAGGGAAAACAAGCCCCGCGCGCCTGCAGCTGATCTTTTGCTACGCAGTGCGAAAACCTTGTCAGTGAAGGGCCCGACAAGATTTTTTGGGCGCCGAGAAACACGGCCCCGCTCGGGCAAATGCTTAACGGAGTGAGGCGGCAGCAAAAAAAATACTTCTGCGCCTTCGTCTGCCACTGCAGACGCCATCATGCAAAATCGGCGGGGGGCGAGATCGCGTGTCGTGTCGACATAACATAAGTAACAGCACAGCAGTCGGGTCGGGAAGAGGAAAACAACCAAAGGAGAAGCCAAAAATAGGCCACGAGCTACGATCTTTGCCTTCCGTTGCTGATCGTAATTCGTGGCCAAGCGGCGATGCGCCACAGGGGTAGAGCCTCGGGGCTACCGGATGGGAAGACACCGGGCGCAGGCACGGAAAAACACCTGTGGGGCGATCGAACAGAACACAGAAGAATATAGGGGAAGGGGATTCTCCGTTGGGTACTTTCGGAAGTGAGGAGGGGCAACAGGCTAAAAACTTTAAAACTCGGGGGCATGGGCGGCAACTAAGCTATGTGCGTGTTGGCACGCGCGGCCCGTTCTATTCTATATAAAAAAGAATGAAAATGAACAAAACTCATACGCAGAGCAGGCGGGGGGGTTTAAGACTTCACCACACTATTCCAGTCGCATGCACATGGCGGCGCGCCAGCTTGCACTCACTACGTGAGCGCAGAGGTGGCAGGGTGTCCTGAGGCTCAGACAAGCAAAGAAGCGACATACACGACTACGGAAAGAGGCAAGGGGTGGCGCGGAGACGTGACCACGAGGGGCCCAGATGCAAAAGACAGCGCGGGAACCCGTAAAGCCTCGGCCTCTAGTTTTAAACTGCGGGTAGTGGTGTGCCGTTTCGTTCTGTTAAGAGGGGCCCCACGCCTGCCCTTGTAGTTGTGTTCTTGTTCGACCAAGCACGAGAGGCCCGGTGGGCTCTTCAGTGCGAAAACGGGCGGGGGGGTACAGCAGGGGTATGGGTCTCTAGGTGGCAGCGAAAGGAATGCAAACAAAAAGCCGCAGTCGCAGTAACTATTCGAAGACAAAAAGCCAAGGGATCGGCCCGCAGGGGTGCAGGTGGTATCTGGGGGCCGAGTGTCCTGCCACCTAGGGTAAATACAGGTGGCCAATTGCCGCAATCTTACAAAGAAAATGCTTAGAATTCGAGAGAAAAGTAGTACAGGATCCCCAAAGGGATGTGATGCAAGTCGCGGCCTATGGGACTTTTCTCAGAATGTTCCGACACAACAACTAGAAGCTAAAATCCCCTGTCCTCAACTCCTGGGTAGGTAGTTGCGTTAGGCTCGGACGGGGCAAGTTGATCTCGGGTGAGATCAAAATATCCTGGATTGGGCATTTCTCTTTTTTACTTTGTGTCGAACGTAATGCATGAAGAGAAATCCAGTGGACCTTGGTTACCCGGCATCTCCCCCGGGGGACATTATTGGGGATTTTTGCACAGAGAAAAAGAAACAAGAAGGAATGCCTGCAATAGTTTTTTCTTGCTCCTTTATTTGTTGAGGATTTCAGTCTCGAGGAAAAATTCAAGAATGATCATGCTCGAGTATCATACTCGGAGTATGGAACAACTGCTATACCTGGAGCACGAGACCCAATAGTTTGCACGCGGTGACTCGCGAGTGGGGGAAAACATCCTGCGTATCCAGTAGCATTTCGTGCATGTGGTGAAAGAAGTTGGAGTGTTCTGGTTGGCCAGAGAACAGAAACTCCTGCACTAAGGGCCACCAGGGATGGTTCAGGAGAACACCGCGCCCTTTTGCCTGCGTGATTGGTTCAAGTTCGTTTTCATCCCCCCGTCCCTCTGTGTCTCCTTCCGCACCCTTCTGTTTTCGCTCGGAAAATTCCAAGGTCTGGATTTGCTGTAGCTCGAGCGCAACGCTAGCAAACGTCGGTAGCGTCAGCGCGTGCTGGAAAATTTCAACGGCCTGGCTTTGGACATGGCGGTTCTTGGTGTAGCCCATAAATTCCACGATCGGAAGAAGACCGCGGGACTCGACAAAACTTTGCAGCAATTCTTTGGTTCCATGGTGAATGGAATAAAACACGGTGAGGAGCTTTAACCGCCAGACATGCGCGGGCTGGCCCGAAGCTGTATTTGGTGTTTTTCGCTCGGTTTTTTATTTTTTTTGAGAAATTTCCAGAATCATGCGCATATAAGCGGCGACAGCGATCGTGAAATCTGACTACCAAGCAAAATAAAGCGCCATGATTTACTAGTACCATTCTATGTATGAATTACCAGTCTTTTTCCGAAGCGCCTTCGCGTAGAACTTCATGTCGGATGGGCGCGGAAAGAACAGGCGGCGCTGGTGCTCCGAAATTACAGTGCTGGACGCAGGTCTCGACTCAACATCCACTGGCACTGCTGTACCAGACGCGGCATGCGCCTTTGGGTCGATTTCCGCAATGGAAAGCAAAGTCTCCGCTTCGAGATCGCTTTTGTCTAGCAGGCTACTCCACAAACGTGATCAAATCGCAAAGTAGTGCCCACGTGTCGAGAAGTGAGCTTGTCCGTGCCGGACGAGGACTCTCTGTACCAACATGGTAATCTGAGTGAGAAGATCCTGATGCGCCGCCTGAAGACGCTAAAGTACTTCTAACTATGTACGTTTTAATTTCATGCAAGGCTGAGTTTTGGCAAAACTGTTTTGCAGACGGTCGTGCAACACAACTTTTGCGTTTGTTACAGTTTCGGCCTCGGCAAAGATCTTCCGCTGGCCCATTTCCATCTGGTCCCGCACGGTCATATCGAAGGTGTAGCTCTTCAGCAGCTCCTCGAGCCGCAGCTCGAAAAGAATCATGTTGTCCTTGGCCGCCATGATTGCTGAAGTTTGCCGGTTTGTCTGCTCGGTTGAAAACCGATAAAAGAAAAATGACGAGACGAAAAAGACAAGTGAGCAACAGAATATTATTAACTACCTCTACCACGGCAAAGAAAGCGGCAATGTGGAGTTGTTAATATCACTCTCAACAGGTCATTGCGCAGGCAGAATTCGAAGAAAGAGGATGGACTTCTGCAACAATTGAAATACGTCAGGCTGTTTTATTTGGTGAATTACGGACAACTGAGGTGCACACACTATTCGCTTTCATCAGCCCTTTCTCCACACCTCTCGGCCCTCCGCAAAATCCTCTTCATACGGTGATACTAGAAACTTTCAATTTCATTTTGATTTCGAAGGAAGTTCATTGGATAGCTCTGCAATAGCAGTTCACAACTCACTCACGCTCACCCTCGTCACGTTCTTCTTGTTCGTCCTACGCAAACACTATCTTGATCTTCCGCATTTCGGGAAAGAAGAAAGCAGCCATGCCGCAAGTGGGATGATTTGAAACTCACTTCTTTGCTATCACGAAGACAACAGTGACGCAACGAAAAAAAGCGTGAAAGTAGAAGCACAAAAGCAGAACGCAAAATCATGTGTACTACCACGTAGCACCTTTCTCCTTCATGCAGGATGAGAATCTTCGATTGAATCGGTGCATTCAGTTTCCTTTTCGTTTTCAACTGAACTTTGAATTCTCCTGGATGAAGCACTGCAACACGTAGTTTCTGTGGGACCTGTAGACCAACGTTCCTGCGTAGCCCGCCCAAAAATTGCAGCCTGCCACCAAGAGATACATCCACATCTTGTACCCCACCAGCAGGTGCGTGGTCCTGGCAGGTGAGGACTTCGCTGAGTCTATTCGCTGAGGCCAGTCATAGGCTGCACTATTCTGCAACAATATTTCATCCTCAGTTTTGTGGTACTGTTCGTATTCTTGCCCTTCGATTCTGGCTGCAGTAGTATCGAGGGCAGGAGCTCCAGTTTTTGATTTTTCCTCTCGGAGAATTCCAGCAAAGCTATCCTGCATCCACCTGTAAAGCAGCAGCACCACTCTGTACAAGGAGCGCAGATTCTGCACGGACGCCAGCTCGACCCAGGTGATGAACAGAATGATCGCAAGAAACCCGCTGGAAATGCCCGCGTATCGGGCGTAATCCACGTGAAATTTGCGCACAATCGACCACCCGGCGAGCACTGAACTCAAAATTAAGAGCGAAGTCACCGCCACGGTGTGTGGCAAGGTGTTGGCGTTTTTCGTCCTGTTTTCCTGATGGGCGTTGGTGCTATCGATCGCCAATATGTTTGCCTCTTCTTGAGTGTCTTCTGCGGTATTTCCGTTATCAACGTCCTGATTGAGCGGCACTAGGCACGAGAAAAAGAAAACACCGTGCAATATCAGGTTGACACAAAACGAAGCCAGAAACAACTTCGGTGGCAGGGTACTTCGCAAATTCACATACTGTCGAGTTTTGTAAATTCCGCCTGTTTTGCGCAGTTCCCCCTCAAATGAAACACTGGTGTGCATGTTTTTCTTCTAGTTAGATCAGCCTGACCACGTCACGTAGTCAGTAGACTAACACAGATGATGATGCTCAAAATTCAATGCGTCCAACGATGTTGACAGAGAAGAGTAGAAAATGACTGCGCTTGATAGGAAATCTATTGGAATGTACTTACATCACAGATGTATGAGCAAAGTAGGACACGTGGCACTTCTTGTGCTATCGAGCCTCAAGCTGCTACTCAGGACATTTATGAAGGTGACGCTGACGAGGATAGGCATCTTGTTCATCTGCTGTAGCAGCAACTAAATTCTTCAGGAGTGTCTTCACTTGATGACAAGGCAAAGATCGACGCACTAGCAGGTGCGCGCCACCGATCGCTGCGCCTTGTCTTCATGATATCGCAGCGATATCTTATCATGAAGACATGTTGAAGATGTACTATAGATTTACTATAGCGATGATCATGACGAAACCAAGGTCGGTCAGCAGTGTGCAGAAACACCGCGAAGAACCACAAGAAAAGGTGCAGTGATGACCACTGACCGATCGTCAGGGATTTGCGATCGGCGGCCACGTGGCACGACGACAATCAAGTGCGATTTCTTTTTTATTGCTAGATCATGAGCGGTTATTCTAAAAATTACTTATTCGTACATTTCTAATTTTTCTTGCTCGCGTTTTCTTTTGTCAGCAAAAGACCACCTGGGCTTCTTACAGTCATAATACGCGCGGAGGAGTTTGTCAGACAGGAGTTTCATTTCCCGTCGTAGCGAGAGTTTCGGTACGCGGTCGTACGTCACTAGGCCATTGATCTCCGTTTCCACGTCCGTCCACTGCGTATACACGCCCCCGACGACGTTGTACTCTTCGCGACAAGCAAGTATTTTGAGGCGGTCCAACACCGCTTCCACCGCCTCGAAAAAGCCGGCGGCGCTGTGGCGCACGTTCCCGTAGCCCCAGCTGGCATCGGGGTCGTAGTCGTGCTTCTCCCCCTTGCTGTACCCGTATCCAGAAAAAAACACCCATCCCGATTCATTTCTTGCATGACAAATATTCGCAAACTATGCATGTTTTGCATGACAAATTGGATGGGGATGGGTGTTTTTTCCTGGATAACCCGATACCCCCGTACTCGCCCACCAGAATCACCCGGTTTGCCAGCGGAAACGGGTAGACGTCGAAGGTTTTGGACAGGTTCTGGAAGGGGCTGCCCTCATAGTTGTGCACGTCGAAGAAGTCGCCGATGTCGAAATTGAACTGCGTGCGCTCCTGCGACTCCTTGTACTCTTCGAACTGGATCACTGGGTGCGTATGGATCGCAAATGTGTCTGGGTCTGGAAGATTGCGACATTCGTCATGGAGTTTTTCCAAACTCCGCCAAGTCTGGAATGCAGGGCCCAGCATCGCAGGATCTGCAGCCCCTTGGTGATGCCTCTTCTGCATGAGAAATGCCCTCTCAGCATGGCCAGAAGTGGGCACCTTTTGCAAGTCACGCAACACAGATTTTTGGATGATCGTCCGCAACATGCATCACAAGTTCGCATACTCCCAGACCCAGACATATTTGCAATGCGTAGTGCGGTTCCCCGAACAGCAGCGGGTCGTTCCAGCCCGAAACCGCGTCCACGAGCCGCGTGGGGTCCCAGAAGCGCGCCGCTTGCACGGTCTCCGCCGTGTTGGCCTGGCCCCAGCCCTCGTTGAACAGCGTCCAGATGATGACCGAGGAGAACTTTTTCAGGCTGAGAATCATCTGCTTCAGCTCCGTCAAGAAATTCTGGTACGACTCCGGGCTGCGGACAATTTCGTCAAACCCGGCGTTGTTGTCCATATCGGGCTGGGAGTTCCGCCGGTGCAGGTCCCAGGCCGGAATCACGCGGCCATCGCCGGAGGGCATGTCCTGCATGACCAACAACCCATAGTAGTCGCAGGCGGCGTAGAAGGCCTGATTGAAGACGATCATGTGGACGCGCACCAGATTGAACCCCGCCTCCTTCATGGCCCGCACCTCCTGGTAGGTCGCCTCCGTCGACGGGGACGTCAGTAAAGACTCCGGCCAGTAGCCCTGGTGGAGCACTCCGTGAATGAACAGCAGCTCCCCATTCAGGTACAACTGGTTCTTCTGAATCTCGATTTGTCGTAACCCAACCTTGTAGGACTGGCTATCCATATCCTGCTGCTGGCGCTGGGCCTCTAGTACTCCAGTTGTGGATGTCAACGAAACCGTCAGTGTCAGGTTGTGCAAGTTCGGCGACGCGACGCTCCACTCTGGAAAGGAGTCGACTTTGGTGGCTATGTCCAAGACAATTTTGTTTTGCTGAAAGCTGAAATCGACTGCGAGATCCTGGCGGGGATGCCGAGCAAGTCGGATGGTGGAGGTGAGGATTGTCGGCGAAGTAGAAGATGCGGCTCCCAACGGGCTTCCAGTTGTGGTTCTTGTCAACGATGTGAGGTCTGCCCTCAGACTCAATCTCGAAACGTCCTCCGCCGCCATCTTGTGACAGGATTCGGTCAGCTCGAACCCAAACAGTGTGAGCTTCTTCTCGTACGCGTCGTAATGCCAAGACCAGTCTTGCTATCCAGGAAAAAACACCCATCCCCATCCATTTTTTGCATGACAAATAGTAGATTTTATGCATGTTTTGCATGACAAATACAAATTGGATGGGGATGGGTGTTTTTTCCTGGATACTTGCAGTCGGCACTTCGGCACCAACTCCGCCCAGATGCCGTCCCGCCAGAGCCCAGTCACCGGACTATACATGATGAAGCCAGGTTCGAGCGCCTGGTCGTGGTGGATAGTGTGAGTATACGTAATCGTAAATGGCGATTTTTTCGGAATTATGCGAGAGAAGCGAAGCCATGAACAACTCTTCGAGCCTTGACTTCACGATCACTCTTCGCAGATCCTTTAAGAGTCCTCCTTTGCGTCTAACTATATGCGTTTGGTTTGTTTGGATCTTCCTTTTTTTTATTAGTGCAAAGTGTGATTTGATGTAGTACCTGCTTCCCGCGTGGCTGAGTTGCCACCGCGCAGCACTTAATGCAGGGAACCGGGGGAGACTGCACGAACTCGCATCCCTTATCGGTTGGATCCCAACTTGTAATCAGCAGCTCGAAGGAGCTAGTGGACTGGCTTTGCGAGGAAGGCAAAATCCACTTTTCCGGAATCTTTACCTGAAATCGGTCGTACCCTCCTTGATGGGCGACAAGCGGCTCACCGTTCAAAAAAACATCGCAACTCCAGTCACAGGCGTCTATGGTCAGCAGGTACTCGAAATTTTCCAGAAGTGCCTCGCTAGTATTCCCGGCTGCCGTTGGGTCGTCAGATATTGATGCAGCTACAGATGCTGTTTCTTCTTTTCCGATCAATTTGATCCCGGATTTCTTGTAGAACACCCTCTCCGTACTGGAGATCTTCATTTGCAATCCACTCAAGACGGATTGGGGGGCGAAAGGCACCGTGATGTTACCCACGTATACGGGTGACATCATCGGGTTTTCGATATTTTCGCCAATATCTGCAAGTGGGCCCCCACCGACGGCCGTCGGCGCTACGAAAAATTCCCAATCCGGTCCGTTCAGGTCAACTCTTCGTATTACAATGAGACATGCCCCCTCCCCATATCAAAACGGAAATCTGTGATGCAGATTTGTTGTCACAAATCAGCTTTGTGATGCTACAAGGCAAAGGATGCGAACTGTAGTGCTGCCTAGCGTGGGAAAGCCTTCCAGCTCCAGGATGACAGGAGGCAACTGGAAGTGGGAAACAGCATGACACATTCCCTGCAATTTAGGCCGCAGCTTCGTCTCTTGGACTTCTACCAATGCAAGTCGATTTGTGTACTCAAACACAGCATCACAAATTCGCGCATCTTCCGTTTCCGATATGGGGTGGGGGCTTTTTTCACTTTGATACTTCGCGGCGGGAGGTCAGATCGACCAAGGAGCCACGGCCGCAGCTCTGTCGTAATTGCGTCGTCTGTGTGCTGAGGAACTGCTTCTGCTGCAGCGCTTGGCGAAGTTTTTAAGCCGGGAGGTCCTGAAGGGCTTTCACGGTCGCTACTCGTCGCTCCTGTATTCATAACGAACTCTGCACTCGCACGGTTTTCCGGGCGGGAGAGGTCATCGCGCTGGTTACCGCTGCCTTCGGGTTCCTCTTGATACTTCCGTGTTAGCAATCTCCACGTGAGCGACGAGCTCGTGGAGTTCAAGCTTGTTCCAGTACTACGAGCAGCTGCGGTGCCGGGAGTCGTTTGTTCTGCGGGCAGTTGCAGGTCCTCGGGCAGGATGCGGAGTTCCTGCGCGTCGACAACCGGGGCAATGCAGTGGAGCTGCAGTCCGAGCGACGTGGCGTACTCCGTGCTCGTGCCCAGAAGCAGAATCAACGACAGCTGCCTGCCCGTTTCTACCTGAGCCTCCTGCTGGACGAAGTTCTGCTATCAAATGTAAAAGTGTCTGGGTCTGGAAGAATGCAACTTGTCATGCTAAATCTGGTCCTTCGCCTCCCGCTATACTTCTAAAGGGATTTTTTTTTGGCTTGAAGACACCCTCCTACCCCCCCGATCCCGGATGTGCGTGAGCCCATGAAAGTCGTCAGACTTGGAACATGCAAAAATTTATGCGTGAGTGCTGCAGAGTCGCATGAAAAACAAAAAACTCTGAGCGGGCTGCACCACACATGCGCGACCGAACGAGTAAAAAGTATGCTGCACTCGCGCCGCCGTGTTGGCACAACGGCGCGGCAACTTCTTCATAATTGAGGGACTATAGAAACATGGGCGAGCTGACTCAAAGGCTTGTAGATTTTGCAGCGTCCGTAGATATTTAGTGCATAGAAGTCCTCGAGGATGGAGCCCGGGAGACTTTCATGCGCTCCGTCCCTGGTCCACATGCGGTCGGTTGCTTGAAAGGATGAAACAAACGACCGGCCCAAAGAAAACGCAATGTGCCTGCCGAGGCGAGGTCTAACGCATTGCGATGGAAAAGGGGCGCTAGCACGACAAGCAGCAAGCAGTCCTACCAGGGGCGAGGCGTATGCGCGGGGGCAAGATGTACTGCGAGGGGCAAGATGCACTGCGAGGGGCAAGATGCACTGCGAGGGGCAAGATGTACTGCGAGGGGCAAGGTGCATTGCGAGGGGCAAGATGTACTGCGAGGGGCAAGATGCACTGCGAGGGGCAAGATGTACTGCGAGGGGCAAGATGTACTGCGAGAGGCAAGATGTACTGCGGGGGACAAGATGCACCGCGGGGGGCAAGACCTAACGCAAAGGGTAAGTAAGAAATACTGCCAGGGCTAAGGGGCAGGCGCCAACACGCAGGGGCAAGAGGTTCCACCAGGAGCAGGGCGCACCGCACGGGGGGCGAGGGGCACTTTCATATTGAAGGGGGCAAGCGGTTCTCTTCTGAGCGAGGGGGCAGGGGCGTCACTGCGTCTAGGGCTCGGGGTATTTTTGTAGCGCCTAGGGGTTTCTTTGTCGTTCATCGTGCCGAACCGCTACAGCCCAAGCCGTAGAATTTGTCGCAAATATTTTCACAGTAGCGCGCATTTTAGAAAAAAAAGTGTGCGAACATCTGAAAAGCCCTAGAGCCCGACCCCCAGAAAGGTCCCAGCTTTTGTCGTAATAGCATGCAGGTTCAGCACTTCCAAAGTGTCGCGCTTTTTGTGGTTTTTGCTCGTCCCCTACGGCTCGGCCTCCATCTTTTGGGCCGACTGCCGTGCGTATTCGCAAATAGGAAAGAAGACCACTTCGAAAAGCCCTAGGGGTTTGCCCCAGGTTTGCTCCAGGTTGAGCCGCAATTTCTAATGCTGTTTAAGGGTCTCAGAACTTTCCTCTACAGCCTTTGAGTCAAGTTCGTATTAGTCTATAGTCTATATAACTAATCAACAAGAGACTAGAGATAGAGGTGTGCGGCACCTCAAATTACTTATGTCGGCGACGAGAAGATGAAACTACTTATTTTTTTGAAATGTCAGACCTTTTCGCTTCATTTGTAAAAAAAACAGGTCAGCACTACCTCGATTGCTGTAGTTGCAAAGCGCAGCGGTAACTGTAAAAGAAAGCTTAGTTGTCATCATGTTGCTTTAATATGTCCACATGAATGTCGCCAGAGATAGAAGCTCACCTATGGTCCCGCCTGGTGCTGCGCACTGTGTGCAAGGAACGGGCCGAGCATAAAAAAACGGGGTGCGGCCCCTTGAAATAGGTGGACTTTTATCATGTCTGCAGCCAAAAACGTCTATTGTGTTGCGCGGGGCGAGTGGATGGAGTCCTTGGGTGCGGCCCGCTGAAAACCACCACAGCACCCACCTAAGCGCTGATATAAACAAACTCCGGACAGCACCCACCTAAGGGACGCGGACATCCGCTACCGACAGCACCGGCAGCGAGGCCTAACGCCCCTCTGAAGCGAGGCCTAACGCCCCATGCTAAATCTGAAGCATGCAAAAAACTGTGTTGCGAGATTACCAAAGGTCGTCCAGTTTTGACCAAGTCGGGAGGGAGTTTCTCATGCAGGATAGGCATGAGAGATATCGCACAGAATCTGTCATGCTAGGTCCTGCATTCCAGACCTCATAGGTCATGGGAAAGCTGCATGACAAATCCCGCATTCTTCCAGACCCAGACATTTTTGCATTTGATATCTGCACCACCTCGACCACTTCCGGGATCTCGTCCAGGTTGCGCCCGTTGACGTAATATGCATTGCAAAAGTATCGTACTCGTACTAATTGCAGTTACGCATTACAAATCTAGTTGTTAAGGCAAATCAGCATTACAAATTCAATATTGTATTGCTGAGCTAATTTGTATTGCGATTTATACTAGTGCGATACTTTTGCACAGGATACGTAATGCGCGACCGTGAAGGGTGCATCCTTCCGCGGCAAGACGGTCTGCAAGCGCGCCTCAGAGGGGGCGGTAGGGCCGAGGATCAGCAGAATGCTCTGCTGGTTCTGAAAAAAATCCTGCCACCGCTGCCACAACTCGAACTTGGACAAAAACTCGGGGTTCCAATACTTCACATCGGTGACCAAACTGTTGCAGTATCGCCCCGTCGGGGGCAAAAGCTTCTCGACCTGCTCCTTCTGCGCCAGCAGGAAAGCGGTGTTCTCACCGACGACTGGGTCGTCGCCTGGGTTTGTAAAGTAATAGCAACCGATGTGGATGATTAAGAACAAGTACGAAATAAAACGACCACCTCTTCGCAAACATAGTTGACTGAGAGGACTCAGTCATGCTAGTTTTAGAAGGACACGGCCAACATGAACATCATAGCGAGAGCCAGCAAATGGCTTCTGCTCTTTCTGCACCTACTTCATTTTGATACTGAGGCTTTCATCAGCTTGGAGCACCGGAGGACCTCCGGCAATTTCCATCTGCTTCTGCTCCAGCAGTGTACTGGAGGATGTCAAACTCGACCGCAAGCGAATCAAGTTGCCCCGTGTGAAAACGTCCGGTATTGCGAGACACATATGACACCCTCAGAATGGAAATCCTCAAAGTGGAAATAATTTGTAATGCAAAAAAACGACTCCAGTTGAAGCGCCATTTCTTATCGGCGCATGACAAATTTCCCGGGCACTCAAAACATGTCTGTCATGCTAGTTAGGGCAAAGGTGTGCCCTTCTTTCGTGCTAATCAGCAGCCCAATTCTGAACCCGTAGAAGCACAATAGTCGGCCTCCATTTTTGCGTCCTCTGCAATACACTCTTTTTGGTGTCGCATTTCATGCATCACAAATTATTTCCACTTTGAGAACTTCCATTCTACTGAGGCTTTCATAACACACTCCGTGTTCCTCCGGATATCCGATCTTCTCCAGCAGTTCCGGCGCGAGGGCGACCCCACTGTCGCTGGGCGGGGGAAGCCGCAGGAAGGAAGCGCCGTGGTTGAGCAGGATGAACGTGCCCTCCACCCCGTGCGTGCGGAACGGAACCTCGGCGTTCTGATCTTCCCACGAGGCCGGGATGCTGGCCAACGCTGGATTCGGACGACAAGCGGATACCAAATCCGACGAGCTGTTTTTCCAAACAGACGAAAAGACAAAGAAACACCAAAAAATCATTGACCGGGACCACCACGACATTTTTGGGTAATCAAAAACAGGCGAGCAGAAAATGGAAAAAAGACAAAATTTTGATTTTCTTTTATTTTACTCAATGATCACATGAGGAAGCGAGTTCTTCGTCTTCACGAGCACGTAGAAGCACTACACTTGACACGAAACTACTTGGGCAAAAAAACATTTACGGCGCTTCTAAGGCTCACAACAACAACTGCGGGCAAATGCACAAATATTAAGATGCTATCCAACTCACAAAGCAATTACTGCTTTGCGAAATTCCAACCTATACGAAATTCTGGCTGTAAAAAATCAGACATCCTAGCGATGGATTGCACACTTTCGCCAGTGCACGTTCGAAGGTCTCCTGTCACAGAATTCTAGCGCAGACGGCGCACGGCAAGATCTTAGAGAAAGAAGAGTCGATGAACCTCACAAGCTGCCTAAAATAAAACTTTAGCTTCCGAGCACGCTCACGGCAAAAAGACACACAACGGATCTTCCGATAGTTTGAGCATGAGGTGGATCTCAGGGCGTAGATCGGTCAGCGCATCATCGAACGGCTAGTACCACTTACATGAAGCTGGAGCTACAGAAACGAAGACAACGCCAGAATTCACGGTCCTGACTTGGGAGTCAAGTGGTATTGGTAGTGGAGGTTGTACCGACACCAGTGACATCAAATAACACGATACGTGTCGAAGTCAGATCCCCTTCTTGACCACGAAAAGACGATCGTAATCATTCTATGATGCCGCTATCTTCGCCGATTGTTCTGAACAACGAGCAAAGGGAACAAAGTCAAAGACGAGCCTCGGATCGAAGTGGAAGGTTGTCCTTCGCTCTGCCGTCTTCGGTGTCACAACCTCCGTCGTCCTGCTTTGTCCTGCATATTGTAAATGTGCTCGTAGCTACCTGAAGACTACTAGGGCTACGTAATGAATCAATGACCGGAAACAAACTGAAACTAGTACTAGGATACCAGCATTGGAGTGCAGTGCGGCGTGGATCATTTTTGCGAATAAAGCGCGGTGGTGTTGTACTCGAACTCGTCCAGGTGAATGTTGATGTCTCTACTTTGACGAAGAAGAAGCAAGCTTAATACAGCAAGAGCTGCTGGAAACTGCTCTTCATTTCATTCTGTTTGACCAAAAAGTTCTGTGCAGAATGAGGATAATCATGAATCCTGCGTCCAAGACCAAGTCGACCTTCAAGAATTCGTCACCTCGAGTTGGCGTTTCGTCGCTTGAAATAAATTTCCCCCCGGCGATAACGAAACCGGGCGCGGGTGTCGGGGAGTGCCTGGTCGTATTTGGTGTAGCCGAGTTCGCGCACAAATACCGTCATGTAGGGCGTCACATTCTCGTGAAGGTACTCGCGGTAGACGTCTTCGCCGTGAACGCCCAACACCCTGCTTGGCGGGTAGTGTTTTGCCACTAGATCTTCGATATGCCTTGGAAATATGTCTGGGACGGGAAGATCATAGTGCCACCAATGACAAGTCATCTTCTCTTTCGGTGAAAAGAAATGCAAAAGAAAATCGCCAATTAGGCAACTTTTCTTGCCGTGGTCCATGTCACCAGAAGTTTGCGTGGACCACATCCCTTCAGAGCCAGACATGTTTGCAGGAGATACTCGAGGTGCGGCATGGATCGGTGCTGCAGACCGTAAACAATGAAATCATAGTACTGGGATCTTATCTTCTCAAAGATCTGCGCCAGCGCTTTCGGCGAGGGGTAGAACAGCATTTTTGTCCAGTAGAGGTGGTCGCGTAAAAGCGAGGAGAGGTCTTGTCCTTCCTCGCCTGGAGTCGTGATGTTCTTGCTTGCGGTCGTTGAGGAGTTGCTGGCGTCCGCTGGTGCCGTTTTCAGCACGATCTCCTTGAAGAGCTCCGCTGTCGCCTGGAAAAAGTCGACTTCGTGCCCGCTGGCGTCCTCGGGGCGGGCGAATGCACTGCTAAAGGGGTACCAGCCGCGTTCCTGTCCGAGTGCACCGCCAGTTTCCTCCCTTGCGAAAGTCGTGACTTGCTCCTGCGTCTTGTGGTCAAGATCGACTCCGACCTCCGCCGACCTGCGTCTTCTCATGCCTAGTCTCGCTGGGAGATATTTCAGAGCGTCCCGCGTGTACACCCTCTTCTGCGATCGCGGTCGTCGTCGTCCACTTCGATCATCTGCGCCATGATCTGCAGTGGCGCTACGCTGCCCTTCGAACGTCGGCGAGAAAACTTCCGAAGTCCAGTCGTACATCGGGCGCTGCGGATAAAGAACCTCGCAGCGTTTGCCAAAAAGCTGCTTTAAGCCGGCAAGCATGCCAATTGCACTGTAGTCACGAACAGACGAGACACCCTTTTCTGCACCAAAATTGTCTATGTACAGTACCCGCGGACCTAAATCTGTGCCTTCATCAGATGGGTCATTGTCATTACGACCACCTGCCGGCTCACTTACTGCTGACGTCACTCCAGGAGGTGCTGCTTCGGGTGTTCTGTCGTCTTTGAGTTCATGCTGAAGCTGTTCCACCGGTGGACGCTCTGCCATGGGCTGGTCCGGGTCTTGACGAAGTTGGTGGCCCACCTGATGCTCTACGTAGTCACGAATCGTCATCCGGTCCCCCGCAATTTTCGTCTCGTCGAATTTCAAATACTTCTGATAGACCAGATTCGCCTGTTTTGAGGCTGCGAGCGGCACTGTGGATCGCACGATCGTCGCAGCTTCCGCTCCTTGTGATGCATTTTGCTCAGAAGCGTTCTCTAAATTACTGTCCTCTACTCTCCGCGACGATTTGGCCTTGGGATTGGGGCAATTGTTGGTGACCAAAAGCATGTACTCAACCACCTTCCGGGAGACCAGATTCTCGACGAACCATTTCGTCTGCTCTCGCTGGTACCATTGATATAGCCGCTTATGTCGCGAAGAAAGTACAAATGCAGGAGCAGCTCTCTTGGTTGTAGGTCCCTGGCTCGTGGTCCTCGGAATTCTGGGCGTGAACTGGCTCTCTCCAAATTCTACTTCACTCGGAGACTCATCTTGTTCATCCGGGGTGTTTTGGTCCACCTCGCCGTCCTCATTTGGTGAACCGCTGCGCAGTCCGCTTCTTTCCGCAAGCTTCTTCAGCCTGGAAATGCTGAGGCTCGTTGTCTCTTCGTCGATGGCACTGGTAAAAGCTCTCCACTTCGGAAGCCACTTTTGGAATTCGGCGACAGCGAAGTCCTTGTTTTGCTGCAGAGAATAGAAATCCTGTTCGATTTGCAAAAACAAGTCCTTCGGGTACAATGCCATGGTGTCCTGACCGCAGTAGGGGAGCCGTAGATGGTCGGTACGGTTCGGTGGGATAGAATTGACTGGATCGGCGAACAGTAGGAGCGCGCGGCTCTGCATGATCTCTAAGTGTCGAGCGCAGTCCCACCCGGCCTTCTTGTGCGAAAAACCAAACATTGCCGAATGATAGTTCTTATGGTACCGATACTCAAACGACTGGCCGCCGGCGGGTGGTAAAATGTCATCGACGTCCACGTGGTCCTCGGCAACAGCTTTTATTTTTTCTGCAGTCGTCCCATTAGCATTTCCCCCAGCATTATTTTCGACATCGTCCACCATCAATGCCGAGTATAATCGTGCTGGTGAACTGCGGCGAGAGAAAATTAGTGACGACCGCAGATGAGGGACCGAGAGCGCGAAAACAGTTGATTTCGATGTCTCAAGTGTAGGATCCTTTCGCAAAACCTTCTTGACGTTGCGGTTTGTGGTGTGCTTTGCTCTGTCTGGCGCTGAAATCTTCTTGGCTTCGACGTTTTCAGCACCGAAAACCGGCTCCACCACGTAGGCCTGCTGCACCTCGTAGGGATGGTTAAAGCTGATGGGGAAGATGCCCTTTCGCTTATGAGCATCGATGGCGTTTTTCACGATGTCTTCGCGAACGCCGAAGCGCCCGTAGACGAAGTCCCAATCTTTCAGCACATCGAGGATCTCTTCAGTCAAGAGCTTTGTTTCTTCCTGCAGCCGATCTTCACTCACGACGAGGGGCGTACCAATCTGCACTTCCTCCGCCTTTTCGCTGTGTGAAACTGCTGACACGGAAGCTTTCCGCTCTTGAAAGTTTTCGACTACGAAACGGATCAAATGGTCCAGATCAATACTGGGATCTTGTTCTAGCTGCTGGCTGTGTTCTGTCTTCCTTTTACTCGGCGGCGCTTCAACATCTCCACGGTCTTGCTCAACATCAATAACCCCCATGCTATGGCGCGCATCGGTATTTGCCCTTGCGTTCTTCAGGTGAGCAGCAGGAGCAGGTGTGAGATAGCGACAGCGCAAGTAGGCAACAACTGTTTCATTTGTGCCGGGCACAGGCGACAAACGCGTGCCGAATTCGCGGTCTGTGTGTGAAGGCATGATCAACTATCCACAGAAAAGAACCCATCCACATCCATTTTTTGCATGACAAACACAGAATTTTATGTGTGTTTTGCATGGCAAATTGGATGTGGATGGGTGTTTTTTCCTGGATATCAACTCCGACAGGTCGAGTTTGGTTTCGGTTTGCGCTGCCAGCAAATTCTTCTCGACAAAATCAGCATGATTTTCTTCCACAACGACACCTCCCGCAGCCCGGGAGTTCAGGAAGGAAAAATTCACGAACTCTTGCTCGTTGCCGTAGGGATCAGACGACAGGACCTGTGTCGCCGTACCTTTTTCGCCGGGAACGTCGCGACAACTTGTGTGGAAGAAACAATCCAACACGAGAAAGAGCATGAATGCACAGCGTCTTTGTCGCCTGGAATTAGCGAGGACGTTCCTGCGCAGTAGAGGCAACAGGAAAACCAAGACCATGTTCACTTGATCTTATTCTTCGAAAACCAAAATAAAATAAAAATCCACACGTTTACGTTTTACACGTCGTTTATTTTCGACTCCATCTAATATTGTGCGACTGAATCCGTCGAGGAGGAAATGAAGATCTACTTCGAGCGATCTTGATGAACCGACTGCAAGATGACGCTGAACCTGCTCAATATGCAACAGCACTACGTTCCCGATCACCACACGGATCTGGATCCCCTACCAGCTTGCGCTTCTTCCCGTTCTTCGCCGTTGCACCAAACAGTTTTTTCTGATGCTGAACACCGAGACCACAAAGGGAATCGGGATCCCGCCGCCCAAGGCCGTCACTGGTTCTTTTAGTAAGCAAAGCTGTGCGAGTCGTTGTTACATCAGAAAGGTTTCAGAAGAAAAGAAAAAGTTCTGCTTGGGCCTGTGCAAATAAGTAGCATCTTACACTTTTATTTCACTTCTTTTGTACACAGAGAGAAACATAAAAAATTTTAGTTCAATCGGACGGGACCTCTGATATAGATAGCAGCTCCGTTTATCGAGTCCTCGAAGCCGAAAGTTGTAAACAATTGCAAGAATTGATTCTGGAGTAGACGCAAAGTCGACATCACTGACGTCGCCGGTCCGGTCGTTCCTGCGTGACATACATTACTTACAAGAAGGGTAAAAATCAAAGTTCGAAGATTTCGCATGATTTAGTTCTGACGGTTTCTTGATACATTCAATCAACAGTTTTTTCTGAGTGAGAGACTTTCACTTTGTAAACGCATATTCTAGTAGGTACCAACGATGAGCACGATGGCATCAAAGCGAAATGTAAGCTCGTTTGTTCAAAGTTCTAAAACAAAATTCGCGCGCTGCCGAAGCGTCTCCTCATGAAGTTTTCACAAAAATCATGAGCGCATGACAATTCTTCTACTTGCAGGATTTGCTTCTATTCTTGCATGTACTTCTGCCTTTACTAGCACCCGCGCAAAAAGCTCCCCATAGAATATAGCATATTTTTCTGCATTTTGATTTTTGTTATGTAATATTTTACTTGATAGCATTCAAAAACTCGTCGATAATGAATTCGTCTCGTTGGTCATCGAAGTTCTCCCCAGACTTTTGCTTCTGGGCGACCTTGTGGAGGTGGAGGTCCCCGCCTTGAGAAGAAGTGTTCGCTCCCGCCGTCGTGCCGGCGAAGAATCCACCAGCAGCGTTGGTCGTGTTCTTTCTTGTCGTGGTGTCATCCTCGATTTCGAAGCTGCTGGAGACATCACTGCGGCTTTGTTGGCTTTCGTCCCAGGCTGTTCGCCGGTCTGCACGCGGATTTTTCGCTTGCGTGATCAAGTTGTTTTTGTGGACGTCGTCATCTCCTTGCACTTGCTCCTTGTGGTGCATTACCGCATCAGAAAACGACAGTCGTTTTTTCTTCTCTTCGGAACGTTTCTTCGCAGTTTTCATCTTCCGACTGCAGCTACTGTTTGCATCCTCGCTGTCAGCGTCTTCATCTGCAATAAAATTCAGTCGCTGCGCATGCGTGCAACTATACCGCCGGTTCCGGTTTTTCTTGCTTGATGTAGAAGAAACCTGCATGCTTTCGCTGATCTTGAAGGTGTCGTGTGGAAAAATTCCTGCTCCATGCCGGTGCTCCTGCTGTTTGGTAGACGCAAGAAGATCTTCGGTGGTGGCCTGCTCCTGGATCATTTCGAAGTCAATCTGCTCATGATGACCATGCGATCCTCCGTTCATTCCGTCGAGTCCTCCGACAACGTTTCGACTCGCGTGATCGGCTGAGACAAGGGCCAGCGAGCAGCTCGATGCAACCGTGCTGGGTGTGATGACAGCGTTGCTCTTAGATGCTCCGTCTGTACTAGCGCCAAACGGCGTGGAGGCGGAGATGCGTTGGCGCTTCTTCTCTAGGCCCGGACTTGGAGTAGCGCTCGAAACCGCCGTTGGCGACCATCCGAGTTTTTCCTTTTGGCTCTGCACCATCCGGCCCCACTGCGATGCGAAGTCGCTCCAACGCACCTTCTTTCTGCATGTTCGACCCGCTGCCCCCAACTTTCCCTGCGTAGATGACACATCACGCGGCCCTGCCGTCGTGGAAGTGGAAGTGGAAGACGACGAGTTGCCGCCTGAATTACTTTGCATCGAGCTGCAGTCGAACAAGTTCCGGGCCATGGTTGCGCCGTAGGTTTTGAATCCGCCTGAATTGCTATGCTTGGCGCTCGTGACTCGCTTGAAGACAGAAACGAATGTCGGCGCTGGCGGCGGTGTGGTAGTACCCGGTGGGCCAGCATTTTCTGCAGTTACTGCTACGCGGGTAACGGGAGAAGTGGCTCGGCCTTCGAGGAAAGTATCTGAACACAAAAAAAGACATTTGGATTTGAAGATGTCGTGTCCATGCTTGTTGACATATTTTTCGTGCAAGATGTAGATCGAGGATGTCAACTGCTTCTACTATAGCGCGAAAAAGTTAAAGTATGTATGCAATACATAGAGTGACGAGGAAATGGAAATATTGATGAAAATCATACGGATGTGCTTCAGTATGCCGGGAACGTTCTCCAGTAAACACGTGTGCTGCAGGGCGAGGTTGATGCACAGCTCCAAGCTGCTGTACTCACTGCAAGCGAAAAACACTATTGCTAGTGCCGTCGCCGGGCGGCACGGGTGAAACGCGACGTCGGGGCAGAAAAACAGGGACTCTGCGAGCAGTTGCGCTTTCTTGAGGTCGAACGAGGAGAGCGAGACCGCGTTTCCAAGCCAGGAAATGAATTCGATCAAAAGCGGATTGCGGAAAACGCGAAACTCCAACGTGTTCAATAAGGTGCGTTCTAAATCCTCGCACTCGGACACTGACAGAGTGCCGTCGTCGTGGTTCAGCTCGTCCAACAGGGAACCATAGCTGTCGTCAAGGTCGACGTAGCCTGCAGCAAGATTATTTCTTTATTTGGTGCACTTTTGAAAATGTTTAATTTGTGTCGTGCAGCTGTTCATTCCATATATCGAGAATCAGACCATGATCGACGAGGAAAGTGAATGTCCATATGAGCTATGGCGAGCACGTGCATCTGCATCAACAAAAAAAAAACAAGTTTGCTTTCTTTTTTACCACCGAATGCGTTTTCGTCGTGTAGCTTTCGCGAAACGAACAAGCAGGGAAACACGAGGTGCGGGGTCCAGGTCCTCGCAGCGAAGACGTATCGATCCATCAAGTCCACCGCATGGTGCGGCACAAGCTCCGATTTGTTAAGCGTGATTTCCGGCGACCGCTGCAGCAGAAATGCAACCATGTCGCAGCGATCTCTTGACTGCACCCAGGTAGACCAGAACAGGTCAGCAGCAGGCCTCGTTGCTGATGAGGAAGAACTACTGCTCGAAGAAGACCCGGACAGCACATGGGAAGTGGCCAATGGAGTTGCTTTACCGATGACGGTATCGTCGAACTCGTTTTGGTACTCCCTGATTCGATCGTGAAACGGAATTTCCCGTATGGCATTCTGCTCGATGTTGTGCTTCAGCTGCTCCCGAGACCGTTTTGTGTTCCTAGGTGGGTGGCTTTTGTTGCCAGGAGCTCGGTGTGGCTGCACGAGTACACCGTTAGAAGACATTCGTGACATCATCTTGGGCTTCTGTGTGATTTTTGCTGACAATGAAAACACAGCACAGAAAACAAAGTTCGTTCTTCTACTGATCTTTTCTCTTGCCCTAAAAAAAGCAGAATTCGTAGGGTTGTAATTGCATGTAATTCTTAAACAAAATGGCCCACTTCTACATTACCCCCACACACACATTTTTGCGAGCAACGATAGGCGGCCGCTCATTGAAATACTTACTACCTCCCACCTCAGGCAATCCTTGCGTTCTTTTGTTCTCGGACCGTTTAAGTACACTCTCCACTCTCGATTTGCTTTTGTTCATCGATCAGCATTTTTAACAAACAAGTTCACTCTATGAATTGCCTCCTCTTTGGTCCCGCTCACGATGAGACACGAAGATGAAAAGAAAAGAAATGATAAAAACGGCCACACTGCACACCGATGTAGTTGTTGGCGTTAGATTCTTCACGAAGATCCCAGCGGTAGTGGGGTTCGGTTTCACGTTCACTTTCTATGATAAAAGTATAGAATGAATGTGCTCCGCCGAAATACAGCCCGGCGTGTTTGCGTCGTCTTGAATTTACAATCATGTCGACCAGCTGCGTGAGCGGCATTTTGGGGCGTATACGAAAACCGATACGAACGGTTTTCTTGGCTTTTCATTATCATATATCATTTATCACCACCAGTTGCCCGTCCCTCCTACAACTGGTCCGGAATTTTTTTGATCTCCACCCGAGCAAGCTGTTTCTCCCTTGGATGCACAAACAGTTCGGCGAAGGTCCCGTGCTGGCCGGTCTTCGAACAGGGTCCGGGATTGACAAAGAGCCGATCCTCGACAAAATTGGCTAGGAATCCCCTCCCCACATTCGAATAGAACAGCAAGATGTCGGGAATACAATCCTCGATCTCCGCCGCAATGTCAACATCCTCGGCCACTGCTCTTTCCAATTTTTGGTCTCCGCCGGCCTGCTCGTGTTCGACCTCCTGCGCGGAGAGAACCCGTCCGTTTTTTGTTTTCCGAATAAACTCATATCTCTCCCGACGCGCAACGTCGATGTTGCTTTGCGGCTGCTGCATCCCCTGATTGACACTACTGCTTTTCTCCACGCCATCGCGCGGAAACCACGAGCGCTGGCGCAGCAGGTGGCGCATCACCTCTTCCAGCTTGCCACCGGATTCCGGCTCCGGCCGGGTCAGCAAGGAGCGAACCAGGGGCGAAAGTGGGTCCTGCGTCGTACAGCTGATGGTGAACGAGTTGTTGATGCGCAGGAAGCACGGATTGGGAACCTGCACAGTCGCGTGGTCGGAAGTGTGGTTTTCAAAATTTACTTTTTTTCTTCTTCAACCTCAACACAACAGCAAAACATATTACCTCATGAATGCGGGTGCGTCGTCTAAGCGAAAGTTGCGGAAAAAGTAGGAAAACAAAATCAATATCGAGTACTAGGTGCGCCCCCAGTTCTTGCAATCGAAACCAACCTTCGCTGAGAAAGAAACTCGGATACGGTGGCTGCGGCGTTGCAAACAGAAATGTGGCCTCGTCTGGGCTCGGCACGATGACCAACTCGCAGCCGGACTCCTTGAGCTTGGCAGTCGCGTCCTCGAGAATGGGTAGGAGAAACGACTCCGTCAGGTCCACCGGGTCAAGGTCCTCCTGACCCTCTTCGCCCATTACGCCGCCTTCTCGAACGACCGTATTGTTACAATCGAGGAAAGGACCCATAAGGATAACCTGTGCAGCGTATGTTGGTGCGCTTCTGTGCAAGCATGTTCAGCAAGAATATTAACGTGCTGCAAATAATCTACGTAGTTGCGTGCTGCAAAAGGTTATGCACGATGGCTTTACGCATCTCTGCAAAACGTCACGCACGATGGGCTGTGAAAGGGTGCTGCTATTCCGTGGTGCATAACGTTTTGCAGGATGGTATCGAACTCTGGGAAAAAGCAATGTCGCTCGTAATACCTAGTAACATGCAAAATCAACCAGACATCTACTTGCACGGACCCATTACATTCGGAAACGGAATCGCATCTCGGAAATAAGGGATAGAAGTAGCTGCAAGTATTCCTCTTACAAATCCAATTCAGAGATCCGTCATACCATTTGTGGTTTTGCAGCGAGGGCGTATTGCAACACCGACCGCAGACACGAGTAGTTCAGCTCGCTGCGCTTGGAAAAAGGCCCGCTCGCGCAAAGGATGTGCACCGGTGGGGCCGCAGAGTTGGAGGTCGGCAGCTCACGCGCGGGAACCGGCACGCCACCGATGAAGCGATTTGCGTGCAGTCGTTCTTTCTCACCGCGTCCCACGGCATACCTGTTTAGGAAAGTTTCGTTCTTGGCCGTCCTGGCGCTTCCATGGTCTTGTAGAGCCGTTTGATTGAAGATATAGAAGGATCATAGTAGTTCAAGCGGAAACAAAGTCTGTGTACACTATCTGTCCGGGAAACGTGGAAACGCGATCGCAGTCCTGCGTGAGGAAGTACATGCGCTGTCCGTTGGACTCGCTGCGGCTGCCTTCGAGTAGCAAACTGCTCTCGTTCAACTTGCTCGCCGCGGTCGTCGAACTGGTGGCTTCCTGCGGATTTTAATGAAGAGTCGGCCGTCAAAAAATTGAATTTATCTTTTGCACGTGAGGCAAGAAAAAAAGAATTGTTGAAAATCCTACAATGTTGAATAACACAGGATACCTCATCACAAAGTATCCTTCCGACGACAGATATCTCCTGCGTAACTTGCTGCACCTCGCCAACTTGCCCTGGTGTCAATTAATTTTGATCGTTTGCGTCCGGCTCCGGCATAAGAGGAAGCCAATGCGAATGCCAAAGCTGGCTGCGCTAAAAATGAGGCAAGTCTAAATTAGGAAATCAGTGCACGGCTGCATCATCTTCGATGAACAATAAGTAGAAGTTGATGTACCCAATGGAATCAAAACATAGGCAACACCTCTCTGCACGTTTTCGTCGTCTTCAGCGATGCGCAAGCGCATCAAGCTTTCCATGTCTTCAAGCCTGGCATTAGTCGCAAGGGCGCGCCGCTCGACATTCAGGTCGAGAAAATTGTACTCAACTGCAGTTTGGTTTTGTGGTTGTTCAGGATGATGCTCATTGAACCGAAAAGGAAAACGGAAACGCTCGAAGCATAAACAACATTTTTTGATTTTCATATGTATCAAAGCCGACCATAAGCCCCTCATTTGCAGTTGCCGGATTAAAATGCCGGAATGACATCGAGATCGACGGCAAAACACTATAATACACAAACCTGGAGTCCTTTGCGGATAGTCTGTATCGATTGCAACGGGTTCCTTGTGAAAGCTAGACGGCAGTGAGTCGTGGAACGTTAAGCGACTTTCCATACCGGTCGGTATTACTGCCTGCAGGGGTTGCTTCTCGATGCTGGTGCAGCCCCGCAGTATTGCGCGGGGCAGTGGTTTGTTGCTCTGTGCAGCTGCGCCGCCCCCCGTTCCAAGAACTACCGCTCCAGCAGACGTGCGCAGGGCCGACCGGTCCGGGTTCAGACCGGAGGAAACACCACCGCGCACGGGCGTCGGAACGTGTTGCGAATACGAGGATGTGTTTTCCTGCTTCTTGCCTGTGCCCCAGCTGTTCGAGGTGCTCGAAGATGACCCACCGGCCTGCTGCGCCCCGGCGCTACCTGTAGTTGCGCCAATCGCAGTTGTTCCGCCAAGCGCGACTGCGGCACGACCGGGCGACGTGGTGGTGCGCGCACGCTTCGCAGACGGTTCTCCGGCGGCATCCGCAAGCAGCGAGGTACGCTGGGCCAGTGGTTTCTCGGCACAATTCTTTTTGCAAAAGATCGCGAATTTCTCAAACACCTCGGCAGTGTTAATACGGCCCGAGTTTACGGTGAAGGTCTCGATGGCATCGTCGTCCACGTCGTATCGCTCCAACGCCTTCACGGCTTCCTCCACCTTCAACTTTTTCGTGCCGTCCTTGGTGTTATTCAACACCCGCTTGACCAGCTGCTCCAAGTCGGACATATTGCGGGAGAGAGTGTGCTGAATCGGAGGCGTAGTAGAATCGCGTGAGTGAATTCTATTGTGCGGCCAACTACCTTTGCGCGGTCGTGGTGTTCGTCTCGGTGGGGTGCCTCATCATTTCAAGTGTCGCGGCTAAAGAGATCAACAAGGTGGCTCTTTTCGTACAAGTGTGTCACCACTACGTTTGACTTTTCTACAATGCGGTGCGAGCAAGAGGATCCATTCAGAACCTACACCGTAAAAGTTCTATACTTCCTCATGCCTCTATCCGTGGCATTAATTCCAATGGAATATCTTACGCGTTTGAGAGGATATTGAGTCGTGTGAGCCGACTGACAAACGCTGACACATTCACATTGGTGGATCTTCACTTTTTACAAAGAGAAAGACGGCGCTGCACTTTCAAGATTTGCATTTGCTCCGCCAACGTGCCCTTCTGACTGTTCTTCGTTTTAAAGCTGCTTCTTTGAATCGCACACGAAGCGTGGTGGAAATCTCAGATTATTACAAGTATCGGGGAAAACACAACGACAACAAAAGGCCGGAACTTCAACTTGTTGCTCATCTTCATCGCGAACAAGTACACATACAAAAGACAAAGTGTTGGATATTTATCTGCTTTTCGTTTGTTGGTATCGAAACAAACTTTAGCTTTCGCCCAGAAATGCTGGGGGGAGGGCTGAGGACAATCCTCGTCCAGAGTGTGCGTCTGCGTGATAGAAGTTCTTATCTACTATGCTAGCTCCTGGCTGAAAGTCTCGTATCGGTCAGGTGCACATCCTTCTGCACGAGGTCTATGGCAGAGTGGTAGAGAAATTTCAAAACATGTTCGTTGCAGTATGTGCGATGCGCGAAAACCAGATTTGAGGGTTGTATTGGATGTAGCGGGTGCTGGTCGAGGTTGGAGAGTAGAGTCCTGTGAGGTAGTTGTCGTGTTGTGGCGTTGGATCTACTGCTCCTTCCGCCGTATCGCCGCTTTTCTGTTTTCCACTCCTCCACTTTCTCCCATTCCATTTCGAAATATTCCAGGGACGCGTACGCAAATCCTTGCGCGGTAGGAAAAAACGCATCATAGCCAAACTTGGTGAGAAGTAGCGCAACGGCCTCTACGGACGACTTCCAAGACGCAGCCGCGGCTCCAGTTGCAGCTCCAGAATGCTCGGAGTGGTCGGTGGTTGTATCTGACACAATCTTCAACTGCAGCAGATTCCACTCGATCTGGAAGAGCGGGAAGCGCATTTGATTTATCTCGTTCTCCAGGTGCATACCTTTGACAATCTCAAGGTCCCAAAATTCCGCGTCCACAATCGTCAGAAAAGCCGGCATTGCGACATTTTCCTGTGACTTTGAGGGTGAAGATGTCCCTTCGGACGCAGCGGATGCGCCATCGATGCTTTTTGATGTACTTTCTCTTTCCCGCCGGGCTTTCATATTCATTCTGACTTCGACCTCTTGCATCACTTGTTCCAGGGTCTTGACTTCGACCATTTTCATTCTCTTCGCCACGTTATTTAGCTTCGTTGCAGATTGAACCTTCTTCGTGCTGAATTCGAGCTGGGCGATTTCATCGGAAATGTCATGTTGGACACGAAGGCCAACTTCTTTCTCCGAACGGGCTCCCCATCCGTAAGGATGAATCTCGATGCGCTGGCGTGTGGAAAAATGGCCATTCGTCTGTGTAAAAGGTTCTTCCCCAGGAGCCGCTTCTCTTTCATTGGTCGAAATACTTCTAGCCCGCTTGGGGACTTCTTCGGGCTCCATCTGCTCCGCCGGCTCCCCACGATCGAAAAAGCGCCGCTGCATTTTTTCAACTAATTCTTGTTGAATTTCGAATCCCAGCAGCAACTGCTTTTCTGGACAATAGGGCGGCGCACAGAAATTTCGCACGACATCCAACCAGTGCCCGTGGTTGGCCCCCGCGTTTAGAAAGAGCAGCTCGTCGACGCTCCCAGTTGTTCTGGGGTCGGGGTATCTTTGACACTTCTTGACGTTGTCACCGTCACGACGCAGCTGCTCTATATTACGCGGCTTTGGTTGTGGTTGAGTAGCATCCAGCAGCCATCCAGCGTGCTTTCCAACTTGATGATTGTCTTCCTGCGGTACTACTTGTGACGAGGAGCATGATGCTTCGACTTCCGAATTGATTTCGGCGTTGTGTTCTTGAGGCTCTCTGCGCTCCCCGGCGGAACGATGCTGCTCTGCGAAACCACGACGACTCGTGGAGAACGTGGTCTGACGTTGTTGTGACTCTAGCGCTAGTGCTTGCCGAAACCTCCTCCCCAAAGCGTCGATGCGCTGGTGCGGTTGCACGCGCTGCAGGGTGTCAGCTCTTTGATGGTTGCGATCATGCGGGAAGCGAAGCCACACATCCATGTTGCGAGAAGTAGAAGTAGATGGACAACTAGTAGAACCACTACCACTTGCAGCGGTGCTACAAGAAAAAGAATCGCTGCGTTTTTTGGTGTCCGTGCCCACACCCGGGAGGTGAACAGAAGGGGGAGCCGTCGTGTGCGTTCTTGCGTCAGGCGACAAACGAGCACGGACCGAAGTCGTTGAATTGAAGTTCACGAGCATGATACTTCGGTTTGTCAAAAGAATCATGTTGTCCATGTTCTCGTTCGCAATCCAGTTTTCGGCCATGTACAAATCTTCGTAAAGCAGCTGGCGCTTCGTTTCATCCCGCAGATGTCGGTCGCTCCGAGCCCAGCTGGAGCACATGTAGTAGCGCTGTATCGCCGCCACTTGCACCACGTAGCGAGCAGTCACGTGTGCATAGCACCTCCGGGCATGATGATCTTCGGCGCTCATGGAGTTTGCCGTAGTACTTGTTGACTCTACTGCAACATTGAAGGAAGGGACGAATTTTCGATAAAGCCTCGGCAAAAACTGGGTCAGTTGTGCCAGGTCAATAGCGTTGTTGTTATCCATGCTATCATCGTGGTGAACAGCGTGGTCGACCCTAGCGCCGGGACGACCAACAGCGCTTGCCCTAGCGGCGCCACCATTGTCGATGCTGCTTCCGACGTTTTTGTTGTGGTCGGGGTCCTCCTCGTCCCTTCGTCTACCCGCCAGTAGTGCGTCGATATTGTCCACTCCGCGGATCGCTGTAGCGGGAACCTGATTTCGCTGAACCGTGCGGAATATCAAATGCGAAAATGTCTGAGTCTGGAAGATTGCAACTTGTCATGCTAAATCTGCAGCATGCAAAAATCTGTGTTGCATGATTGCCAAAAGTCGCCCAGTTTTGAACAAGTCGGGAGGTAGTTTCTCATGCAGGATAGGCATTAGAATGGTCTCGCAGAATCTGTCATGCTAGGTCCGGCATTCCAGACCTCATAGGTCGTGGAAAAGCAGCATGACAAATCGCGCACTCTTCCAGACCCAGACATTTTTACATTTGATACGGAAGACTTGCTCGATCGCGAGTCGCGTTACAGCACCCGCAAACTCACGAGGACAGGTCCTCTGGAATGTCCGGGGATCTTCCGGCGGGCGCTTGCTTCCAGGCCGGCGTCGATTTTCGTTCACAAATTCAGTCACCTGCAGCACCGTACCGATCGCCTCCGAGCAAGGATCGGCTTGTCGGTTCGGGCTTGCTAGCGACTGCCACCTCTCCATTCCCGCGGTTGTCGCTACCGGCACAGAGGTAATCGGGTCCTCGTCGCGGCCCTTCGCATCTTCACCAGGGACACCAGCACCGTCCTCCGTTTTGCTGTTATCGCGAGCGACGCCGGTTGCTCCTTGTCTTTGCGAAACCAGCGGCGAGGACGAAGTAGAGACGGCGGTTTATTATATAGCCCCACAACCGGTGAATTGGAATCCTTCAAGAGCTGTGCTAGTGCTAAAAATGCCTTGATTGCGTCAATCAATGTGCTGTGCTCGAACGCACAGGAAAAACCATACGGATCTGGTAAGAAGGTCGATGAGAGCCTATAACTCAGCGTTTGTAGCAGCGAGGTTGAAAAACGTTGACGTTCACAACTCGGCTTTGCCGTTGCTTTCATGAATTAGCTGCAGAGAGCTTCTTCACATACACCACGAAGATTACGCATGGTGTTTTTATCTACGCGTGTGCGGACGAGCCAAGAGCACATTATCATTGATCTGCTTCGAGCGCTATCCGATCTTGCTTCGAGCGCTATCCGATCTTGCTAGTCCAATTCACGTTCGGTTTCGTACTTTTGTGCGCAGTTCCTTTGCCGCTTTTTGCGTAATCAGCCTGTGACCGCGTCCGCTGTCCGCCCTGGTGAATAGCCGTGGAAAACGAAAATGGTTAAAGCGTCGAGCAAACGACGCGAAGCTTTTGCTGCTAAGCTCGATCCTCAGGTCAGAGGTCCGGTTTGAAGAAGTTTCCACCGACTCGCTAGGCTTTTGCTTTCGCGTGGAAGTAGAAGTTGTCCCGGCTCCATTATGGCGCCGATAATAGGCCAAGGCGAAAAGGGAAGACCTTTGACAGCGTGTAGCAGACCAGTACCTTCTCGGGGCGGATTCTTGTGCCTTTGCCACCACTTCCGACGAGCCTTCAGCTGAAGCAGGAGCATCCAAAATTTGTCGCTGGAGCTCAGCGACATCGTGAAAATAGCCGCGGGACATGGCCGCAAGCAGTTCAATGACTGCGATGAAATCGTGCTTGTCCGCATCTTTGAACAGTTCTCGGTACAGGTCCTGCGACAGAAAAACCCCGTTAAACCGCGAGTCTGGCGGTAGATTAGGATGCACTGCGGGGTCCAGAAATTGCGGCTTCTGGCCGTTCCGAGTGACGCGCCGAATCTGATCGTCGTAGAATTTTGTAGCACGTGCAACTTTCTGCCCATGCAGCTCCACAGCGCGCCGCAAATCCTCGTTGGATGGAAGTTCGATAGTGGCTGCACCTACGCAACAAATTGCGAATAAACCAAGAAGATTCAAAACAAGAAGAAGCAGGTGGCTCATCATCCGTTCATAGGTTGATCAACAAAGATCAACAGACTTCAGTCAAGCATGCGAAGATAATTTTCGATGAAGTTGTGCGCATGCATCAGAGAGCGGATACCAATCCTAAAAGTTAATCAACTTGCAGCTTTGCGTGCAGTAGGCACAGATTGAAATGTCGCTAACCCTGCGTGACGCCTACAAAGAGCAACGCTTTCGTAGAAAAACCCTTACCGCATGCTGTTGCTATGGCCTCACGAGGGCCTCCACCATGGCAAACAGCCTGATAGATTAAAACGCTCGTACCCTCACTACGTATGACGAAGAACTTCGAAATGCCGACTATGATGCCATCGCGATTTTACTTCGCAACAGGTCGCAGCCACCAGCGCTGCAACAATTGATGTTGTACGAGGAGGCCTGTCGAATTCGATTTCGATTTGGATTTTCTTCATTCCAACTACAAAAAAGATTCAGATTGGTGGTAACAGTGAAACCACACCCGAACATCAGCAGGACATATCGTCAACACGTGCATCATCTTCCACTTTCACAGACACACTAAGTTATTGATGATGCGCCGAGGAACAGGAACGTTCCGTGACGGCGATGTCTGGGTCGTGTAGGAGCGTCCTCGCCGATGGCCGGGCTCATCTTCATTGTTGGTAAAATTGCGTTGAGTTATAATGTGTCAATCCGGCAGGGTCATCCAGAAGATCTTGCTGGCCCGCTGGTTCCGCTGACAAATCGAATGCAGCCGGCTCCATCATGTCGCCCGGACCACCCAGGTGGTCGTCCATTGCCGAACCCAGTAAACCCCCACCTGGCGGCATAATTCCTCCGTGCGGCGCTGCACTGGGACCGAGCAGAGGCGTGTCCCCGGCGTTCGAAAAAGACGAGGCTGCGCTTCCGCCCCCAGAGAATAGCGAGATAGAAGTGGCCGCGTTGTTGGTCAAGTTAAAGCTGATTCTGTCTAGGCTCTCCAACCACTTGCCCATTTCCAACTGTCGTGCCTGCTGCAGATCCTGGACTAGAGTTTTCCTCTTGGAGGAGTTGTCGTCTTTCGTGTCTTCCTCTTCCTCCTCCTCGTCGGGCATTCGGACACGCACGAGAAATCCCGTGACTTCGTCTACAAGGCAGTTGTCTAGCCGGCCGTTGAGTATCAGGGTTTTCACGAGGTGCAGCGTTTCTGCCTCGGGCACCTCCAGCAGATTCGCGAGGTAGGACAGCGATATTTTTTGGTACGCCGTGAGGAGGTGCAACACAATGCCCGACCTCGTCACACTTCTCAACTCTTGTTCAAAGTCCGCGAAAATCTCCTTCTCCGTCTGCAAAAAGTGTGCCAAGTGTTCGTTCAGTCCGTCCACGTCGTTTGTCTCTACCGCTTGCCGCAGTTGAATCAGTTTCTTCAGCTCCGGATCTTCGGCGTACACCTTGGCCTCCCGACTGTCGAAGGGGTTGATATCCGAGCAGGCCAGCATGTTGCTGAGGATCACAAACTTCAGCATCAGCTTGGCCTTGCTCCCGTTGCCGAGCGCCTGGTAGGTCTGGAAGGCCTCGAAAAACTCGTTGTAGGCTTGGAGCCACTGCTTTTCCCGCATGTACAGGTAGCGCCCTCCGATCTCCCGGATGACGGCGAGGTTCCGCGGGTCTGCGATCGCGGACGTGAGCTCGATGGTTTTGGGATACAACTCCTTCAACCGTTGGAAATCTTGGATCAGTGCCGCGAACTGGATCTCCACAGCGTAAATTTCGATCCACTGCGTGCTGTTAGTTTGCAATAAGTTATTGTGTGAAGACGTAGTTGATGTTGTAGTTGTCCCTGCTCCAGATCCAGCAGAAGTGCTGTTATTTCTGTCGATTACGCTGTAGATTTTTGGAATCAACCGCTTCAGGCTCCCGCGGTCCTGCTCATTGCCGCTTTTCTCGAAGGATTGCAAATGCAGTTTGCACAACTTTATCACGGAGGAGAGCCAAAGGGAAAACTGATTGTCGTCTTTCTCCAGGTGGTCCAAAGTCATTTCATACATCTCGATCAGTATCACTGGCAACGCACCCGCCGGCTGGTTTATTTTGCTGCCGTGTAATGATGGTGGTGCTGCACCATCTACGCACACTTCGCTAGTACCTTGCAGCAGCAGAAGGGGTTGGAGAATTTGATCGAGAATCGAGTTTACGGCCTCCTGCGCGTCATTTCTGCTCACCGACCCCAACAGCGAGAGCACCTCGCGCATGGTGTTGCGCATCGTGTCGGTTTGGCCGACGCGCGCCGCAAGAATCACGATGTTCTGCAGAGATTTGAACTTCCACTGCTCGTTGCTCTGTCGGCCGCCGCCGCCATTCTTTCGCTGCCGCTCGTTGTCCAAAGATACCACCTTCTGAAACTGCTGCAGCGCATGCGCGGGGTTGTTGAGCTTGTGATCATCCGCCTCGTAAAAATGGTTCTCGATCGCAATAGCGTCCTCATCCTCATCTTCGTCCTGTGTAATCTCGCCATCCGACTCGAACTCGAATTCCTGTTCGCTATCCGACATTATTTCTTTTTTCTGCTTGAAATACGAAAATTCTAGCTAGATCATTGAGAAAAAGAGAAGGAATCGAAAACGAATACTAAGATAACACACACAGGTCACATATTAACTTGTTGATAAGGGTCAAACTGGTACTAGACCTACTCTAGACAATAGCAGAACAACCATATCTGCAGGCGTTAATATCGTCTTGATTTATACCACAAGACTCATGCTATGTTGCGGTCGAATACGGACTGCAATAATTCATTGTTGCAAGACAGACACATACACAGGATCAGATTGTGGTTCGACCGATGAAGCTGTGCCCGCTACTGCCTTCAGATTACAAAGAGCTTCTATCCTATCGCCTGTGTCTGCGTGATCTGCTACGCAGCAAGCCTGGGCCTGCCGAGGCGAAACAATACAACAAGTAACGACGATGCCAAGTCGAAGTCAAGTTGTCGCCGCGACCGCGATTTTTAACCTACCTCAGGGAGGACGACGGATCTAGTACACTAACACGCATCTTTGGCTGTTCGCGATGAAGAAAAGTTGTAGGCGATCTTTTCTTGATGTTGGAACGAACACACATGCTGCATGTGCCTGTCGCACATTTGCACAAGAGACGACTAAAGCAGAAACTGAGGATGCTGGTCCTCTAGCAGCTTATGGCTTTGCTTTTGGGATTGTGTATCTATAGATTGTTTCAAAACGCCCATGGTAGGCATGGGATGCACCTAAATTACATCTTCTAGAAACCAGTTATTTTGATGTCGAGCAGGTCGCTGCCGCTGCGACAGATGCTGCATTCTTTGTTCATTCGCCCGGGAAGATAAATGAATCATACAAGAAGAAACAAGCGTCTCGATCTTGTTGCGGCAAGTGCATTCATTTCTTATTCTTTTTTTCTTACGACAGAAAAGTGCCGGAAATAACAAAAAATCACAGCACTGCTTTGACATTTCACTTATTCTTTTTGCCGTTGTTTCTAAATCATTTTACATGTACTCGAGAAGAAGCACTTCGACGTAAGGCAGACCGCCCCAGGTGATAGCTCGCCCTACTTCCTGCGTAGTATTTTCGCAGAAATGTAGTATGTCACGGGCTAGTTTTTGCAGTGTCAGCATTTCGGCATGCGCGTCGGCTTCTTCACCTTGATCTACTTCCTGATGCAGTTGTTCTTGGAACTTTTGGCTCTTCCCAAAGAAGAAATCGCCCGACATAATCGACGTCCGATCATTTTTGCTTGTTGGAGATGAAGTAGAACCTCCTCGCGTCGTTGTATTCAACATTTCCTTGGACTTCTCGAATTGCTTCGCCTGGAGTTGTATCAAGTGCAAAAGTATCGCACTCGTACTAATTGCAAATATGCATGACAAATCTCCCTCCTAAGTTAAAACAGCATTACAAATTTCACTTTTGTTCTTGCTAAAATTTGTAATGCAATTAATTTACTAGTACGTTACTTTTGCAATGCATATGTTGATACTTCAACTCCTCCCGCAGATGGATTTTCTCGTATATCTGCGGGCAAGCCAGGTACTATCAAAAGCAAAAGTGTCTGGGTCTGGAAACTTGTGACGCTGGGTGGCGTCTCATGATGAGGCTACAAATGCTGGCTCAGCATGACAAATTTCTGAGCTCCTAGGTGTTGCCTATTCTGCATGACAAACTGCGCTTCTGCATCACAGAAAAACGGAGCTCTTGGGTAACGTGCATGACAGATTTAAGAGTCATGCCAGACAAGCATGACAGACATGAATTCTTCCAGACCCAGACACTCCTACATTTGATAGGTACTTCTTCGTCGCCATTTCGGCGGCTTTTGTCAACGCAGCGTCGATCTTCTGGAGCACTTTGCGTTCGTCGTGCTTCACGCTGGCGGCCGTCGTTTTTGCGTGGTGCAGGGCCGCGCGGACCGCGTCCATTCTGATGCCGAAGGACTCGTGGAGCCGGGCGAAGGCGGCATCAAATTGCTGCAGCCCGTATCATGGGGAAAATGACACCCATACAACCAGAAATTAAGTTGTAGTTGCAATTGTCTCAGAAGTCTTCTTCACTCTGTGACGCGGAGACTACAAGATGACCGGCAATCTTGATGTGCTGGCCTGCTGCGGAATGCAGTTCGTGATGCAAGTTAGCGACTAAAAACGAGGTGGCAAGAAAATCTGTAGGCCAAAAAGAGGCTAGTTTTGTCTTTGTGACACCAACAACTGCAACGCAAATTTGTGTTTTTCCTGGTGTGTCGTGTAGTTTTGTGTGATAGCCCGGTGAAGGCGAAAGGTTGCGGCATTTTTTTGAGCTTGGTTGCATCGGTCGATGTTGAAGACGAGGTGGAAGTAGAACCTCTACCGCTTGCTCCGCTCGCTTTCGTCGAGGGTGAGCAGAACGTTTCTTGAAGCCGTCGCATCTTTTTTGTGTACTCCCGCTTTTGACGGACCTCCTCCGCGTAAATGAGTTCGTGCTTTATCCGTAGTTGTTCGACATCTTGTTGTTCCGCCGGCAGGCAGCCAAGGGTTTCGGCGCCATACGTATCCCTACCTCTGTCAGTGCCATGTACATGAACATGCTGCAGGTGTGGCTCTAGCCGCAGCAGATTTTTGCACCGATCTTGAATGCTCCTGCTTCTTTGCCGTAGTATTTTGCGGTCATCTCGGACTCGGTCCATTCTGGCGGTCAGAAAATTGTTCATGGGCAGCTGCTCGGGCGGAAGCCAGGAACGTGCAGGTGGACGAAAAACTTCAGAAATAAACGTTGGCCGATTATACGTAGCTGCAGCGAAGGTCCTGATTTCCTTCGGTTGTCGTCCCATTTCCCCACTAGAGCAGCCAGGAGCAGGATCGTGTTGAGGTTGACCATCCCCAAGCCCGGCAATCGGAGAAATTCTACTCGCTGTGGCACTTATTGATGGCGGGCCCGGACAGGAATACGATGGCTTCAGCATTCTATTTGTTGGTCGTGCCTGTGCTGGAGGAGGACGGGACTCCACTGTCGCGACCTTCGCGACTTCCTCCGCTATGGTTTCCCGGCGGCTGCGCGAGCTTTCTGTCGCAGCGGCAAAGTGAAAAGCAGGCCTACTGATTCCAGTCGACCGTGTGCGGAAACGCGGCGGTTGCTGTGGGAAGGAGCTTCGCGGATTTTCGGAGCTGTCGCGACGCACGACTAGAGTACTAGAAGGACCCTGCACTTGTCGTTGGCCCTCATGTTGCCCTCCAAATGCGGATTCGTAAAACAGAAAGTTCTGCGTCTGGTGACTGTGCTGATTCGGTTGCGAGGCCTGTTCTGCTGCTGTGGATCGGGTGGTAGCGCGACGAACAAGCCCATCACGATGATTGCAATATTTTTTATTTTCGACAGCCACAGCATGAGCATTGTTGTTGATATTTTTGCGACCGTAGTCTTCATGGGAGACGCCTCGTCTGGTATGTAGTACTTCGGAGTCAATATTATTTCCCTTGGTCGTCTTTATCGCCATCAGTTGGCTCTCCAGCGCAGCCATGCGCTGGTGCCATGATTCCAAGACGGCGTCCAAATTACCCGTGAATTTCTCGAACAGGACATCCAGCAGCCGGGTATTCTCCTGTTTCCCGCCTGCCGCCCCGTCCAGTGCGCTGTCACGCAGGCGATCTAACTCCTCGAAAAGCTGTGCGACATCCGTCATTCGTGTAGCTCGCTGTTATTTGGGAGATACACGTAGTTGGGCACTTCTTGCACCGGTCGTGTCGGGGAGGCCTGTCGTGGTGCTGAAACACAAGCAGAAGCAGGTTCGGATTCCTCGGCGGGTCATAATACAAATACTACTGAAGGCTTTACATTTTCTTTTCAATTTCCAGGTGAGCTTTGTTTTACCACATAATTATGCGACTAGAATTATACCCACTTTCTTACACAACCAACAGGTCTTCGATGCAGGGTTTGAAGCGGATTATAGTCGATTCAACATCACGAGGAAGCCGAAGCCCCATTCTCAAACAACTCAATCGAATCATAAATCAGACAGTAGCAGTACTCAAATTGATATTTCGCGTTGCGAAAGCGAAGGGGCGTCAATACTGCCGACGAGGACGAAATTTGATGAAATTGAATGCTCTACTTCGACGACGCAAACTAACAATAAGAGAAGCGAGGAAAGCTCCACTGGGTCTGGGACCCACGAATGAACAAACGAAATAGGCTCGTAATCGAAAATCCTAATAGTGAGCGAATGCGAAGGTAGGAAAAGCACCTTCTTACTTTATCGCTTTATTCGTTTCAATAAAATACAGGCTTTCTTGTTTTTTCGCTTTGATTTCTTTTCGTGTTGTCTATGTTCGCTGCTTGCGCTTGCCTTCGTCATGTTCATTCGATGAATGTGATTGTGAAGCACCTACAACATGCAGCAGCAAGAAGAGCATGAGCAATCAAGCTGATGCTGATAATGCGTATGCTAGCACTCAGGTGCGTGCAGTGGTAGGTGTCCTCAAGCTCAAAAACACAACAGAAAAAAGCTCGTAGTGAGGACTGTGACACAGGCACGGCGACGTCCAGAACTAGTAATCTCTTCATGATGAGTGCCGCATTTGAAGATATGCTGGGCTCGGGTGCTGGGTCTACTGGTGCTGGGTCATCTTGGTGGGTCGCGGGAGTAGCATCGAGAATACTAGAACAGGTAATACGAGCTTCTGGTGTGATTCATGTGGTAGAAAATGGCGATCAGAGCAGCTGCAGAGATAGTACTATGTGATTTGCCGCGGCGTCGTCCACTTATCACCTGTCTAGTACGGTGCGTACTTTCCTTTCCCCTTGGCCTTCTTCCCACCCCAAGCGGGAGCATAGCTTGCGGCGTACCTTTTCATTAGTATATTTCATTTTCTATTCTTGACTGAGCTATTAAGATTGGCTTCTGACAAAGAGAACAGCAATTCTACGCATCGTTCTTGTCAACGTATGTTGTTTGTTGTAAGTGGTCGTGATACTAGTTGTAGGTCATCATGCCGGCGCTACCACCATTCAATCATGCGTCTGACTTCATCTCCACCTATCGTACCAAATAAAACAAGCCTCAAGAAGAAAAGCAAAATTCAAATTGAGTATTAAAGGTGGTCCTAGTACCCGCCTTTCTTGCCCTTGCCTTTGACGCCCTTCCCGGATTTGCCTTTACTGGACTTGTTGTAACCAGGAACGTTTGATCGCTTGGGCATAACCTTGAGCTGTCGTCCGCGGAAAAGACTGTCGTTTAGCAGAGTCGCGTTCTGCACGTGCGCTACATCTGCAAATTCCATGTACGCGAAGCCTGTGGAAAAATTAAGACATCACTTCATGTTCATAATTGCATCAAATTATAAAATCTAGATCCAGGAGGTCCCCACCAGTTCCAGTTCTACTGAGAAGCAGCTCAGTACCATTGGTCCAGCCGAGCGCTCGGCGCGTCCAGGTTTTCGTCAAAACGCAAAATGAAATTTTTTTCATTGCATAGTAGTGTCCTTTTATTTGATGTCAACATCATAAGTTCAAAAATTATATATATTCTGTTTATTTTTACCTTTTGGGCAGCAGGTGTATTTGTCGACCATGATTGTGATTCGGTTAATGCTGCCGCAGGATTTGAAGTGCTCCTGCAGTTCCTCCGGGGTGGCACCGTAGTCGACGTTTCCCACGTAGACCGATCGCGCGTCCGTTTCAAGCGAAGTTCCGGCTTCGTTCAGGTCAACGTCCTGCTTCTCGGAAAGGTCCTTCACAGCGGCGGTCTCCTTCTCCATGTATTCCATCTCTTGTTCCAGTTCCTGTTTTTAACATCATAGCAGACATACTTATTTTGAGAGGACGATCCAGCGAAGAACTGGCACTGGGAGGAGATGTGCTGCGACATCATGCGTGGCGAAGAAGATGCGAACGGTTTCTCGTAAAAAATGTAATTTTGTCTGGGCGGTTGGCGAACGATGAAGGCTCTTTTCTTGTTTCGACGGAGATGAGGTGGTAGGAACCACGACCCATGTTGCACGCTGACCAAGCGGGAACGGCAAACCTCCGTGAGAAGCCTGGAGAAGATGGTGCTCGCGACTGCTCAGCGCAATGCGAGAGAAACGTCAAAGAGGTCCATCCTGGTCGTGCTTGATTTCATCGCTGGTGTAACTTGTTTCTTTTTGTGGTGGCATGCAGATTCATCTGCATTTGGTGATTGTTTTCTTTTTTTTTGTTGCTGTTGGGGCTTTTGTCCTTCTCTGCCGGGGTTTTTTCCTTTTTTTTTTTGCAGATGATGCCTGTCACATTTTTCAAGTTCACCACTGGCTTTATTCTTTTTTTTTTCACCCGGTTCTTTTCTTTTCATTTCTTTGACGGACTGGGGCGGCCCTCTTTTTTTCTTTTCTTTTTTTTGAGCCCTCTTGAGTTTTTTTTTGAAATGTGTGCCACCAGGCAAATCAGCAGTGCTCAGCCGAGCGCTCTGTTGATAGCAGCTTACTGCCACAACTGGTTGCTCGATGTTGAAAAAGGTAAATTTAAAATTCGTTTTTCACTAATGTTGGTAAAAAAGTGCTCGAAGCAGTCAGGTGACATTACGGGCTTCGGTGCGTGGGAGCCACTTCATGCATCACCACATACGGTAGATTGAAATTTTACATTTTCATTTTGCCTTTTAAATATGGCCAAGAAGATGTAGCAAACTGCTCTGGAGGTTTCTCCTATGTCAGATGTAAGGAAGTCAACTACGAGGAGTTCGTGTTATAGAAATACCTGGATCTCATGGTCTATGCTTTCGGCGGAGTTCATCTCTGCTTCTGACCCGGCGGCGACTACCTGCACCGATCCGGTAGCTCCAGCTGCTGCGTCGGATGACATGTTTGCCTTTGGTCCACCTTCCGTCTTCAAAAAATAAAGAAACAAAAGAACAACTACTGTATACTTCGTCTTCAAGTGGGAGCGAAGCCGAATAATGCAACAACTTCTGCAAGAACTTCTAGTTGGGCAACGATCACCTGACACAGGAGGTAGTTACAGGTGTATTAGTACCTATCTTTTTACTGTAGTAGAAGTGGACGAGAAGTACCACTTACGGCCTCATGTAGATACATATGTACGGCACGACCCTGCACTGACTTTTTTGCTAGTGCTACGTAATTTGCTTGATGTGATAATCAAAACAGAGTCAGTATGATCGGTAATTTTTCATACGCATGTAGGCACCTGAGTAAGTACCTCCAAAATTCTACGATTGGTCGTACCTTCATGCATTTAGATTTGCATGGTCCTGGTCTTAGTCCTACAGCGTTCTTACAAAAACATTTTTGTCGGGCATTTCATCTTTGATATGATCTTCTTCCATTTTGATTTTACAACTTTGTGCTCCGGGCTGGGATGAATACGGCCGAACTTGCTGCTTTGGCAGTTTTGACTGTGGACTGTCAATGTTGTCGTCTACGTCTTCGCAAACATGCATTTTTGGCTGGGGCTGCGGATCGATTTTCTGTCGAGTTTTTGTTGAAGACAGCAGATTTCTGTTTTTTTTTGTTGGAACTTTGTCGATTTTTCGGCAGTGATGATACAAATCTGCGCTCCGAGCAGGAGAACTCGGTATTCAATGGGAGACCAAGAACGTAGTGCACATAGCACTAACGAAAGATACTGTCGCGGCACAGGCGCTCGTGCTTAATATGTGTTGATGTCGCTAGAAGAGGACACATCAGCTGTATTTCTATTTCCTGGAACTACTGCAGCATCTACATAATGATGAAATAGAACTGTTGAATCTGCAGCATAATTGCTATATGTAGCTGCCAGGAAAAGAAGTAGATCAAGAGAGCCTCAGTCACTCTCTTCTTCTTCATCGTCGTCATAATTCATGACTACCTTTGGCTTCACTGCTTTTTTGTCTTTCTCCTTGATCACGTTCTCCTTCGTTGCGCCAGCCCCAGTTGCAGCGGCGCCAGCGCCACTGCTTGTGGCTTCATTGCTATTTCTTGTGCTGGTTGCTGTAAACGTCTCTATTTTGACGTGTTTCCGGGGACAGCTGTCTCCCTTGTTGCATCCGCGCTTCGTGTTGAAATGGAAGCAAATGTTCCGGTCGATTGCCAGACACCTGTCGTAGATGTCTTTTTCCTCTTCCGACAAGCGCCAGTAGAACTCCGGGCGATCGAGCTGGGCCCGCTGTTGCGCCTTGTCTATTGCCGCCTGCCGTATTCGTTGCTCCTCGGCTTTTTCCTCGGCCAGCCGTTTTTGCCGCTTCTCTTCCTTCTCCTTCGAGAGTTTGAACGTTATGGGCTTGTCCGCATCCGCGAACTTTTCCTTGGCCTCCTGCTCGGCCCGCATCCGCTGCTCCTGTAGCTTCCGAGCCATCTTCTGGTCGAACTCACTCATGCCCGTGTCCGCGCCGGTTTCTTCGTCGACAAAAAGGGCCTCGTGGATGTCGTCTTCGAACTCGTTGTCGTTTTCCTCCGCGAGTCGTCTCCTCTTCGCCTATCCTGTGCAAAAGTATCGTACTAATCGCATTCGTGCAATACAAATTTCTTTCTCAAGTTAAATCCGCATTACAAATTTTCTTTCTCATGCTGACGAAATTTGTCATGCGATTTATACTAGTACGATGCTTTTGCATTTCATATCGCCGTCTTATCCTCGATGTCGTGCTCCTTTTGCGCCAGCTGCTGCTTTATCAAATGTAAAAATCCCTGGATGTCTGGAAATTTGTGATGCTGTGTGGCATATCATGAGGAGGCCACAATTTTTGCTGGCTCAGCATGACAAGTTTCTAAGCTTCTAGGTGTTGCCTATTCTGCATGACAAACTACGTTTCTGCATGACAGAAAAGTGGGGCTCTTTGGTAATGTGCGTGACAGATTTAAGAGTCATGCCAGACAAGCATGACAAACTCGCATTTTTCCAGACCCAGACATTTTTACATTTGATATGCTTGATTTTCTGCAGAAACGGCGCCCCCGCGGCAGATCGGGTGATGTTGGCGCGAGACCCGCCTCCCCCGCCCGCGGAAAGACCGCCGCCCCCCTTGCCGCTCTTGCCTTTGCCCTTACCGGAACGGGCACCCTCGTCAAAATCCATCATCTGATTGATGTCGCCCATGGTCTGGTGCGTTATTAATTTTGTTCGAGTTCGTTCTTCGATTCAGAAAGTGAAAGAAGAAACTTGATGGCACTGGTGGTAGTCGAGGCGAACTACTTCAACAAAGGAAAATGACAAGAAGCCAGCGGATGCGTACTACGACAACTTCATCGAGGTCCCAAAAAACAAAAAGTCATCGAATTCGATCTAAATGTCGTACACAATGGTAGCATCTAAGGAAATAAATAGCGCATCATTATAGCCGCCCGTCCTCCTAGTAGATCCGGCAATAGAGGCAAGGAAAAGAAAAACTCCACGAAATACTAGACCTGGAAAGATATTTCATTTAATTTTCACGTTTGATACATCGCTTGAGCGATTTCATGGGGCGTGTGCGTGTGTGATACAAGGAAACAAATTTCAGTTCGAATTCTACGACTTAGAGAGCCGATAGCAAATAGAAGTCTTTCATCTGGTGCACGTACATCATTTCTTTATCCTTGGTTGTATTGTTGACAATTTGTTTGCAGCCTAACACGATGTTTTAATTTGCGATCTTCACGAAATTCCTTCACGATACCACGCTTTTTCGAACCAGGGAGATTTGATGTGAAGGATTCGACAAAAACATTACATCGTTCTTTGGCGCACACACTCATGCATCGTTTGCAGTCTTCTCAGTGAGAGACAAAACTGGGGCTGCGGCCGCGTCAAAATCAATACCTTGTATACGACACCTGGATAATAGCAATTCGCTTTGTTTGTTTTGTTGTGATTGCGCAGTGTTCCATCTGGTTCCGGGGATGAAAGAATGAGGGGTACCCAATTGTGGAAAAGAAAAGCTGACAGGGCTATGGCGAGCAGATCCGCCTCTGCCCGTCAATAATTGAAAGGATAAGGAACAGGAAGCGCACATCCGTCCCGCTGTATTGAAATTGATTTCGAAATTGTAATCTACTTAAACGCCATGTGAACATGAACAAGCAAAGTAAGTATTAATTACTACAACCTATATATATGCATGATTGATGGTTAAGGTTATGCTTATGATGGTAAATGAGAAATTATATTCAGATTCAGATTCAGATTGAGCCGTGTCGACATCACAAAAATAACACAGAACAGGGTATGCCGGTGCTACTTTTTGATCTGACTCAGCGGCCATGGTAGGTCATGAACTTGAGCGAAAAAAAAAAATGAATACGAAGACTTTTCGGAGAGGATAAAACCAACCTCCAGAAAGAATGCAAATGCTTAGCCAGTCGGACTGGGCCCGAAAGATTTGATCCAGCCGCGCTGCAAGGTTGGGTGCCACATGAACGGCGAAATCGGTTCCAGCAAGACCGGTTTTTCCCGCCAGAATTTCCGGTCCACCTCGTACTGCTCGGGTTGCGGGTGCAGGTATTTCGGCTTGAGCGGGTGCTGGACGTTTTTCGGCGGCGGGTGACGCACGTGCGGCGGGTACATGCCTTCCACCCCCGGGACGGCCCAAAAGGGGATGTTCCGCTGCCACAAGATGTGCGACTTGCGGTTTTCCGGCTTCGGCCGGCGGTTGCGCAGCATCTCCTCGACGCCCTCGTGCATGGTGTCCAGCTTCCGCTGCTTTTCCACCGCCCGTTCGTGGATCTGGTCCTGACTCGGCTGCGTCTGCTTCGACATCACCTCGGCGCAGTACTGTTCGTGATCGTTTTTGTACATGAACCGATTGTCGAAGGTCTGGTCCACCGACGTCGCGGCGCGCTTCTCGACGGCGATCATGGCCTTGCGCTTCGCAAGTTCGTCCTCCGGGGTCTCCTCCGCCAACTCCATGTCGAACACCTCCAAAAACATGATCTCGGACGGCGTCACGGAGCCCCCGCCGTCCAAGTCGAGCAGCTGCAGGAGCTCGCTGCAGTTCTCCTTCCAGCCGCCGATGCGGAGGCGCTCCCGGAACTCCAGCAGCCCCATGTCCTTCCTCCCTTCCTTGATCCCGCCCTCGAGGAACTTCATGGCCGCCTCGAAGGAGCGGAACCGGCCGTGGACCCACTGGAAAAAGGGCTGCAGCAGCTCCACGGTTCGGGGGGAGAAGTCCTGCAGGGTGATGTAGCCGCGGCGGTGCGTGTCCAGCGCGCGCCACGCGCCCGGCAGTCGCTTGTCCAGATGCTCCCACCGGATGTGTTTCAGGGCGTCGTAGATCTCCGTCCACGTCACCTTGTTACTCGCGTCGGCGTTATCAAATGCAAAAGTGTCTGGGTCTGGAAGATTGTCATGCTAGTCTGGCATGACTCTGCACTCTGGATTGCGCGGCCACCAAGAGGTCCTCTTGCCTGTCATGCAAAAGCGCAGTTTCTCATGCGAAATACGCATCACAGAAGCACGAAAAAAATTGTCATGCTTGGCGGCGCATTACAGAGCACTTATTGTTCACGGACTTGCATCACAAGTTTCCAGACCCAGACATTTTTGCATTTGATAGGCGTCCATCGTCCGCCACACCGCGAGGTCGTTGTTGTAGTTCTCCTCGCGGAGACACTTGATCAGGTTATGACAGTGCACAACTCCCCCTCACCCTCATTTGTAATGCAAAAGACCCAATCCACCCTTTGCCTCTTGGCACTGTTTGCATGACAAGTTCTGGTAGCCCAGATAGCACAATAATCCGTGCAAATTTGTCATGCAAAGCCGGCACTCTTGCTGATGCTTGTATTGCCGTTCATGCAATACAAATGAGGGTGAGGGGGAGTTGTGCACTATCATACAGGTCGTGCTTCGAGTAAAAGTCTGGCAGGGCGAGCAGCCACGGCTGCGGCGTCCAGTGCCGGAGCCAGTTCAGGTCGTCTGGGTAGAGGAAGCGGTCGCCCTTCGCGTCCGCGCCCACGGAGAAGAAGAGCTCGCGGAAAAACTTCTTGCGGTTCTCCAGGTACATCGAAAAGGGGTCGGTGAACTGCAGCAGCTGGGTCGTTAAATCCTCCACGTCCTGTTCATGCTCCGACACGTCGTCGCCCTCGATAAAGCCGTGGGTGACCACCAGCTCCGCGACCTCCCGGTGGATGTTCTTCACCAGCAGGTCCCCGTCGATGGGTTCGCCCGCGTCCTCGAACTTGGGCGCCCAGAAAAGCAGCTTCTGGTACCCGGAAAGCCGCTCCAGCTTCTGGATTCCCTCCCGCTCGCGGTCGGCGCGCGCGACCTCGCGCTGCCACGCTTCCTTCAGCATGGCCGCAACCGACCGGTTGGTGCTGTTCAGGTTCCGGAGCGCGACGGGGCCGCGCAGCAACCCGCTGCAGCGCTGGTTGCGAACCTTCTCCCACAGCGACTTGCCGCTGCGGTGCTTGGGGGCTGCCCCGGGCTTGTTGTGGACCTCCGGGACGTACTTCATTTCCAATATTGTCGCTTTCCGTTTCGTCTCCTTTTTCTTGTACGCGGCCCGTCGGGCCAGCCGCTGCCGTTGTAACGATTGGATTTTGATAGCCGCGCGCTCCTGCTGGAGCAGGTACAGTGCCTCTTCGTCCATCTCTGCCTCTGCGGCCTTTTGTGCGTCCGCTTGCTCCTGCTTCATGCGCTCGTGCTCCTCTTCCCTTACTTTCAGTTTCGCTAACTTCTCCTCGTGGAGCCGCTGTTCCTCGTCTTCGGCATTTTCCGGCTCAGCCTGCGCGTTCAACCCGGTCGGGATGTCATCGACGCTCGTCGCCGCGTTCATCACGATGGGCTCGTGTTTCGGAGTTTTCCCTTCCACAACGACGTCGGGCTCCTCAACGAAAGACACCCGCGCGGAAGAGTGCATAGTTTCGGGGTGCTCTTCTGTATCTATGATCTGTGGTGCTCCTGGCGAAGGAGAGTCGTCGTCTATGGCGGGGGGCGCCGCTTGTCCTCCTTCATCATCACCTTCAGCAGCCACAGCTGGCTCGCCGGCTGCTTCGAGAACCTCTGCAGAAGCGGCCTCATCGTCTTCCACGGTACTTGTAGCTGCAACTGGCTCGCCGGTCGTGGTCTCTGGAGCTGGACTTTCAATGGCTTCTACTGCCGGCGTCTCTTGTGTAGCGGAGGTCGATGGAGCGCCGTCAGTTGCTATTTGTATTTCCGCGCCGCCTTCAGCAGCTGCGCCGGTGTCTTCCGCGTCGGCGATTTGATTTTCGTCCACGGCCTCGTCGTTTTGTTCGGCGACCTGTGTCTGTTCTGCCGAGGCTTCGGTCGTGTCTACGGACCCGACCGCCCCAGGAGTTTCCTCGGTCGTTTGCGGAGGTACCACCTCGCTGGACGGGCTCGGGGAGCCCTCGGCAACTGCATCAACATTTTCTACGCTCTCTGCTCCTGGGCCCTTCGCTGCGTCAGGTTCAGCTGCGCCTGCTTCACCAGTAACTTCTGCTTCTTGGGCTACATCAGTCGGAGCCGCCTCGGCATCGGCGGCCTCTCCTGGGTTGATTGCTTCCGGACTACCAGTAGCCTCACCTTTAGCCACAGCAGCAGCTGCGACGCCCTCTGACGCCTGCTGTTCGTCATGTTCTTCGGCAGTCGGCGCCTCACGTGGTTGCGTAGTTTCGTGCTGTTCTGCCTCTTCCATATGCTGTTCTTCAGCTGCATCATCTACGATGGCAGGGAGCTCTTCTTCAGCATCAGGAGCGGAAACGCCGGCACTTGCGTCAGCAGACTCGTCGGCTACTTTATTTTCACTACCCTCTATTCCTTCCTGTAGTAGTTCACCCTGGGTTGATTCAGCGGCCGGCGCTGGCACTATGGTCTCTTCAGTAGGAGCTGGTGCTTCTATCTGCTCTGGATCTACTTCCTCTGCAGCAGCTGGCGCGGTGTCACTCTCACCTCCAGCAGCATGCTGCCCTTCGGTGCCAGCTGTTGAGGCCGGCGCCCCTCCCGCGTCTACCTCCTCCAGGTCGGCGTGCATCTCCTTGAAGACGTTGCTTGCCTCCTCCTTCCTCTTCTCCTGAGCTTCGGCCTCTGCTTTCTCGATTTGCATTCGCTGCTGTTTCAGAAACTTTCCCAGCTCGCGCTTTTTCTGCTTGTTATCGACCTTGTTCGTCGTCCCAGATTTTTTCATCACCTCTTCCAAGTGGTCTGCCACCCGGAACCGTCGCGTTTTCCACGCGTCGGAAGCCATGTCAAAGTTGGATTTCATGGACCCTCTCGCGGACCGCTTCTTCAGCAAGTCGATCGCGAGCTCAATCAGGGGCTGAAAAATTGCGTATCAAAATGAAAAATCCCCCCACCCCATACTCAAACTAGAAATTTGTGATGCAGATTTGTGGTCACAAATCAGCTTTGTCATGCTAAAAGGGACAAGATGCGGACTGTAGTTCTGGTTGGCCTGGGAGAGCCTTGCACCTTCAGCATGACAGGGGGCAGCTGGAAGTGGGAAACAGCATGACAAATTGCCTGCAAACGAGGCCACAGCTGCGTCTCTTGGCCTTCTAGCATTACAAGTCGATTTGTGTACTCAAATACAGCATCACAAATTTCGTTTTCGATATGGGGAGGGGGGATTTTTCCTTTTGATATTGCGGCTATCGAGATCACCGGCCGGAAGTCCATCTGAATCAGGATGTCCACGAACTGGTGTTCGGTCAGGTGGCCCACTTTGCGGTCCTGCCACCGGAACAAATGCAGGACCAGTTCCGTCTGGCAGGAAAACCTTGAACGAAACCAGGCCTGAAACTGCCCCATCCCGATGGAAGCGTCCAGCGACCACTCATCCACGGACAGGTCGCCTGTTTTGATGTTTTCGAGCGAGCAATTTGTTGAATTTTCATTTTGATTTTCGCGACACGCATAATAAAGCAATCCGAATCTCTTTATTCCCTGGTATTTTTTTTCATCCAATAAGCAAAATAAACCGTATTGAAGAGACGCATTGCACGACCATTTACCTGACTCGTCCTTATCGTAAAAGCTCCAGGCCGCGCGTCGGTCCCCGGTGTAGCCAATGGATGCGCACCACTTCATGAATTCGATTCTGGACACCTGCATGGAGCGATCGTTGTCAATCTCCAGCCAGGCTCGCATCTTGTGGCCGTATTTTTGCATAATCCACTGCTCCAACTGTTCCGCCGCCTTTCTGCGTCGCTTGTTCAACCGGCGCAGCTGGGCCATCTTGAACTCAAACCTTGACATGAGCTGCATAGCCGCTCCGGGGGCCATCGCGGCCTTCTCCCGGTCCTATTGTGAGGAAAAATCCCCCCTCCCCATATCGAAAAGGTGTGTGTCCGAAAATTTGCGTTGCTGATTTGAGCCTGTTTTCCACCTAATATCCGTAGGCCAGCCGTCGGGGGTCCCTCACCCGACACGCCGAACTTCCTCCTTCCACACGCAGCGTCGGAGGGGTCGCACGTAGCCCTGGAGGTGATAAACGAGGGTGGCGCCTGTATATGCAGTGTAACACTGCACAGGAAATGAGGAAGTCACAAGGGAACACAAATGTTCTGGGATGACCAATTAGGAACAACCCGACAACCTCCGCCAACCACTGCCCTCGAATACACAAGAGAAAGCCGAAGCTAACTCAACTCCGGATACCCTTCCCGAAGCTGACCTGAACCGCCTTTCTCCACAGGTCAGCGACGAGGCAATGCCCTGAGGGGACCGTTCGGAACCTCCCCAAACAATCGTCATGTCGTTTCGCCGAAGCGAAACAGTCTGACGAAAGAGACGCTCTACCAGTACCCAGCGGCAAGTACACGGTAGGCATGGGCATAGGAGAACCGAAACGCACAACCACTCGACCGAGGTAACCCAGGGGGCCCTGTCCGTGGCGGCCCCGGGGACCAAACGACAGCGACGGAGGAAAAACAAAAGCCAAAATGACTACCAGTCAAGCAGCACAGGAGCGTGAACACGAGGGAGCACAGACAGGAGAAAAAGCCTCGCTGAGCCCGGGCACAGCCCCATGAACCCGCCCCCACACCGCAAGCCCCGGAGCAAGCTCCGATAGCCACCCTGGCCCCGTCTACCCCCGAAACCGCGTCGGCAAGCGTGGACGAACTCCTGGCAAGAGCCTCGCGCAACGGGAATTTCCCGCCAGGCTCAATCCACGAGAGCCCTGAGTGGAAGGCAAGACGGCCTCGCTCGGGAGAAGCAACAGGATCCCATAGTTCCAGCGTAAAGTCGTCAGCCGTCGCGTCCACGCGCCACAGGTTCCGTATAGCAGCCACCGCGAGCACGAGAGCCGCAAGAGAGGAGGTGTAGTCAGTTAAGGAATGAAGCTACATCCTCCTCTCCCGAGAGGACGTTCGCGATCAAATCCAAGAGCGCCGACGCCGCCGCGCACGTGTGACCCACCGCTCCCTCTCTGGAACGCATCGCCTCGGAAGAAGAAGCACGAAATCGAAAACCGCACCACTCCACCACCGGCCGCAGATACACCACCGCTAAACAAGGGCCCCACCGCACAGGGACCGGCTACCATGCCTACAAGCCTGACCTCAACGCTTCTTGGGAGTCCGCGCCTGCGCTTGTGGCGGCGATCGGGCCAGAACGCTTGTGGTCTGACTCAGGCTTGTCTGCATGGTAAAAGCAGGAGGAAGTATTGCTGGCACCCACGAAACCCGAAGTCCACGAAGCCGACCGCTTACCAATTGTGGAAAACCACCGGCCAACGGAGAGAGTGGCAGCGACGAGTTCCGACCTGAGTTCAGTGTTAAGGGTACATCATCCGAGGAGACACAGTGAACAACCAAAATGAAAAGACACCAATAACGAATTGCAACACACAAAGATTTTGTCCCTGATCTCCCCGCGCGTCTGGGCAATCCGCTGGTGGGCGCGGCATCCTCGTGGAACCGGAGCAGCCGCCCGCTCCGGCATAAATCCAAACTCATCTAAGAGCAGCACGTCGAAGCTGCAAAGCCGCCTATGCCGGAGGTCCCGTCTGGCAGGAACAAGGAAACATGGAAGTCCGCATGCGAGAGGCCGGAAACAAGAGGAAGTCGCACTCGAAGGACAGGGATTGACATGTAGACGAAACCCAACACGAGCAGCCACTCTCTCCGGAAGAAGTCGGCGGCCTGTCGATCACCTGCGGGCTGGGCGCTTGTCCTGGTAGTGCCCGTCTGTTTCGGAGAGAGAGATTCCACCCCGACGATAGCCAGCCACGCTGCAGAGAGAAGATGTTAAGCGCCCGGACCGCTGACGGGAAGAGAGGGAGAGGGCAAGAGCCCTGCGGGGATCACTCAGTTGCTTGGCTGCGCACGTGCGCGCAAACTGAGAAGCGCAAGTAGAGTCTCATTGTGGGGATGTGTGTAAGGGAAATCATACTGGATGAGCTAGAGGCAGACCGGCCGCACCCGCGCCTGTTATGTAGAGCCGCTACGGATCTTGGGACTCACGATGAGTTCCTGAAACCAGATGATCTCGCGGGGGTTGCGGCCCCGCATCTAATTGTGGGAAAACGGGCCACAAGACAAGAAGTCTTGAGCCAAAATGGCTACGTTGCTGATTTGAGGTCGCAAATCACGTCTGTCTTGCAAGAAGACAAGCGCAGAGGCTTCCGCACCATTATGGAAGCGATTTGGCATGCTGTTGCGCCTAGGGGGCACCCGTTTGCAATGCTAAGCAACTATACCTATACGCCCCTACCTAGGCCGAGGATCTTGCTGCGATGCCTTACTGCAAGGCAAATCCGATTTGTGTACCCAAATCCTGCATCACAGATTTCCATTTCGATATGGGGAGGGGGGATTTTTCCTCTCAATAGGTCCCGGGCCATCTCCACGGCGAACCGCTCCGCCTCCTCCGCCAGTTCGCCGAGCCGGGTCAGCTCCGGATATGCATTGCAAATATATCTGGGTCTGGAAGAGTGGAACTTGTCATGCAAAACCTTAATCATGGAAAAATCTGTGTTGCGTGATTACCTAAAGTCGTCCAGTTTTGGCCAAGTCGCGAGGGAGTTTCTCATGTAGGATAGGCATGATAAGTAGAGATCGCGCAGAATCTGTCATGCAAGGTCCTGCATTACAGACCTCATGGGAATGGGTGTTAACGTCATACCATGCGGTTTGTGATTTAAATTGTGACAGATTTGGGACGGATTTGGGACGGCCAGCTTTTTCTGATTCTAGGCGCCACAAACCGGTCATATGGCCAAGCCATGGCGGGGCGGGGCGGGACTTGGCGGCAGGGCTAACACGCGTGTTTTGAACGTGTTCTACCGCTTGGGCAGAACCTAAAACAAAAGCTGCGAAAGTACGGCCATCATCCCCCACACCATTGCCCGGGGCGTTCCTTTTCACATCAACTTAGGGCGACCCAGGGGAATGAAAGGCCGACGACTGCCGGCTTCCAACGGCCAACAGGTAGCAGCACAGAAAGCTGGCAGATGTAGAATGCAAAGGTAAAGAGGAAGAACGTTGGCGGCCTGAAGGGCCGCCGAGCGAAAATTTTCGCCAGTGCCAGGCGCCCACCCAGTAAGCAAAATTCGAGACCGACCGAACGGGCAAGGAGAGAGTCCCGAAGAGAAAAAAGCGCTTCTGTGAAGACGAAACTTTTCAGATTTTGACGCCGAGCTTTTCAATTTCAAATGGAGGTCATAAACAGGTCCGAATTAGGTCAGAAATCCAGAATGTAAGATAGGGACGGGATTTCTGACCTAATTCTGACCTAATTCGGACCTTTTTCTGACCTTCATTTCAAATTGAGCCGGAGACCATGATCTTCGTCTCAAATTGGGCCAGACCCACTGATCGCGATTTCAAATTGATGATCGCGATTTCAAATTGATGATCGCGATTTCAAATTGGTGATCGCGATTTCAAATTGGTGATCGCGATTTCAAATTGATGATCGCCATTTCAAATGCCTGATCGGCATTTCAAACGGGCGATCTCCATTTCACATCGCTGATCGCGATTCCAAATTGACGATCTTCATTCCAAAACCCACACCAGGCCACTCAAATCTCTCTCCAGTCCTGTGCCGCCGTATAGGCGTAGCTTGTTTTGGTGCCACACCAAGGCGAAACTCTATCGCGGGGAACCATGGGAGTGCGCTGCGGGGCACAACGGTGGACCTAATTTGCAATGCCAAAACGAGCTCTGGCTCCCGCAATGCCCGCCCGTGCTCTCGAACAGGAGCGCTGCTTTTTGAAAAACCCTGTCCGTCCCAATATCGTCAACAATTGGTCAACATTCTATTCTGCGCCGGTTGGTACAGCGTTAAATGGGTGATCATGGAAAATCTGCATGACAAATGGCGCACTCTTCCAGACCCAGACATATTTGCACTCGATACCGGGGTCAGGATGGCAATCTCCTCGTAATCGATGATCCCGGACTCGTTCCAGTCCAGGATCCCGAATAGGAAATCCGCATTGTCCGCACAGGGGCAGTCAAAGTGCTCCAGGCCGTACGCCCACTGTCGCGGGTAGAGCTGAAAGAAATGCCCGTACATCGTGGAAAACTGGGCCTGAATCTGCTTGGGATCTCCCGACGCGAAGTCGACGCAGGCGGCCACCCGGTCCGGGTCGATCCCCTCCGGAAAGCAGCAGTCAAAGAAGTTGAAGTAAATGCGGGTCGCAAAGTCCGCCTCGCACGGGTGCGGGTCTTCGGCGAACCGCAAAAGCCAATCGAGAAACGTGGTCCAGATCTCGAAGGCCTTTGGATCTAGATCGGCGAGACTCACCATCCGCTTCTGCCCACTGGCCTGTGCGCGGACCTCGGACAGTGTCATCGGGTTCTTGTACGTGGCGATGGGGTCGCGAAACAGGTGCGTATCCGGAAAATCCACCGAGTCCACCATTTTCAGCAACGACAGATTGGTGTCGCTGCTCAAGCCGTAATGAAAAACCCAGACGGAAATCAGCTCCTGCCCCGGAAATTTCTTCAGCAGGTGCTCCCGCACGTTCCACAGAACCATGTCAACGAACTTCATTTTCGCTGCTGGATGTGAGGCGCAGCTGCCTTTGGAAGAACTACGTGTCGATGTAAATTTTTGTGGACTTAAATTCAGCTCGAGCAAGGGGTACTTGTATTTTCTGGACTAAAATGCTGCATCAACATGAACATGATGATTGGAATTATTGATGTGCTAAATGCATTCACCTTGGGTATAACACTTCTTCAAAGATGCTGGGGTCCTGATAAACAAATTCATTTGAAGCTTCCTTTTAACGCTTAGCGATGGTTTCTAATTCCAACAGGAAAACGAATACAACGAGCTCTTTTATGAACAAGAACGACAGACGATTTCTTTGGGCCTGGACGAAGAACCGAAGCAATTGGATGTGTCGGACGAGAGAGACAGGATAATGAGCGCACGATAAACACAGGCTGAGTTTTTACACCGGAGGTGGATACCGACACTTTAGTCATTCAAAGTCATGGAAGTGTGTTGAATCAGTATCAGATTCAGAGCACTCCTACTGCAGCTAAGGTTGTGCTAATACCGATTTCATTTTTCCTTTTTGTTTTTCCTTTTCAAGAACGATGCTGGGCTCTACAAACCACGATGCGGGTGAACACAATCAGATTTCATCTTATCCACCTGCGATTTGCGTCGAAATCAGTTGACATGTTGAACTCGTTTTCTGATGGCAGAACAAGGACGAAAAATATACGTCTGGCTAAGTCTCGCCAGCGACACTGGTACTTGCGCAATGAAGCGGATCCACGGGGAAAAAGTGACAGCAACGTATGACGACAAACCGAAGAAAGAAAAGTGCAATGCCAAAGCGCAACGACGAGCGAAGCATAAAGATGTAGAAATAAAGCACTCAGTACGCGAAATCGTTACTTCGAACACCTCGCCCTGAAAGCAAGCACTAAAACTGTAGATCAAGATCTAGATCTGGATGCCCACGTACTCAGCGAGCTTGGCGTTTTCGGTTTGTATTTTGGCTTTTCTTTTCTACTTCTCCGCGTCCACCATCGTTTTTGTATTATTTTTCAAATCAGTTCTCTGTTCTATCTTATCTGAGACATTTGTGGTTTAACTCGTGACACGCATCCTTTTCCTGCCCTATGCCCGTGGTTGTAGCAGTACCTTTCCTTTGTTCGGTTTCCATCTCCAAAAGTTGTTGAAAAGCGAGGCTCGTCAAAAAATTGCCTGGAGTTTGAATGATAGGCGTTGTGAAGGTTGCCATTGCCAACATCGTCCAATATTCTCTGCGACGTTGAAAAAAGTAAAATCAGTTCAGAAAAGTTCTCCAAGATTAGCAGCTCGATGTCAAGAGGCGACAATCACATATTGAAGAAAAATAAAGATCAGTTCGCGAAACAGGGGAAAAACCACGCCAAGCAAAACAAATGAATTTCATGATTCCTATATTGCTGCTGTTAACTTCATCTTTCCTTCGCAGGCGTGCTACTTTTCTGAGAGGGCGAAGGCGTGCGTGACCGTGAGTGTTGATGAACTTCCGTAAAACAAGAAAATAGGTCAGATGCTGACGAGAGCAGGAACGGTGGTCTCGATCCCAGTTCGAAGTAGTGCCGCGGATCACACACTAGTGAATTATGACCCGTCGTGCTGGTAGTTGTTTTCAAAGCACTATCACCGCCTGTTTTTACTTGTTAGACTTCGGCTGTTGTTGCAGCAAGATCGATGGGATTCCCGGAAGGACACCACCCGCGGCGATGGTGGTATTTCCCAAGTACTTCTCCAATTCTTCATCCTTGTGGATCTGATTTGTAGTTTTTCATCACGTTCAACTACATGTCTGCTGAGTTCATCAAACTTGCTCTTGGAAGCTCAAGACTCAAACGTAACTGCAAAGGAACAGGTCGACATTGGAGCATAAGGGCATGAAAAACTACAGCAGCAGCTAAAATCAGCAAAGTCAAGTAAATTAGCAAGTACTGCCAGCTGAATGTGACGCGGCAAGATTCGGGTCTTCTTCGCTTCTTGGGTCGTGTTTCCCGCCAACTCCAGCACTTCTGCGGTCAAGTATTCGAGGACTGCAGCCAGAAAAACTGACGCACCCTGACCCACACGCTTCGCGACACCCATCTCTTTCTGTAAAAAAAATTGGTATGAGTTTCATTTTTGTTTTGTTCTATGTATGTGAATGTCGATAGGTACACTAAAATTGCCATGCAAGAGGGACCTTCGAAGCACGCATCGTCCAAGCACAAAGCTGTTGCAAGAAAGGCAGAGCGAAATGGAACGTGCGCTTTGCCTTCATAATATTCTTCGTAGTACAAAGTAAATCATGTCCTCGGGTCGGTACTCAAAAACAATTCTTACCAATTTTCGGTCAATCAAGCCGACCGGGAACATGAGACCAGCGCGCTTGGATCGGTTTCCTTTCGCTTGCGGCTTTCCCTTGGATTTCTGTTCCTTCATTTCCTTATTCTTGTCCGCCTGGATTCGCTTTTGCTCTGTTGAGTGTTGCAAAGGTGGAAATAACTTCTTCATCAAGGGAAAATAAACAAAACGCATGCTCCTCATCAAAAATGTCAAAAATCATGCAAACAAGCGATCCATGCGAAAACCCAGCAGGCTGAGGAACTCCAATCTACATAAAGGCAATCATCAATTATGATTGATACGTTTCAGAATCGCCATGACCTCTGCCTGATCCCCGAGCACATCGGACTCGTGCATTGGCATCTGAAATGGTGGCTGCTCGCTGCTCATCGCCATTTTGAACGTTTATGTTTTCAAAATGATTTTTTTATGCGCAATAAAAGGAAGACAAGGTGTTGGTGTAGCTAGTGAGTTGAAGAACTAACCTAGCAAACTAATTTGATCAATGACAATTATGAGTGAAACAATATAACAGGGTCGCTCAGATAGTGGCTATCCAACGACAGGTTCGTTGTTCGTCACTTTCACGACTTCAATTTGAGTCGCTCGTGACACTGTTGATTATGAGGTCCTGAAAGATAGCAATCAAAATCATTTGAGTTTTCGACTGATGTGGAATCGAAATCGATCTGGGGTCATTTAGGAAAAAAACATTTGCTGTTGCTGTTATTCTTATTTCTCGCACGTGAACAATGTAGTGCGGCCATTTGAGGATTCATTTCGCTCTCTCTCGCGCATAGTTGAGCGTCGTTGATGCATGCCATGATCTACAACAATTTTTTTTATTTATCGAAAGATGCATAAGCAAGTACTAAAGGCGTCACTCACATGCTGTTGTTCACAATGCCACCAATGCCTGGCATGAAATATACTAGATGATTTCGGTGATCTTTGTCAGTATGTAAGCAAGCGCAAAAAGTAGCTGCGACTGCGCCGCTAGTGCAGCCCTACGTTTCTCGTCTCCAGGAGAATTGGGCGTGAGATTGACAGTGAGTCCTCTGTTCACGAGTTGCTCGACCTGCAGCTGCCCTAAGGTCTGACTCCTCGAAATGAGTGCTTACATTGTTTCATCAGGCACGGGTTTCGGAGCGGCCCTGCTGTGTTCATTGTAGCGAAAAAAAGTGCATTCAAAATTCTACACAGTGCTCATCTTATTCTACATTTCATTTTGATTGCGATCATTCTTCGCCAAAGCTTAACGCTTGACGTTGTTGCTTTTCTGTTCAAATATTGCATACTAACAAGACTGCACCTGCGCAGGCATCGCTTCGCTGGTCGACGACGTAGCCTTGCGGTTTCAAACAGTTGCTAATGTCGACATTGATCATCTTGATTTTCTTTTTTATTGCTAGGTTTAGGTATCAATAACAGAAAAACGCTGTTCACAAAATTCGGAGTTTGTCCCTTGGCAGGCCGCAAGGACCAAGAAACTACCGGGCTAAAAATGGAAGTGGCGGGCGTACGTTCTTTGAAGATCGAATGGCAGTCGAGGGAAATCGTAAAATATAGTAAATGCACAGCTATGAAATCCGAATCCATCGGCGATACGGATGCCATATTGACCGTGTGAAAAAAATCGAAACAGATGAAACTTCATTTTACAGTTTTTCCTTTCTCTTTTCGTTGATGCGCATTTGTCGCATGAGACCCTTTTCCGATTGAAAGATGTGCAAGAACTCCCGCACCTGCTGCTTCAATACCTCGTCGTATTCGTTTGCGGTTGTCTCGTTTCGCTCGGTGAAGACGACGCAGAGGTCGTGTATCTGGCGGCACTTGGGGTGTACGAACAGCAGCTTTTTCGTGTATGGGGCGTGGCTTTTGAGGAAGTTGAGCAAGCAGGAAATCATCTGCCAGACCACGTAGGGGTCCCGGTCCAGGAAATTCGCGACGGACTGCGCGATCAGGTTGAGGAACAGGTTGAACAAAGGAGTCGTCTGCAGCAGAATTTCCTTTGCGCGGTTGTTGGTGGACAAGCGCAAGTATCCTGTGCAAAAGTATCGCACTCGTATTGCAAGTCTTGCATTGCTTACAAGTCTTTTTTATTTTTTAAAGGCAAATCCGCATTACGAATTTTATTTCTCATGCTGAGGAAATTTGTAAATGCATTTATATGAGTGCGAGACTTGTGCACAGCATAGCAAGAAGCCCAGGGCGCACTGCCGCGTCATCTGGCCGTTCTCGGGGTGCTTCTCGATGACCTGGAGGAGCAGCGCGAACACCCGGAGGCAGTCCTCGGAGGATTCCGGCACGTGCTGCGCAATCAGCTGCAGTATCAGCCCGAGCAGTGCGTACAGGGTGTCCGCGTTGCCGAGGTAGAATTCAATCACGTCGCAGGTGATGGGGAAGATCGTCGGGAACACCGACATCGGCATCTCCGCGGACAGCGCCGCGAGCGACACGGATACCAGCCGCACCAGTTCCTCCTCTGCTGGGTGGAGCAAGATGAATTCGCACAGTCGGTTCCACGTGCTAGAAAGCGTCGACTGCGAGCTACCGTGGTTGCTGTCCCCACTGGAACTGCCACCATTCCGCCATATCTTCAAATTCCAGGCGCACCGCGATATCACCTGAACAATGACAATGAGACGCGGAAATGATATTCTTGACGACAAGGAAATGACTCTCGGTCTCGTCAGTGCTCCTGGCGTCACGATCGATTGAACTACATCATGCGATACCGCAACTACAACGGACATCTTCAGTCAGGTTCTCTGGGCGTTATTTGCGTACCGTTATACATAGTCATTTTTGCACCACACCGAGGATCGGGCGATATCATATGAGCGATATCATATGAACATCGAGATAGTAAATCATAGTACTCCGGTGGCGTAGAGGCAGACTTTGGGGTCGTGTATGTGCATATGCATTGCAAAAGTATCGTACTCGTATAAATGCATTACAAATTTCCTCAGCATGAGAAATAAAATTTGTAATGCTGATTTGCCTTAAGAAAAAGATTTGTAATGCACGACTGCAATACGAGTACGAGACTTTTGCACAGGATAGTGCAGCTTGGTGACTTTCAGCAAGAGCTATCCAGGAAAAAACACCCATCCACATCCAATTTGTCATGCAAAACATACATAAAATTCTGTGTTTGTCATGCAAAAAATGGATGTGGATGGGTTTTTTTCTGTGGATAAGAGCTCAATGACCACGGGAGTGATCAGGTCGGACCGGACCTCCTCGTTGTAGGTTAACGCCCAGAGAGCGCGGACTGCCGCGGAACAAACCCTTGGCGTGTAGAGATATATCTTCAACGTGTGCAGGACAAACAAAAGCTTCTCGCCCGAGAATAAACTGTCCTCCTGCTCGAGACCCGAGGCGCGGAGGTTGTTTCGGTTGTCCTTGTCTGTGGTAGATTTTCTATTTATAGCCTTTCAGTTTGATGATGATGGTCGTGGCCTTCGTTGTAGCAATGCGACATACAAAGAAAAGAAGAAGCAGCCAAAATCTATGCCTCTGGTGCATGAACATGCGCTAGATTTAGAGGCCACAGCGATTTTCTCCGCGCCGTGGAAGAAATCCACACACATTTTATACTTGGTCGTATGTCTCCATCGGCGTACAGTAGCCGCAAGGCCTCCACTTCGTGTATCGCCTCCTCCACTTCAGCTTGCAAAACACTAAAAGACTGCGCCAAGACCTGTCTGCGTCCCTGCGCCAGCTGGATTTGGTACACGTGAATCGGTTTGTCTCTGTAGTGGTTTTAGCTTTTTAGGCTATTGATTGTGGTCTTGTCGTTGGCTCATGAGAGTTGTCGTTATTTCATCTCGCTGCAGGCTGGCGCTGGCTGCACGACGAGTCTCCAGAATGAGCAAAAACAAACATGCTGCTAGATGAAAACTTTTTATGTTTGACTTTGATCAATCAAGTACTTACTTTGAGCAGATGAAGCTGAATCCCGAGTCTTTCTCCGGATCTTCGCGTCTTTCGAATATCCACTGCACTTTTTTGGCTCCGGGGCCCTCGGCGTCCTGTATTTTCTTGTTGCTAGTGATCAACATGTGATAAAGCTTATCAAATGGAAAAGTGTCTGGGTCTGGAAGAATGCAACTTGTGATGCTGCGTCTGCATTATCCAAAAATCTGTATTCCATGAACAGCAAAAGAGGTCTGGTTTTGGCCCCGGCGAGAGGGCATTTCTCCTGCAGTATAGGCATCAGAAAGCCCTCGCAAGATCTGTGATGCTAGGGCATGCATCGCAGACATCAGGAGTCATGCAAAATGTGCATGGCAGACCTTGCATCCTTCCAGACCCAGACACTTTTACATTTGATAAAGCTCCTGGAAGTTGGGCACGTACCATGGCGGAAACCGGAATCCCGGCATTGCGTAGACCTTCGGCGTGGCCCAGGACCCGCCCATGGCCTTCAGAAACTGTCCAAACTGCCGATTTATCCTGTGCAAAAGCATCGCACTCGTACTAATTGCAAATATGCATGACAAATTTTCCTCCTAAGGTAAAACAGCATTACAAATTGCATTTGTCATGCTGAGCAAACTTGTAATGCAATCTATACTAGTACGATGCTTTTGCATTGCATCCGATTGTCGATGTGCTCGGACTGGAGTTGCATCCAAGCTTTTGCAACGACGTGGAGTGGGGCCGTGCCCCCGTCAGTGAAGCCTATCATGATGTACGTATTAGATTGTGGAACTTATGATCGCGCGGTTAAGGTCAACGCTTGCATCGCGGTTGCCGAGTGAAAAATAACAAAGTCATGCACGCTGACAGTTTGTCCTTATTTCAATCTTTCTGACCTCTGTCTATATTGACCAGAATTAGACTGACAAAGAGTAAGCCTTCACAGAGTCAAATGAACAGCTACAGCATCAACATCGCTGGGACCACATTATGTAGTGTCCCAGTGAAGGTGTCTGTTGTCCTGAAAGAGACGGGAAGCGTTCGCATTTGTGTTGGCTCTAGTACTTCAAAAGTAGGAGCTGTACCTTGAATAACGATGTCCCGGTAGTTTCTGCTGTAGGCGTAGTCGACCCAGTGGTTGCTAAAGTCGCTGTCCAGTATTAGCCACAACAGGGGCGACACCTGCGCCGTCGCGGGCGCGGACAACTCCTTCGCGATTTGCTGTTTTCTCGTGGACGAACTAGAGCGTTCCTGCGCGCTGCCGCGCTTGCCGCTCGACGTGTAGTAGTTGTCCCGGTACTCCTCGTAGCTCATCACTCGCGGCAAATGCTCATCCTTAAACTGGTCCTATGGAATGCAAAAGCATCGTACTCGTATAACTATAAATGCATGACAAATTCCCTCAGCATGAGAAATAAAATTTGTAATGCGGATTTACATTGAGAACATAATTTGTAATGCATGACTGCGATTAGTACGAGTACGATACTTTTGCACAGGATAGGTCCCACGCCTTCTCGATGTCCAACAGGGAAATAATCGCCTCCTTCTGCGTATCAAATGCAAAAATGTCTGGGCCTGGAAGGATCCGAACTTGTGATGCGAATTCCACTACCCGCGCAAATCTCTCATGCATAGGCAGCAAAAGGTGCCTATTTCCTGTCACCAAAAAGGGGGATTTTTCATGCGGATTAAGCATTGCGGAACGTTCTCGAAATCTGTGACGCTAGGGCTTCCATAACAGACCTTCTGTGTCATGCAAAAACAGCATGGCAAAAATCTGCATTCTTCCAGACCCAGACACTTTTGCATTTGATACTGCGCCGAGGAAGAAGACGCGGACCCGCCGGTGGTTGTGGAGGCCGCCGGGGTGAGCAACAGGTCGCCCTTGTCGGTGGCGCAGCCCGTGAAGAAAAACACGTAGAGATCGGGGTATATCTTCTCCCACGCAGGCGTGTTGGACGACGAGCCCTTGCACTGTGGACGAGAATTTGAAGGGCAAATATTTTTACTTCACTATTTTGCTCTCACACGACAAGCAACAGCAACACAAAACCCGTTTATAAAATTCTGGATCTTCTTGTTTTGTGAAGCGCCGCTAACGGCTCGCCACTATCAAAACGAAAAAGTAGGTCCTTTCAATAGTAGTGAATTGAAAACACTCTATCAAGTACCCTGAGCCATTCGTTAAATTCCTGCAAGAAGTCGTTCTTGTTGTCGACAGCGGGTGCCAGTGGCCTGATGTGCAAGTCATCGGTGTGGTAATTTGACGAGAGTTGGACCTTTTGGTCGGTCAAGAAATTCTTCAGCATGTCCTCGGCAACGTCGACTGACACATCACCCAAGCCCATTTGCTTCGTTTTCTCCCCGCCGCCGACCAGCAACGCCGGCCGCTTCCCCTGGGCGAGATACCGGAAAAAAGTGATCTGCATCTTCTTGTTTATGTTTACGCGGAGAGGATAAAATAAACGTAAACCCCGCCTCGTCGAAAATAATGTACTACTTCTGGTGCCTCGCGGCAATGCCTTCCTATTGCTTGCAGTATGCCGCCACAGCAACGTCGTGCGGAGCCGGAATCTTTTCGTCCGCAGAAGCTGGCTGAGGTCGCCAAGCGCGGTTGCCGCCTGGCGTTGCTTGCTAAAGCTGGTATCAGCTGCTACTCACATCCTTGTGCATCTTCCGCCGTGTAATATCTCGCCAGAGTTAGTAAAGAGAAGACCGTGACCCCCTACGAGTGAGCGATGATCAACACAAAGCTCCAAGAAACCAAAAACATGACCGCTCAACCTTTCTTCTACAACCGGAAGCAATCATTATTAAGTAAAGATGAACATGAACTACCTAACAATACTGGAACTGATGTGAATATAATGAGAAAGTGCTCGCTCAACCGCCTGTTCGTGAAAATGCGTGGTTCCCTTGATTTTCCTCGTACCAAACATCCAAGAGGACAGGATATGGACTATGACAAGAACCACAACTTGCGCTCGTCCAGTCTCTCAGCTGCAGGATAGAACTTCCACAAACGCCAGAGCTGATGCTGCAATTAACGAGGAAAATAAACCTGAAGTAAGGCCATCCTTACTGCGTATCGCAGGAAAATGAGGCGGCGTCGCGACAAACGCGACACTGCAGCTGGTGTTAGGGGGCCAGTATCATTAAATTGCATTTTTCATTTTTTGACAAATAGCGTGAAGGCGGTGAAGCGCTGCATTTTTGGTTCCGTTTCTTTCGACTTTCGAACATAGAGCGCTCCTGAAGTATTCTCAGCATGTTTTGTCCCCTGTCACAACAGTGCAGCGCCTTAACTTGTTCGTCAGCTTCGCCCGTCGTGCACGACCATCCTACAAACACCGCACCGCCTACTTCTCCTTCGAAAGAGTTGATTGTTCTCCTCGACGCATCATCTAAGAGTTCACCCCGAAGTGGTCAATCTGAAACAACAACACCTTCCCATCGCTCTGTCCCAGTGCGCAGTAGCCGTTCTTGTTCGAAAACTCGATGCTTTGCACGTACTTCAACGGAAAGGTGTTCCACGACTGCTCGTACACGGTGTGCGACTGCAAGTGGGCCATTTTCAACCCCTTCCTCGTGTATTTGGACGCGAAAGACAGGAGCTCGGACGAGGGTTCAGCTGCGTTCTTCGCTGGGTTGCGAAAGTGTTTGTGGAACCGGACCGTACTGATCTCGTGCTGCAACTGGTCGTACGTTTTCTTTAACACATACCGTTCTTGCCCGCCGTCAACGCCCCCGTGGTCCCCGGAGGAGGAGAGTGGTTGCGCCGAATAATTTCTTTCCAACACGTCTACCGTCCCGGAGGTCGTGCCAATCGCGATCTGCGTGCCCTCAGCAGAGACGTCGATGGAGGAAATCCCGATGCAGTTGTCGTGCTGGAAATTGTGCAGGCAGCGGCCACTGCGCAAGTCCCACTCGTACATGCGGCCGGTCGCGTCGCAGGACAGAAATTGAGCCGCTGCAGCAGTTCCCTTACCTGTCGGCAGGCGAACGTGGCACTGCGCCGCGCTGTTCATCTGGAACTGCTTCACGGTGGTGGCGATCCGCGTGTCGATTACGCACAGCTTCCCGTTCTCGGAGAGCACCGAGGCGAGGTTCTGGTCGCCCTGGCTGCTGCTCGACGGGCCGAAGTCCGCGATTTGGAAGTCCCACAACGTGCCGATGTCGTTTTTGGCCCGGCTGTTCGTGCCTCGGAACGGGCAGAACGTGGACACTTTCCCCGTGGCAATGTCGTACTGCTTCAGCTCGTGCGTCTTCCCGCACAGAAAGATCGTGGTCGCGTCTTCGCCACTGGTCGTGCCGTACTTGTTTTGCATGGCCATCCCGGTGATCGGGTACTTCTCGAAGTGGTAGGACGCGAGGAGCGGGTGCTCGGCGTGCGGATCCGCGTTAATGGCAAAAAGCTTCAGCATTTTGTCCTTCCCCGCCGTAGCAACGATTTCGCTGTTCGGGTGGAACTTCACGCACTCCGCGACGCAGTTCATCTGAGAGGCCGCGTTCAAATTTGGGCGCGTGGTCATGAACAAACCGACGCTCGGCGGGGGTAGCGGCTTGTTCTTGAATTGGTCCGCAGCAGACGCGGTGATACTTGTTTTCTGCTCCTTTTCGTCCGCTAGATTCTTGGCCGTTTTGATGGCTTTTGCGTGGTTGCTCTTGTTCTTCTTCTGATCGGCCTTCGAAGCAAAAAGACCATACTTCTTCTGCGCTACGCACCGATCCAGGTCGATTTCATGTTGCACCTCGGCTGTTTCATCTTCTTGGTCGTCCAGGTCGCTGTCAGCACCAGCGCTCGTCTTGCTATCGTGCACTTCTTCATCCTCGTCTTCCTCTGCCTCCTTCGGCTTTGCCCAACTGGGAACCGTTTGTCGCTGCTGCTTCAAGAACTGTTCCCGCAGGCGCTGCTCGTAATCCTTCCCCGATAACCTGGTCTCTTCAGCCGCTTTTCGCAATTTGCGAAGGCGCTTCTTGCCGGTGGTAATCTGGACCTCCAGGTTTTCCTCGTCCGAATCGTTCCAGACGCACGCGTTCCGAGCCTGTTCTCCCAAAATGGACCGCTCCACCAAATGCTGCGAGGTACCTACGACCGACCTTGTTTGTCCGCTTGTTTGGACATTATTGATGTTGTTCCTTGATGTACCATCATCCTCCGAGTCATAGACTTCGGAATCATCATCAGTCCCGTCGTGACCACCTGCGCCAAAAACCACGGCCTCCAGAGCCTTCCGCCGTCGCTTCGCGTCTGATGCTTTTGTAGCAGCCGGCATGATTTGCAAAAGTAAGTGTGTCGTTGTCGAGTGACTGCAACAAGAAACGAAAACAATATGAATATAGCTACAACTTGTCCCTGTAGTAAATTTTTGTGTCTAAAAGTCAGTAAAGTTGGCCGCGCCCTGATTTTTGTGCGTAATGAATCACATCAAGTGGAAGAAAATCATCAACGACTCCGACCAGGAGTAGACCTTCGTTCCGATGCATTACAAGCGTCTGTGGTCATTTGAGATCTGCCTTTCTTTGAACGATGATCCGGCTCCGGGCTGTCCCTCAACGTCAACTTTCTGATGATCAATGAGTGCTGGGCACATTGATTTGTTGATCCTCTATTTGCGCAGCTTGAACTTCTTGATCATGAAAGCTTCGACAGCAGAGGAGCGAGCGTGGTAGAGCAACATCGGATCAACGTGAATGTGAAACAAACCCTAGATTCATATCTAAATTTTGATCTTGTCGTAATGCTATGCTATCGTCTCGGAGTAACACGTCATGCAGCACCACCATTCGCATGGCAAAGCGAACGAGCTAAGCCTTCTGGTGAGCCTCAAGTCAACTACCTTTGCGATCGTCTCAATAAGCGGGAACTACGAGCACGATCGTAGAAAGAGGTGGCAAAGGAATTTAACTTGCTCTCCATGCATGAAATGATCGCGAGCCTCGACCTCCACGACAGCCTGATGCTTTCAGCATTCATCACCACCGTGTTTCGGAAACAATTTCAAGGCGAGCACAAGCTTCTTTGATAGCGTTGAACCGTTGAAGTACAAAAACACTATCAGGCGAGCCAGGAACTGTCGGAAAAAAATTCAACGGGTTTACCAATTCATTGATTCGTGTCAAACGGAAAAAAGTTGTTGCTCATGCTTTCATTTTGTTCGCAGGTGCCCAGCTCGACGCTTCACAATGTTCATCAGGTTGTGGCCCCCTGTTCACAGCAGCACGTAGTAGCCCAGCCACAAGCTAGCAAAAATTGAGGTGAGAAACGGTTTCGCAGAAAACGCGCCCGCGTGAAAGGGTGACCCGTACCCGTGCATCCGGCACCATTCGTTCCCCGGATGTTCCGCGCAAATAGAATCGTACGTGTCCGGCTGACCCGGTCCGAATTCGTGGCGCCAATCATCCGTCTGGGTTTCGCCGTCAATGTGCGCCACATTTTCTCCTTCAAACCTTTATTTGTGCACAAGCATAGGCAAACCGATGAAGATTACTTTTACTATGTGGAACAAGATATCAGCCATATCATATGGAGAGGTTGTATGAATGTGAGGCACTTCTGAATCTGATACAGGGTGACATCATTGGTCGTTTGCAGCTGGAGAAGTACTAACAGCGACCTCGTTACCCTTGCTCCGGCAGCGGAGTCGGGGCCTTCCCGGGGGCCTGGTCGTCGACCACGAGATCTGCTTCGCCCTCGTCCGCCTCTGGGACCGGTTGTTCTATGGTTTCCGGTTCCGGGGGCGGCGGTGTGGTGGTTTCTTCCTCTTCTTCCTCCTCGTCATCGCCCATGAAGGCTTTGCAGGCAGCGGTCTCCCCCTTGGTACTGCAGTAGCTGTCCATGAAGGTCTTGCACTTATCGTACTCGGTGTCCTTTTTCTGCGCACACACCTGCGCTCGCATGTCCGAGATGAAGTCGGACGCCCCCGGGTCCTGGGCGACCAGCGCTTGCAGCTTGTCCAGCGACTCCTCAATCACCGGAATGGTTGCACTCGCCAGATCCTCGTCGTGGGACTCAGCCACCTCCTTCGCTACTTTCACAATCTCATGCAGAGCCGGGTGCTGGGTATCCAGGACCTTTGTTTGATGGCGAAGAAAATTATAGCTGCTACTTTTCTTTTTCACTTATGTTTTTATGCAACGTCACCGAGGAGTACTGTGTATAAATCGAAGAGCATTTTTTTGATTTTTGAAAATAAACAGAAATAAGTCCTCTCCTATACATCTCGCGCAGACAAGTGGCGCATGAGATCCAGTGCCGGGGTAGCCCCAGGTTCCGCCTTCGCATCCCGGTGGTGGTGGTTTATGGAGTTCTCAAATGTTACATTCTGAATTTGTCGTGCAAAATGAGCATCAACGTCCACACAGTGAAGCTGCCTCGCATGACAAATTTTCGAAGGGCTAAACAGCGTGGGAATCTGTGCCGAATTTGTAATGTAAGAGTTGCAAGATCCGGCCTTTCCCTGTTGCCATTCTTGCCTCACAAATTTATGTAACAGTTGAGAATGTAACAATTGAGAACGCCATATGGTTGTTCACCAAATTGTGGAAAGTCTTCCTCGTCCTGTGCCGCGACGATTGTCGCAGGCGTCGCTGTAAATTTGCCTCGGCTTGATTCTTGCTCCTGCCATGCCTTCGATCTACCCTGTGGTAGTGCACCTGCGCCTGCCGTGACGAACTACTTAAAGGCGCAGCCGTCGGCGCAGTGACCACGTGATGCGTCAAAACATTGTGAAGATTTGCGTGCAGACGCGCCCCGCGACGGTGGTGCTGCTTTCCTCTGTGGCTTCGTCGAAGTGGTGTGTAAAAGTCCTCACCCGCAGACCCGCGCACGTCCAAAAAACAGCTTGGTAATGCGAAGAAAAGCAACAATCGAGAAGATGATGGTGTCATCTCGGTGTGAACGATTTTTCACAAACGGAGGTAGGAGCAAGAAGCTGCTTGTTCTGCTCTCGGCGCAGAGAATCAACGACGCAACGACGTTCAGTGCCCGACATAAACGAGGTAAGGCAACGGCTTCGTTAACATCTAAGGACGAAACGAAAGATGATTTTCACATGATTCTTCGCGAATACTCTTCATCGACTTTCATTACGTCGCCAAAGAATGCCTCAATACCGGGTGAAACCATACACTAATACGACACAGACAGCCTCCTAATCCCGTGTTTGACACACCTGATCCAGAAGCGCGAAGCAGGGCTGGTAAAATAAAAACGAGATACTGTTTTTAGGTGGAGATTTGTGGAACTCCGAAGGAACCACAAGAATACTTGATCAACTACAAGTACAAAACAAATGACGGAGATGCAAGACGATACCGATACGTGAAGAAAAAAAACCTACTTTTTCGAGGATGATCGACAGCTGCATGCACTTTCTAGTGTCTGGTGTTTTGGTTGGTGATTGATGTGTTGTTTCTCCGACACCTCAACTGATAAATTGTGATCAGCGCAAGCGCATTGGATTTCAAAGTGTTTGAGACATGAAAACGAGCGTGCAGTGCGAACAATGAAAGGCTGTAATGCGGGCTGAAATTCCAGTTTTCCTTTTCGGAAATATCAGCGCGCATCCATCGTCTCGAAGACGTAGTTCGCAACATATGGAAAGATTAAGACTCATCAACATTGCTTGCAACGTACTAGTATACGTGTCGCGAAAAGTAGCACGAGGGTTTCGGTTGATACTTCTTCAAGGAAAAAATAAACACATGCTCATGTGGTAGTGGTTGGTGCACTGTGCACAAAGCAAAAGTGGCACTTCTCACTTTGATTTTTGTGCGCGTTTCTTTTTTCCTTTCTTGATGGAAGACGTTTTGCCGCTTCCACAACCAGCCTTACTCGATGCTGCAAGTTTGTTCTTCTTTTGCACCCCAGCGAACCCACCAGTGTTAGCTGTCGTTCTCGGCATTTTTTCCTCGGTAATCTGAGAGACGGTGTCGTTCCCTGGAGCAGCGGTCTGGCCATGTTCTACTGCTTGAAATCGAACTCTGCCGCCGCTCATTCTAGGCTTATTCTCTGGCGCTCCGACATCCACAGAGTCCGCATCATCTTGCCCCAGAGGCACCACCGAATCTCCAAAGAGAACCTCGTTGGTTGTCTTTTCCGCAGCCTCGTCAGATCTCAGCGGTTTTCCATTTGCGGCCGCCGTTGCTCCAGCAGCGCGCGCGCTACTGTTTCTCGTGTCGGCAAGTTGAAAGCCGTTGGAAACCAGCAATAGATCGATCAAGAAAGTCTTGGACAGCAGCTGCTCCCAGCGCGCAAGGTGTTTCGACGAGTAATTCAGCACTGCTTTTGCCACTTGGTTCCAGTTCTCGACTTTCCGCAGCTTCTCCTTCGAAACTGACTGCAGCAGCTCCCGGAGGAGGACGTTGGCCAAAAGTGCCGTCTTGGCGTTGCTGTTCCACCGTGCCAGAAATTCAACGAGCTGCTCCAAATTTCGCTGGCAAATCTTTTCCGTGTTTTTGCTGCCCCGTTCCGCTTCAGAGGACACGGAGGTGATGCTCAAGATCCACTCGCGTAAGTTGAACATCGGCGTTTCTTGTTGACCATGATGCCCTCCGCTCTTGTTCTGTGTTTGAGTTTGACCTCCCCCAATTTCTTTTTTGCCGAAGACGACCGCAGGATCGACGACGACCGCATCAACGAGAAGATCTTCACTGTCCTCTTCCTCATAGTTTTCAACTTCAGGAATGTCATCTTCTGCTGGCATAGTTGTGGAATCCTTTGCGGCCTGTCCATCTGAAGAGCCCGAATCCGCAGCTCCCGCGTCGTCGTTTCCATCTGCTAGTACTGCTGGGGCTCCGTCGAGGTTGATCCCATTATCTTCCAACTTTTTTGAGTTTTCATCTGCGCCGTCCTTTCGTCCTAAAAAGTTCTTTCCCTGCGCGGCCAACACCTCCTCCGCGGTTTTGCCGATCCGCTTCAGGTACGCGTCTTCCTCCTCCTGTAAAAGGATTTCCTCCGCGTGCAGAAGGCCTAGCTTTCCGAAGATCTCTACCATCTGTCCCGGGCGGTTCAGCTTTAAGCAGTGCGTCAAGGCGGAATCGTACTCGCCTTTTGCAACCAGCGCCTTCACTTCCGCTTGCTCCATTTTGTTGCTCACCTCCTCCTGCTGCTTTTCTGCTTCGACCTCCCGCGTGCAATCCTTCCACAGAATCAATTTCGATTCGGCTGCAGTGACCAGAATGGTGTGCTCCTCCACCTCGCAGCTCCCTTGCGTAGTTTCGGCATCCTTGTCCTGGACGGCCGTGCCAGATTTGTTGTCCGGGCCGCGGTAGTTCAGCAAATTTGTCAGTAAATCCTCAGACGAAGCTGTTCTTGCTCCTCCTGCAGCTCCACTACAAGAATTCTTCACTGTTACGTCAGCGAGGTCCATTCCCCACACCTTGTCGTCGTGCAGTTCCATGGTCTGCGCGCAATCCGTGGTGCGGATCTGCCACAACTTGACCAGCCCGTCGGCCCCGGTGGACATGAGCTGCATGTTGTTCTTCAGCACCCGGACGTTCAGCACCGCGCCGTTGTGCCCCTCGAAGGATTTAATCGCGGCAAAGGTCGCCAGGTTCCACAGCCGAATCGTCGCGTCGCCGGACCCGGACACGAGAATTTTGTCCGTGGGGTGAAAGGCCAGCGACCAGATGCCCCGTCTGTGACCCTGCAGGGTTTGCCCGACCTGCTTCAGGTCCGGGAACGACCACAGCTTGATTACCTTGTCCTGCCCGCCGGAGGCGAGGATTTTGTCGCCCTTAGGACCAAACGCCAAAACGGAAACCTCTTTCTCGTGCGCCATCCTGGTGGTTTCCGCGGAGCCCGTCAGCGGAAGAACGGCGTTCTTTGGATCATCTTCGCAGCTCCCAACAATTGCTGTATTTCTTCCCAACCGCCAGCATTTGAGACTTTTGTCCTCCGAACCGGATAAAATATGGTCTTCGGATTTGTTCGGGAAGCAGAGACTCAGGACGGAGTGCGTGTGGCCGCGCAAACAGGCCAGGCAACTGCCGGTCACGACGTCCCACAGGCGGACCGTGTTGTCTTTTGAGCCCGTGGCCACGATACCGCACCGGTAGTTGACTGCCACCGAGACCACCACCTCGCTGTGGCTGTGGTCAGGCTTGGATCGGTCACACAAGGCGTGTTCGACCTGATGCGTGACGGGATCGACGATCTTCACCACCTCATCAGACACCGCACAGACTACCAAAGGCTTTTTTTTAGAAGCAGGCGGTGACGTATTGGGATCTGAATCTCTGTGCAGGTCATGGTGCCTGCTAAGAAACTGCGCACATAGAATCTCCTCGTTATGTCCCATGTAGCGCGCCTTCTGGTGAACAGCCAGTCGGAAAACCAGCTCCTCTTTCGTTTCACCAATTGCAGCACCATCATGCTGCCCCGCATGATGCTCGGTTACTGCAGCTGCCTGTTTGGCGGCGGCTTTCTTGTTCTTTATCTTTCTCTTCTTCGAAGCTGGTTCTTGTGTTTCCTGTTGCTCGCCGGAGCTTGCGGCGACTTTATTTCGCGGTTCATCAGATGCTAGTTCCCAGAAAATAAGGTTGTGATCCTCACCTGCGGTCAGAAAAGAAGTTGAACATGTTGACGTCGGTTTGCCATCGCTGGAACTACAATCGGTGGATTTGCTTCTATTGCTGCAGCTCACGACGGCGCGCATGCTTCCGTTGCAGCCGTGCGGGACGTTTTGCTCCAGAACCTTCAGTCCAGTCGCAGGATCCCAAACCCGAAGCAGCCCCTTCTCCCCAGCGGTTACGACGTGGAATTTTTCAGAAGTTGAGTTCCTATTCGCAGCTTTGACGGCGCAGACACCTTCAACGGTCTCATAACAGGGGACCGTCTTTGCGTGCTTAATCACAGTGGACGAAGAACTACCCACATCGAGGCAAATGTTGAAGAAGTTCAGCACGCTATCCCGGCCGACGGACACCAGCTGACTTCCAAAACAGCATACGTCCGTAACCTGTGAAGAATTTGCATGTTGTTCTTTTTGAGAATGTTGCGGGCATGTTGTTTATCTTTATGCGTTCACGTAGTCGTTTAACAAACAAGTATTGCCACAATAGCTTGCTTCTTGCTCTTTTTCGTTTTCTGCAGCAGACGCAGCGAGCAGGTTGATGTATCTCGAATCACATGAAAATCTATCACTAGTACCTGAGCCAAGTGTTGCTTGAACACGTGCACGCAGGTTCTTTGGACCAGATCCCAGATACGAATCTCGCCTTCATCGTCCGCACTGAGAAGGAGCAAGCTCTTTGCTTTTCTTCCTCCAGCTACAACTTCCGGCGCCTGTACCCATCTTGTCAGCACTGGTGTCCCCGCATGCCCTTGAAAGTTGTGCGTGACGAAAAAACCATCCAGGTCCCAGCACTTCACCGTCCCGTCAACGGAAGAAGAAGCCAACATCTGGGTGTCCAAATTTCGGCTGTCGCTCATGGAGATGTCGGTGCACAGATCCGGGTGCCCTTTCCAGCTGTGCAACAGCGTCGGCAGAGATTGCACGACATTTGGCGTGTCGTCAATAGCTTCGACGTCGTCAGTCTTCGTACCATCTACAAGGCAGCTGGACACGTCCCAGCACTTGAAAAGGTTGCTCCGGTGACTCGTTACAATCTTTTTCTCCGAAACGCAAACCGCGAACGCGAAAATACCTGAATGGTGAAGAAGAAAAAAAGTCGTCGAGACAAGGAACTATGTGATGTGGGTCTAAATCTACGTCGTGGCAGTGGCATGGATATCAAAATAGTATTGTGACACGACAAGTGGATTGATACCGTCTCCGTCCGCGGGGATCACAATTCGACTTGGTGCGTGAAGGCTGACTTTATTCGTCACTGCACCAGATGATGAGGATGACGCGGTTCTTGCTCCCGCAACATGCGGAGGGTGAAATAACGTCAATTCCTCCGACGCCAGGCAAAACAAATTTTCGGGCCCACAGAAAGCCGGTCGGCCTCCGGTGTAGAAGCTTTTCGACTCCGAGATCGGCCGCCAAAATTCGCTCAACACCGGCTGCTGTGCCTGGGCGGCGGGAGAGCTAGCTGATTTAGAAGGCCCCGACATGACGTTCTGATCCACGGCGAAAATGAACTAAAGTCTGGCGGACAATGCAAGGGAGTGAAAAAAATGAACGTAGAAACTAAACACGATCAAGGAGAGAAAGAATGCACGATAATTTTTCGCTGCATCAAGAAAAAAACGGATGCATTTTCATGCATGAAGCTAACAACTACAAAGGCAAAGAATGTAAGGGCTGAAGTTGTCATTGAGCGAAGTGTCCATTGCTCTAGCCTTGTCTCAATGACAATGCGCGGCCTGCTGAATGATTGATTTGATTTTGGGTGAGCGACACATACCTACGTTCAAGTTGGCACAACTTGCATTCAGGTGAAGATGAAGTCGAGGTTGTTCATCAGTGAGCACACCGTTCTACATGAAAGGCACATTTACATTTTTGGCAAGACCATTATTGCGGAGCTTGAACTTCCATTTAGGTCTACTTTCAAGACGTGTCATCTATTTCTTGATCTTGTCGATCGGATCCCATCCTGCTCATTCTTGGATCATCATCATGTGGGTGTTCTCGAGCGACTTGGATCCAAAAACTCTCTGATCTTGTACTCTCTGTTTTTCAAATTTTTTGTAGAGTCGCTAAAATGCCGAAAAGAGATCAGCTAAGCGACTGGGACTCGACACGCGGAAAGCGAGGGGAGCCTCTCAAGCACGTGGTTGCTTGTCAGTCCTACGGATCGTTTTTCGTGATAGGGATCGCCGTCTTCTATAAATATTCAACTCCGAGCAGCTGCTCCCGCCGTGATCATCATTCCTTGTCTTGATGTATACAAACGCAGCATCAATTTCGATACACGCACAGGACAGACATACCGACAAGATGGGATCCGACGCAGCATTTTTCCGCCAGCCACGGATCATAATGCATCCTGCTCATGCTGCGGATACAGGCACTAACTCCTGCTGGAGGTGCGTAATCGTCCTAGACGCGTTCACATATTGATGTTGTATGTTTTTGATCGCGACTACAACCATTCGGTCACATACGGCAGCGACGATATAATGCGCGCGCGCGCACATCTACTGCTTCTTGGTGACAACTGGACTGCCAATCATCAAAACCCCCGAACTTCCCCCTTCAGATCAACTTTTTTTGCCTCGGGATTTTCTTGAAGAAATTTCTCTTGCCATTCCGAATGCCAGCGGCTTGCCGGGGGGCGATTTTCGCAGACATCCGCTGCACTCGAACGGACCTCACCCAAACAGGCGTTTTTCGTCTTGTAGTGGTCCGTGCACACAGCATAGAACTTGCCCTCCTCGATAGCATCAAACAAAACTTCAACCGGATGCTCCACCTGGTGTATTTGTATGAAGTAGAAAGTGGCATAAAAATAAATTAGTTACGGGAAATTTCCTTTGATCTGGTGGCGAAACGACGAAAAGAAATAGAAAACATGTGTTCAAGATGGACAAATTGTACCGGCATGGCGTCCGGTCCCCATGCCTTCGTCAGGTCTTTTCGAATATCCGCTGCTCTTTCCTTATCTCCGTCGTATTCCACTTATCAAATGCAATGATGTCTGGGTCTGGAAGAATTGATGTTTGTCATGCTTGTCTGGCATGACTCTTAAATCTGTCATGCACGTTACCCAAGAGCTCCGTTTTCCTGTGATGCAGAAGCGCAGTTTGTCATGCACAATAGGCAACACCTAGTAGGAGCTCAGAAACTTGTCATGGTGAGCCAGCATTTGTAGCCTCATCATGAGACGCCGCCCAGCATCACAAGTTTCCAGACCCAGACATTTTTACTGTTGATACCACTAGGCTTGCCACGATGTCGGTAACCGTTCGGCCTGGGAACAGGCATACGCCCCGAAGCTTGTGGTTTCCGGGCAGGTTGCGTAACTCGTGCTCTACCGACTCCATGACTGCACGCTGCCCCACCTTCGTTATCACGTACGGCGTGTCCCCGGGGTTCAGGGTCAGCCCCTGTCGACTGGAAGTTGCGCCGACGATGCGCGGCTCACTCTTCTCCCCTTCCGCTTCCGCTATCCACAGAAGAAAACCCATCCACATCCATTTTTTGCATGACAAACACAGAATTTTATGTATCTTTTGCATGACAAATTGGATGTGGATGGGTGTTTTTTCCTGGATATCCGCCTGCGCAATCATCCTCGGCACGAAACAGTGAATCCCATATATCGTACTCCAGAGGTTAATGTCCAGGGTTCGCTTCCACTTTTCGAGGTCAAGAAAGAGTGGATTTGCCCCTTTACCCGTGCTGATGCCCACATTGAACAGCGCGAAATCGCAGCCACCGAAAGTGGCGTACACTTTCTCGCACAGTTGCTGATTTTGTTCGAGACTGGTGACATCCGTTGGCACCACAAGCAGATTCTCGGGGGCAGTACAAACACCCCCTGCCAAGAATTCGTCCGCGACCTGTTGCAGCTTCTCGGCCTGGATATCGGCCATCGCAACTTTCATGCCACGCGATGCGCAGGTCTGCGCACACGCTTTTCCGATCCCATTTGCAGCACCGGTAATCACCGCAATTTTCCCTGGCTGCAGAGCAGGATGGGAATACGCCTTGTCTTTAAGTGACATTCTTCGTTCGCGTCTGCCGAAGGTTTTACGAAAACTAATGCAGGTTCGGATAATGACCGATCAGGACGATTGAATAAATTCTCCCCCGATGTTGAACAAGATCATCCAAGATCTCTTCAAGGTGCGACAAGGCAGTGGTTGCACATGATTGAGAATGTTTTTACAGGGATGAATTGAGATCAACATCACGGCCGCCACGACCACGAGGGAACTACATTAACACGACCAACAACGAACTCCAGCAAGACGTCGACGACGAGAATGAATAGTTAGAAGAACAACAACAGAACACCGATCCGATAGTGCAAATTTCAATCTTGCTTCAGCAGAGGATACCATTTTTTGCAAAGCCACCAAATTAGAAAATCAAATCGAGCAAACAAGTCGCACCTCAGACGCAAAAAGAAATGATCTATCTGAGGGAAAAAAAGCATATGCGTATCCGTAAATATCTTCTTGGAAAATATACTTGCAATTTTGTAGTGCTACTGACTGTGACTTCTGAGAAATAAACATAGAATCTAGAAGGATTGAGGTTTTGGCGGGGATAATATGAAGTGCGAGACAGTACAAAGCAATACTACGGATGGGCGTATCTGTAGCAGTACTTACTTACCTCCAATGCCACTGAATGTGCTGGTAGCGCAAGCATAGAAGTCTCGGGGAGATTGAGATCTTCGATTTCAATTTGTCACCACTCGAGGTTAATACAAGAGGTGGAAACGAGGGTGCAAAAAGTAGAAGTGCGTACATTGCTACCAAGGAAAGCATGTGAAGGTGGAGTGCTTCTATCACGACAACTTTCAAAAGAATTAGAAGAGCGATAGAAGGTATACAAACAAGCGCAAAAAGACAAACCTCTACAACAACCATTGCAGCTTGAAAATGAGTGTGAATCTGAATGCATCAACTCCATTTGCTCCTGCTGATTAGAGGGCGTCGTTTCGGCTGAGACATTCCTTCAAGCGTTCCACATTGTGTAAAATCTCGTTCTGAGCAACCGCGTCCGCCTGTTTCAGGACTGTCGCTGCGGTGTTGTGCTCATTCTGTAGACGTCGTTGCAGCTCCGCGTTTGCCTTATTTGCTTTATCCTGCTCAAGAGCTGCCAGGTTTGGTGCTGGAGACTCGAGATTGTAGTGCAAAAACTCCGCCAGGCTCGCGCCGATGATGCTGTTGCGCTCTGCCGCGTCGCTTTTCACTTCAAGTCGTGCCTTCAGCTCGTTCACTCGAGCCAACAGGTTCGCCGCACTGGAGTGGAGCTTTTTCGGAAGTTTTATCTTGTCGTCCTCCCTGCTGGCACCGCGATTTTGTTGCGCCAGAGCCGCGAGAGCAGCCTTACCCTCATCTAAAGGCGACGACCCGTTGTAACTGCTGCCATGGTCCTCGACGTCTCCAACAGCCTTCAGCAACGGCACTTTGCCAACAGTCGTTGGCAGCGTTGACGCTGGTGCACGACCTCGCTGCCGCTCCATTGGCCGCATCGGCGGCACGACCAGTGTTGGTGGATTCGCAGGACTTACGCTTCGCGAGATAGGACGCTCGTTGATGGGAAGTAGAGTTGCGCAACTGGTTTGTAAATTATCCGTCTCCGGATAAAACATTCTCGCGGGTGCCGCAGCTGCACCCACGACTCCGCCCGACGTCCTTGGCGGCTCATTTGGTCCACCTCGCTTGTTACCCCCGCCACCAAGCATCCGAAGTGTCCGGTCGTAGTGGTTTTCGCCGCTGTCGTGGTGCAACCACTGTGAGTTTCGCGTCGCGCTGTCATTCGTGTTACTTCCCGATATTGACGCGGATGAGCCAGCAGGGCCGTAGTGATGCATCGTTGGGCCCAGCGAATCGTCCCGCCCTGAGGACGTGAATTCGTCTGAGGACGTTGTATTGTTCACGAGAGACGCCCGCTTCTGCGTCGGCCTATTTGGTGCGGAAAGCTTCCCCGCGGTGGCATTGTTTCCTTTCCGAGGTGCTGGTGGGGCGGGATCACTCGTCTCCTGGTCCGCGCGAATTTTCGCAACTCGTTCCCGCGCGGTTCGAAGCTGTCGGTAGCTCTCTTCGAGCCGCGACTTCGCGGCCGACTTACTCTTATTCGCCGTAGCAGGAGTGCTAGCGATGCCTGTTGCGGTGTTCATCAACGTCTCTGGTGTAGCTGTACTCTTTATTACGGTGGTCACAACGGACGACCTATTCCTTGATTGCGTAGTCGGCTGCGCAAACTGTGGTTGCTTTTTTCCGTTGCCTTTGCTATTGACGCTCGCCCTATAATTGCTCACATTATTTCTACTCCGTCCTCTACTGGACATGCCGACGTCTTCTACATCCACCTCGTCGTCGAAGCCGCCTCTCTCTATCGCTAGAGAGGACCGCAGAGCCAAAGACTCACCCTCTGGTTTTTTCATTGTCAAGGGGTCGAGCCCTAACTGCTTCGAAAGCATGGCGCCGATGTCTGCGAGAGATTGGTCCGCGTTGTCGATAAGCTCCTGGTCTATCTCCGACTTACGCCTTTCTGGCGCACCCGCTTCACCCTCCGCGGCGATGTCGTTTTTGCCCGTGGAGGCCACAAACTCGGGATTTACTGCCGGGTCGTTTGCGGCGGGTACGTCGTCTGCGTCGTCTTCCTCCGGTTCGGGAACATACACCCCACGGGGGGCGGCTTGCGGTCTGGTCACCACCGTGGCCCATCGTGACGTTTCGGTGCCGTCCGCGTTTTTGGTTTGCGCCTTCTGGTGTGACATCCCGAACCCCGGGCCGCGATGCTCCAAGTCGACCTTCTTCACGTCGTTCCCCCGGGGGCTGGGAATGTACACCGCCGGGCCCGCGAATCCCCTTGGAGAGAGCATCCGTTTCGTTGCAGAGCCACCCGAGCCTGACTTGGCTCCACCACTGCTGTTCGGAGGTCCCGCCGAGCTTTTCAGGAAACTCGCCTTCAAGGCGGGGTCCAGCGGGTTCCCCCTGCTTGTCTTCGATGGCGTGCGTTCTTCTTGCTGCGCGACTGGGGATGGTCCAGTGATCCGGTCTGGTTCCTCCGCTATCGGCCCCTGTAGTTCCACAGCGCTTGGCCTCGCGTCAAGTAAATTTGGGCTAGCAACTGTTGCGGGGGTACTACTGCTTCTCACTGCGGCGGTCGCTCCTGCTGCCGTTCTGGTGAAATTCAGTCCCTCGATGTGTCCACCCTGCAGAGGATCTTTCCTTGGCGTCACGAACAGCGGCGAGTGACCCAGCTCCAACGGGTGGATGCCAATGTCGTCGTAGAAACGAAAGTGGCCCTTCTCATCACCTCCGCTGGAGGGAATTTTGCCGCTTCGATAGTCGATGGCGTTCTGCTGCAGGTTGAGGAGACTGGCCCGGTGCCCGGAGTTGGCGGTCATGGGAGGGAAAGCCGGCAGATACCGGCGGAGTTTGCCATCCGGACCGGCACCGGTGGTGATGCCGTAGGTAGGCGCATTCACTTCCTTTGGAGGCGTTTCCAAGGGCATCAGGACGCCAAGCGGCGGCACGACCCCGTTGACCTGAAAATCCGGGTGCCGCTCGGCCATCTCGTGGCGCGCCAATTGCACGTAGTCGGTTGGGCCTTTTGCGATCCGCGTCAGTCCCGACCTGGCGAACCCGATCGCGTTGGGACCGACAACCGCGTTCGGCACCCCAAGGAAGGGCCAGCTCGTGGGAAACAACATTTGTGGCACGTTGCGCGTATATACTTTGTTGCCCATCCCGCAAATGTGGCACCCCAGAATGCCGTGCTGCGCGCAACCGAAAACACTTCGCTGCAGGATCTTCGGCACGTGCCCAAATAAAGCGCCGACCGGCGGCAAGCCCTGGGGGCCGCCGGTATCCATCGTCGGGGCTTCCAATTCCCTGTTGTTGTGTCGTCCCTCTTGCCATATTCGGTCCTGCTGTGCGAGCTGTGCGGTTGGGAGAGAGCCAGGCCTGCGACTACCTTGGAGCGGGGACCCAAAGCTCGCACCGAGACCAACATCCTGTGGCACCTGATGTGGTTTTTTTTTCAACAACTACTCTGCAAGTTGATATAGAAATTTTTTTTGTACAACTCTAGAAATGCTTCGTTTATAAGTGCACTTGGTGCAGCTGCAGAAGCAGAAGATGAAAAAGGAACAGTGCATCAAAGAAACGTGTTGCGAGTTTACTGCGACAAAATTCAAAGTGAGAACACATACACAACTTACAAGCCCAAGCGGGAATAAAAAAGCAAGGCGGTCTTTACCTGTGCCGCGCCCCCGATTCCCTCCATCATCGGTAAGCTCTCTGGCGGCGCCCCTACTGGGCCGGACAGCCCCTTTCGCTCAAGCTCCTTGAAGTAATCCTGCACGTCCTGCAGGTTGCCACCTCTCTTGAAGATATCTTCGACGTCCGCCCACTTTTCGACCACCATGCTGCTGAACCTTCTGGGAGGCAGGGCTCCTGCGCCGGCTGGCTGGGGAGCCTGCTCTGCTGCTCCTCGGAGCGACCGCGCAGACGAAGCAGGCATGGATTCCGCACGCGGACTGAGGGCTGCTCCCGGCGTTGGTTCAAGCCCAAGCCCGGCGGCTTTTTTGCGATCCTCCTCGTTCAAAACGCGCTCGATCTCCTCCGCCGAAGCACCCTGATTCAGCAACTCCTGTACTTTGTCCCAATGGTCCAAGACCAGGCTGCTAAATCGGCGCCTTGGCGTTTCCTGCACCGTCTGGAACCCGCGATCGGGTGGAAAGCCGTCCGCTCCGGGAGGAGCGGCCACTCCGGCCCGGAGTTCGGCTTTGTCGAGAAGGGTTTTGCTTGTGTCAGGAATTGCACTCGTCCCGGCGTAGTTCGGGCCGCGCAGTGACGGATTTGTCGCGCCGGTCAGACTGGCCTCTATTTCGTCCAAGGTGGCACCGTTTTGCATCAGAGATTGCACGGTGTCCCAGTTGTCCACGACCATGGAGCTAAATCGTTTGTTCGTCATATTGAAAGGCTGACCTTGAGCTTGAGCTTGTGGTCCCACCGCACCAGAACCTCCGCCTGGGGCGGCGACGCCTGGTGGCACCACCGGCGCGGTTGTTGTAGCACGTCCTCCACCGAATCCCGGTCCCATGGAGACGCCTGCTTGTCCAGCACCCATCACCGAGTTGTCCATGCGAGACAACAAGGGACTGCCCTCCAAAGCAGCAGACGGCCGAGTTTGGTCGTTACCTCGTGGAAATAGACCTGGCGATTGCTTGGCGCCTGCTGGGCCTCCTGATGCGTTCGGGTTCAAATCCTCTGACTGCGCGAGCGATGAAGCGTTGGGATTCAATATCGACGCGCCGGCGCTGTCTTCATGAGGATTATACAACTTCTCGGCTGCGCCGGCCCCTGTAGTCCGCGGGTTCGGCGTGTACTGTACTTTAGTTCGACTCAGATTCTCGAATTTATCTGGTGGGAAGTCTTTTGGGGTAAACGGATGCGGGGTAGTCGATTTCTGCTGGTTCGCGGCGCTGTTATTCGTGCCTCGTTGTGATGCTCCTGCGGCAGTAGCAGGTATATTTTTGGTTGAGGAGCTACTGCTCTTTGCTGCGGCTGCGGCATCTTTTTCCTTGTTGCCGCGCGGACTGTACATCATGTTCACGCGCGCAAGAAGATCCCGCTGCGCGTCAGTATCCATCGGCTTCGGCGGCGTCGCTGGGGCAGCGGAGGGAGTGGCAGCAACTGCAAATTCGATTTTCGGTCTTGATCTTTGAGTGATACGCATCGTCAGCACCGTCTTCGTTTTTATTTGGAAAAAAGGCAAAAGGCAAATGCAATCAATCTGCTCCAAGCCAAACAAAGCTCCTTGATGATGTTTGAGTTCGTCTGCCTGGTGAATATCATGTATCAAAATCAACTCCGAAATTAAGTAAAAACAAAAGACTTAAACTATACTCCTGAGAGCTTTCTCGATTTCGTCCTCGGTGGCACCGGCATCTAGGAGTTGTTGCACAGTTTCCCAATTATCTGCGACCAGGCTGCTAAATCGTCGCTGTGCCTCAGGAACAAAGAGAAAAGGACCCTTCTCCAAAGCTCCCGCTCCTGTTTGTTCCTGCTGTGCTTTCCGTTTCAGCCCGTGGTCTTCTGTGTCATTACTTTCCACCAAGAGCGTCGGAGGCAGGAAAGAAGATGCTTCTTGTTCTTCCCGAGAAGATGACGAGCAACCCCCAAGCAGATCCAGCTCTGGAAGCTGCGACTGCGGTGCAGCGGCAGGTGCATAATTGTGACGTGCCGACACGGCGTCATCCGATGATGAAACTCCCTGGTCTACTATAACAGTGTCACTGTCAGCGTCTTGCTCTCGTGATACACTAGCTCCGTCGCCTATGTCCTCCATCGACGTCCCCGTCGTCCTCTTCCGCACTTTCGAAAAATGCGCCAACACTTTGGACTGCAGCGCGTTTGACACGCTGTTGGTCAGATAAGTGCTGTCCCGAAGGACCATACCTGTTGGCTGAGGCCTTGGCGGCGCTCTAGTTGTTCCAGGGCCTGTCGAGCTAGAAGCGTCAGAAAGAACTTCGATGGTGGACGGACGCTCATCATCCTTGTCACCTACATCAACAAGGTCGACCGGTGTCATGCTGATTGTTTTCCTTGTCTAGCTCCTCCCTTTGCCGTTCGTTCAATGTTGATTGCGATTCCCGTGGATGAAATGCAGTTGCGGATCGGCTTCTTCGTGATCCGCCCACTGATCCATGTGCTCGCGTTTTCCAAAAAATAAGACTTGCGTGTACTGCTCCACCGTTTGCATAGCAATGATGAAGATCGCGATCAACGTGAAGAGAAAAGAGAACCCCACGTAGAAACACGTTAACTCGTCGGTCGGAAAAAAGCTAAACACCAGCAGCCCGGACGACATTTTCGCGCGCGTCCGTGGTCTTACTGAAAAGTGTCGCCTTTATTTGATGTTGTGCTTGCTGGTGCGAATCTTCCCGGACGACGATGTTGAGACACTGCTTTTTCTTGTTGAAGATGTTTTGTGATTCTGGCTCGGGATTTTCTGGTCCAGAAAAAAAAAGGCCTACACGACTATTCGAGGACATCATCGTGATTCGCGATTTTGAACTTATGAATTATGCGCCTCAGAGTGGAACTTGAATTAGAGTTTTATTGGGTTCGCGGGGAAGACGGGAAGTCCAGGTCAAGGAGTGGGAATCGGGAATACTATACGTTAATGTGAATGACCCTGGTGACGAAGGGAAAAATACGGCTTTCCCCTCAGAACTAAAGGAGACGTATCATTGTCATATGAGATATGATGCCGATGGCACTAACCACGATGAATTCACGAGGACGATGGAGGAGTATTTTTGCACGATGTCACCGGTGGTTGTGTAGTACGACACATACGAAACCGACTGGAATCGGAATGTCTGCCTTTGAATGTTGGTACTGTGGACGAATAAAATAATACGCCGGAGCAATAGAGGTTCATACGGATGCTGCAGATGAAACAAACCGATAAGTCAGAATCACGATGGGAAACCGATACCGAAGTTGGTTCAACATTGATCGCCTTTGCTCTATGTAGCCAGTCCGATATTCGGTTGCGAAGCAGAACGATACCGACGAGAGAGCCATGCTTCAGCTTTTCCTTCATAGACACGTTGTTCAACATTGACTTGACTAAAATTTGACTTCGTGGTTCAATTCCATTGAAGGAATACGAATACCTTCGCAAAGATGATTGATTTATCATCTTCACGCTACCGAATCAATCGTGCAGGTCTTGCCTGTGTCTTTTTTTATAACGTGACAGTATGCTCGACGTATGCAGCTTTATTGTCTACTTCATCCTTTGCAGGTTCTTGAGTCATATGTTCCGGAGAACCAAGATAGCAAAATCGGGAAAATTGGGAAAACGAAAAAAGAAATCACGCAAGCGTCCTGGTGTGGCTCTAGTCATTCTCGATCATCGGACTCCGTTGGGCATATGCTGCTCGTGCTCCACCCTGTGCAGCATCGTCTCGAACCGGACAGCCGCAACACTATCTCAATACTACTCCGGATTTTAGCGTAAAAAAGGGCTTTGGAAACGCAGCCGAGCTGAAAGAAATTTGCCGCAGAAGACTCACAGCAAAATTTTCATGAGAGTCCGCGAACAAATTTTGCTCATGGAAATCGGGACAAAAGAGTCCGCTTCAAAATTTCGAAACAAAATAAAAAACAAAACCCGAAACAAAATTTCGAAACAAAATTAGAAAACAAAATCGCGAAAAAAAAATCGCGAAAAAAAAATCTAAACTACTGCAACAAAATCGCGAAAACCTGAAAAATAGGCGGCGCGAGCGAAAACAAAATTGCTCCGCGCCGATTTTCATCGCGATTTCAATGGGTTTTCGTGGGTCCGGCGGTTTTCGCGATTTTGTTCACAAAGCTGCATTTTGAATTTTCCGCAGCGGAGCGGGGACCTGAGGCTTGCTGCGGAAAAATTGGCGGCGCCCGGCGTCAAATTTTGCCCGGGGGGCGGGCAGCGTCAATTTCAGGCGGGCGCCGGGCAACGGAATTTTGGCGGGCGGCGTGCAGGAATTTGAGCGGCGGCCTGCGGCGCCGAGTTTTGTTCGCGCGACTGCCTCTGCGGTTTTGCTCGCTCTGTCACATCGATGGGCGTGCGAGTTTTGTTTCCGAAAGGACGAGCGAAACACGAGCGCAACCCGGAGCCCCACAAGGACAAGGCTTCGCATGCCGTGGGCACTTACCGCGCTCCTTCTTTTTTTCCTTCTCTCTCACAACCGTCAAAATTTAAATACCATATGATTTTTTTTGGTTAACATGCCAGAATCTAAACGATTGCGTCTAAACTTTCAGACCGAAACGAATAGGCGTCGAAACGATCGCCCGCGGGTCTAAACTATCAACGCGACGGCGCGAGCCTTGCTGGGATTGCAGTCCGTCTGTGCTTTCTTGTTGTCGGAGACTGGCCGACAGGAGAGGGGCCGCGATGGTGGCGAGAAGCAACCAAAAGGAGGCAGAGGGGAAAAGAATCGAGGAAGGGGAAACACAGGGGGGCGGGCGCAAAACGGCGAAAAAGAGAGTCGTCGGCCAGGGCAGCCGCCGCCGGCCGGCCGGCGGCGGCTGCCCTGGCCGACGACAAGAAACCCCAAACCCTAGACCCAAAACCCAAACCCTTGAACCGTTTTCACTTTTGTATGCAAAGTTGAGAAGTTTAGAGATCTTTCCAAACGTTTACGCGTTTGGTCCAAGCGTTTAGTTCCGGGGGTGCAGTTTAGATTCTGGTATGTTAGCCATTTTTTTTCCAGATTTTGCAGATTTTGCTATCTTGGGTCTCGGAACATATGACTTGAGCGGTCGCAGCACCAAGAGAAGCACTATCTGTAGAATCTTGCATCGACCTCTCATTTCAACTCTCAGCCACAAGCTGGCTTGGAGGAGGTGCACCCGTGACCACGACGTCGTCAACATCTTCTCCCTCAACATCTTTCGCGTCCTCCGGGTCCATTGCGGGCGTGCTGCTACGCCTCGTGCGTTGTCCTTCCTGCCAGTTGTCTTTCAGACTAGTCGACTCTTGTTCCGCCAGCTCGGCAAGTATTTTCTCCGCGGGCTGGGCTTTCGCCGGCACCACGTTGCACGCCATAAGTTGTAGTCCATCGGCGGCGCTCTCATTTCCGTCATCACTTTGCTGTGCCATCCCCGCACTCGCGGCGGTCTTCAACGGCCAGCACATTTTGATTCGGTGGCCCGTGAGAAAGCTACAGCCCTTCGTGTGCTCGGCCTCCACCCTGCTCGGGAGGCTGATCTGCGGCTCCCAGAGAGGCGGGGTGTTTCTTTTGCTCGCGGCGTACCTGTTCGAAAACTCCTCCAGGCTGTCGAACACGCACTCAAAATGTCGCTCCGGCTTCAGCACCTCCCGCAAGTATTTGTATCCGCGGGGACACGTGAAGGTGAGCGGATCGCGGTAAACCGTGTTTCTCGTTGCCTCGACCTCCTCATCCTCGCCTGGACCGCCGTGTGGAGGGACATCGGCATCTTCAGAGGACACAGCAGCTCCACCGCCACCAGGAGCTTCCATTGCACCAACATCCTCCCGTAAATCCGGGAGCTCGACAACACCGTCTACGCCCTTGGTCTGGATCGGCTTCATCTCCTCCGCGGACGAGTTTTTCTTGCTCAAAAAATTCGGTGTGAGAAACTCTTTGGCCCGGGTTAGCCGTGATTTCGGCCCAGCAGGTGGTACAGCTGGAGCGGGAGGCCCCTGCGCAGTAAAGAAATACTCATCGGGCTGCAAACTGTTTGTGCCTTGCTCCAGCAACGACCGGATCTCCGGCAGATGACGTTGCATGTCGATGGTGGTGAGGTCGTCCTGTTCTTCCTGTAGATGACGATGGGCATGGAAATCTCGAAATCGACGACAACTACGTCACGCTCCGTTTACGGCCGATGACGAGGTCGACCAGCGTTTTCAATGCGGAAGAAAATAAACACTACAGCTCCTCTTAGTAGAAGTATGGTAACCGAGGAACAAGTAGCGAGTGGTGATTATGATGGTGCACACCATGTCAAGTGGACCGACGAAAAGAAATCATCTTTTCCATTTGCCGTTCCGAAACAATCAAAGCACCAACACCACCACGATAAACGAATGAACGATTAAATTTAAGATTGCCGTCGACGAAAATAATCTCTCTCTCGAAAACAACAACGAGACAGCGACACCTGATCATATATTTAAGACGACAACAACCGATCTTCGAACGACCCGCACGAGGACGACGAGCTACAACATTCATTATGCACGACTTGTTGACGATGATCAATCTTCAGTTCATTGTTCGATTGGAGACGCCATTGACAGGAATGATCATGTTTTCTGTAAGTACTGTCTGCCGACCACAAGCGTAGTACAGCGACGGAAATTAATTGTGATCGTCTTGCGCATCAAGGCACAGATACATGCGCGGACGACGTACCGAGCGCAACCATCTGATTGGTTTACTATCAGCATCTACTCTGTCTGGATCTTCATAAAATCTTCAAAGGAAGGGCGTGCGGATCCGCTGGAGCTACAAATAAGAGGGGATTGTTAATGGAACTTCGTCGGATGGAAATGATACTTGTTGATTTGATAAGGCGGCAGATGTTGCGGCGAATCAGCTCCGACCTCGCACGATCGGTTCACAAATTGTGACAAGGTAGCCAATGTCGACACTACAGCTGCGATAAGTATTCTACTTTCTCCTATGTGTACATAACGAAGTGGATCGGGGGGAGCACGACTAGCTGTACTGTAGTATGTACAACATACCCAAATCGATGAGGATAACACTGACTGGCACCCTCAGTGCCACTTGTTGCCTTCATTTTGTACTGAAGATCGTACGCACACGGAGGAAGTAGCGCGCTAGTACTCTAACTGCTCTCAGTGCCACTCCCGCTGCCACTTCCACTTCCACTGCCGCTCCCACTCCCGCTGCCAGCACTTTCACCACTTTGTTCGCTACGGTTACCGCCGGAGAAGGAACTCGCCGCGGCCCCGGAATTGGCGCCCGATGAGCCGGAAGCGGACGACGCACCTGAGGACCGCATCGCAGACTTCACCTTGGAGGCCCGGGTGGTCGAGGGACGCGACGAGGCACCCCGACTGGTGCTACCCCGCGCCGAAGTAGAACCGCGCGTTCCACTACCCACCCTACTGCTACCCCGACTCACGGCCGAGGCCGCTTGCGACTGGTCGATGCTGCTGGCCGACGACGGCACCCCCGACGAAGCGGCCGAGGAGCTCCCACTACTTCGCGCCGAGGCCTTTTGCGTCGACTTCCGGACCGACGACTTTGCGGACGAGAGCATGCTGGATGCCGGTCCGCCCGAACTCGAAGACGAGGAATTTGACGATGCTCCGGACTGCCCTCGCGTTTGCTTCGCGCCAGTCGCTCGGCTGCTAGCAGCGCGGGTGCTGGCAGCGCGGCTGCTGTCTGGGCGGCTGCTGTCTGGGCGGCTGCTGTCGCCGCGGCTGCTTTCACCCGCACGGGAGGACTCCATGCTGCTGCCGCTGGATCGCATGCTGGACGACACGCCGGACACGCCGGAGGCGGACGTAGCACTGCTCCCGCCGCGGGACGCAGACGCCGCGCTACTTCGCGCCGAGGCTTGCGTCCCGCTGCGGGCCTCGTCGCTCGAACCGGTGGACGAGCTGTCCGAAACGGACTCAGCGGAGGAGATACCGCTGCGGTTCAGGATGGGCTTCTTCCCAAGGTGCAGGCGGTATGACAGTGCACAACTCCCCCTGCCCCTTCCCCTCATTTGTTAGCATGAACAGCAATACAAACACCAGCACACATGGAGCAAGTGCATGACAAGTTCATGCGCCTAGTGTAGTACTGTTTGGGCTTCCGGAATCTGTCATGCAAACAGTGCCACAGGGAGGCACTTGGATCTGGGGTTTTGCATGACAAATGAGGGGGAGGGGGAGTTATGCACTTTCATATGCGGTGCCCCAACGGATCCCGATCCGCGTCAAAGTGTTCCTCGTCTCCATCCAACAACTCGCCGCGCAAATTCTTCTTCGCCTCCTTCACATCCGGCCGCTTCTCCATGATATGCGCGCCGTCCCTGGTAATATTCAATGACAATGTAACTGTTAAAGATGAAGATCTTGTTCCATCGTCATAATCATGCACGAAAAGGTACTACTGCCAACAACAACAGAAACCAAATAAGGAACAGGACGGGCCAACGAGGACTCTTCCTATGAAATAAAAATGTAAATGATCAAGAAAAAATTCCCCGTACTGTATGGCCTCGATTTCGCGCAGCACGCCCCCCTTCGCTTTAGGTGTTTTCGTGACTCCGAGATCCACGAAGTCGCGCGGGCCGAATCCGTAGGGAGACCAGACCATGTCCTCGTTGAGCCGCGCCTTGCTCGGTTTGGCGAGGAAGCCGAGCCGCTCGTTGACGGCTTGAATCTTGTCGTCGAGGGCGTCCATGAGCGCGTTGAGCTCTGGGCCGGTCTTCAGGTTGCCCAACATGTAGTCCTCCATTTGCTTCTTCATGTACCCGAGCTCCTCCAGCTCCCTCTCCAGCTCGTCTTTCTTGTCGGGCAGCGGGCGGATCAGCAGCCGCCCCATGGGGTCGTCCTCCAACTGCTTGGTCAGATGCTGCCGCTCGATCAGGTCGATGCCGGTGTTGTCCTGGTCGTTCACCGTGTTGTAGTAGTCGCTGAAGCGGCGCTGGAGCAGCTGGCCCAGCGCCACCACTTGCGAGCTGTCCGCGGGAGAGCCGCCGGCCCGCAGGAGCCGGTCCTCGATGCCGTCGTTGCGCATCATCCCCGACTGGTTCTTCACGTTCTGCGGCAGGTTGCGCTCCCGCTCGAAGTACTCGTTGCGGCAGTTCCGCAGTTCCTCCTGCAGGTCCACCAACATCTGCAGCAACTTCCGCTGCTTCGTCAGCGCCGACAACTCGCTCTGCGACTTGTCGTAGTCGCCGCGCGTTAGGTACCTGCGCTGCCGTTCGCTCCGGTCCTGCAGAATCTGCGCGCACCGCTGGCGGACCTGACGGGTGCGCATCTCGATGTCCACGAACGTGTGGGCCAGCTCCTGATTGCGCTGCCGCAGCTCGTGCAGCGTGCGGAGCAGGTCCGTTTTCTGGCTTATCCGGTGCGCGAGCTTGAACGAGTGGCCGACGATGGAGAACGGGCGGCGGGAGCCGCTGGAGATGGCGCCGTGCAGGAACGCGTCGTGTGTGAGCGTGTTCGGGTTGTTCGAGAAGTTCGGGCCGTTGTTCTCGCGCAGTTTGTGCAACTCGCGCTTCTCCTCGGCGCACCGGGCCGCGTACCGGGTTTCGGCGCGCAGCAGATCTTTCAGGTTCACGAACCGCTCTTCCAGAATCGAGATCACGGCCAGGTCGATCCGCCAGAACTGCAAGAACACCTTCGCGTGCTCGCGGCGCTGCATCACCGTCATCTCCCGGGTCTCCGGCGCGTCGCCCGACAGGTCCGGGTTCTGGACCTCCGCGATCACTTTCAGCCGCATCAGTGCGGTGCAAAAGTCGTCCTCGTCCAGGACCCGTTTCGTGTCGCGCTCCATCCGCTCCAGAAAGGCGTCTGTCAGTGGGTCCCCGAACCCCTCCGGGTTCTTGTCTGTGGGTTTCTTCTTCGGTTCGCCCGTGATGCTCAACAGCTCCTGTTTCACCAGTCGCGGAACCATGGGCCGCAGCGCCGAAATGGTCTTCAGGCACAACAGCACTTGCGCGATACCGTTCTGCAACGTTTTCGCCTTCCTCTGCAGCTGCATCAGGTGGAAGTCGTCGTACAGGAAATCGTCCTCCAAGCCACTGCTGCGCCCGGAGCTCCCCACGATGAAGGGATTCGCCTTTGAGGGGTGGTTCGGCATGGGAATCGGGGGCGGGCGCAAGACCGTGTCGCTGTTGGCCGCCCGCCGGGCGTAGTAGTTAAAGGCGGTCTCCGCACCACCATAAAAACTGTCACTGGATGACGAGGAATCGTCCGGAATCTGGGGCGGGGCAGCTCCATAGTTGTCAAAGTCGAATCCATAACCCGAGGCGTAGTATGCTGACGTCGAACTGTCGCCACCACGCTCGCCCGGATAGAACTGGAAGGGAGCTGCCGTGGGCAGAGCGGCGAAAGGTTTGAAAGAGATTTGAGAAGCCTTCTCGATACGGACATCTGAATCTTCTTGGTTTTTACCTTGACGGGTAGAAGATGATCCTGCAGAGGTCACGGACCCAATGCTGAAATCCAGTTTGTAGTTCAACGTCATTGTCGTCACTTGACACAAATAAATGAAGAAGAAGCAAACAGAAACTGAAACACAGTCATCTTTCACTTTTTGAAAAAAATCCAAATCCCCTACCTAGTACTCGTTCACTGACAAGATATAATTTCAATTTTGTTGCTCCTGGGCCGCCAGATGTGGAAGCGACTGCATCATCATCTGGACGAGAAAATATAAGCGAACCGTTACTCTAGGTCTAGCTCGGACCCGGTGGCAGAACTACAACATCGTATTGCAACATCAACGACCCGAAAATGAATTTTGATTTTCATCTTTTTTCGAACCACGAAAGCACCAAGAACCACGATGACGATATTACGATAGATTGACGATCACCACGAATATTCACAAGGACCTGGAGGATTCTCTTTACTGCACGTGGGGCCAAGGCCATGTGCCAAGGTGAAGCGAACCTTCTTGGTTGTAGTTGTAATCGTACTTTTTTGCTTTATGTCAGCCGAAAAATAGAGAAACAAGCGAGTAGATGAGTTCTTCCCGATTGAATCTCGAGCTGGACCAGAACAACAATCAGAGACGACCCGATCCTACACATCGCATTCACGTCGAAGCCGATTGAAGAACACTACTACTGGAGTGATTCTGTGCTCGTCGCAGCGCTTCGTCGACGGAATCAAATGATTGAAAAATCTTGGGCATTGCTTTGTTTCTGGCTCCGTCCACAACATCTCTCTTGGAGATAACATTACAGCAGCACTTCAAGAAGAATATTGTCGCGTGATTTCACCATGCTGTTCCATGGGAAAGTTTCAATCAGCTCTCGTGATGCGCATACGCACTGTCTTTTCCGGAAGACAATCCTACTCGTATCGGCTTTGCCGCAGCCCGATGGAGGTATTGTGGGAGTCTCGTGCAAGCGAACCCTTCAACGAGTACAACAGACCGGCGGAAAAAAACCAGAAGCAGAAGGCAATCGAGAACGCGAGTCGGCGGCCGAATAACGTGACCAGGAGCACGATTACGGTGGGACCCAGCCCCTTGCCCAAGTCGTCGCACAGTGTGAGCGCGGAGAAAACGGTTCCCCGTTGGCCACTCTCGTTCAGGTTCATAAGCGTGGCACGCACGTTCGGCCCGGCCACGGCCACCAGGCCCCCGAAGCCGGCAAGCAATACCGAGAAAACGGTGGCGCGGCCAGTACTTGCGTTTGCTATCCAGTCGGGACTGCAGTTGATCAACAACAGGAATGGCAGCACGCCGAGGGCGCAACAAAGCGCGAGAAAACGGCAAAACTGATTCTTGTTCGTCTCGTAGAGTCGCTGGCCAAGAGCCCCGCCACTGAACGTCAGTGCAAGACTTGCTACACCCCAAGCACTTTGGACCAACACCGTGCTCTGCACTGTCATCTTCTGCTCGGATACTGTTTGTGTTTTGCTTTGTTTTGGAGTTTCGCTGATAGTTCGAAAGACAATGAATAAAAGTTCGAGACGTCTCTCTTCGTCGCACTAGCCAAAAACTACAAAGCGCACAGATGATTCACACCGACACATCCAGAATCGAGTAAATTAACGTGAACTTGAAAAGTTACTGAAACTCTGAAACATTGACAAAAGATGGACAAAGAAATACTTAGATAATCCGGCAGGAATGTGAGTATGAGGGACACTGGGACACATCCGGGAATGGCTTGGAGAAGGAGAATCTTATTCGACTCGACATGGGCGATGTCACGAAACTTGCCGAAATCCATGTCCTCCATCCGTATGTATCCTTGCTCTGCTTGCATTTCTGTGTAAGCTTGTCTCCCTCCCGCCCAGGCAGCGGCCCAATCTGCGCTTTTATCTGCAATAGTACGTGAATATTCGAATGTGTTAAAGTGTTCTTCTTCTTCAAGATCAACTAATAAAAATAATACCTTCAGTGGAGTTCAAGATGCCTAGGAAAGCTATCGCTCCTATTTCTTTTCTACGTGGCGAGAAAACGCCAAGGCATCTTGCACGAGCATATAAAAAAGTCATCTTCTTGGTCTTTAACTTGAAGATGCACCAGCAAAATCTGGAAAACTTTAGTTAGAGTTAGACTTCAAGTTCAAACCTACAAACATATACCTGGCCCCGACACGCTGCCCGCACTTGCAGATCCAGCAGAGGCCATGCGGGGATCTTTCAGAAACATTTGCACCGCAACCGAGGCGGCGAGCTGCAGGATAGAGGCGAGAAAGTACGGCGTGCGCCAGGCACCGTCCCCACCGATCATTCCGGAAAACATGCTCCCTACCGCGGCCCCGACGTTAGCCGAAGCGCCAATCGACGCGGCCACGAAGCTGCGTTGGGAGGAGGGAAACATATCTCCGCAGAGGGAGTTATGGGAGTGTCAGGATTGAAATCGGCAAAGTTGAAATGATTTGTCATGCATAAAATGCGACGCAAAAAGTGACTCTATTGCAGAGGAAGCACGGGAGGCAGATTAAAGTCCTGGCAAGGGTCATAAGTTGGACTGCTGACTAGCATGACAGAAGGCAGCTCTTTTGCCCTAAAACGCATGACAGACTCGCTTCCAGGACCGGGAAAATTTGTCATGCACCGACTACAAACTGTAGGTCTAACTGGTATCCGTTTTATGCATGACAAACTATTTCAACTTTGACGATTTCAAACCTGACGCTTCCATAGGAGTAGAGGACCGGAAAGCACCCCCCGATACTCACCCCGGAGGCGACGCGGCACAGGAAGAAGTAGAAAAACCCCACTTTGCTGTTATGCATTGCAAATGTATCGTACTAGTATAAATCGCATGACAAATTTGCTCAGCATGAGAAATGAAATTTGTCATGCTGTTTTACCTTGGATAATGCATGACTGCAATTACTACGAGTACGATACTTTTGCACAGGATAGCTGTTCGGGAGGAACGACGCAATGGACAAGTTCAGCACCGCCGAAAGAAACAGTAATCCGGTCAGCATGATCGCCCGGTCGCTCTTGTCCGCAATTGGACCCACAAAAACGCTGCACGCGCCGCCAATTATGAAGAAACCGAGCTGCACCAGACCACCGAGACGGGCGTCCTTCTCCATGGGCGTCAGACCTGAAAAAAGTGAGCGACGCAGTCGTGCTGGCCAAAGCGATCTCGTTCTTTCGTGTGCAAAACCCAAAACGGACGAAAGTAAATACACGATAGTGCGGCCCACTGGAGAAGTAATGATCACCAGCATATACAAAGAAGGCGCTGAAGCAGGCAGTAGCAGAGCCAGAACCACTTGCGAGATATAATGCGGTGGGTATCAAAAAAGATGAAAGCTATGTATACCGAAGTCTTCCGCAAGTCTGGAAAGGTGGGGCGCCGCCATATTCAAATCCGCGTGCAATGCTGCCGCCGCGCCACACAGCAATGAAAACATCATTTTCATCTGTGGCGTCATCGCAGGTCGGTTGCCGCCGCCTCGTGCGCCGGGCAGCAAAGCCCCGCCGGGGGGTCCGCCGCCGGATAAACCGCTTTCCGGATCTCTGAACACGTCGGCGTAGGAAAATGAAAAAGCATTATTCGGAGCTGTGCTTGAGGAAGACGGCGAGGGTCCCCCGGCGTAATTAGGTCCGCGCGACCGGACTCGGAGGTCGCTGGTGTCGTACATGCCGGGCTGACTTCCGCTGTAACCAGGCATCCAGCAGTAAAACGCTGCGGGTCAAGGAGCTCAATCAGAATCACTGTCCGCTCTCGAAGAATCAGGTCTACTTTCTGATTTGCTCGCTGCGAGCGCGAATTATGTTGTCGCTGTGGAGCTGGAGAAGATGAATCGACGTCGTTCGGTTGTTCTTACAATTCTGTCTTCAGTTTTTCTTGTATCCCCAGCTGTAATTACATTTACGCTGTGTCTGTAACGTGAACTTGTTGAAGATGCTTTAGTGTCCAGGTTCCGCGTTGTATTTCATCGCCCGGGCCCGATTGCGATTATAAGCAGCGCAGTTCTTTAGCGACGTTATTTCTACTGCACTGGTGATTCCGAAACGCGGCTCACGCCATCACCCAGCGATGATCATCGTCAGCACCAACCAACGGACCACCAGGTTTCCCTAGCAATACCAGGCAGGGAATGTACGCAGTGTTGCTGTGCTGTTGGTGATCGGATCGATGAACATGTATCTGGAAAATGTAAAGCTTCTCCCCTAAACGTCGAAAATGTAAATGTTGCGTGCTTTGCAAAAAGTCAACAGCCAGAGCCACGGCACACGGGCGAGACCTACTATATAATCATGATCTGGTGAAATTCATATCGTTTCGTCGATCGTGAAAAACATTGAAACTAGTCGAAAAAAAATATGCACGAATCGCTGAAGGTGAAACTAGTCGTCAGTAAGATTCTGCATTTCGAATCTGACAAATAAGAACGATATTCACTGCGCCGACAAAAAGTCGAAGCGAAAGCGAATGCATGTGCGATGAAGGTAAATCGAACAATGAAACTCAGGTGGCATATAAGTCTAGGGACAGTTTTGCAACTGCTCGCAATATTTTGAGATTGAGTAGAGCAGTGAATATCATACTTATTCATATACACTACACCTGCTGCGGTCTGTCGCCTTTGCTTATGTTGTAGGTCAAAAAATTATATCGCAGTCTCACCGAAACATCTCACGACCAGACAACTCCTGGTCGTCCTGCTCTCGTTCTCGATTTACAAACATACGACTCAGACTAACAAAACGGAAAAATGGCGCCATCTCCGGTCAGCGGTTTTGAGAAAGAGGGCGGCGGAGAGTCAGAGACGCAAAAATCGACTCACGAAGAAGTGCGCACCACTTGCATGCTGCTCAGGAACAACTTTATGTTCATCGGTGAACGACCAGTCCGAGTCTTGAATTTCGATCTGCAGCAGCCTGCAGCGACGCGAGTTCTTGTATTTGTCCCATAAGCATGCAGGACGGCGTGTATCTGTATTTACGCTGTGATTGTGTAGCAACCGCGTCCATGTTGAAAATTGTTCACCACTTCATCGGAAAAAGGAGGAGCAGGCCTGATGTAGTACATGATTGCGATTGATCAAGCGGTCGGACAACATACGGCCAGGTCACAGCTTTGACGGTGTGACGACCCCAGCAGTTCCAAGACGCACTGCAGCGGTCTCCGTCAAAAAAAGCTTTTCTCTGAGGTTCTCCGCGACCGGAAAGGCGGACTGGATTGTGATGGCAGCTGCTTCCATTCCCATCAGGACAGAATGGATCAGCGGGAGCTTTTCGTACACGCAGGCATACGCCAAGACGCCCATGAGCGTGTCTCCCGCTCCCGTTGTGTTCACTATGCGCTCTTTCGAAACAACAGGCAGCTTCAGCTTCGCGATGTTCTTGTCTAGCAGCTGGATCGTTGCGGCGCGTGGCAGATTGCAAGATGAAGTAGTAAGGGCAGAGCCGTCAGGCGAAAAGACCAAACACCCATCGCTCCCGCAGGTGAGCACGACCGTAGGCGGCACTGCGTCGCTACCAAAGAGTTCCTTGCACAAACTCGCGAACGCATGTAATAGTCGCACCCGTTCAGAATCGGTTTCCTTTGTGCCAGTCCCTTCCGTGGTGTTGTGGTCCGTGGCTTTTTGCCATTGCTTCGCTCGTCGCTTCTGCCCCTCGGCAACAAGGGCGCGGAGCTCGTCATAGTTTGGCGTGATCAGAGAACACCTGCAGATATCGTTCATCTGCTTCTGCTTCAAGCACGCCATCAGGTCGTAAAAGCGCAAAGACTTCACGGTAGACACAGGCTCAAACCAGATCTGGGAGCAGCGTTCTCGCAAAGTCGCCGGATCGACTTCCTGGAGCCGGGCTGCAAACTCGTGCAAGGTCGCAACGGACACGTTGCCATCTACAATGAACAGACTTTGCGGAGGACGGGTTTCCACTATTGATGTCGGCGTATGGTCGTGATCTACTCCCTCGGGCGGGTGGCTGGATGATGTCGTGGCTGATGCAGGAGCTGCAGGAACGACGAGCGGCGGGATCCGGATGTTTTGCAATATGTCCATATCGGCGATGGCAGAGACCAAGTCTCCTGCGTCGTCCATCACCGCGACGTACTGGGCGGTTCTTAATGCGCTGCTGCTACTACTAGTTGGGTTTGCATTGCAAAAGTAGCATACTACTGTGAACTGCAGTGCACATTTTTGTTTTTCGAAAAAGAGAATGAGAAACGCAATTTGTCATGCTGGATATTTTGGATAATTAGCATTACCACGGGGATTATTATATAAACGTTAGCGCTCAGCGTTACTCGTACACTTGTCACGCATGACTGTAAAAATTTACCGAGTGCAATACTTTTGCACTGAATAAGAATATGGTGGGATCTTCTGAAGAAGGCACTGCTCCGACTTTGGTGGGAAAGTCAGCATGATGTCGGGCGACGTGGTGGTCACTGCTTACAAGGGAAATGTATATGCACTGCAAAAGCATCGCACTTCTAGTAGTAATTGCAATACAAATTCGCTCAGCGTTACAAATGGAATTTGTCATGCTGGTCTGCCTTGGAAAGAAGATTTGTAATGTATGACTGCGATTACTACGAAAACGATACTTTTGCACAGGATAATGCAATGTTTTTTGCAATTCTGTTCCACAAGAATCCCGGCAGGGTCGTTGCCGACCCGCGAAATAAGGCAGGCTCCGGATGTTGATGTTGATCGAGCAGCTGCATCAGCGGGGTTCAGGTTTGCGAGTTTACAGATCGCCTCAGCGATGTTTCGTCCCACGCCACCGCACTGGATATGTACTTTCCCAGGTAAACTCGTTTTCAGCTGGTACGTTTGAGTGGCTGTGGCTTCTGGTCGACACACATAGTCGACTGTGGCGCCCCCTATCACCGTGATTTTGCAAGGAGCTTGCTCTTGTTCGGATTTTTGATCTACTTTCCAGCCGGTGGAGCCACAAGAAGAACCGCTACTGCTAGACGAGGTCGTTCTTGCTGCAGATGAGAAAGTCACGCCGCCAGCAGTCGTGTGCTCTTGCTGCCCTGTGGAGCCGGCAGAAGTTGCTGTCCTCTGGACGAGCCTCTGGTCATACAGAGCCTTTCCGATTTCCGCACCCAGCTTCGCGTTGTTCTCGACGAGCGCGATGTTCGCCGCCAAGGACTTCCCTTTCGTGAGCTCGTTGACTCGTTTCAGCAAAAACGGCGTGACGTCCTTCCCCAAGATATGTTTCTTTTCTGCCTCTACTACCGCCGCCTCTATGGCCTTCTGGGCCTCCACGCATTCCTTGTCTTTCGGAATCGGGTTGCAGAGAACCAGCCCTGTCTGCAGGCACTCGACCTGGATTTCGATTAGGTGCGCCGCTTCGGTAGCGGACATGACTTTCGAAACGACGGGCAGTGCCTGCGCTTCACCGCGGGTGAAAAAGGTCGGAAAAACGTCGGTCCGAAACCCGACCACGGGACAGCCTTTCGTTTCCAGCACCTCTTGCGTCTTGGGCAAGTCCAGGATGCTCTTCGCGCCCGCACAGATCACAGCCACTTTGGATCTGCCGAATTCCTCCAAGTCAGCGGAAATGTCGAACGTTTGGTCCGCGTTCCGATGGACCCCGCCTATCCCGCCGGTCACAAAGAGCCGGATTTTCTTAGTCCAATCCGCAAACAGCATCGTTGTCGCGACCGTGGTCGCACCGCACTGCTTCTTCGCGAGCACATCTGCGACGTCCCGGCGCGATACCTTCCTGATCTGCGGCCCAGTTTTGGCGAAAAACTCTAGCTGTGCCCTTTCCAAGCCAATGTGTACGATCCCGTCAAGAATTGCGATCGTCGCCGGGCAGGTCTTTTCTGTGCGGAGAATCCCTTCCAAACGCGTTGCAACTTCCAGATTCTGGGGAAAAGGCATCCCGTGGCTGATGATCGTGCTTTCCAGCGCGATAACCTCTTTATTCTGCCGCATCGCTGCCTCCACCTCACTCGAAAACTGTAGCAGTTTCGATGGTAGTGTAGGCAATGGCCATTGCTGCGTCACCGACTGCGTCTGTGATGCGCTCATTTTTGTTTGCGTTCGTGCCTTCGGCCTTCGCGTCGTAGCTGAGTGAAGAATCGACACGTACGTAGACCACCTTCTCACAGCACTATTAGTTTCAAAAATAATCACTTTACTTTTCCATCTATTCGTAATCCTAAACGCAGGCCCTCATACCCCCCTGGCTGAAACTTCACAAGCAACAAAACAGGTGCAGAGCCGTCTCGTCACTCACACTCGACGGGGTCCTTTTTCATCTGGAACCCATCTCTACCCCAGTAACGTGTTGGTGTGTGACATGCGCGGAGCAGTGCGGCGCCATTTTCAATTTGCTTTCGTTCGTTCCTTCAATACCACTGCAAGAACTGTACTTCGCTCTCTTACTCTTACCCTGATTGATGTGACTTTTTTCCGTTGCCTCTCTTGTTGTAGTTTTGCTCCTTGTTCTGCTGCAACAAGTGCAACGCAAAAAGAACGGTGCAGCTGCATGATGGCTGAGCAAGATAAATACATACTGAGTAACACAACCCAACACTGGCTCATACAGATTCTTTTTCTTAGTACATCATGATAATTACAACATCCTCGACAGAAGACCACGACGAACAAAAGTGCTTCAAGTTCCCCCGACCGGGTCGCACACATTTTGCTGCTACATCGGTGAAACAGAAAATTTGCACACAACCCTGCTGCGCGTTCGTCCATCGCGCAAGCACCACATCATAGCTTCATCTATATCAAAGTACAAACTTCTGGCAGGGCGGAAAGTCGTGGCCAGAGTTGCTTTGCGTATTTTTCAAAAAAAAATAAGCTAGCACAACAGGACCAGGAGTGTTACGTCCATAGATTGATAGGATTGTAAAAAGTGAATTTATGGTGAGATAAACAACTCCAAAGCGAAAGTCCGCAATCATGAGCTGGAGGTGGAGACTGCACAAAAACATTAGTATCATACAAGAATTTATCACATTTTTTCATGATCGTGTCACCCACAATATTCATTTTCATTATCAATCAGAATCATCATTATAATCATACAGCTAAACACCGTGAGTTGGAGTTAATAAGCACAACTTGTAGTAGTGGTTCTGGTTCTGACTAAGCACTTCCGTAAAGCATCATGAACACTTTACGTCATGAAAATGTTTGTAGCTTTTGTCGAAATAGACTTTCGGTTCGCAATTGGCTTATTTGTGTCGCATAGAAAAGCAGAAGAAGATACGATATACGATAGAAATGTTTTGTTGTAAAAAGAAGCGCTCCGGCTCTTTTCCGTCCGCCAACGACGAGACCCCGCCGTGCTACACAAAAGCGAGCTCGATAAAAACTTTTTCAGGGGCTCGCTGCTTCGTCTGGTGACGAGGTCGCACCACTTTCTGCTGTGTCGCGTAGGACTTTTACTAGTTGAGAAATTGGCAATTTCTTGAGTGCGTTCCAGCCTTTTTGGGTTGACTTCAAGGCTTGATCAAGCAGTTCCAATAGCTGCAACCTGTTTCCCGAACCGGACAACACGCTCTCGGCATCCGCGGAGTTCGTCCGCAACTGCGTCAAAGCGGCTCGCCAATTGGCGTTCTCGCGAAGCACTTGCAAACGGTGCTTCAGTAGTGCCCGCGTCGCGCGAAAAGGTCCAGTCCAAAAGTTTACGCGACTCTGCCCCTCGATGGCGCGCACAATGTGAGCGCCGCGCTCCGCCGAGATTTGGGCGCTTCGCTGCACTCCGTCAATCAACTGGCCGCGATATGTGTCGGAAATGGCACCTCCGCTATGCTGTTGGGGCATGGCGGATATACCGATGAACCGTCCCTCTGCGTCGAACGTCGGTGCGGCCTGGCTGACCGGCTCGACGTTGCTGCTTTCCTCACCCACCGGAGGGATGACTGGCACTGCTTGCGCCGAGGGCGCAGGAAAGACTTGCTCTCGATAAAACTCTTGCACCGCGGTAGACGAAGGGCCCGACAGCTGGCCGGCCTGCTGCTGCAGAGCCGGTAAAAGCCTTCCCCCGGCGGTTGTCAGTGCAGCTACCAGAGGACCTGCTGTCTTCTCGACGTGCTGCCGCAAGGTACGTTCTCGCCCGAAAAGTGCCCCCGGGGCTTGCCCCGCCGAGACCGCGACTTGTTGCGAGTTGTCCAGCTGCTGCCGCACCAGCTGCCGTTGCGTACTGTCTGACGAGCTGACAAGGCCTTCTCCGGCTGCCGCAGCGGCTCCTGTCAGTATCGGCTTTATTGGACGCGAGCTTCCGAAGGGGCGGTCCCCGGAACTCCTGCCACACGGAATCACTGCCCCCAAAGACTCGCCGTGCGCAAGGGCGCGGGCATCTGAAGAAGTGCTGGACTGCTCCAGAGCTGCAACGGACGACGGTGCAGGGAGGGCGTGACGGCCGCTCTGCTGAGCGGTGGGTTGTTCCATTTGACGAGTCTGATGATGGGCCAGCGCTTCCTGCGCGGCCCGTCCCATGCTGGTGTACTCAGGATAGTGTGCCCTGCACTCATTTGTCTTAGGGTCGATTTCAATATACTTCGACGCAAAAGCGGGTGGAATGTGCGTGCCTCCGCACACAGGCTTTGGAAAATCGGCTGCAGCCTCCGACACTCTTATATCACACTTCGCGGCATCCATGCTTCCCTTCGTCTGGGCGGTCAGTCTCTGGAGGTGGTGATTGAAAAACCTGATGCCGTCGGCTATACCCTCATCCTCACAGAAGGCCTCTTTCGACCGTCCCCCTGGCACTTTCGCAAATGACTCGTGTACGAGCGAGTGCGCATTGGTCAATTCTTTGCTCGCTGGCGCCAGAGACGAAGAACTACAGAGGCCACTCAAAGCTGCACCCGCTGAGCTAGATCCTTGTTGCTCTTGCTCCAGCATTTTTTCCTTGATGCACCCTAACTCGTGCAACAAGCCTTCAGTGAAACTGCTCCTGTTGTGTTCGGGCAACAGCATGTTTTCGGGCGTCGCACAAACGGTGTGATTGGCGAAAGGCCCGTGCTTGGCTATTAAGGCATCAAGACCACTTCCGTCCTCGAGTGCTGCGGGACCCTTGTCAACGATGAAGTAAACGGCGTACAGTGCTGCGAGGGCGGAAACAGCGACGGTCCCTTTCTGAAGGACGCGGAAGACCGGATGTTTCGGCCACTTGGGAAGAAACTTTGTGAGGACGGATTTCACGGTCTGAGGCGTCCCACTTGTCAAGACGTAAACGACGAACACTCGGGTGAGAGCCACCGCGGCACGTTGCGTGTGGGCGTCCATCTGGCTCGGGTCCTCCAGATAGCTCCACAACACCTCCGCAAGAGGTACGCCGACGACCACTGCGCGCGTGTGCAGGTCGAGCATTTCCTCCGTGGATCGTCCGGGAAAGAGCGACTCCGTGGTCTTTGCGGCCAGCGAGAACATAGAATTCGCGACGAAGCTGCGGAACTGGAAGCGCTCCGCCGCAACGACCTCCTTCGATGGCGCTCCAATCTCGTCGGCTATCGTGTCGAAGCATCCCTCGCAGCGCCTCCGCTTCCGGTCCGCGCTCGTCGGGAGCACCGCTTGAGCCCCTCGGAGCGCTGCGGGAACCAAGTTCGTGGCAACGCCCAGTGGCGTCAAGGCGACCGGCCATTTAAAGGCCTGCACCGCAAGCGCCAGGCTGCACATGCCGATCCCTTTCGATACCCATTTCGTCGCCCCGGACAATCGATTTCCGAAAAAGTTCACCAAGAATGGAAAGCCAAACACCGCGAGTTCGTAGTGAAACGGAATCGCCTGTGCCGCCGGAATCGCCACATGCAGCTGTCCTGCGGTCTGCATAAACGCTGTGGTCACAAGCAATGCCGTTAATTCAGAAACCATCCACGACGCTACCCGAACGGGCAAATTCGCTCGCGGGCGACCGGCACCTGCGAAGATTTCGCTCTCGCGAATATACTCCTTCGCGTAATCAGTAATTGCCAGCTGCAGGGCGCGGCTCTCCAATGTAGACTGCGCGCTCTGGTCGGCTCTCGCGCACCCCTCCTCCATGTCGTACAGCTCTTGCAGCTCGTCGCCATAATCGTCTGCTCTCTCGTAAGAACTACCTGAAGACCGGCGCTGGCGCTTCAGTCCGCGGCGGCGAGCTGCATTATCTAATCCTTGCTGCGCTGTCTCGTAGGCTTCCAGGCCCGGCGTTTTCAACACTGGTACTTGTTCCCGGTGTTGATCCTGTTGCTCCTCTTGGCGACCTTCACGAAGATGTTGCTCTTGGCCCGTCCTTTGACTTTTTCTGCTCCGACTTCTGGACCGGGACGGGGACGGAGACTGCGACCGACCACGGCCAGGGCCACCTTTCTTTCCCTTCTGCTGAGACTGCAACTCCTTGAGCCTTGCGACGTAAAGAGTCTGAATTCTCGTCAGCAATTTTTTCATCTCGCGCCTGTCGCTGTCCTCGCTGTCCTGCTTGATTTTATCCAACGCTGCGACGAACTTATTACAGTCGATGTCTTCCGCGAATTTCGCTTTCCAAGTGCTCTCGCAGACTTCGTGCAGGTAATCTCGGAGATATCCGATTTTTGCTTTCAACTCTGAGCGTTGTCGTGCCGCATCTGCTGCCGCTGCTCCTGGTACTTTTGGACGCGCCAATTCAAGTTCACCTACTCCAGCTACAGAAGACGAAAATTGTGCCTGAGCTGCGGGTGGTCCTGCGCCAGCGTCAGCGTGGGGTGGAGCTTCTTCCTCGGCATTCCTAAGTGGCAATGACGAGGAGGAGGAGGACGCAGGCACCCTCAATGCGCTGCAGCTCCACGTCGTTCCATCGTTAAAGTAGATGAACGCCGCTAGCAGTGGTACAGCGATCAATCTCCTAAACCAAATTCGCGACATGGTCTTGTGGTGCATTGGTTTCGTATTCGTGGGTTTTGTCTAACTTGTGTTTTCGCTTACACTTTGACGCGAAAATTTACTTCACGACGTATACGTAATCTGTATATCTTTATTTTTATTGATATCGTACATAAATAAATTTTACAAGTGAGATTTTTACGATGGTTTCTTTGTGTAGTTGTGCCTGGTAATCGTACTGACGAAGATAGTATTAGAGTTGTGGCCACTTTTTGCCGGTGTGCATGCACGTGCACGTATTAGTCGATGTCGGCTTCTGACCACGAGAAAAAAAGGAGACCATATCAACATCAGGATCAGGATCAGATCACATAATCATATGATACTGCCGCAACTGGAGCTTTTACCTTTACATCGTCATGGTACCTAAGCCGAGAAAAAGAAGGCGTCCATACCCATAGATTTAGATACATAGATCTTGTTACTATCGATCTCCTGTAACTGCGACCTCCTGTATCACGGTGTATCATTCCGTGCGTTTTCGTGTGTGGCACTACAAGGTCGATGGGTTTTGGCCTGCATATTTAGTGCGCTTTATTTGATCCTCAAAGCTTGAGATGAAGAACTATGGGTATGGTTAAGGTTATGGCAACAACTGGACCAGCAACAATGCAGTCGTGTTGCTGGCGGAAAAGCTGCACCAGTTCTGAACGCACCGGCGGCTCCTGTAGTTACGCAACCGCACTGCAGCTGCACCTGCTGCAGATCATATCATATTGCAGCACCAACCTGAACACCTTATGATAATCATTTATCATTTTTCTTTCCCATTGAAGAAGTCTTCAGCAGGATGAAGACTCGATCCGGCGAGTCCTCGTCTTCGCGTCTACTTCATCTCAGTGTCAGTGGTCACTTTTCCAAAGCATTACTTTTTTACGAGGACCTCATTTTGCATCTGCAGTAACCTCGCAACGAGTAGGCTGTCTAGTGAGACACCTTCTGGTGCGGCTGGGTTCTTGCTAACCGGGCTTTTGACCACTGGAGCCTTGCACGTGCACTTCTCATGCTTGATGGTTTGATGTTGACCTCCGCTAGAAGAACTCGAAGTAGCAGGATCGGTGTAGCAAATAAGCGTTGCCCAGTCCCGGTAGGACTGCAACATGTTTGCTACTACGCAATCACACCGGTATTTTTTCAGTGCTCCTTTTGCTTTTTCGTACAAGAAAGGTTCGCTTTTCGTCTCCAGCTTAAAGGTCACGAGGAAGCTGTTCGGCGCCCAGCTAGCGCGTATTTCCCCCAACACCTTCGGTACGGGTTGCAGTGTCAAAGACAACCCGTCAACAGATGATTGAATTTTGTCAGTCGCCATATCCTTTTCTGGCACGTAAAAGTCCGACACTGCTGCAGCGAGAAACAACATGGCTCGCTTTCCCAGAGGCTGCAATTCCGTCACGATTGCGCGGAGGTAGAACAGATACTGATATACTGTGCTGAAGGGGATCGCAATAAAACGCGTCCGACTTTTTTTCAGTTTTTCTAGACTCGGCGCCCAGGAGCTCTTTTCCATATTGAGTATTCGTGACAAGCCAGCATGGAGTTTCGCGACGTGTTCTCCGGCGTCAAAATCAGAGGTCGATCTTGCTTCCTCCAAATTTCCTCGTGCGGCTTTCAGCGTGTCCCGAACAAACGGAAGCTCTCGGCTATTCGTGGAATATAAGAATATCAAGGCGCCGCCACCTCCTTTGCCGGATCCGTCCTGCTGGGGCGACGCCTTTATTTTCCTGCGTTTCGGCGAAGCTGGCGAGGCAATACGAGCCTCTGCATTCTCGTTTTCACGATCACGAGAGCCACGCAAAGAATCACTATCATTCTTTGCGGCGTCTGGCAGGACGAGAGCATCAGGCTGCCGGAGAAACTCTTCAACACATCGGGCTCCGCGCCCGCCAGTGGAAAAGTTTTCTATCGAGCGCACCTGGTTCTTTTCCAGTGGCACGGACGTTCCACCGGACGTAACTAAAATCACTTTTTCGTTTTCCGAGAGCTCCTGAACCAACTTTGCAACTTGCTGCCGCACCGCTGTGAGGTCTGCCGGCGGCGTGGATTTCTTAAAAAACTCCTCTACTTTTGCATGTTCGCTTGTCCCTTGTTCCAGCCGTGAGCCTGAACCTGTAGTACTCCTACTCGCCTCGGCAGGAATATCCGCCGGCGCAGCGGACGACAAAGCAGTAGAAGCCCCCGTTGAAGATGATTCTAATGCTGACGCCGGCCTCGACTGCACATCGCTGTAACCGCCTTTGCTACTTGCCGCTCCTAAAAATGCAGTCGCAACTACACTCTCTCGGACGGCTTCGCGTATTCGCTGCACCTCAGCCATAGCCCCGACTCCGACGTCTCCGCAAGCCAGCAAGGCGGACCCTCGAGGTTCTATCACGCGTGCGAGGGGGTAGACGCGCCGGATTGCAGACAGGTGCTGCTGGGTGAGCGCATTTTGCCACATTACCGTGTTCATCGCCGGCGCGACCACGAGGGGCTTGTCTGCCGGCCAGGCCCGCACGCAGCAAGTCAGCAGATTATCGCAGAGCCCGTGAGCGATTTTTGCCAAGGTGTTCGCGGACAGCGGGGCAATGAGAAAAAGGTGGCTGCGCTTTGCCAGGTCGATGTGTAGCACCGGATCCTCATGCACAGTTCTGTACTTGCTCCACTCGTCTTCGTCTGTGTAGAACGCCCACCTATGGGCGTGTTGGGGACGAGTACCAGAGTTACCACTTTCTTTGCTGGAATGATTTGCATCATGGTTCGTTTCCGCTTTTACCTTACTGCTCAGCGCAGCGCTGTCGGACGAATCCGCTGCGTGACTTCTTGGCCTTTTGAGCAATCTCGAGATCTTGGTGGTGCTATTCGTCTGCAGTCCGGCATTCTTGGTGGACGAAGTAGAACGGCTCGCACTATTGCCAGTCCCACCCCCGGAGAGATTCGGCTTGTAGTCAACATCTGCAAACTTCAAGGCCCCATCGGTAAGTACCACATCAATGGCCACTCCAAGCGGATTCCTGCTGAGCGAATTGAGTAGCTCTTCCAATTTCACTGCGGCCACGGAACCACAGACACCCAACAATATTCGAAGTGGCTGCAGCAGCGGTTCAGCATCTTCAGCCTTCTTGCCCCCTTGATGGGTCGCACTCGCAGCTGCTGCCATCTTTATTTCTTCGCCGGTAAACGACAATGTATGGGTCGGCTGCTATCTTTATTTCTTCAGGTAACAGCTGGAGGGCGAGGGCTCTATTTTTAACACTACTTTTTACTCATGCGAATAATGCGAATAATGATAATCAACATAGACATACATAGAGAAAGAGATTGTGATTGATGTCGAAAAATTGATGAAATAAAAATCCAAGACCAAGGGGAAAACAATCCTGTAGGTGGAACTGTAGTGGTTGTGTCTGACGGGCGAATCGTGGTTGCAGTTGGAATCGGACCAGCAACGCAGCAGAAAAAGGAACACGACTTCGCTTCACGTTCATTCTGCCTTGTGCTTCCACGACACAGCCGAAAAAAAAATGCAAAGTTTCAAAACGGTGGATCATGCAGCGTTTCAATCCACATCACTGTTAGTACGGTGGATGCAGCGTTTCAAAAGAAAGAAATACATCGTAAATTTTTTTTTTTTTTAACTACAAATCACAAAGCTAAAACTGCGAGAAAATTCAGTAACGACATCAGATCGGAATGGGAGGTGATCCAGGCTCGTCGTCGCCGTTTTTCGCGGTTCCTGTTCGTGGTTCGTGCATGCGCTTGGACGCCTTTGCCTTGCGGCTCCAGAATGCTCTTCCCTCCTCCTCGCAGCGTGCTACAGTTGTTCACACGGTCCACCACGCAATGAGTTACATCACCGAGTTGCCTCCATCTTAGCTGCGCATAGAAGTCGACAACTGTAGTGATGCGACATCGCTCGCGCAATGTTGCTCTTCCTTTTTTTCGGTGATGTTTCTGTACCTGTTCCTCCTAGTGGCCCACTGACCCGCCCCACACGCCTAAAACGCTAAGCCTAAAGGTCGGGAAATCTCAATTCACACTTGTGAGTTTTGAAGAAGCAATCTTTGGGACCTCGAAGTGCCACGACATGCATGGCTGGGCGCGTCGGAATGTTGGCTGTGCATCGGCTCTTTTTGGAAGTATTGCTACAGGAGGAAGGCAGAGAAGGGGGCAGTTGCTGACTATCGTGCCCATGCTCTTCTACTTCATTGCTGCGATATAAATACACAAGCGCGGCACCTGTGCAGAAACTACCCCCAGGCAAGCCCTCTGATATGCTTGGCCGCGCTTTTTGGGTAGCTGCAAGCCCTTTCCCTTCCCCCTGCAGTATGCTTCTTTGGGGCTTTTTTATTCATATCAAAAAGTCTTTTTGGTAGTGTCGGCGTGGGTTTGGTGACAGTGTGGCAGCGTGATTCCTGAGACCTTAGAGGGGTAAGGCAAAAACCCTCCCGCGCAGTCGAGCATAGGCGTAAACTTCAACACCGCAGCAACTCAAGGAAGGGAACAGAAGCTGCGTGAAGAAATTCACACCCGAACCTTAGGTCTCCTATTTTGGGTCCATTTGCAAAGAAGTTAGTCACATCGTAAAAAGGCCTTCTTGAACATTAGGAATCACGCCCTAGCGACATCTTTATCTTTGCCCTTCTTTTTTAAAAACCCCGCCAAAAAAAAAAAAGCAAGCTAGTAACAGATAGAGAATGTCATTGAGTCTGTTGGGGCATCAGGGCGTAGTGGACATCTAAGCTACCTACTCCACTACCCCATCCTTTGCCCCAACTGTGGAATCTGTTTGGTTTTGTGTGTTGCTTTAGCCAATCGAACAACGAGCACTAACGCTGAAAAACCTCGATACGCAAACAGATTTCGAAATCGAGATTCTCTATCCTTCTCAGCTAGCCCCCCCCATGTTCGAATCGTAAATCTAATCCACAGTACCAGCGTCAGCGTCGTTGAGAACCGTCGCATTCTGTCTGATTGTAAATCAGATCCCGCATCCGCGGATTGGTTGTCGCGGTTTGTAGGACGTAATCTGGAACCCAGCCCGCTTGCAAATTCTTTAGCAGGCGAAAGTCCCCCGCGATGCGAAAACCGTGTAGGGTGCCGTCCACCCAGAAGCCATGGCAAGCCAAGAGGTGGGCAGTTCGGAAATCTGCGTGGTTGCGCATGAAGGTGTGAGCCGTTTGTTGAAACTTTTCCACAATGCCTGCGGTGGACATACACGAAGAACAGTGGACCCCGGCGTGCAACACGATGGGAAGCATCCGCGTTACGATTTTCCGCGCCGCAGCGGCCTTGCTCAGCTGCGCCGGTGGGAAGAACAAGCCCAGACTGCGAGGCAGGGCGTCTGTTTGCTGCTCGCCGGAAAAATTTTCCCCGTTGCCATCGCCGGTTCGCCGGTGCCGCAGCATGTCCGCGAAGCGGGCTGCTTCGGAATCGTGTGAGCGCTGGAAAGAGTAGCGGCGGGACAGGGCACAACGCACGTCACGCAGCTGGTGCGTCCTCGTTGTGTTTCCCTTTTTACGGCACTGCTGCGACAGCGTCTTCAAGATCAACTCCTCCGTCGCTGGGGGCGTGATGTGGACACCCAGATGCGGGCCCGCGGTCTGCAACAAAAGATGGTATCTCATGATTTCGCGCTTGAAGTCAAAGGCATTGGAGTTCTGGAGTCGTTGTTTCAGCGTTGGAGCAGAAGAAGATGCAGACGAAATTGGCTCTGGCTCGTTCGACTCGTCTGCAGCGCCCGTACGTAATCTGGCTCCTCCCACTCCTTCTGCATATCGCTCCGTAGACGTAGCAGTGTGCCCATCATTAACTTCGTAGTTTCTTGCTCTTGACGCACCATTGTCCAGGGGCCCGTTTGCGCGGTGGTTCTCGGAAGATTTCTCCTCGTGGCCTCCTCCAAAATCATCAGGATGTTTCTGCTGCTCACGGTCCCGACCGCCTTCGTTGTGGTCTGCCTCTGCACTGGCACCGTCATAACTCGCAAACAACATGCCTCTCAAGTTGCGGCGAGCTAGAACACGCAGAGTTGCGGACTCCAAAGGCACTTCCGGAGGTGCCCCTGAATTTGCTGCCGCACTGCCCTTGGATGGCGCAGTGGTGCCGGCCCCGGTGCCGAATGTTGTTGTCCCCGCAGCTGGACTCCCTAACTTTCCTGCTTGAGCGGCCTCGTCGGCAACCGGTGCAGCTGCCCCAAGTGGTGCACTTATGGTGGAGCTCAGTTGCGATGCGGACGCCGTCAATGGCGTTTCTTCCCCTGCGCCTACATCAAGGGGGCTCGTCGTGCTGGTACGCCTGCTCAGTAAATGAACAATCGCGCACTGGTTTTTCCCTCTCGCAGAGTCAAAGAAGTTTCCGTTCCTCACGCAGTTGGATTCGTAGTTCAAAAAATCGCGAAAGAAACGAAACTCCACGGCGGCAGATATCGTCCAATATTTTTCCACCTTGCACAACGAGAACGCTCCCAAACAATGCTGTAACGGTAGGTAGACGTGGAGGGACCTTATTTCCTGTGTGGCCTGGGCCGGCCGAGGAGTAGTTATAGGTGACGGTACGAACTGCTCGAATTTCAGCTCTTGCAGCAGAGCTGGATGCGGAATCTCATCGACGTCCATGACGAAGACAAGAGCTGAGTCTTCGACCTGGTTCTTCAACGCAAAGTTGTCGTCCCGGAAGGCGCAGCCTATTGCATTGCGCTGAAATACTTCCATGGCCCAGAAATCGGGGAGGTCGCCGCCATCGAGTAGGGAGACCGGTTTGGCAACGTCGCCCCCTTGCAGAACAGCAGGATGAGACGACCCGTCTAAGGACACCGCAGCGGTGGTGCTGCTTGTGGTGGTGGTTCCGTACAGTAGCCCAGGCATCATCGCTGGGGGCGCCGCGATTTCGTAGCGGTACATCTTGGAGTGCCACTTCTTGAAGCGCGCGTAGTTGTTTTTCAGGTACAATGGCTTCGGTTCCAGTTGAAGCGTGTAGTTGGACTCCACAATCACGAACCCGGTTACTACATCGTGCAGCTCCCCCAACCGCGCTTCCAGCAGGTCCAGCTCACCAGAGAACAAGAAGCAGTCCCAGATCTGCCGGCCCGTCCTAGTGGAGTCACCTTGTATCGAGTTCTTCAACCCTTTTCATCAGAAAGAAGCGGAAAAATCATGAAGCCTTGGCGAAAAGAAGATTTAGACTTCTCTTCGCGGTCGTCAATTACAGTAGTTGCACAACTTCAACTTATTAAGCTTAGCGCTGTCCTGTTTCCTTATCTGTTATGCAAGCAGCGCTAGCGGTCTTTCCCAAATCAGTTTGGCAGCGCTTATTCTTAATTTTCGAGTTCGGCGCAGCTGTGAATAATTTTCGGCAAAAGAAAAAGGAAGACCTAGCAGTTGTGCACAAAACTTTGCATTTTCTTCATCTCCTACCAGTTCTATTGTATAATTTGCATCTCTGTAAAGGGATAAGCCAGGCCCTCATTTCCGATTCCTTCCTGTCTGGATACGTTTCATAGCGATGTTGAAGCTTCGCGGCGCCAGCTGCTTTCATCGGTCTTTGTCTTCATCGGCTCCAGCGAGAGCAACGTTCTTGCGTCTACGCTCCCAAAGCCGATGCCACCGGGGAAAGGATTGGGAGGGAGTGGCTCCTCCGCAGAAGGTTGCCCTTTGTCGTTCATCTTCTCCAGGCCACTGAGAATATTCTGCACTTGTGAGCTCGTGTCGGTTTCAGGTGGTAAATAAATGAATTCAAAGAGTTTTTTGTCGCCCCCGCTGCGATCCGTCGACGTCGAGCCGCTTCTTGTCACGATTCGCTCACCTCTCGTTCCGCTGCCAAATTCATGATTGTCTTCTGGACTATGTCTTCGTGTTATTTGCAGGGGTGCGGTATTTTTGCTCGTAGCCAGTTCGTTGCTGGTGCCTTTATCTTCTCGCGGGAGGACGATACTAGACGACCGCAGATGGGCTTCGCTGTTGTCCTGGAAAATTTCTCGCTTGAGGTAGACAATCTGTTTCACTGCGAGTTCATCTCCGGCCAGCAAGCCTGGATTGTGTCTGAAGTACGAAAAAATCCCCGTCGACGTTCTCCAGGGAAGCCGCAAATGTGGAAGCGGTAAAGACGACAGCCAGTACAAAAAAGAATTTTCTTGTCCAACGTCCTTGTCTGTTCCTAAAGGAAAAGATGAAACGACTCTGGCATCAAGTGGTCCGCCACCGCCTGCGGTAGTCAACAGGACGTCCTTGGAGCTTCGTGACAGCGTCAGTAAGTCTAGTTGTCTTTCATGGTGCGTTCGTTCCGAGACACGCCAGCCGGTTCGGGGTAACGATGCGTCCCACAATAGCATCACCAGAATGACGTACAAAATCGCGAGACGCGTGATCGTAAAAACCCCGGTTTTTCTTTTTACCGCAAGCGAATCGGAATCCCGCGGGGGCGCAGCTCTCTTCTGACTGGAGTTTGTATCGCCAACATCTATGGAAGCGGAAACAAAACGATTCCGGTACTTCTCTGCTCCCCTTCCCTGCTCATCGTCGTCCGCCGGCGAAAGCACCGCCTGCGGTTCGGATTCCGAGCGCTCGGACGCCAAGGCTGAGCCTTTGCTCCTGAATGCAGAAAACATATCTTAGGCGGCGGCGCACTTTTCTTTTTCACCAAGTACCAAATAAAAGAAGAGGAATCGAAGTACAGTTGGTCTGCAGGAGTAGAAGCCACTGCAAAACCATCTCGGTCGTGCGTGCGGCTATTTTTCGACTGAACTACTAAAAACAAAAACGCTTTGCTGGTGTTTCCACATTTACCTTTCTGCGCTCACTCCCTTGACATTGACCTCTCGGTTGAAGAAAGAAAAGAAAGTAAGAGTACGACGTGGTCATCAAGTAGTTCACAGAATCTTTCGGATCCGCCCGAGTCACCAGCACAGCGATCACCATACTGTCTGGAGTGTGACTCGTCTTCGTCAGCAGGGCGCGATGAAAAATACACTCGGAAAATTCAAATACAAACTGTATATACAGATAAACCTAACCAGCAGCTGTCTCAAGTGGACGCTGAAACACCCTACTCCATCAAAACCGACAGGAGAACAAAAAAAGATCAAAAAAACGCAACTTCTAAATTGTCCTAACAGCTCGATCGCAGAAGTACTCGAGTGCTCATGACAGGGTGGAACATATCAGATATCGTCACACCGGAGGGCGTAAAGTATGCCGTCTAAGTGCGACAACCAGCAACGAGCCGCGGCAATATGCTGTTCTTCTTCAATCATAGATATGTGGCGTGGTTTGAAAGTGGTAGAAACTAGAAAGCAACTGTCTAAGATGATACATTTTTCCTCTTGCTGAAGTTTTTCCAGATCGAAGAGCCCACCTCGGGCTCAAGCTTGTTTTCTGGCCCTTGAAACTCCGGCTTTGTGATGTCCTTGGCTGAAGATCATCTTAGCATGATGATCCATCTGGTCAATGACAGCTTCTTCGCGACCACGATGATTGAATAGACCCGCCACTTCATCTGGCAAGCCAAGGCAAAACATAAGCAGGAAATAACGTGGACAGGCAAGATCAACTTTTTACCTAAGCGTGCCGCCAGTGATGTGTTTTATTCATGATGTAACTTAATAAAAATGTTTGTTTGTTTGTAGTTATGCGTCAAGGTGGGAACGCGTTTACTCACCTTTTTTCTCTAGCGCTATTTCAATAAAAATCCTCTCTGGCACCAGAACCAGAAGCGCTGAAAAAACCCGGGACTACTACTGCTCTTGTGCTTTCTTAAAAAGTAAAGGGAAGTAAGACTGACTAAGAATAGCTGCTAACTCAAAGAAAAATAACCCTTCCTGACTACAACTACGATGCTTTGATCGTCCCTTCTAGCTGTTGCTGTTCAAAAAATACGTATTGCGTTGTCGAAGTTAAAGCTTCAAGTTTAAATCTCTAAAAGTCGCCAGGTCTATAGTAGAATTCCGATCCGTAAAGTTTTCGCTTGGGATACAAGCTTTTTGAATTTCTTTTATTTCTGTCTGCTTCTACGTCAAAGTTTCAAAGTCTAAAGTGGTCGCTTACGTCGTAGCTCAGGTTTTCAAGTACAGCCATGCTTAAGTTTCGAATCTTTTTCAAATTTGTCTGAGAGATCCCTGCACGAGCGAAAAGGCTCAGCTTCAACTTCCGATAAGGCCTCCAGCACACTGTTGCGTCCTCCCATCCGTCCTCCACTTCGGCTCCGGAACTGCGCGGCCAGTTTCCGCATCTCCCCAGTCATGGTGTCGTCAGGAGGTGCTGGCTAGCGCCACCGGCGGACAGATGAGGACGCTCCACCACCGGTAACCGCAGAGGACGGCGTAGCAGCTCTGGCCCCACGTACCTGAAGGGTGCACCTCCCCCCGCCCGCTGGGGAAAGATGCAACCCGATCCCGCTTTCATGGCTTGCGTGGACGTCTCTGTGCATGGAGAGGTGATCGTGCGTCTGGGCTAGTGCGTCGGCTGTGGAGCAGGTGGGGCTTGTGGAGCAGATCGTCGCGCCGTTACCGGTGGAGAAGGGGTGTGGAGCAGGGTGTGGCGCGTGGGGCGGCGGTCGTGGGTGGGGACGCCTGCGTTGTAGCGGCAGGGGAGGAACAGAAGCGGGACCGCATTAAACCAGCAGATTGATCTTGGTGCAACAACAACTTCAGGCCAGCACTACTAGAGCATGATGAAAACGAAGCGGAACGCATAACAGAGTACCTGAAGGGTGCGCCCCCTTCAATTCCTCCACGAAGGAGGGCGCAACCCTGCCCCGAGGTTTCGCGCGTAGTATAGGGGCTTGCTCCCAGGCTTGCGCTTCGTCAGCGACCGTTCGTGCTTGGACATATAAACTCAAAATCACCACCGTGGCAGGCGTCTGGATACTCCTGCGGCGGGTGGATCACTAACTTGCAGCGTCTGCGTGCTCGTTGGTGGTCGCCTGGTTGTCTCGCGTTTTGTTGGTTGTGTGGTGTGCTACGCCTCCGCGCTGTCCGGCCGGCCTCCTGCCCAGCAGAGGTGCCGCACCGCCGGGAACGGGCCCACCAGGGGCGTGAGGAGTTCGTTGGCCTGTGTTAGCGCGCGGGCTGCGCCGCTCCATTTCTTTTTGCACTCTTCTAACCCCTGCACCCCCGCGGCTTCGAAGAATGGGCGGGTCACCGGGCAGGATTGGACGAAGTGCGCTGTTGTTGCGCACGGTGCCCTGCACAGGGCGCACGGCATGTCTTCTCCCGATGCCTCCGCGGCCAGCAGGCCGAAGCGGAGTGCGTAGTACAGTGCTTGGCCGGTTCGCTCCACTCCGTCCGCGGTGAGGTCCTGGCCCCACCCCCCTGTCGCTGCCAGGGTGGTCGCGGTTTTGCTTCTGGTTTCTGCTTGGTGTTGCCTGTCCTCCAGGTCTTGGCGCAGTGCGTTCCGCGCCACTCTCTTGGCCTCGGTTTTGAACTGGCGGTGCGTGATTGGCTCCCCTTCTTCTTGCAGGTCTGGCTCGTTGGCGTACCCTGCAAGGTGGTCGGCCACCACGTTCCCCGCAATTCCTGCGTGGCCCGGCACGTATCGGACTACCAGCTTCCTGCAGGACGCGAGCGCATCGCGTGTCGCGGTGTAGAGCTCCGTGTCCAGGTCGTCCCGCAGCCGCGGGTTGAGCAGTGCGCGCACATTGGACTGGCTGTCGGTGCAGATGGTGGCGCACTCTGTTCGCAGTGCTTTGGTTGCCACCCCCCGAAGGGCTGCGATCAGCGCCATGCGCTCGGTCTCAAACGAGTCCGCATGCACTCCCACTGGCCAGGCCGCCCCTCCTTGGATGCCGAAGCCATGGACGAAGACTCCGGCCGCTCCTTGGAACTCTCGCGCTGAGCCGTCGCAGTAGAACACCAGGTCCGAGGACTGGAGTGTGTCCACCAGCGATGGCACCCCCTCGCTCTGCCAGACGGCGCGAAACCGGCCCTGCTCCTCCGCCTCGTGGAGGAGGCTGGCGCCGACGCCCGGCAGGGCTCCGGTTTCGGGTAGGACTGTGGCCGCTGCCGCGTTTGAAGCCTCGATGACCCCCAGCGCCGTCGTCAGCCAGTCCGCTTCGGTGCTTTCCGCGATTTGCCTAAGCCCATCCGCCTGGGGCCGGGCGAACGCTCTCGCTGCCAGTGCTACGGACTCGACTTTGTACAGTGCCTCCAGCGGCAATAGCCCCGCGGTCATCAGCGCGCAGCTGCGGTTGACCCGCCGGAACTTGGGAAACCCGAGGATCTCCGTCGCCCCCTCCAGCTGCACGCTGTTGAGCGCCGCCTTTTCCTTCGCGCGCCATGCCAATATGTCGGCAGGCCATAGGCCAGCACGCTCTCGACGAAAAGCTGGTAGAACATCCTCACGGATTTGGTTCCTGCGTGCATGGATCTGCTGAGGATCCGCACGGCAGCCATTCGCTTGGTGATTGTTTCGCTGATCACCTGGTAGGGCTTGCTGAAGGTAAGCCGCCGGTCGAACCACACTCCCAGGAATCTGGGGCAGGCCTCATAGACCAGTGGTTCGCCGGAGCCGGTAAGGGACAACTCGTCGAGTTCGCACGCAAACTCCGTCTGGAAGACGGTATACGCGCACTTCCCGGGGGACAGCTCCATGTTGCTCGCCTTGCAGAAGTCTGAGACGATGTCGAGCGCGCGTTGTAACTGTGCCTGTGCGTCGCTCTTCGTGCTTTCTTCGTACTCACAGGTCAGCGCGAGGTCGTCCACGTAGGCCAGCACCTGCACCATCGGGCACCGCTCTGCCAGTTCCTGGAGTAACACGTCTACAAAACTACACCAGACGAACGGCCCGAGGCACGTGCCCTGGGGGACCCCTTGGCGGAGTGGCACCGCTTGCGACACTTCTTCGTTGAAGCGCACTACCCTCGACCGCCCGGCTACAAAGGAGCGAACCCACCGCGTGAGCAGCAGGAATTCCTGTTTTCTCGCCGCGTTTTTGAACTCTGCGCTCCTGCGTAGCAACCCATTGAGGAACAATGGGATCGGCACCCTTTCGAGTGCGGAGCTCAAGTCCAAGAAGCACGCTGCGCGTCTCTTGCCCTTCCGCAGCGAGTCGGCGGCTGCCGCCGCCAGGGTCGCCGTGTGGTCGGTCGCGCTCCTCCCCGGGGTGTCCCCGTACTGGTTCCGTGCGTACAGGGATAGGCCCTCGGCCTGGAACACTGCCCGCAGCCTTCGGAGCGCCGCGCGTTCCCACACTTTTGCGAGGCAGGATGTTAGTGCGACTGGCCTCAGCGACTTCGGTAAGTCCCCGGGGCGCCCGGGTTTTGGCACCGGCACGCACACTTCCAGGCGCAACGCTTCGGGCGTGACGCCTTCCGTGATGCCCTGTGAAAACGTGTCCCGCAGCAGCTTCTTGCCGTCCTGTGTGAAGTTCTTCAACATCGCGCCCAGGATGTCGTCCGGCCCCGCGGCCCCCGCTGGTTTTTGTCCCCGTAGTACGAACTCCACGTCGTCCAGGTCCAGCCTCATCGGCGTGCCCGGTGAGAGCTCTGTCGCGAGGGTGTTGCTGTACGTTGCCCACGCCCCTTGCTCTGAAGCTGGGTCGAGAGCTGGGTGGGAGCCGTAGAAGTGCGCGAGCACACACGCGAGCTTCTTGAACGCGTAGCCGCCCGCGTAGCGCAGCGCGCCGGTGTGCTGTTTCGGTGGGGGCCGCCCCTCCAGCTCGCGCAGGAGCTTGAAGGCGCCGCCTGTGCTCTGCTCCGCTTCCGCGAGTTTATCCGCGAAGCGTTCGCCCTGCCTGCTGTACTCCGCCTGCGCGACCCTTTTTGTGGCTTGTCGTAGCGCGGTGCGCCACAGCAGCTTCTGTCCCGGCGGGCAGAGTGCTAACCTGCGCATGCACTCTCCTCGCTCTCTCAAGGCGAGGTCTAGCTCCGTGCCCACGCCGGGCGCCGACCCCCTCGGGCGCTTGTGCCTTTTCCGCGCGACGTTTGTGCGCGGAATGCTTCTGCGTGCTGCTTCGAAGATCGCGGTCTTCACGTGCTCGACCTTCCCTTCGACGGTTGCTGGGGGTGCGTTTTGTGCTAGGAAGCGCCCGAGGTCTTCCCGGTATAGCGTCCAGTCCGCCCGCTTCAGGTTCAGTCTTGTGCGCCTTTGCACGACCGGCGTGGGATCGCGCCACAACGCGGGGTCCCAGGGTAGTTGCGTCGGGTCTTCCGGTAGGGGCGCCCCCTCTTGTCCTTAATAAAAATCTTTTGAATAAAAAAAAATTGTGCTCTCCACTTCTTGACGCCCATCTCGGCAGGAAAAGGTGTTGCAGAAGAAGCGGTCGATGGTATCATGATCGAGCAACGCGGTGCTTTTCGTTACCATGGGGCACGACAATGACGAAGAAAAAAATGGAGACACATAGTTCGTTGCTTGTAATTGTATCTCTGAAAATTAATATAGTCATACTCATACTGAAAAGACATCGGCCACACGCTACCAGTTTCTCGATATTCATATTGATCAGCAGTAGTTACTTTTACGAATATGCCTCTATGGTGTCTCTTCTGAAAGAGCACTGAAATATGATAAATGAAAAGTTAAAGTATTTATGATGTGCAGCCTACAAAAATCTCGTCTCTAGCTATGGTGGCCATGGCGTGGACACGAGTAGATTGATTGCGATATGAATGATAACTATCTCGAGCTGGGCTCGGCACTACTCCCTCCTCCGACGCACGGTAGGAACAACCTACCCGCCGAATGCCATAGGGGCAACGCCGTTGAATGAGGCCAGGTTTTCTCGTGTGGAACGCCCGTTGGCCAACTTCATTCGCGGGCTGGAAGATGCGCACGCTGCGAGAAGCAGGGCGCGTCGACCAGTACACGTATCGACCAGTGCGACGCTGTGATATATAAGTACATAGTGATCGAAAAATAAAAAAGAGAGCCGGGATGGAACAACGCGGGTAAGTCGCTGCCACCAAATGCAAAAGCAGACTGTTGAGTCGCAATTTCGATCAAGCGCAAAACAAATACACAACATGATGAATTACAATTGGTGACAGAGTCACCTCAGCACTCCCTGGCCAGTATTAATTGCCATTACACTTACAAGTGCAAGGGCTTCGGCTTGCACCATTTTCTAGAAATGTTTTGGCTGCTTTTAGGCACGGCTGAAAAAAAAAAAAATGGGCGCGTCTTAACAAAAAGCTGCACAGCTTCCATGAAAAAGTGAGGAAAACAACCCTCATTCATCGCCAGCCTTTCTTACTTTCTTCAAAAAGCCAACACGGGACCTCTCGTATCTTAGTCAACATCCCTAGTTCATTCGTTCTCACGAAGTACTGTCTCAACAACTCAAAGCCCCGTCCCTTGTGGTTCTGCTGGTGGTCGAAGGAAAAAAAAACTATATGGTATAATTATGAATTGAATGAGAATCATCAAAATACAAGATTGATAGTAGTAGTACGCGTGAAGTTGGGCCAGGACATATTAGTACCTACTCTCAATGACGAGAGCTGGCCGTGTGAAATCTCCCGCTTCGTTTTCCTTTTCTTTCTAGGTAGGAATTAAAACGATACTTAGCATGTGTCTGGTCAAGGAAAGCGTCGTGCTCGTGACACGAGCACGACGACTCCGGCCTATTTGACCACCAAACACAAACTACAATGCTGATGGCTGCTGATATTTTTAGTGCGTTCTTCTCGTAGCCACTTGGCTGGAGATCTTCGAAGTCGCTGCAAATGTTTCGATTGCAGTTCGAGCTGTTCCACCACCTTGATGTCCATGGTGTAGTGAAGAAAGCACAGGCACATCATCGTGTCTGCGCTCTCTGTTCGGCTGAACAACAAGACTACTTCTTGCGCTCCTTAAAAATTAATAATTGTGAATTACTTTATATCAGGCTGCTCTACTAGATGAAGTACCAAGACCGGCTGCAAAACAGCGGCTGAGAATGGCTCGAAGTTCCCTCGAGCGTGCGCTGCTTTCTTCGATGCTTTCTCGCAACTCGCGGGCCGACCGGTCGATGTCTCCCAATTCTTGTCGGTACCGCTCGACCTGTGCGACAACAGCGTCGTACTCCGCGGAAGGTCGTGGAGTACCTTGCAACAGAGCGGATGACGCGCGACTTGCATCTATGAAACCTTGCGTGAGAAAATCACGACGTTGGTCGGTGGGGGCGCGCGCAATGAAACCGTCTTTGTACAGGCCCGAAAAGAACGACAAAGCATGAGAAATGTTCTCGCTTCGGGGATCGCTCTCGTGCGGAACCGCCGCATACAACTTCGAAAGTATTCGTGCGTGTCCGCGGTGGTCGTGAAGGAGCGCTGTTGAGTGGAGCTGGTTCATCTCGTGTTCACCACCTCCAGTTTCGTGTGCGGGTTCTTGATGCGTCGTCCTCGTGCTGATGTCGTGTTTATCTTTATCTGCACCAACCATGATGTCGAGAATCCTCTCCAGGAGGTCTACAGTTTCCTTCTCCCTCTGGTCGGCTAGTCGCGCTTCTCGGAGCAAGAACAGCTTCTTCTGCCACCAGGTAGTTCGAAACTTATACCCGTCAGAATCGAACTCTCGATGAGTCATTTCCAACGAGTAGTAGAACAGAAATGCTCTGCGCACCTCGTCATCGTTGCTAAAGCACGCGTCGCGGCCCAGCTTTGATGCTGCTTCTAGTCCTCCTGCTGGTTCTCGAGCACGACAGTCTTCCAACCTTTGAAGGAAAAGCCACAGCGCACGCTCCACCAAAGCAAAGCTGTCGTTTTTGTGTGGCCGAGGCTTCCGCTTGGGCTTGGTCAGTTGTCGCCGCCACAACGTTTTGGCAGCGGCACTTGAGGAGACGTCGGTGTCAACCTCCGCAAGAACAACATCAGGGAGACGCATGCGGATACTCCGACCAGGAAGTGGTGCGGCTGGCGGCTCTCCTGCTCCCCCCCTGCTCGATAAAGCATCGAGCTGCTGCTTTATTTTAAGTTGCCAGGGGCAGTCCTTCGGAAAAATCCGCGACCGCGCGGACAGCTCAGGTGCAATTTTCACATAGTCCCCGAACCCAGCAAGTTTGAGCGCTAGTAATCGAACAGTATGCAATGCAAAAGTATCGCACTAATTATATGAATTGCATTTACAAATTCGCTCAGCGTGCGAACTGGAATTTGTCGTGCTGTTTTACCTTAAGAACGAAGAACAATATTTGGCATGCATAACTGCAAGAGATAGTACGAGTACGATACTTTTGCACAGGATAGGCAAGGGGACCCAACAATTTGTCATACGCGGCCGGGCCTCGCCCCGGTGTCATGTACTCGTGGTGTTCGTCAAGCATGTAGAGTGCCTGAATGATATCGCTCCAGATGTTGACTAGCGCTTCCAATGCCCTCGTGCGGACGTGGGCATGCTTGGAATGAATGGCCAGACCGTAGACAAGGGCAACGATAGAAGCGAGTTCATCTCTTCCCCAGGACACTGGCTCCTCTTCATGCAGCAGTCGTACAACATCGTGGTCTACTTCTTCGGATTCTTCCGGGGCATCAAGTGCAGCACTGCGTTTCTCGTTGTCTGAATCCTCTTCCTCAGGGATTGGCCCCGTTGCGAAATGGTTGTGATCCAGAAGGACGGCCGTTCCGTCCGGCTGCATCATAATGCGCATGCCCACATGCTCTGCGGTTACCTCCTCGACGTTGAGGTCCAGCTGGACCAGATCGCCTCTTTCTCTTTCCCCAACCCCGGAGTGGTCAGGGTCAGTCTCAGTGTCAGTGTCGTCATCTCCAGCGATACTGTCGTCCTCAGAATCCGAATCGTACTGTGGCTTGTCGCGATCGCCACGGAGCAGCACATACTTTGCGCGAGCTCGATAATACGCTAGCACGCCCTCGCTCCAGTACGTTCTTTCCGCCAAGCGAGAAACCGTCTGTAATTTTGAGTCCATCTCGGCTGTGATCCTCTCAAGGTTGTGGTCCTCTTGCTGTGTCTCTTCTCCTTCACTATAATCTGCACCGAAAAAAATGCTGCCCCGGATGTCTTCCTTAGAAGATGAAGTAGATGACCATTCCCAGTCCTGAGATGTTCTTGAAATACCAGACAACATTGCCGGTCGACGTTGGTGTGCCCGCCCTCGGTGCGAGTCGCGAAGGTTGGAAATGGGAATTGCGGGCGGAGATGGAACGGCACGGCCGCTCGAAGAATTATACTCTGGATGATCTCCTGGTGGCGGGGCGGAGGACGCCGTGCGGCGCTCTTTGCAGACATGTCGAGCGGCGCGAGAATAAAAGATATTCGTGGCTTCCTCCAGCAACCGGACGCTTCTCTCCAACTCTGTCTGCGAACTGGGTGTATTGAAGGTCCTAAAACGCCCACAACCACTGAAGTTGCTCGTCGTGCTATCCGAGTGCACAACTCCCCCTCATTTGTCATGCTTATCAGACTGCGCTACCGCGCCCTCATTTTTTGTCATGCAAAGGCCCTCGTCTTGTTCGCATGACGGGGGGCTGTTCGCATGACGAATACCGGAACAAGCCCAGGCCGTACAACGCTCGGGCAGGCATGATGAGCTTGTCATGCAATAGCGGCGCGTTGTATTGTCTGTTCATGCAAAAGTAGAAAGGAGGGGGAGTTGTCGTTGTACATCCTCATACGTGCGCATTAGCTCAATGAGACGCTCTCGTGCTGTCTCCTGGCCAAGCCGCGCCTCTTCGACGGGACCCACGTGGTGCTTGGCGTCGCGCACCTGCTCGCGGAAAAATTGCTGGTCCATTGCGCGAGACGTACTCGCTGCAGCCGCCTGGTCGTTCGAAGAAATGAAAATTCGTCCGGTGCGCGTCCAAACTTCGCCGGGCTGGTGGTGATTCGCAGAGGAACCCGCCGCTCTGTGCGGGCGGCGGGGGCTCAAGTTGCTGGAGGAGGACGCACCTGAGGGGGCCCCGAAGCTGCGGGCAGCTGGTGGAGGAGGCTGAGATACTTCTGCTCGTCCACTACCGCCTACTCCTCCACTCTTTTTGTTCTTCTTGTTTCTACGACCGCTGGTTGAGGTTGTACGACCGCCGCTGAGAGATAGCTTTCGAAGCGCCGTCTGTGCGTCCGTCAGAGCTCCGCGAAAGTCAACATCTTGCCCATGGACGAGGTCTCGATGCAGCACTCCACCTACATCATGGGGCGACCGCATCGCAGTTTCGTCCTCACCAGCGAACGACCCAGGCAGCTCAAATGGCGCCAGGCCATCGAGTTCGAGATCATCGGCGTCGGGCTCGCCGCCAACCCACCAGGGCGACTCGTCTATGTCAGCAGAACCTGATGCTGGTCGTGTACGACCTCCTAAGCCTCCTGGAGCTGCTGCCACGTCCGTTCTACTTCCGACATCGCGAACATATTGGCGACGTTGGTCAGGGTCTAGTTCTCGACGGCTGCACGATTCGCGCTCGCACTCGGTAGTTGACAGCGAGGAGATCGACCGCAGACCACCACTTCGACTTCCGGTAGTTCCACCGGTCTCGTGCTTATCTTTGGTTTTCTCCGTGCTGCCCTTTCTTTGCGAACGGGATGCAACGGCGAGAACAAAGCCCGCCCCGGAAAGTGGCGGCGCGATGAGACTCAATAGCCTGCAATTAAGCAGGCTACGGACGATCAGAAAAGCTTGAAGAAAGAAGAGCATCCTACTCTTCATCTTGTGCTGCGAAGTCGATCCTTCCTGACACGGAACCGTGGTGCACGGCGACGCCTGCGGTGATAAGTGCTGAACAAACTGCGATGTGACTTGTTCCCCGGGCTTCTCGGTTTATTTTGCAAATCCCGCCGTCACCGCCAGTTTTGTCGAAGCAGTTCGCGAGGAAGGCACCACAGTGCCTACAATAAATCAGTACATTTTTTAACGTTGGTTATTCCACCGAAACAACGGCGCCCCCGAAATTCAGTTCATAAAAATCGACGCAGCGACCGGCCAAATCTGGAACGGGAGTAGCTGTAGCTCTTCGCCTCAGTTCTCAGTTATGTGCGCTCGTTGTGATTTCTATGACGTTAAGTAGTTAAAAGTTTTCTCGTCGCTTTTTGTTACTTCCCTTTATCGTTTCTTGATAATAAAAATGAAAATCAAAATTCTACAAATTCATCGTACACGTAAACACGTTTACAGTTGATACATGATGATGATACGTAAAGCTAAAACTGTCCAGGAGCTATTATCGACAGGTCTAATATGCTTAAGTCGGTCAGTTGTGAATATGATGAATATTGAAAAGCGATCTTGTAGGTGCTTCGTTTAGTTTGGATAAGTCAGTGGCATAGTAATGTTTTTTTACACTACGCCGGCTGGTGTAGAAGTTTTTCACAAACATCAAAGTAAGAGTAAGAAAAAAAAGTTAAAGCATTGGTGTCGATCACGATATAACAAATTCGTGCGTATGCACAGAGATCTTGAAGATCTTACATCATCATGAGGCACTCGAATTTTTGGGCGAGGCTCTCGAGGAAATCAATATCCTCACTCATGCAAACGCCGTGCATGTAAATGTGAAAGCTGATATGACATTATCTCATCTTGCTGGAGGCGGACTACAGCCTTGAACCTGTTCTAAATTGCCTTCTGAGCTTGTTCTTGATTGTGGATCTTGATGAACGGAATATTGCATGCCTCCTGCACCTGCTCAAAGCACTGACACTGCGACATTGCTGTCTGAATAATGGTCGAGCAGTTCTGATAGCGCTTCATATTATCCTCGAAGAGATTGACTTTCACCTTCACATACGGTCGTGTACAAGCAACCATCAGACCCTGAATTTGTATGTAAGATCAGTCACAGACACTGCGTCGCTGCCAATGGGCCCTACGCAAGTGCACTGCTCTTCGATGAGCCAAAATAGCAAAATACCGAGCCAGCAAAAACAAAAGCGAGCAACGTCCTCGAAGATGATTTTTATCACCTGGTGGGGCTGTGACCGCCTGAGCTTGTGGTCCATTTTCCGCACTGAAATTCTTCTGCTCGCCTCTGTGTAGTTCTTGTTCTTCATCCAACATTTTATACTCCTTACCGTGGTGCCGGCGATCCGGTCGTTCTTATTTGTTTGATACAGTAATTTATAATGAATGTTGCAACCTCAACCTCTCGATACAGTTGTGCCAAATCAACTGCAGCTCGCAACGCGCTTCTCTGATTCCTTGTTTCCTTTCGCAATACGAGTTTCGCATTTGTAATTTCCTTGTTTTGGTTTTTGTCATATGTAGCATTTTTAGTGTTGTAGAAGGTCTACTACTTGCTTCTACTGGGTGATATCTATCAGTCAAAGGTTAGTTTATCAAAGATTGATCTTTTTCGTTTCCAAAGTATGTATGAACTTGAGCAATAGCGTCCGCTCCCGGCCATCGTTCAGCTCAACATTTTCGCTGCCTCGTCTCCCACCCTGAAGCCTCTTGCACTACGAGGCCAGCGGTGCGAGCATGGAGCGATCAAACTCGTCACGCTTTTGCTCTTTGTAGTAGCGGAAGACGTTTTTGAAAGCCGACTTGAGCTCGGAATCTTCGCTGATGAGGGACTTCACGAATTCGCACAGAGTGGCTTCCGAGACGAGCGCTGCCGACGGCCCGCCGTCCTCCGCCTCGGGGTCGGCGGCATCGTTTGCCAAACACAAGCCATACATGGAGACAAAAGTCTCTGTGCTATTGCGAATGAACAATTGGCGGGTTTGACCCGCCTCCGGTGCGTAGAAGGTCTCCCGCAGGACTTTTGCGGCCAGTGCGTGGTTCTCCGGCTCCAGTAGCGCCACGAAAAGATACTTTTTCAAGAGGTCGTAGACCGGGACCCAGCTCTGCGCCGGCAGGCCGTTGTTGTCGAGTATTTTGCGCTTTACCAGTGCGTAGATGGTTTCCAAGTGCCCAGTATGGATTGCAAAAATGTCTGGGTCTGGAAGATTGCAACTTGTCATGCTAAATCTGAATAATGCAGAAATCTGTGCTGCATGAGTGCCAAAAGCTGTCCACTTACTGTCGACCATGTTTAGAGGGAGTTTCTCACGCAGGATAGGCATGGCAGAGACCTCACAGACTCTGTCATGCTAGGTCCCGCATTCCAGACCCCACGAGTCATGGAAAACCTGCATGACAAGTCTACACTCTTCCAGACCCAGACATTTTTGCGTTTGATACCCAGCTTCCAGTCGGTCGAGCGGCAGCAGCGGGACGTGGAGTATGGCCGCGGCGTTTTCCACTATCCTGAGTAAAAACATACCCACACCAGAGTTGTAATGCAGAATTGCAAAGACAGGAAGACTTGTAATGCGCATCCCCATGAGAGCCATTTCCAATCCTGTTTTGGAATTTGTGACGCTGTGAACAGGATGAGCAGATGAATCTGTGACGCGGCTGCACTTGCTAACCTGCACTACACTGCATAGTCCAACTTGTCATGCGTGACTCACAAAACTCCTAGGTTTGTGTTGCAAAATCCTCATCCTGACTCTGGTTTGGGTACGTTTTTACTCAGGATATCCACCGGGTCGACTTCGCTCTCTTCCTTGGCGGCCCCACTGCCGTTCGCGACCGCGCACACGGCCTCCGCGAGTTCCACGCAAAGCCGGCTCGTCGTGTTCTTCGCACTGGAGGAACTGGGCGAGGATTATCCACAGAAAAAAACCCACTCACATCCAATTTGTCATGCAAAACACGTATCAAGTCACCTGTTTGCCATGCAAAAAATGGATGTGGATGGGTTTTTTTCTGTGGATAAGGATCCGCCCCCGGATGCGGCCGCAAGCGGGAACAGCGGGTACTCCTGAAAAAAGACGGTGTTTTCTCCCAGCACGTACTGCACCTTTTCCGGCTGGTGCTGCGAGATGGAGCTGCTCTCGGCGCCGCCGGCCTGCTCCGATCCCCCGCCGGCCTGGCACTCTGGGGGCAGCAGCCTCCCACGGAAGGCCGCCTGCTGGCTGGTCAGTGCGTTTGCGTAAAGCATGCAGAAAGACTTCACGGCGGCTATCAAGAGGAAAAATCCCCCCTCCCCATATCGAACAGGAAATTTGTGATGCTGGATTTGCTTCCCCAAATCGGCTTGTGTTGCTAGAAGGCCAAGGGACGCACTTGCGGCCTGAATTGCAGGCAATTTGTGATGCTGTTTCCCACTTCCAGTTGCCTCCTGTCATGCTGAAGATGCAAGGCCTTCTTACGCCAGCCAGCACTACAGTCTGCGTCTTTTCCCTTCTAGCATGACAACATGATTTGTGGTCACAAATCAGCATCACAAATTTCCTGTTTGAATATGGGGAGGGGGGATTTTTCCTCACAATAGCGGCGTTCGTTTGCGGTGCCTCCCCGCCGTCCTCGTCCTTCGGTGGTGCAGTTGTATATCACATGTAAAAATGTCTGGGTCTGGAAGATTGGAACTTGTCATGCTGTTTTTGGACTCTAAAAAAAATTGTATTGCATGACCAGCAAAATGGGTACAGTTTTTGCTACACAGACGGGCCATTTCTCATGCGGAAGGTGCATCAGGAAGCCTTCTAAAAGTCTGCGATGCTAGTTCAAGCATTACAGGCATTATGGGTCATGAGAAATATGCATGACAAATCTTGCATTCTTCCAGACCCAGACACTTTTACATTTGATATTGTAGGCGGCAGCACCAGTTGGTGCAGGTTGCGGCTGAAATAGCTCAAGCCGACCTGGAGCACATTCTTGCTGGCGGTCTGCGGGTTCACGACGTGCTTCACAATCTTCAACAGATCCTCCACCGCGGTCGTGTTTTGCGGGGAAAGGGGCTGCGTGGTGTACCCGGGGAAGTACTTCAGCAAGAGTGTGGAAACCAGCAGCAACAAACCTGCCTGAACCTCCCACCAGGAGTCGTACATCAAGCCCTTCAACGATGCGACCAGAGACAAGACCGCATCGGACGACCTTCGATTATTTTTTATTTTGGAGTGGAAGAATCTCACCGCCTAATGGGGATCATCGTGCACAAGGACAAGTAGAGCGGAAATAAGCGAATTGCTTCAAAAATTTTTCGGCTCGTCTTGTGCTCGCACTCACTGTGAGCGCTGGTTAGTTTGTGAACCACTCTAGCCTCAGGCTCGCATGATTCATATTCATATTGAGAAAAGAAACGAGCCGGCGACGAAGAAAATACGTATGAAACAAATATGAGGTGGCTGTACCCGCTTCCGGCGATGCTGGTCAGGAGTGTGAGCCCCGCCATTCGCAGTCGTGGCTGGGGCATTTGCAGCGCAAGCAGGGCGTAATACAGATACAAGTCAAGCAAATGGTCGGTCAGCGGCTGACTCGGGGAGCAGTCCCAGTGCACGAAGCACGCTAGGCACGGAACGTAGCTCGTGACGAACTTGTTGCCAAATTTTTCGAACAGAAGATCCTTCACGGTTTTCAGCGCCTGCAAACGAGCTACCGCGCGGGGTAAGCTTAACCCGCTCTGATCCGCGTGTGTGACCTCGCCCGTTAAGAAGGTGTAGACAAGCTGACAGCACGTCTCTCGCTTCGTCGCATCCGCGTGCATAAGCTGCACGAGGGAGGGCAGACACACGTTAAGCATGCACTTTTGCGTGAGCGCTTCGTCCCGGTTTTTGCAAAGCTCTCCGACCCGCTTCCAGAAGTCCATCGCCTGTCGTGTTTTGTAGCCAAGAAATGCAGCGTCACAAGCAAAAACGCATTTACATTTAGATTTTTTTACTTTTACATGATAGACGAAGGAAAAAAAAATCAAAAAGAAATACAAGGGTCGAAATTGCTTGAATAGAGTTATACGGATTCGAAAACTTTGCTTCTTGCAGGTAGCTCGTTGAGAAGTGGGAGAAAGGCCGACCAGGTCTTCCAAAATTCCACCGAGCTTTTCAACAGACTGTCGATAAAGAGAGATGCGCGCGCTATCAACTTCTCCTTGAAAAGCTTCAAGATCAAAGGCTCGGGGAGCGCTTCCCGCAGCGTTGCCTCGATAAAGGCCATAACTGGGTCAAGTTCCTCCGAATCCGCAGCCTGAGCCAACGTCTGCTTGTCTAGTTCCCCGAGAATCAGTGGCTTTATGATGTCCAGAGTGGCTTTTATTGTACCTGAATGAAAAGGAAATGCATGGCGCGTAGCTAGAGGTTGAAAGCAGAAGCACCAACGAAAAAAAAATGTTCGCCAATGGCTCCGTTCGAGCCACGAGCAAAAACGTACGAGTTTCGAAAATCTATATCTTCCGATATTGTCTGCAAAAACGTCATAAAGCAAAAAGTACAAGCTGTATGAAGATGAACCGCATCTATCTATCGTGCATGAAAAAATACCTGTCGGCTGGTGAAAGCCGATATTGGCAATGACCGAAGCCGTGTGTGTCTGTTGACTCTTGATTGGTCTTGTCGTTTGGTTACTGCTCACGCTGTTCATGCTCTGCATGCCCGCGGTTTTCGAGAGCATGGCATTCACCGTCTGCTCTCGTACTGGGCCTTGGGTGTCCGTGACTTCCGTCTCCGTCTTGGATTTCAACGACCTTAGCTTGTCGTTGTCGGCCGTGTCGTGTGCCTTGGCCAGCGCAATGAAGCGACGAACACCTAGAATTAGAAATAAGAATGCATTCACTTTGAAAGCAGCTAAGTAAGCATCAGCGTCGTTACTTCACACCAGCTCACGGCAAAAAATACAGCACCAAAAATGTTTGAGCTTGCAAGCGTCGTTTTCGTTGCATGCGTTGAGCATAAGTAATTTAGATTTACATTTACCTGCACCGTCCGGTCCTATGCGATCCCTGGCAAGATCGTCGTTGTGCCGCTCCAGAGTCTGGATTCGTCTTATAGTGCGGTGAATGTTGTCCTCTATTCGCTCCAGATGCGCATCTTTCAGCTTCCAAGAGGCAGTATGCTTCGCAAATCTCGGCTCCGTTGGTTTCTGTGGACTGCCAAAGAGCACCACCTGAGTTTGTGCACATCATGTTCTCTCCGCGTAAAACGTATTTCACGAGAGAACAAGTCAAAGCTAAAAGTAAAGCAAACTGTCTGACATCAGAACTTAAGCGCTTTACTTCTTACTTGACTTTGACGAATGAAAAGCATCGGCATAAAACAAAGTAAAAACGAAACAAGAAAAACAAAAAGAACCTTCTTTCCTGTGAGAAACTCGTACACTTTGCACAGGAACAAAACGGCGGCGTCGTCCACGTGATGCAGCACCTCGTCGAACTCTTCCCGAGTGCAGGGAAATTTGAGTTTCTTGAAGAGCCGGAAGAGCATCTCCCAGTTGTTGGATCTACAGTGAATGGACTGACCGTTTTCGTATTGGTACAAAGAGCAGTCCTTCGGGTAGTACCGCTGGAACATCTGCGCGATCAGGTACCCATTCGCCAAGTCGAATTTTGCGTCCTTGATGGTATGCGTCAGCGCGAGCATCTGCATCCATTTCTGCACTTCCCGCGGAACAGACGGTGCCATCTTGGCAAGCGTGCTGGACGAGAGGACAGTGTTCAAGTTAATCTCCACGACGACCGCACCCACTTATTGAAAAACTCAGTCGTGTAGACGATCAGGAGCGGGCCCCCAGACCTACGTCGTTCTCCGACTGTACATCATTACAAGCCTATTCCAGAAGTGGTAGGGCAGCTCTGGCTCCCGCCGCAGAGGGTTTTGTCTTGATGTCAAGGTTTCATCACGGTCGTGTCGACAAGTTCGTCATCTACAAATACTACTACATCAGCATCTTCACTTGCTTATAATAATATCAATATCTGAACTCGACCTGCTAGATGTGCTTCTCGTTCACAGCAACTTGATGAAAGTTGCAGACGTGGAAAAGCAATACATCATGCCCGCACAGGACCAGGCATCGCGGTCAACAACGAATTCGCTACCATCCCTCCGAAATCGACACTACAGCGACGCATCCCCCGCCGATGTCCTCCAGACCATGACAACGAAAAAGACGTCACGAACCAAAGGCAGAGCAGGGACGATATTTGTAAGGCCCCACGCACACGAGCTCCGTCGAGCTACGACTCTCTACCTCTCTCTCAAGAAAGACATTCGCGACGATAACGACCTTGTTCTGATAAATCATGCCGGTCTCTCCTGCGATTTCAATTCCGAGCGCCTGGGCTCGAAGACCAAAATCGAAACCACACGATGGCGCTTCCTGAAGCATCTTGCTTGAACGAGAGCAAGGCCTCAAGGTCAAGATTAAATGAAATAGTAAGAAAAGCGCATACAGAACACGGGAAACAGTTGCAATTTGTTCGTCACACCACATAAGAACAAACCAAAAAGCGCACGTCTTCAATCTTCACTCCAGAAAAGGATAAGAATGCCCGCTATCATGATTTCGATAATTGTGATCATCATCCTCTTCGTTGCAGAATAATATTTCGTCGTTATGTCAAAAGTGGCCGGTGAATCACGACGATTCTCACGGCCGGTGCATGCAATCGCTTTCGTTTCTGACGTTCAGGAAATGCCATCAAGGCGCGGCGAAGTTAGGAAACCATAACCACCACATCCACAGCGCATGACATTATTTAACCATTGGGGAGCAAAAAGTTCAGATGCCACTGCCGTCGTGGTCCTCGTAGGTGGGGTAGACGTAGAGGTAGAATGCCTTGCGTATATAATATCGAAGAAATCATCTAAACAACAGTAGTTTATCCCGGGGGCACCATTGAAGTGCGTCGTATCTGAAAGGAGAGGAAGTACAACAATGCTGGAAGTAGTCGCTCCGACGGGGATTTGGATACACGGTGCTCTTGCGTCAGCTCGTATTTGTAAGTAAAAAAGTATTCGATTGAAATTACAATTAGTAGTGTACAGGTGATATTGGAAAAAACCGCTGATTAGGCAATGGCAAAATCCTCATCTTCGCCTTCGGCTGTTTTAGCTGCAGTTGTGCTTGTTGGCTCAGTAACAGCCGCATCGACCACGTCGTCGACAGGCGGAGGGGCATCTACTTTTGCAGCGACCGGAGACGTCGGCGCTGCTGGTGGTTCCGGTTTGGATTGTTTTACAACCACTGGAGGAGCTGGGTCCTGCTCTTTCGCTTCTGCTGCGACAACCGGGGCCGGCGGCGCGGCAGGAGCAGGTGGTGCTTCCTTCTTTTCCACAACCACCGGAGGTGCGGGTGGGGGCGGTGGTGGAGCTTGCTGCACCTGCGTGTGCGTCTGAACCGGGGGCATAGCCTCCACTTGGGCCTCGGTAGGCTGGATAGATCCAACGGAGCCCGCGTCCGGTGTGCCCACCGGACTTTGCATGCTGGCTTGGACCATCATTTCCAAACCTGAAATTTGTACGCGACATTGACTTGATTTTCTTGGTTGTAACAACGCTTCTTTTAAAAAAGAGCCATCAGCTTCAACATTTTGATTATTTTTGCTCTCGGAGATACCTCACAAAATGACGACAAGGGATAGCTCTTCTTCATCAATATACCAGGCGAAAGATGCTGTTTGATTTGTCGGTATTTTGTTTCCATCCTGGAAACCAGGTCCTTCAAAACTGGACTGGAAGCGATAATGTCCTCGTGCTGTTTTTTGAAGCTCATAATGTCCGTCCAAACCAACTCGAGGTCGTGCGTTGCCTTTGTGAAGACATGCCGCTCGCGCACCAGAAATTCTGCTCGCGTCAGTTGCTGCGGGGCTGCCGAAGATCCTGTAGAAAGCAAAGACATCACTTGTGTTTTTTCCGGAGAAACGACAACGCGAAGCAACACGATGAAACGCCAGTAAAATCAAGCTACGACGGTACAAACAAGCTACAAAAGGTGAAGAAGTCCGGCCGCAGGTGCCAAAGGTGACTAAATCTAAATGCGCAGCTATACGAAAAGTACCATCGCCCGTTGCAGCGCCGGCGGCTTTGGCAGTTTCCTGCATCACCAGCGTCTCGTCCCCATCGTTCAGCTTTATGAGCCGGCTGCAGCTAACCTTTGCGATTTCCCCGATGGACACAAGCCTGTCGTCCTCGTACCGGCAATGATCGCGTAGCACCTCGACAAAGTGCTGGTCAAATTGGTCGCGCTTCTTCCCCAGCTCCGAAATTTGTTTTCCGAGCGACGCCGACATTTGCTTCTCTGTGACCTCCACGATCTTGTGGATCTCCTCGAGCACCTTGCCCCCAATTTCACACTCCAGGGCCAGCCGCTCCTTCTCGGAGATCTGACGCTTGAAATTGTTCTTTTCGGAGTACATGTTGTTTCGCTTCTGGTCCTGCTCGGTCATGAAGTGCTTCTGCTTCTGCCGCGCTATGAGCAGCAATTGCGTCACCTGAAGTCGTCGTTGTATTCACCTATAGCAAAAACTATGTCTGCCGGGCTGGCGATCGGAAACAACTATGGAACTCAACAAGTACGTAGGTACGAAATAAGATCGTGCTACTCAAACTCAAGGACAAGTCATGCAAGGAAATCGGTGGATTCAAAAGATTCAAGAAAGTAGAAGTCGCAGTGCCCTTACAACTTTTTACCTCCTCGATTTCCAGTTTTAGGTTCTTCTTGCGCACTTCGAGCTCTTCGATTTCCTGGTCGACAGCGAGACGGTCTTTGTCAATGGATTCCAGATCTACCTTGAGCACTTCCGCTGCTTCCGCAAGCTCTTTTGTCAGCTTCTCCCGGGTTTCCATACTTGACACCGTGGTGGAACCCAGCTCGGTCTTGTAGTTCGTCATTTCCAGTTCGAGATTCTTCATGTTCTCATCACGTTTTTGCAGCGTCACTTGTCGATGCTTCAAAGCTTCCTCCATATTGACTCGGAGTCCTTTATACAGTTGGACCTGGCGAAAAGTTGTTCATATTCATACTTATTTTCGCTGTTCCTCGTTGTGGATGTTGCATACAGAACTTGTTCCAATTCATAGATAAAGTTAAAGGATGGCCGTCCTCATCTTTGATGATGGCCCTGTGTCCCTGTCGTGTTCTTATTTCGAATTGATTAATGATTATCATCATTCAATCTCGTTTCCATCTGATTTCCCCCGAATCAATTCTCGTCCAGCTGAAAAGAAAAAAATTATAAATATAGTACCAGGTCGCGACTCGCCGTGACTTTTTTCTTGTGGTGCTTTTCAATCTCGAGATCAGTGAGGCTCGGCAGTGCCGTCTTGACGCTGCGAATTTCGTTTCGTAGCTGCTCCGCCCGAACTGCCATGTCTTTCCTTTCGCTGTGGAATACCTCGTCCAACCAGTCGATCTTCAGCACGCCAAACAGCCTTGACAGCCATCGAATGTGGTAGTCAGTCAGGAGCTCTGCTTCCGTGGCGGTCCGCAAGAGCCCGCCCCAGATTTCCGGGGGACACGACAGCGCGTTTTGCAACAACGAGTAGAAGTAAAACGAATGCGAGCTGTGGTCGTCAGGTGTTGGTGGCGCAAAGCGCTTCCGCATGTACTCGTCACACAAAATAGTTTCCATCGTGATCTCCAATGCCCGGGACCGCAGGAATACCTTGGAGTTGAGATGATGTCGTGTTCGGCATCACCACTAGCCCAAGTGAACTGGAATGAATGTAACCAATCAAATTCAAAAAATTCACTCTTGACGAGCACAAAAGCAGCATGCGTGGAAATTATTACGCACCAGTAGTAGCATGAGAAGTTGTAGTGACGGCATTGATATTGAAGCAACTGGCGATACAACTCCCATTCACTGGTGAAAACTACTTGTCAGGAAAACAAGCTGCACCTGTTTGAACGACAGAATTCGTTTGTTTGGATCCTTTGCGGCCGCTTCTCGTTCCGCCATGATTGCCTCGTGCGAGCCAGCCCGTTTGCTGACGACGGAGGAGATTTTTGAAAATATCGATTTGTTTTCCTTTTCCTTTCCCCCTCCTGCGGGCGTCGTTTCTTTCGAACTGCTCGTGTCCCCGGATGATGTGGTGGTCGAGGTTTGTTCCCCTGGACTCTCCGCCACGACCGTATGAATTGCAAAAGTGTCTGGGTCTAGAAGAATGCGAGATTTGTCATGCATATTTCTCATGACCCATGATGTTTGTAATGCATGACCTAGCATCGCAGACTTTTAGAGGGCTTCCTGATGCACCTTCCGCATGAGGAATGCCCTCTCCGTGTAAGCACAAATTGCACCCATCTTGCCGGCCATGCAATACAAATTTTTTTAGAGTCCAAAAACAGCATGACAAGTTGTAATCTTCCAGACCTAGACATTTTTACATTTGATAGACCGCAGCATCCGTCGACAACTGGCGCTCCACGACATCGGCGTCCGGGTTGTTCAAGTTTTCCTCTTATCAAATGCAAAAATGTCTGGGTCTGGAAGATTAGAACTTGTCATGCTAAATCCGAATGATGCAAAAATCTGTGTTGCGTGAGTACCAAAAGCTGTCCGCTTTTGACCAAATTGCGCGGGAGTTTCTCACGCAGGAAAGGCATGATAGAGACCCCAGAGAATCTGTCATGCTAGGCCTCGCATTCCAGACCTCATGGCTCATGCAAAACGTACATGACAAGTCAAAGTCTCAGAATCTTCCAGACCCGGACATTTTTGCAGTTGATACCTCCCAGGCGTAGGAGGGCAAAATGTAGCTCGGCCCGTCCTTCCGGTTCATCGACGAGATCCAGGAGCGGTGCAAGTCCGCGATCTGGGTCAGCTATCAAATGCAAAAATGTCTGGGTCTGCTGGAAACTTGTGATGCTGTGCGGCGTATCATGAGGAGGCCACAATTGCTGGCTCAGCATGACAAGTTTCTGAGCTTCTAGGTGTTGCCTAATCTGCATGACAAACTACGTCTCTGCATGACAGAAAAGTGGGGCTCTTTGGTAATGCGCATGACAGATTTAAGAGTCATGCCAGACAAGCATGACAAACTTGCATTCTTCCAGACCCAGACATTTTTACATTTGATATCAGCGTCACCGCGTTCCGTGCCTTCTCCTCCAAAATCTTCGTCAGCTCCTGGGCCGTCTCCATGCGGCCCAGCTTTTGCTTGGCAATTTCCTTCGCCTTGATCGTCGCATCTTTCGTCTTTTCGTAACCCTTCTGCGTCGCTTCCGTTACCTTCACGGCGGCCTCGCTCGTCCACGCCTTGGCGCGGTCGAACCAATTCGACATGATTGATGTGATAGATTTAGAGGGACGACCGGGACGTAAGTAGAAGTAGAACCAGCATGAAATATACTCTGGTGTGACACGACACGTCGACGCCGCGTCGCTTCTTACCTGCTTCAAAATAAACCCCCCGGGCCGGGTCGGCTATTAATGTTCGGAAACGAAACGCCCTCAATAATAAGCAGACTCAAGAACGCAGGTTCGGTTGGAAGTAGCCGGATGCGCGAACAATGATCTTCAACGTCTATACTACAACTAGAACTACTAGAAGTACCTATTGTATATTAATCCATCGAACTACTTTTATAGCTGTACTACTTCAACAGTAGCGACAAATCACTTTCGGGTGTACAGTGAGTGAATCCACTTGGTGGAAGAGGGAGGACCTGTCTTTGCAACATTAAGCTAGAGGAGGAAATTTTGGAATCAACATTCCAACATTTGACAACGCCAGAAACAGACGAGAACCAAACTGCTCGAGAACATGCACCAGGGAGTCACATTCGTGCACGATGAAGTTAACCAACCTAGACCTATGTATTGGTTTGAAATTGCTTTCTTTTTGACTCTCTCCACTTTCTCTCCCTCGTCTGCTGGTCGGTGTTTTAAGTAGTTCTTTTTCTCTGTTTCTGTGATTTGTCTGGCATGATAACTTAACCTCTCGCTACTGTACTTACCTGATAAGTTGTGATAATTACAACATACAAGGAAAGCGCAGGTTTGAAACCACATGCAATTGTGCAAATTGCGCTGTCTGACCGACACGTACGGCGAACCTCCTACCAAAAAAGCGACATGGAAACAAATAAAGCAGGAATGAGATTGCACGTGGTCTACAAGACTCTAAGGGAGACTCAATGTCAATGCACTTGCAGCGTAGTCTTGCTGGCGGAGGCGGTCATAGTTTAGTAGGATTGGAATTACATCATCTGTTTATACATGGGTTTGTCTTCATTTTCTTAACATTACATTTAGATTTACATCTTCCTTTGCGTTGCTTCAGACTGTTGTGTCTTGATGTTTCGCAGTCCTTTTGTTCTTTCTTTCCATTCCAAATGCGGCCTGCGTGCGCAAGGAAACCAAATCTCATCATATCGAAACAGGAGCAGAAACCAAAATTATTGAAATCGATAAAAATAAATCCATTGGAATTATTGGGAACGAGAGCTATGTTCATGCGATACTTTCTACTTTTGTTTTTCATTTTTTTTACAGTGGTTTTGCTTTTGTACAGAGAGACTTCATCAACAGGACTAGCACCAATCGTCAAGGCGACCCATGTCCAAGCCGCATGCCAAGACTAATCGCACAGCTTACCCTCCCATGTGCTAGCAGAGCCAAGTGCTTAGAACTACATTTTCTTCGCGAAAGTCCGAGGTTGACAACACAGCTGCAGCCGCAGAGCAGCTGCGAAAGGCCTCTTGCTCTACTCCTCCCGTCCGGAATCTTCTGCGACGTCTTGAAGATCAGAGGAAGCCGAGGCGGCCCGGCTCGAACTACGGGAGTCCGAGTCTCGGTCTTGCCCAGTGTCCCAGCAAAAAAAATGACCTTGCGGATATCGGTATGAACCGTCCTCACTTGTTGCAACCAGTGGCACGTCGTGTTCCTCGCCGTCGCGTACGGTATTTTCCGTGGCGCCATCGCCTGCCGATGCAGTTTGATGCTCTTCCTGGTCTGCCAGCAAGATCGCCAACTGCAGATCACGCAGCAGCGTTAGGCACTTCGGGTTCGCGACGGCCATCCGAAGTAGCGGGCATTGCTTGGTAATCTCTCTTCGCAGTGCCATCGAGGGTGCACGCGGGAAGGACGATTTGGATTTGTCTGTTCTTGCCAACTCTTCTTCGTTCGGGAACAGTGCAGGGTCCCGGAGTAACCGAAGCAAAATGCTGGCACAGCGTTGCATGGATGAGCTTGTGGGGCCGACGTGGCTGCCTGTCTTCCCGTCAGTCGAGGATCCTCTCCTGCAGCGCCTCACCAGTGACCGCGGGCAAAGGCTCAAAATGGCATCCTTGGTCGCACAGCACTCCTCCGCAATGACCCGGGGAATCCGCGTGGCGTGGTCGCAACAACAATTTAGAGCCCAGTGAAAAGTGGGCGGGCAGCACCATGCTTCAGTCACATCCTCGCCGGGCCCCTCCCAACTGGGGCAACATGGAGGCGGCCCGGTTTCCGCGGTGCCCTCAAGCATTAAAGTCCTGACACAGGGACACAGCCAGCAGCAGAACAAACCCTCGCACGATGCCTCCGTGTCGCACAAGCAGTGCCCGGCAAGACACCATACCGTGTTGGCCGACAGGTAAGTCACGTCGCAGGCAAGAAACAGAAGAGCGAACGCGAGACGGCTGCAATTGCACCACCACCTGGCTTTCCATAGCTCTTCGTCCAGCTCGGCACTCCACATCGGCTCCTCGCCGTCAGCCAGTAGGAGCAACGAGTCGCTTCGCCAATTAGGCTTTAGAGCAGCAGCGTCCGCTTCCTGTCCGGAATCCTCGTCGGAATCCGCCGTCAATGGCTTTCGCAGGAACGGCGCTGCTCGCCCCTGCCCTGGTCGTGCAGCTTCATCGTCCAGAACAACGCTATCGTGATCTACTTCTTGGACGTGAAGACTACTTGGCAACGGCGACGAACCTGCAGCTGGTGCCCCTCCACCACCGACCATCTGTTGCTGCCTCGGAGCCACAGCAATGTGGCGCTCGCGTCGGAGCAGAGGCTTTTTCAGCTCTTGTCGCAGCGTGGTTGACCGCGAGCCGCTGGTGCTCATGTCCCACCACTTAGCCGCTGTGCCGGGATTGATGCAACAGCTACAACAACAACAACAGCAGCATTCGTCGTCACCATGTCGATTTTCCTGTTTTCTGGCTTTCTTGTCGTGTTTTCTGGCTTCCTCTGCGAGCGCCAACGCCGCAAAGCGACACGCGTGATAGCTGCCGAAAGCGCGCACCAAATCCTGGACTGCGCGCGTGCGCACGAATACTTCGCGGTCCAGACGAGCATTAACCGCAGGTGATGTTCGTTGGCCTTCAGCTTCGTGTGCATGTTTTTGCTGGAAAGCGTTCTCTCCTTCGGCTTGCTCCTGCTCGATGTTATCACTGTTGCTACTGCCGATATTCGGGTCGACGCCCGGGTCGTGTGCCGGTTGTATGTCGTCAATTCGCATCAGCGTCGCTCTACTAATTCGCTCGCGCCTGCGGACTCGTCGCTCTTCCAACCGTTGGTTGTTCGCCTGTACACGCAGTTGAGCAACTTCCAGCTCAGGAGGGGCACAGTGACACAAACACTCCCAGGATCCACAGCATAAAGCTACGGCATTCTCAAGGTAGGTGTGCGCAACGTCACAATAGTCATTTTTCTGCCTGGCAGCGTGCTCCTTGCAACCTCTCGCTGCCCCGTAGCACTGGCGTAGCTTTGACTTCACTTTTTTCTCTTGTTCCGCCGACTCGCTATTTTTCATTTGCGCGGCTTTCGTGCGTTGCAAAATTGTTGTTTCTTTCCGTAGGCTTTGCTGGATTTCCTTCTCCATGTAAGGAATAACGGCGGTTTCCCAAGCTCGGCGACGTGTCTCAGAATCGAGGACAGCGGCATCCTCCGCTGCACCCTCGATGAACAATGAAACAAAAGCGTCGACGTTGCGCAAATCGTTCAGATCGTTCACACACACTTGGCGCGGGCAAAGTTCTCGCCGGCAACTACAGGACGCCAGGGTACTACCAGCACGAGCATCACTTCGCTGGGCACATGCGCCAAAAAGATCGCGAGGAGTTGTACCTCCTGCCACCACGCTTGCCGCTCCTGCTCCCCCTGCTGCCGTCATCTCTCCTGCTGAGTAGATCGCCTCCATGCAATTTGTCAGAAAACGGGTGCTCGGAAGCTCGGTGGAGTCACCTTTGCGGCAAAGCGGACACTTCCTGGCGTGAACCTGTTCTCCTCCAAGGCTTTCCAAATGTTCGCTACACTCAAGACAGAAGGCATGTCCGCATCGCATGAGGCAGGCTCTGCCGTCAATCTGCTGTAAACAAACGGCGCACTCAATGCGGTTTTTCTTTACGTTGCTGTTGTCTGTCCGAGAAGCAAGAACCTGGGAACCGGCATCAGCATACCGAGTTTTCTGATCATCTCGATCTCGGCCTGCTGCCACTCCGCAAACTTGGTCTCCACCATCATACATCAACTGCATGCGCAGCGCAAAATAGAAACGAAACTCGTAGCTCCGAATTGGCCGACGAGGTGTGCGGCGAATCTTTCTTCCCGGCGAAGAGGAAGTACTAGCTCCGTGTCCGAATACCGCGCTGCCGAAACGAAACCCAGTGGCTCTCGCACCAACATCGCTTCCACCAACGGCTCCTGTGAAGATGGGAGACCTAGAGGAGGAGCCGCTGCTTCCACCAGATCTGCTGTCAAAGCGAGACTCAAATTTCAGGCCCGAAGTAACCGGCAGAGTACCTCTGCGGCACAACGAAACGACAGCAAGGAAGAACACGAGACCAACGACATGTTTCCGCTGTGCGAAGGTGGCACTTCTCGTGTGAAGGTAGAGCATGTTGGTCGTGGACGCTGCACATTGAAAAACATTCACAAGTTGTCATGGACTACAACGGAACAAGAAAATTATCAGTCACCGACGTTTCCGTCTTTTGCTCTGCCCAAAATATAAATTTCATCCGATGCCGGGACCTGAATCAAGCAGAGCGAAGTAGACAGTGTCGACCGCGAGTCCAGTCCCTCCATCTTCCGGAAAACCAGAAAAGAAAAAAGTGACTGTCTTTAGTTTGTAGAACACTGAATCTTGGTTTTGCTTTTGGTGTATGAAAAAACGACTGTGGTTTGACATTCATCTGCGTGGTAGTTCATTTGGATGAATACTAGCACCAACTCCACAATTGAAAAAAGCGGCACACTATCGCTTTGTGTGGCCCTGGACCACTACCACTTTACTCAAATTATAGTTTCGTCGACTGGGAAGATGCGGTGAAACGCAGCAGGAGCTGTGGACAGAATTATGGCGTTCTATTTTGACTTTTGAGCATGAGCACACCATTGAATTATAGAATTCTACGTGTACTGGGAAGCCAAACTAGCCCTCACGTCGACGACACAAATAGTCGTCGTACATCCCTGTGGGGCCTGCTGGAGGGGCCCGCGCACGGTATGCGTCGTCAGTCGCTGTTTATAGGGTACTTTCACAAGAGCTCTTCGAGGCTCGTCATCTTCACTTCTTCTTTTTCTTTTTTCCGTCGTCTTTTTTCTTGTTGGGCTGGCTTGGTCCCGCCATTTGCGATACCTTCTCCACGGCAAGCATGACCTCGTCCTGGCCGACGTTCTTGTTTGCTCCGTCCGTTCGGTGCTTCATCTTCTGGATAACCTTGCAGACTTGCTTGAGGAAGTCCCGCTTCGTCTTGATTTCTGGATTGCAAAACGATCCATCTTCCTTCTTTAGCAGGACCTTCACGCGCCCCTGGACCAGCCAGTCCCGCGGGTAGCACTTGCTCATCTCCAGCGCAACCCGGAGCTGAAGCTGCTTCCCAGCCTCGGCCATTTCGGGGGCCGTCGGGTGCGCAACACAATGCTCCTTGCCGAGGCGCCGACCCTCGGGCACGGTTTTCTCGGAGTTGCAGTAGTTCGGGTAAAAGATGTTCCACCCCGAGGTATCGGCGTCTGTGGACGAAGCTGCGGCCATTTTTTCTCTTTTCTATGGCGTTCTTCAGTCAAGGTTTACAGAAACAGTAAAAGAAAATGATCTGGATCTGCTTCTGCAGATGCAGTGCAGCTACGACAAAAAAATAAAAAAAGACCCAAGAAGTACAAATAATGCTTTGTCGCTAGGAGACGGAGATCACAGTATGTGTTGAGTAGTTCTGAATCGTGTTGATGTCGTTATGAAACTGTTTTTTGATACCATCTGGTTCTGTTACTCTTTGGAGAGGTCATAAGTAACGTCACTGTGTACATAACATGATGACCTTCTTGGTGCCTTGTCGATAAAATCAATCAAACATGAAGATCCTACTTTACTTTATTTGCCGTATCAATCTTTTGTGATGTAGAAAAAGTATAGTGGTGGAGGTGGATCTCTGGCTCTGCACGCGAGTGCACGAAAATAGGCTTTAGTCGTTTACATTTTCATTTGGTGTTGTATTATAATGGAAACAATTGAAATTGATCATCGTCAGTCTCCAATACTAATGCCAATGCTGATCGTCTGGTTCTGATCGTCGAATCAATTACGAGCCTCTTCCTGCGGCGGTCGGAGAGTGAAGTGAACGTCAATAAAAGCCATTTCTAGGCCATTCCGCGATGGGGACATCATTGATTTTTATTTTTTCAAAACGAAAACGTCGAACATCTTCTAAGCAATGAAGCAAACAAAAGGAGAAGCGGTACGCTCACTCTGATTAGTACTGAAGCAGCTCTGTTCCAGTTTCCCCGACACATCTTCATCAGGTTCAGGACGACATGTCGTCCTGAGCAAAGAAACAGACGCATACCTTTAGGTATACTTCTGCGGGCGGAAAATGCGATTAATACATCAACCTCGACCGCGAGCGCGACGATGAGGCTCGAGCTGGACTTCTTGAATACCTTTCAATACTTTCTCGTTCTGAGACTACTTTCTCAGTGAAGGAATCAGAATAACGATAATTTTGGAGAGGACGAGCAAGCAACTTTAACCTACTCTACTTTGCACTCGGCAGTCAGAAGCGTCCTCAATGCTGCAGCTTTAGATGTTGAAGCTTTGCTTGCCTCGACGTAAGATGCTTCTTTGGTGGAAAAGCAGATCGTCCAGTGCCTCCTGGATTCGGTGCTGCTGCCGCTCGATGTCATTCAAGTGCGCGGCGTGTTCCTTCCAGAGCTGTTCCTCTGCGGAGATGTTTTCTTTGCTCGAGGGCTTGATGGTTAGGTGGCTCATGGCCTCGAGCAAATGATTGCGCAGTGGTTTTATAAGGAATGCATGCGCGAACAACCCAACATGCGTCGCGACCCACCGTTTGATTTGCAGAAAGGCACTCAGAATGTGGTCCGCGGCAACAGGGAGGTACTTCTCGACTTCCTGTTGGTCAAACCGACGATCCAGCTTGCTAAGTGAGTCCATGCTTTTCCTGTTTTGTGGTTTGTGGCATTGAGAAAATGAAGATGTCAAACGATCAAGGAAGGAATAGGAATACAACATAGCTAAGTACTTACTAGCTTCAGATACTCGGAAGGCTACGAATCAAGGTATTTGCAGCTGCGGATTGTATTAAGCCACATGGGCACGAAGCAAGTAGCTACTGCTACAGTAACAGTAGCGGTAGGAGTACTGTTGGAAATAAAATAGCTCAAGACTAGAACCTTTTGAAACTGGAACAGTTCACGAGGACCGGCTTCGCCCACAACGACAACAAGAAGAGCGTCTACTTTATACCTTTTCACGTCCATTTCGGCCTGGACGCGGGTGATTGCCGCCCGCACCCGCTTTCGCTGGTCGGTCTCCAAGACCACCGGGCGCACCATCGCGGGGTCGATCTGAACCATCGAGACGTCTTCCATGTCATTGGGATTCTGCTGTTCGCCGCGCATGATCGTACTTTGGTTGATTCCGTCCGGGTTGTACTCTTCCACCGTGTACCAGATGTGCTCCTCCTCCGGAATGCTGGGTCCATTCAGCACGCCAATGCGCTCGCCGATGGCAATCTCCGCCGTGCTGTCGCGCCCGACGCGGGTAGTCAACCCGTCGGCGCGGGTCACAAAAGTCCCATTGCTGCTCATGTCAGCCAGAACCTGGTGTAATATGTTCTTAGGTGTGGTGCATTCATGACCTGGTCGTTGTTCGAATAGAAGTCATTCACTTGAACTTGTTAGAGCAGGACAAGGACAATACTATCGTCCTGAGCTTGAACGCGCTCTTCAGGGAATGGAATACATAGCAGAGCTTCTCGCTTTCTCCAAGGACACGTCCTTGAGCTTAAGTTTTCTACCATGCGGCCCTGGTGGACGCACAACGCGAAATGTGTGGAGGAAATTCGCAGATCGTCGATGTGTTCGGTGACGAGCGTCGGATTACGGCCCACCACGCAGCAGTATCCGGTCCCTTTTCTTTTCTTGGTTAAGTCCACGACAATCTGCCTCGTGATGTTGAGCCGGCACTTAGGATCCAGCTTCAGGATGATCTTCCGCTGCGGCGGAAGATGCTCCGTCTCCTCGTTGGGCTGAATGTAGGCCAGGACATAATTTGTGAACTCCTCCACATCGTCTATGTCGTTCTCCTTGATCGTCTGTTTCGCAATGAACCTGTGAGTTTGGGGCGCATGATTTCGGGCCAACCACGTATCTGGCTGTAAGTGTGCTCATCTTGCCATGATAAGACGTAGACATGCTAGCGCCAATAGCGTCACCCTGCTCGTCACCAGAAGACTCGCACTACAACAATTTTGGCAGAGACGAGGCAGATGAAGAAGCACCACGTACAACGCGACATTCCAGCATGTCAAGCAATTAGCAATAAGCATGATCACAGTCTACTTCATCACTAAAACCATGATGCGTACGCATTGGGCTGGTTGTAGATCGCGGAGAGCATCTGTTGCACGATTCGCTGAAACGCTTGGCAGCTTTTCTCTATGGCGTCGTCGTATGCCTCATAGACAGCCTTGCGGATTTCGTTACGCTTTTCCAACAATTCCCCATGTTGCCCATATAGCCGACTATACCAAGGTTCGTCTGACGACGACTGGATATTTTATTTTTTGCGATGTTGAGCCATTTCCATGATGTGTCAAGCAGACACTGGAAGTAGACTGATGTCATAAGTACTCATAGTCATCGATGTATACAAAAAGCAGCAAAAATCATGGCAAGGGAGCGCATCACGGAGATCCATCTCCATGGCAACGATATGAAGTGCCTGCGAATATTCTTAGAGTAGGAGTACTAGAGCAACGATAGAAATAAGAACACGACGAGGTGAAATCACTTCATCGCTTATACCTTGATGGTCTTCATCCAGTTTACGATAGCAAATTTTTCGCGTGTCAGAAACCACTGCAACCTCTTCGTGACGTACGAGACCTGGCGTTGCAGTACGCCATGAGTTGTGGACTGGAAGATCTTCGTGACCACGTCTTGCCAAGTGGTTTGGTTTAAGCCGACGCCCCCGCACTGACTCAGCTCCTTATTCAAGTACTGCAAGACCTCGTCCATCTTGTTCGGCAGATTGGGGTGCGCGAAGTGCACACTAGCCTCGCACTCCTTCAGCAAGCGCGCCAGCGCGGCCCCGCCGGACAGCGACTCGCTGAAGAAGTGCTCGCTGTTCGCGGTAGAAAGGGATTCGTAGTACTGTCCCAACTGTCTCCAGGTTTGGAACCGCAAATCTGGCAGTTGAACGGGTTCGCTCGCGTTGCCATAGTTTGTCAGCTCCTCATCCTCCAAGTCCTTCCCAAACTGCACGAGCTCCTCCAAAAGGGTTTGACCAGCAACCGTGGGAGATGAACTACCGCGGCTGGAATATTGTCCTTGCCCAGATGATGGTGCTGAAAACGAGTTCTGTCGTATGCTGCCGTCCAGCAGAAACGACGAACAGGCTGCAACGCTCGCGCCAGCGTTGCGTGCGAGGATGATAGTGGTCTCGATGTTCCGGTCGAGCTGCAATACCTCGCGGTGCTGCTGGTCCAAGTTCTGCAGCTTCGAGTGCATCAGCTTCCCCCACAAGGGCGCGACGCGGTTCACGAAGTTTTTCTCGTGGTAAGCGAGCAGATACGCGACCAAACTGTCCCGGGCGCTGAAGAAGCGAACCCGTTTCGTCGGCCGGAAAATTTGCCCGCTTTGAAGTGCGGTGTCGGCCGCTCCACCGTCGTGGTCGTCTTGGTCGCCGTTTATGATGGCGACGTTGGACGTTTTGCGGACGGTATTAGCAACTACGGCGCCCCCCTTTGAAGATGAGCCGTGGTTTCCATCCTGCCCGTCGACGTCTTTCATGTCCGCGTCTGCAGCACCTCCTGCGTCCGCGATTCGTGGTGTCGTCAATGGATTCGCACCTGGATCATCTGGTGCAGGGAGGTCATGCATGATCTGGTCTTGTTGCGCGTCTGTTCTTGTTCCTGCTCCTCCGCCCATATTCACATCAGCGTCGCCATCGGCAGATGAGCCATAAATGTCGTAGATAAGGTCTGGTATCGGAAGCAGAAAGTACTCTTTCCCCTGCTCAGCGTGACTGGCGGGCTGGTCCAGGATTACTGGCTTGCCGCGGCACAGTTTGCGGACCCAACCTGGCCAAGCGTTCACCTCGCTCGAGTGGTGGTCAAAGGCGTTTGCATTTTGAGAGCTGAACGGGTAGTGGCCACCTGTCTGCGAGTGCAGCGGCCTGCGAAAATCAAAAGTTCTTGTATTTGGGAATTTATAATTTTGGTTCAGGATTGATCACGATCACTTTCCATCAGTTGTTTTTCATCTTCTCGCACGCTGATCTATCATTGTGGTGGAAAGCCTGAGGGGAAGCGATAGCAGTAGCAGTAGCACGACCTCGAAGTCGAAATGTAAAAAATAAAAAGGATGAAATCTCTGCAAGGAAGCAAGCTTTCCTTCGCGTAAAAAACGTTTAAAAATACCGTCCGCCAGCGCCTGCTCCGATGTTGAATTGACTGCTGGTGCGCGCCCGCCTGCCCGTCGCTCCGGCCGCGGGATAGTCCGGGAGGTCCAAAATCTGGATCTCGTCACGCACCTCTGGCGTGATAATTTCTACGCGAACCGGGCTGGCGATCAGCACGCGATCGCCACAGCGCTCGTTTTCGACCGCAATGAACTTTTCCAGTTCTTGCTCGGTCACCTCCCGGCAAATCTTGGTCCTACCACTGCTCCCGGAAGAACTCGACGAAGATGAGCCTGTCGTGTGAGGGTACATCCGCTTTGCAGAGGCACTGCTGGAGGAGGACGAAGACAACGTCGCATCTTCGTAGACGACACACCTCACACCACCTGACGCAGGCCCAGGACGGAAACTGATTAGCGTCGGCCTTCGCTGTCCGAGCCGGCTTTCCTTCCACGTGGGCTGCAACTTCGTCAGACCAAATGCGCGCGCTATGGTGTGAAAACCACGAGCACCTTCGGTGAAGGAAGTGAGGAAAAAAATTTTCCTAGCTTTGTCTTTCGCTCTGTTTGGGCCTCCATTGGTCTTCGTTATCGACACAAACAGGCTTGGACACAGGAGTAGATGAAACGAAGACAAAATTGTTAAAAAGCAAAATAACACACAGAAGAGTTCTTCAGGTCTCGCGCCGATCTTCTCGATGAAACAAAAGTAGCAAGAAGCAACCTGATATTACCTAGAACGGCCGGCACAGCGAGAGCATCGATTGCGAACTCAGAGTTTTCCAGATCGCAAGACTCGACCGCCTTGCAGACATCCCAGATGGAGCCAATCAGGTCACTCACCGCCCTATGCTGACCCCCGTTGTAACTTCCACCACGATGTTGGCCGTTTGTACCGCCGCCACTTCGCCGCCCGCCGGCCCGCTGCGGACTGGCGGGGGCAGCTCCCGGGAGGTCGTGGTGCGTTCCGTTCGCGGAAGAGTAGGTCCCGAAATTATTGACGCCGGCACGCGGAGGCGGGTTATAATTGCGTGTGTGGTACCGCTCCTGCGATCCGCGACGACTGTTGTTGTTGGAATTCGAGGCATTGAACCAGTGCAGACCCGCGGATCCCGCGCCTTGGTAGGTTCGTTCGCGCATCGCTGCATCGAGCGAGCGGGCACTGAAGTTGGCGCCTGCTGTTGTACTTGACGGCGCGTAGCTACCAGCAGTGCTGCTGCTGCTTCCGCCGATCGTGTACACCGCGCCAGTGCTCTGCACACTTGTGTAGCCGTAGTTCGGTGGCCCACCCGTCAAGTTATGCTCATCCTTTTCGTCAATGGTTTTCTGGCGCTTCAGCTGCGGCCGAAATCGATTGTCTAACACGCCTGTACCTGGCGAAACTACTCCGCCGCGCTTCATGGCCGAAGTAGAGGCCATGTTGTTCGTCCTAGCGTAGGATCCGAAGCGATTGTCTTGATCGATTTCCATTTTCTTTCTTTGTCCCTGATGGTCGTGGAGGCAAGGAGATCTTCCACGGCGCTTCTAACGCAAGAAGCCTCTAGTTCTTCTTTTTTTATGTAGGATTGATATCTTCCAGCAAAAACAAAATTTTGATGTCATAAAAACAAAGCCACGACTTTCTTTCTTGATTACGACGCTCTATTATACTTAACTTCGCAAGATATCATATATTTTCCATCGCACTAAAGTCGAGAAAGTGAAAAGACATCTTTTTCGTCGCAAGGAAAGTCTCTGGCTGTGAAGGCAGTTCATCATCGATCTTCATACCAAGAGAAGCCGCTTGAACATGCGCTGAAACTAAGAGCTTCACCAAGAGGAGCTCACTGAAAGAAGTTCCACAGGGGGACCAAGTGTGGAATAAGCAGTGCAGGTCGAGAACGCGATCTTCCTCTTTCTCAAGTAAAAATCATACCGCAAGAAGAGAGGAGGCTACACCAAACATGCTTTGCATTTGCATTTGCTTCAGTTGCGCTACAACCTAGAGGCAACGAATTAGCGCGCAGCGCGGGCGTTTGCGTTTCGCACCTGTTTCTAGTAAAAAATGTGTAGGAACAATATTGGTCCACGAAAATTCATCTCAAAAGCCTATGACTAGCGGCGATACCAGCTCGTAAGCAACAAAGCATGTTCGACGAGCGAATTTATTTCTGAGTTACTTGCAGCACCAATGACGGGCCTGCTGCCAGATTTTTGTTTGCCGCCCGGATCATACTGAGACGGAACTACAACAACCTGGCGATTCACGACGATCAGATCTTTGCTCAGTTCTCGCTCGGACATGATGTCGGAAATCGACATTGACATCGTCCTCTCTCGGCACAACACAGCGAAGGGACCTGAACTTTCACACTGACCTCCAATCAATGAAAAAGTCGTCACAGCAAAACAAGAGCAAGACTCAGCGATCAAATGATAAACGATACGCGACAAGAAGAGCGATGTTTGAACAAGAGCGACGTTTCCTTAGCCAAAAATGATAAAAAAAAATCTTCACAACATACACAGCCAAAAGCTTCTACTTCGACTGAACAGCCTCCATTTCGGTGAACACCGAGCGCCCTGTGATGACGATTTTCCTCCGTTCGATGTATCCATGAAGCTGAACACGGAAGATGGTGCGGACTTTGAGAAGATTGAGATTGTACCTCGCCCTCGGACACGACCACGACGCAATTGTAATTACTGAAATAAAAAAAAGAGTAAGCCTAAGCACGACCTCATCCTCAGCTTGTCGGTGCAGGCGTGATAGAAGCGAGAGTGATCGGCGACACTGGCCGCATCTCTGCCAGTGTGGCATTTGCGTTCACGTCAGTTGACCCGTTTTCTAGTCCTTGATATTTACAAGGGAAAACGGCTAATTGGCGGGCGATTCGAACTTTTCCAAAACTTTTCATTTGACTTTTCAGGATTTCAGGGTATTGAAAACGATTTGATAAAGCGAGTCAGAACGAAAAAACGCAGTGAAGATACTCCAAGCGACAGAACAGGGGCGCCTGCGAGGTCTTGGGCGCCGACGCCTCCTCTTGTCCCGCGGGTGATCGGCGAAGCCCGAGCGACCGCCTTTCCACCCGCCGAAGCGTGCGCGCGCGCCGGGTACCCGCCGACCGCACGCAGCCAACGGCTGCCGGCGCGGGCGCCCTAAAGAAAAAGGCCATGACCGCCCATCGCACCCACCCGCCCCCCAGGCCCGGAAGGCCTACCCGGGAACTGACTAGGAGGAGGGCTACCGACACAGGGAAGGGGGCCGGTCCGCCAGACCCTAAACCCGACGCAACCGGGCACCCGGCAACGCGCGCCCTCGCCAAAAAACGCGCGCGCCCAAGCCTCACAAACACCCGGAATCGCGGCGCCAGCCCGCGCCTCCTGCCGCCGGCGGGCCGCCACCGCGAAACGGCCCGACCCTGGCAGCTTTCTGAATGCAAAGCAACCACCGGCCAAAAGCTGCCGGCGGTGTGTGCTGCTGTTTCGCGCTCTTCCACATGAAGAAGATCAAAGCGCGCCAGCCTGTTGGGCTTTGTTTGACTTCAACGAACCGCCGGCGCCGGGCTCTATCGGTCGCCGACTGATAATACTAACGACGCAGGGGGGCCGACAAAGAAAAGGGGCACCCCCCTGAGGCGCCGGCCGCGTGGGGTTCTGGCGATTTGGGGCGCGCAAAAGAGCGCCCCAAAAAACTCGCGGCAAATCAGAAAAGCGAAGCCGCACGACAGGGCCGGGCGGGGCTTCGTTGGTTCGGAGCATTTGGCCGGCCGCGAAAGCGGCCCCCACCTTTTCGCCGGTTTCTATGCGGCGGAAGCTTTGCAAAGGGTGCCGGCGCGCAAAGAAAAAACACAGAAAAGCAAAAGCGCGCCAAGCGCGCGAGGCCAATCCCCATGCCATGGGCCCGGTTTGCCTTCGGTTTTAGGGCGCTCCACCGCGGCGCCCGGATCGGCCCCATGCCGCCGGGGCTGGCTTTCGGGCAGGGGTTCTGAAAATTTGGCAAAGAACTGCCATGCTCTCCAAAAGACGGCCAAGCCACGCGGCATGGCCATACCAAAAGCGGCACGGTGGGCCCAGAAAAAGCACGCAGTGGCTGGCCAGGGCAACGGTCGGCGGGCAAGGCAGCCAGCGGCACCGACCTCACCACCTCCGCCACGGAGGCTATATTTGGCACGCTGGGCACACGCAGCAGCGGCTTACCGTCCGGCAGCCCCACACGTAGCAAGCAAACAGGCCCCGAGGGTAAGTAAGCCCCCACGACGTCCCCTCCCCTACGTCGCACGCAGGGGCGCAGTTCCGCCCGTGCACCAACCACATCGCCCGGCGCCCCAATATGGCTCGCCCCGCCCGAAACGGTGTCGAGCGTGCCATGCGGTCCGACGTCGGACCGCACGGTATGCTTGTCGGAAAAGCGAAACAGCAAAGGCACAGGCCCCGGCTGACCAGATAGAGACGAAGCAGATCGCCCAATCCCGGCCGACAGGGTGGGGCGCAGGGCGAGCGAAGGGCGAGACGAACGATGGGTGGCAATCGGGCCGCCGGCACGTAGAAAGTAGACCCGCGGCGGCGCCGCCCGGTATTCCAGGCGGGCGCGCAGGCAGGCCGGCGGGGCCCAACATGCAGGCGCCCCCCCCACTCAGAGGGTGGGAGGCCCCCAGGCAGGCCGGCTCCGGCCGGCGGGCGCCTGGCGGATGCGGCGGAATCGCTTCGGCACCCCAAAAGCCCGCCTCCCCCGCCCGGGCCCGGCGGTGCACAGGCGCCACGCCCGCGCGGCTGTTGCCTGCCGGCACACTGTGGCCGGCCCCGGTCTAGGTCGGTCGCGGGCGGGGGGGCGAAGGACTGGCGCGGCCGGGCCGGGTGTTCCTTCCGTCTATGGGTTTGGGCAAACCACCGCCAACTCCAGCGGCGCCCGGGCCCCCAAGAGCCCGCCGCCGCAAGTGTGGAGTACGCGGAGCGCATGCCCCGCACGCGCCCCGAACGGCGCAACGCGCCAAGTTCAGGGGGTCGGTAGCAACCGCCGAAGCCCGGGCGCCCTCTCTTGGTTCGCAGCAAGCGAGCGACACGCGCACCGGCGCCCCCGGGGCGTGAATCCGCTGCCCGGTGGCGCATGCGACAACATAGCGCCGGCCGCCCGCCGGGGCGGAGCCGGCCGCTTGCCTGGCTACGTGCGCAATAACCGCAGGCGTGCCTGCCGGGAGGCTGTGCCTCTTTTCGGGCGCAAGGCAGCCGCCCGAGGGCGGCCCGGCTGGCGGGCAGGAACAAAGGGCAGGCGCCGGGCGGCGAAACTTTTCCGACCCTCTACCGAAAACTCTGCCGGAAACTTTGCCGAGAACTTGCCGAAAACTTTCCCCCGGACTTTCCCGAAAAGTCGGCGAAAACCTTCCGCGAAACCTTCCCCAAAAATTCTCCCGTTTAAAAGTCGACCAAAAGTTACAGACCGGGAGTTGAAAAGTCAACCAAAAGTTTTCGGGTCCGAAAATGATCCCGAAGCGGGAAAGTTTCGGGAAAGTTCGGGGGAAAGTTTTCGGCAAGTTCTCGGCAGATTTTCGGCACTCAGACAGAAGATTTCGCCGCCCCCTCAAAAGCCGAAAAGCCTGAAGGCGTGGCTGCGCATCCGCCAGGCTTGCGCAGAATCCTGCTGCCCCCCCCCTTTTTTACATGGCTGAGGCGGTCTCCCCGAAAATGGGGACAGAGCCTCCTGGGCGAACTTATTGCGCGCGCCGGCGCAGCAAGATGTGAGGGGCGCCCCGCGCGTGCCCCTGCTGCGCCGGCGCCCTTTCTACTCGCGAAAAGCCGGCCGCGCAAGGTAGGCCGCCGCGACCTAGGCGGAGCACTCTGGAGCGGCGGCATGGTCTCGGCGCTTTGTATGTAAGTGCGGGGGGACGGCGAATATGAAAGAGAAAGGGGCAGGCCGGGCGGCCTCTAGCTAGCGCCAAAAGAAAGGCGCCACGCCAAAACGTGAGGCGCGGGCAGCTCCAGCGAAGCGCGCCACGCCATGCGGCCCGCAGGAACATGCGAGGCCGGGCCGCGCGGCGTGCTGCGCCCCTACTTCAATGCGCCAAACATAGCCGCCGGGGCGGAGATAATGAGGCCGGCGCCGCTTCTTTGCCCGCCGACCTCTGCCCGCGCCACGTTTTTGCTTTTTCTGGGCCCGCCGTGCCGGGGCGGGTAAGGTTATGCCGCACGGTATGGCGGCCGGTTGGGGAAAATGGCAGGCGTTGGGCAACTTGCCAAAACGCCTTCCCGAAAGCCAACCCCGACGCTATCGGGCCGACCCGGGCACCGCGGGGGGCGCCCAAAAACCGAAGGAAAAGCGGGCCCATAGGATGCGGGCGGGCTTCGCGCGCTTGGCGCGTTTCTTCTTTTTTGCGTTGTGTGTTATTTTTCGCGCCCGCGCCTTTTGCAAAGCTAGCGCCCCCCGCTGAGAACCCGGCACAAGGGCGGCCGCTTTCGATTCGCGCCCGGTTTCGCGGCCCTGCCCTACGGCTTCGCTGTTCTGGCTTCGGGCGAGTTTTTTGGGGCGCCCTTTTGGGCACCCCAAGTCGCGCGCCAGAATCCCACGCGGCCGACGCCTGAGAAGGGTGCCACGTTTGCCGGCCCCCCTACGTCATTTTTTCAGTCTTTCTACCGGCGGCCGACTGAGCCCGCCGGCGACTGCATTCATTGAAGACAAAAGCAAACAGGCGGGCGCGCTTGGGTTTTTTTCATCTTCAACATGCGAAAAAACGCGAGCCAACGCCCCAAGCCCCCGGCCGTTTTTGGCGGTTCTTGTCAGGAAAGCTGCAGAGATAGAGCCGGCCCACGGGGTCGCTACAGTACATCTTACAAGAGAAGGCAAACCACCCAGGCACACAGGCTCGTGCTGGAGAGCAACATACCACCCAGAGGGGCCACGGGGCCCCCGCCCGCCGGCTCGCTTGTGGGGCGGGCCACCCGGGGGAGTTGCGTTATCCATTTCCTGAACCAAAGAACACCCCACCGGGGAAGCCCACCCAACCGGCAGAGGTCGGCCACACATCGCGACGCCCGCCGCACGCACGGACGGCCTGGCGCGAGAGGTCGGCCCACCATCGCGCGCCATACCATGCGGTCCGACGTCGGACCGCATGGTATGCTGCCTCTCTGCTTCTCTCGTTCAAACAGACGAAGCAGAATAGACGGGCAACAGAAATAGACAGGTGGCGCCACCACAACGCGCCACAGACCCATATCACGCGCCGGCCATCGGGGTGGCCCCCCGACCGCAGGCCCTTGACACTTCTGCCACCGCTAGCGAGACGAGCGGAGGAGCCGCCTCTGCCCGTTGATTGCAAAAGGGGGGCGCCTTTCTTTGGCGCGCGCTTCGGTCGCGTCGCGTAACCGCGGAAAGGCGGGCAGGATACAGAATACCGGGGCGCGACGGCCTCTATTTTGTAAGAATGGCCAAGCGGCGGGCCAGAATGTAGGGGGCTAAAGGTACGTAGGACCGCGCGCGGCCGGCGTGCCATCCAAGGCACCGCGGCGGGGCGGCGCGCCCATTCGGGCCCTGGCAGCCAGTGCCATTGCTTATTTAAAAGGCGCTCAGGGCGAAGAGGGCCGACGCGCCCCGGCATTTCCGAAGCGCGAGGCGGCGATCAACATCCGGGCGAATACTGAAAGGCCAAAGGCCAGCGCCCGCGCACCACTTCAAAAGGTGCACAAAATGCGCACAGGGCCCCACAGCGCTCGCGAATAATCGCGAACAACCGACCACGGAGGCGCTGCCCGTCCGATGCGCGGCGGGTGGCATTTCCCGCAGCCTGCTTGGAGGCGTCGATCAAAATGGCAGGCAGCTGGCGGGCACACGCCGCGGCGAAGAGGTGCCGCCCTTTCATGCTCTGCCACTCCCAAAGTGCGGACTTACCAGCAAAAGGCAGCACGGTCCAAACAATTGTCGCAAAGCATGAATTGCCGACGATCAAAATAGCGACTTTGCCAAAAGTCAAAGTAAAAGTTTTGGAAAAGTCGCTATCCCGTTTCAATTACCCGTTTTCCCTTGTAAGATATCCTACACAGTTCTTTGTCGGGGCATTTTGCTCTTCCGGCGTCTTCCGCTCCACAAGCACGTAGAGCAGTCCGTCTTCCGCGGTGGATGTCGAATCTACCCGGAAATTCAGCACCCGTCTGCAGTCCGGCGCTCGCTCCGGCCCACTATCATCGACCAAGGACCGTCGCAGCTCCGCTCGCAAATCAGGAGGAGGAGGTTGGCTTCTGTTATCGGCAGCAAACGTCGTCCCAGAGGACTGGGAAACAAAATGGAGCTGGTTGCCGCAATTGTCGGGATTCAGTGGGGGGGACTTCGACACCTGGTTAAAACCCGGGTCCGCTGGATCGGCTCGCCAGTACCAGGAGTTCTCTTGGATTCCAAAGCTGAACTGATTCCACAAGACGCTGTCGTAAAGCAAAAACTTGACACTCGTTTGCTCCGCGATGTCCGTTTGGCGGTTTTCGGTGCGAAAGGCCTTCAACGTGAAGCGATTCGGGTTGTAGGTCTCGCAGGCCTCCAGGGAGAAGGAAACGTAGTTGAGGAACACGACGCAGGGATTGGTGCCGGATATCGCTTCCCCGCTGCACTCATCGATGGCGATGCGCGTTCCCAACGCGAGCTCGGGGAGAAGACCTGGCGTCGGCGTGACAGTTGGGGTAACTGTGCTGGCGGCCCCCGCGGAGCTGGTGTCTGGTGCGCGGTTACTCTGTGTCGTCGTACTTGTAACGGTCGTTGTGTTCTTCTTATCGGTTTCATATTCATCTTCAGCGTCACCACTACATTTTTTTGTAGTACGCCGAACTCGACGCAGGACCTTCGCCCTCGACTTCTTCTTCTCGAGGAAACTTCTACGCGTGAGCGTGAGGTTGATATCTGCATTTTCATTATTGTCGGCACCGACAATACGGCTCTTGTTCATTGAAGATGACACAGTTCCGACCGCAAGCGCAAACAACACATCAATGAACGTACTAGATCTAACGACGAAGAAAAAGACTGACGAGACGCTTCCTCTTCTTGTCAACATCCAGATGTGCTCGACGAAGCAAAGATAGTGATACCGAAATACCATTGCAAATGGGTGCAAGATTGATGTTCGACAATCTACTTGAAAAAACGAATTTTTCACTTTTTCTTTCTGGTTTTATTCTTTTTGTGCTTCATATGCTACTCGAGGAGGGTGCCTGCCATGGAGCTGGCCTGACAAGAATCATCAGAAAGTGAAAACTCAGAAAACATATACAACTTAAGTATCTAGAAACAAGTGTGGGCTGTTGAGCTTGACCTTGACGGCTAGAGTTTTCATTTGTTTGATTTCAGAACCGCTAGAGCCGTGCCCGCGCAGGCACAGAGGAGTGGATAACATTTCGAGGTGCTGACAAAGGATGAGAACGACGACGAGAAAAACGCGGATGTGATGCTGATGGTGGAGAACGAGATTGCATTAACCGTGTACCTACTTTGTGAGCACCTTCTAGGTAACGCCACAACCACACGACACGCACACATCGAGCAAGCTGAACGAACGGAGAGAGGCACGATGAAGGAGGACTGCCTGACTCATCAACATTTGGATTGGCTTCGTACGATTGTTGGGCGAATAAACAAAGCGAAAGGACGAGGACGACTACACGTAGGCACAATTTGTGCGGTGATATTACAACAACTTCCATGGCGTCTCGAGGCGCGAAAGTAACCCTGGGAACAACATTAGCACAGACTCAATTTAAAGCCTGCGTTTCTTGTGGGTTTCGGAGGTGTGGCAGCCTGCTCCCCCTCTGTTGGCAAGAAATTGTATATGCTGTTGCGTGGGTAAGTCAGCATTGTGTCGTGCGTACATGTCGTGACCGAGATCTTGTCTATTTTTGTTAGCAAGTAGTTGTATGAAACTGCCCGACATCGTGAATCATGACGTCAAGTAGGACGGCTTGGGTAAGTAGCTATCTGCCCCCGAAAATGCTGCCACCGGCGCTGTTGCCGAAGAGCCCTCCACCAGTGTTTTGTGCCGGTGCTGGCTGACTACCGAACAATCCTCCGCCGGTATTTTGTGCTGGTTGGCCCCCGAACAATCCTCCACCTGTGTTTTGTGGCTGCGCCGGTTGACCGCCGAACAGTCCTCCGCCAGTATTTTGTGCGGCTGGCTGCGTGCTTCCGAACAAGCCGCCGCCTGTGTTCGCTGGTTGTTGTGCGGTGGTGCTACCGAAGAGGCCACCACCCGTGGAGGTGTTTTGCGGTTGCGTGTTTCCAAACAACCCACCGCCGGTCGCTGGCTGCTGTGGTTGCGTTCCAAATAAACCTCCACCCGTAGCTGCAGGCTGTGTTTGTGCTCCTGGTTGCCCAAAAAGACTTGCATTGCTTTGCCCGCCGAACATACCACCACCAATGGCGGGCTGGGCAGCGGTTCCAGCTGGTTGCTGGGCAAATGCGCCGGCACCACCTGGTTGTTGCCCAACGCCCAAACTGCCTCCTAGCATGTTCGCTGCAACCCCGTTGTTGCCAAAATAGTTGGTCATGGAAGTTGCGCTTACGGAAGAGGTACCGGTTTCGAGAACCAGATTTCGCAGGTTGATATTTTTCTGGACTTGCGCGGCTTGCTTCAGCTCTTCCATACGCTCCTCGAGCTTTAGTAGCTCTCCCGCAATGGACCGGAACTGAGCGTAGTTAGCACGTAACGCAACTTCGATTTTTCGGCCCTGTCGTGTCGAGTGTGGTACAGAATTTCGAAGCTGTGCAAGCCAATAGAAGTAGTTCGACTTCGATCTCAATAATTTCCACTTCCTGTACTTTTCTATCATGGTTATGGTTAAGTATGCACTCATCGCAGTAAACCACGCAACGGTAAAAAAATGAATCAATGTACCGTAACAGCGCTTTCTTGGAATTCGTTCACTGCCAGCGCCTCCTGTCTTTCCCTTTGGTAACCAACAAGTGATTATGAACTGCAAAAATGTCTGGGTCTGGAAGAATTCATGTTTGAGTTTGAGTTTGTCGTGCTTGTCTGGCATGACTCTTAAATCTGTCATGCACGTTACCCAAGAGCCCCGTTTTTCTGTGATGCAGAGCCGCGGTTTGTCATGCAGAATAGGCAACAGCTAGGAGCTCAGAAACTTGTCATGCTCAGCCAGTATTCGTAGCCTCATCATGAGACGCCACCCAGCATCACAAGTTTCCAGACCCAGACATTTTTACATTTCATAGTGATGTCTCACAGGCGTCGATCGAGTGTTTCAGCCTTTCCAACTGAAGTTGGTAGTCGCGCGCTAGAACTTGAAAATACCTGCGTTCGACCAAAGGTTTCGTCAAATGCAGCAAGTGCTTACTTCTCTAGTCAACAAAACACATAACAGTGGCACCGTCGTAAACAGTCGAGAACAACGTGCCTGTAACACAAAGGTCTCGCCATGGTCACGTCAGTCTTTACTTCAACTTCGTAATCGTACCTATGTGAAATAAACTTAAACAACACTGAAAATGAAGTACGGATGGGGAATCTCCAGAATGATGGAGTTTGTCAGCGATTGCGTACTGCCGATTTTTTCCGCTATTGAGTGCAGGTTTGAGATCAGGAGCGCCAGCTTGTGGACGTACAGTGATTCGAATTCCGTCGTTGCGTCGTCGAGTTGGTTCAGGGTGGCCTTTAAACTATTTTTGTCCGAGTCCATTAGCCTGATCTTACTGCCGAGTTGGTCAAGCTTCAGCTGGTTTTGTCGAAGCAAAGGCTTGATGAACTTAATGATTTCATCGGTGTCGTCAAGGTTCTTTCCTTTCTCCTGCAGCACATTGTACAGCGCAGGAGCCTGCTGCCGAGCCTGTCGGACCGTCAGCGACATGATTCTGCTGTGCTATATCGTCCGCAGAGAAGTCGGCCAGCACTTGTAAGTACGTCAAGTAAAGTTCAAGAGTTCTAGGCACGTGCGTTCGCGATCACGAAACGACACGGAGTACCAATACTTAATGAGAAAAGCACATCAAGAAGTCAAATGGTCGGTGCGTCGCAACTCCTTATAAATTCGTGATATAGTTCTACCTGGCTAAAGCTGTCACTGTACTTCCTTACCCTGTATCTTGTAAAGCGTTCTTCAACAAGAGCAGAATCAGAATGTCGATTATAATGGTGTATGTGATTGATCTTGTCGCGGCGGGAAAAGAACTCTTGATCTGCTCAGGAATAAGAATATTTCATGTTTGCATCAGCTTCAACACTAGCAGCAGATTGCAAATTATTGAATTCAGTATGAAATACGTGTCGTGATCGTGAATGTGATCCATCTCTAGTCAACACTTCTTTGTTTGACTACGTCTGCCGACCGTGTGTCGGCGTTCATGACGTTCGAGGATCAAGGCTCAAAAATTTGAGATCGTTCGAGAAAGACAAGAAAAAGCCGCAGCTCCGGCACGAGAATAAACACGATCATGACACGTGCACTACAGCACTACATTGTGATTTCTGTTTTCCATTTTGGTAGAGCAGTCGCTGTCGCTGTGCAATTACAACACATTGGAACCGTCATCAGGAGGGTTTGTTGTTTGGCACTGCTTCATCAGTCTTTTAAACACTTGCATACACTTTCTCGTGGTGTCGTCGTTCAGAGTATTGGCGATATTACTGCTGGAGATCTTACTTCGCCCCACCCGCTCGTGAATCCCGACGGAGGTGACACCGACCGGCCATGCGGCGTTTCCGACTGTTAATTCGATGTATTTTTCACTCGCCAGACGGTATTCCCGCTTGTCACACAGCACTGCCATCTCTTTGAGAAGCACTACTGTATCTCTTTCAAGGTCTTGCTTCTTCAACCTTTTCAGCAGTGGCTGCATGTCCTTCTTCGACTGTCTGAAGAGCGCAAGCTGATGCTTTCCCTGGGCGGAAAAACGTGCGTCTTCGTCCTTTTCAAATTCTTCGCCAAGTTGCGACTCCCATATTTTCGTCCACTTCTTTATCCACTTGCGAAGCAGTTTCTCGTCTGACAGAGCCGCATCTACCTCTTCATTCTCACTTTCGTCGTCTGCCTTGCTTTCCCCGTCCAGCTTTTGTGCGGAAGTTGTAGCAGAAGATGCAACCGTCCTCAGACCACCAGCGGAGCTTCTGCGCCGCTGCTTCTTTGCTGCCGATGAACTACTGACCGAGGAGGATATCGGCGCCGGAATTGCAAGCGCGTCGCTGTCGCGACCCCCAGCGGCCTCGTCATCTCGTCGTCCTCCACCCTGGCTGTTGTTCTGGACCACCTCGGCATCTTCAAGCTTGCTTGGACTGATTAAATCTGCTACACGGTGGTCGACGTCTTTGTCACTGTCGGAGTAGTCGTCGCCAAACGGACTCGCTGGGGAACTGGATACGAACATTTGCTCCTGCTCCCGGATCTGTTTCTGGTAGGCGTTGTGGCCCCGGGAGGATCTCAACTCGAGGAGAATCCCCTTCTCCTTTTCCTTCTCCCGCAGCCTCCGGAACCGCTGCATCGGCTTCTCGCCGAAAAAAGTGATCGGCTCGCTGATCTTGCGCAGGCGGCAGATGATCTCCCACAGAGTCAAGGACAGCGGCGTCGCATCTTCGTCATCCAGTTGTAGCTCCTTTGCGTCGATGTCCTGCCAGTAGTCCGTGCTGTTGATCCTCCTGATTTCGTCCGTATCGGTCATGTCCAGCTTCAGCAGTTCCTCCTCCTCCTCCGGCGAGAGGTTCATGCCCTCCGGCAGCCTGTTCTTTGCAAACATCGTGCCCTGACGCTCCTTGTAGAAATTCGCCTTCAAGTTTTCCAGCCTCGTCTCGGCGTCCCGCTGCTTCTTCTCTCTTTCCACGAGTCGCATCTGTGCCTGCTTCTCCATCTCCTCCCGCTGCAGGTCCGCCTTGGTGCGAAAAACGGTGACGGTTTCCTCCTCATCGGCCCGGATGGTGTTCGCCGGTTCCTCGGTGGTGGCGGCGGTTTCCTCCTGTTTCGCCTTCTTCACGCGGTTCTTCAGGAAATCTAGGCCGCTGTACCCAGCCCCGGCGCCGGCACCCCGCCCACGCTTGTTCAGGTTCATGGCCAGGCAGTAGAGGCGGGAGGACCAACCTTCCGAATGGATCGCGGCGGCAGGGGACGACCGGGCATGCCCAAATTTTTCAAGCAAGAAGAGAGTGAGAAAAAAACTCTATCTCTAAGAAGTAGACTAAAGCACTTGCTGTTATAACGTAAGGACATTCTTTCTGTCCTCGAGGGGAGTAAACAGAACTACAGTAGATATCAATATTCTCTCGCTTCGCAATAAAATTCAGCATTTAATCTGGGGTCCTGAAATTGAAGTATGAAGCAAGAGGTAAACAAAAGTGCAGGTGACAAACCTGCTAGAAGAAGCTTTTCACCAAAAGAACAAAAATCTGCTCTAGATCAAGGAAATCAATTATAAGTAGGGAGGGACCAGAAGCTGGCAGTCGCTTTACGATCATCTTCAACTTCAACTGTTTGTTATTGTTTTGATCATCTAATCAATAGTTTAGTTTTCTCATCTTATTTGCTTCGACGTGGACATCACTGCCCGCCGTATTGTTATTTATATTTTTACCGGATCCACGCTTGTTGTTGTTCGACATCATGCAAGAACTAGAAGATCGGGCTCGAATCATTCCTCATAGCGGCCATCATCGGCACGACCGTGTTGAGTTCGCAAACTAGATCGCTCCGGCACGCAAAGAAACCGGAACACTGTGCAATCAACATTCACGAGTGGTTAGTAGACAACTTCAAGTTCTTTTTTCCCTGGGATCAACTTGGCTTTTACCCGTTCTCTTTTGGCTTGATGTGGCCACGATTTGCGTTCGGATGTGCCTCTGCGCTACTTGGTAGCAACAGCACCTACTCTCCGCAAGAAGCACTTCATCGGCCGCGGAGAGTTCAAGTTTTCATGCTTCCGAATCCGAAGTCCGGCATCGGCACCGCTAATCATGGACATGGGTAATCAATCATGATTGTTCCTTCAGAGTCGCGGGTTTTCTACGTCGATCCTTTGAGGTGGTCAGGCACAACAACTTGCCAAACTAGATGGGTTGCAGCGGGGCGATTAGGGTAGCTCGAGTTCTTTAATCTCTCTATCTAGTTTATTGAAAAAGTCACGGATTCGCGCAACAAGTAAATAAGACAAGGCTCAGAGGGTAAAATGTTTCAGAAAGACATCGGTTTGTAGCAAGCTATAATTGGAGGGTGCTTCGCATCAATACGCTATCGCGACTGCTAGTCGTGGAGATCATCTGCACACATGAATGAGAATGCGACGCCTTTCGTGCTGTTTGTTTCACGGTCACAAAACTACAGAAAAAAATGCCCGAGAAGGTTGCACACAGCTTAAGGGCATAAATCTTCATGGTCGTCCTTGTGTAACAGCGATACTTTGGATTTTCGTTTTGTACTTACTTAGTTTGACTTTTTACAACTTGTATCCGTTAGCTGAACCGCGTCGCGAGCATCAACTTCATCAGTCGTGTTGGGGCTGGAAGCTGGTGAGCCTTGACTTTTTTGCCGCCCGCCACAGCCGCAAATAACTTGTGCGCCCTTGTAGAGAATGATCAGTGACCAGAAAGCATTCAAACCGAACGCCAGGACGCTCGTTGCGGACAGAATCTGGGCAGTCAGTCGGTCACCAGGTGAAGACGCGACGTTGTCATCCTCGAAAAAAGCAACCCGAAAAAAATCTTTCAGGCAAAGGTAGCTCATTGGGGTCCCGAGAACTATGCGGACGAATACGAATGTCAGGAAGAATATAATACGGCAGCGACCTGTTTTATTTTTGCTTCTGATTTTTGACCTGCGAGCAAACCGGTAAAACTAAAAGGAAAACGCTTGATTCTTTCATCATAAGAATGGAAACCCGACGGATCATCTGCAAACTACGTAGAAGAGAACCTCCGCGCTCGTCACAGAGCCGTAGATAGAAGTGATGTTTCATTACCATTGATTTTTATCCTCTAGGTCTAGCCCTAATCGAACAAAAAAACATCAAGCGTGATTCAAAATTGATATGTACTTACCGTGCGTCTTTGATCGCTTGAATTCCGGCATGGTGTCGCAGCACAGCATCAAGCTCAGGGGGATATTGCTCACTTCCCAGGTCATCAGGTAGACACACCAATAAAGGAAAAAGGGACGCAGCGTGAGCACCGCGTTCAGACAGACTGCCACGTGGTGGAAGACGTAGGGTAAGCCGCCGTGAAGATACTCACGAATCGCGCCTACTAGAAAGATTCCCGCCGAGAAGCTAACCATGGCCGCCACCGGTTCGGAGACGCCCGCTCGGCGAATCTGGAACAGGAAGGCTTCATCAGTTGCAGCAGGAGAGAATATGTTGTGGCTGAGAGTCGATGACGAGCCTCTCTCGTGCGGTTCCAGAACGGAGACGAAGTCGGTCCATGCTGATGTTATTTCGCTTGGGGTCTCTGTTTGATGTCCAAAAAGTGAACGGAGCTGCTGTATGCCTGGAATCATCATACCATCGTAGCGCGCACCTTCGTTGCTCTTTCGCAAGTAAAACCCAGGGTAAAAGGACTGGTAGAACCCGGCGATGCTTACACAGGTCGCATAACAAAGCGACACCACATTCATATCCCAAACACGTTTCTTTTCTTCCGGTAGCGCGGCGTAAAAAGCCGCTCCAGGCGAAGAGCTGCAGGGTGTCGTTTCCGTTGGAACACTTTTGGCATCACAGGTAGGCGACGATGTGCAAGGTAGCGCTTCAGCCGATACCGCAAACTTATCAACTATGCATCCAGATGGCGCTTTTGATATCCCGCAATGCTTCTTTTCGTTCTTTCCCCCCAATGGCGTGTTCAGTTGCGTCGGCTTGCTGGAAAATTTCACCAGAACCAGTTGCGAGTACCGCCTCGAGAGGTAGAAGAAGAATTCATAGAAGGCACACCCAAACAATGCCCAAAACCAACTCAGCTCCGTCGGGTACAAAGCCAGCAAATCTTCCAAAAGGCTAGACATCTTCTTCGACTTTTCTTTTCTAGCGGCGACAGGAAGTAGATGGCTTATTCGATGGGGATAGGTCGGAAGGTGCTACAATCACTGAAAAGTAAGAATCAAATTTCGAAGCTAACGAAATAATTGCGGTACTTCTATTTCGATTTTTTGGCCTATCCAACAAGTCGCAGCACGAAAGGACAACTTCGGTGGCGCTATGTCAAGCGGAAGCAGCTAGCTACGGGAGTCGCTATCGCTGAAGCACCTGTCGATCGAAGATAAAAATGCTTGCTAGTATGGCGAGAAATTTGACGAAGACGACAATGCACGTGTAGTCATTATATGTTCAGAACTAGATTTTGACAGTCACCGACTCAGTCCTTTGAAATGACTTTGCTCCTGTAGCATCAATTTAGATTTACCGATCGAGGTCGCGTTCTTCTAATTTTATTTTTTTTTCGCTCTGGAGCAATTATTGACTCTGCAATGATTATTTTTCTGCCAAGCCCTTGAAAGGTGGAAGTGGAAGATCACGATTTCATAATTTTTGACAGACACTTGACCGCAAGAAATTATTCTACGCTCAGATCGACATCACCGAATTTTTCGGGGCGTTGTTCACAAAATGTTAAAACGGTACGTGAATGTGAATCCATCGGAATACCATGTTCATGCACTTTCTATTCTTCTAGCACCGACCATAAAAACCGAGCGATCATTGCAACAAAGCAACTCATCAGATATTCAAGTTTCTGTGGACAGCCGCGTGCGAGTCCAATCATTTTCCTCTTCAACTTTCATGTTGCATATAACCTGGCGGCTGTGCTTTTTTGCATGGAGCGAAGCAGGGAGGACATGATCACGATAAGCTGCTAGAAGCTTCATCACTACCATTCCGTGTTGAAAGTTGTTTCTGCCCTGTTGCAGATTTTCAAGCCGCTAATAGCGTCAAGCTGAAGCTTTCGCGGCTTGCTATAGCTATCATGCGAATCAAACTTAAAGAGTTTTCTTCGCGAGAGGAAAAAATACATAGGGCCTGTTTCGGTGCTCGCGGCGTTGGGCATAACGTTGGAATTTCCTGGAACGGACGGTGACCAAAGTCATCCTCGTGTCAAGCCAGCCAACTTCTACTTCATACTGGGAGAGTAACAATTCTGCTATCTGACTTGGCGGCACAAGTCTGACACGCTTTCTGTACAGCCAGCGCATGCTGGCACCCCTGCCCTCCCGATGCCAAATATTTCCGCATCTCAAGGCACATCAAGCAGGGGCACTTTGCTGCATCGCCGGTCGGTATTGTCCCCAAGCTCGTTGCCTGTGCATGTTTTATCGAAACATGATCAACAGAAATTTTATTTACATCCGCCTTGTACGTGTTGCACCAAAGTCAATATCATTGCCATTGGTGACTTTATGATCCATGCCATCCTACAGACCAGAGTTCCAGTGACAGCATTCGCGTTTCACATTTATTTTGCTATTGCTTTCTCCATATGAAAGAAGAGAAGAAAACAGAGCGAGTCTCAATGAATAGGAATACTGTTTTTACTTCTCAGTTGATTCTAGATCTATATCTATTTCTCTAGTATTCCTGATTACAAATACAAGAGAACTACTGAAGCGGCGTAAGTACCACGTTCTGCAGGGCGTCGCAGATGAAATTCTTGGTGCAGAGCCCGTTGAGAAGCCGCGTGTACTCCGGTGGGGTTTTGTTGAACCCTGCTAACGTGCAGGTCTCTAACTCTCCAGGCTTCAAGTTCGACCACGCGGCGCCCGCACTGTTGAACGTGTCGGAGCGGAAACTGGCACAAGATTCCACGGTCGCGGCAGTGAAATCCACGGCGACACAGGATTTGCATTTGTCCTTGATTTCCTGCACTGCATTCGCTTCGATTGCGGTCGAGTAGTGCACACACATGCTACAGGTGCACTGTGTGTTCAAGTCGAACTCTTCCACCGTCAACGTCGCTACTGCTTTGGTACCAACCTCATCCGCGAGCGCCTGGCTGCAGAAGCCGCTCAGCTGGGAGGCCGCCGAGGGCACGTTGTTATACAGATCCAGCATACACATGTCCACGTTGACGGGCGAAAACGACGTGCCCTCCCGTTCGTTGAACTCCTGTACCGCTGGCGTGAGGTGCTGCACCTTGAAAGCGTCGCAACCGCTGGCGGACATCGGTTGCGTGCACACCTGGCAGGCCAGGCGGACGCTCTCCCCGTTGCTGCAGGCGACGTCGCCCTTGGAGTCGTACCAGTGCGTCAGCTTGGTGCACAGCTGGCAAGCGCAGTCTGTGTTATCGTCGAAGGTGGGGAGCAACTTGTGCAACATGGCAGCGGTACTGTCGCAGACCGCCTCCTCTGCGCAAGACTCGTCGGGAAGCTCGCCGTTCATCGCGAACCGTGCAAACGCGCAGCTCTTGCTGGCCGCACTCCCACCGTAGAGTTGCATCACGTAGCTATCGCAGCTTTGCAGGTTCAGATTCAGACTGTTCGTGTGCGACGATCCGTCGTTGGGATCCAGTCCCAGCCGAGAAAGACTCACGTTGCTCACCGCCACGCACTCCGGTCCGGGAGGCTTCTGGTGCTCCGGCTGCAAAAGACTGGGCGCAGGCGCAGCATTCGCGTTGCCCGTGTTGGGCGCAGCCGGCGCAGCAGTATGAGTTCTGACAAACATGGCCGCGGGTTCGCAGTTGGTAGAGCAGAAATGTGCCTTGTCCACCTCAGAACCAACTTCCATGAAAACTGCACCCTCTCCCGCGACACATTGTCCACTTTCGGGTTGACCTTGTCAAGGGGTTTTGATTCGGATTTTTGAAAAATTACAAATACGAACATCCCAGTACCAGTTGCACTTACCAATACCATGGCGTATAGCGATATTACTATTAGCGATAGCAGGGTGCGGACACGGAAATAAAACCTTAACCTACTGGGTGAGAAGGATAACAAGAAGTCGACGTAGATCATGTACAACCACTTCTACCAAAATTACTGAACCTACACGTACCAGTTGCGATAACTTCGCAGTCCAGCGTCGAGTGTGCTTCGAAGGTCTGTCCGAAGTGAACCGGCACACAGGTTGGGTAGGCGGTACTGTGCGAGGCAAGTATACAGCAACCGCAGTTACACGTTGGCCTTTGCCTATGGCTGAGCCCAATGAAGCTGCGAAAGTTCTGGGTCTCCATAAAGGGTATCGTGAGTTTCTCGGTAAGGTCGTCAAAAAAGTTTTTCTGCCCGCGGTGCACTTCTTCTCCAGCTGCTGCGCTGTTGCTGGAACTTAGGCCTGCACGAGTGTGTAGTCGCGTGTGCTGATGCACTTGCGATTCATGTTCCTGCAGCGCGCCGACGCCAACTCTCGTGGTCCGGCCCTGGCGTACTGCGGAGGAATAGACCTGCAGTGCTGCAGCGCCACAAAACCAATCACCCAAGTGAAGAGCGAGGTGGAGGCTGATGTACATTTTTAACAAGTGCAAGCAGCCATTGCTACAAGGATGTGATCCTCGTCTGCGCAACATACTCACGACCGGCACGGTGACTCTTCTACAGGCAGAGCATAGCCCACGACCAGGGGTTGTCCGATCTTACTAAGGTCTGGCGCGGGTTCCTCCACTCCACGACGACCTCAGCACGTCTTCATCATCCCCGTGTCTCAACCGCTTTTTCACTGGATGCATTTGAGGATAATCTCTGCTGCTGCGACGGAAGAGGGCTATTTTGGCTGCGTCGACATTCATGATGTGATGCCATATCATCAGATGGTGCAATATCTATGTCGACGGGATGAGCGACATCATATGTTCATTCCTCTCCGCTGCGGGCCCAACCTCAGGCCACCTGCTTCAACAATCAACATTTGAACGAGTTATACAGAACAAAGAAACAAAGGTTGCGCAAGTAAGTCATTGAATCTTTACAATCTCCAGGACATGACGTTCCCAAAAACCGTTTGCAACCTCCTCTTACTCCTCCTCTCTCAACACTGTTAAGAACTCTCAGTCTAGCTATAGATTGCTGATATTGCTGGCTAGTTTGCGGGTTCTTGGAGCGAGGACGACATTCGCGCTCGTAAAGCTGATAATTCATTGTGCTTCGCGACACCTAACCAGAGCGGACATGCTCATACATAGAAAAAACTATACGAGTGGGTCTACATCAAATTCAAAACACCCAGAAATAGCCTAGCCACACAGACAGTCGTGGGTACATGAAGACCGGCATCAGCATCATGTATGGCACACATAGCAACATGATGGCCCGGATAGAAACAAATCTATGTAAAAATTTCAAAAATGCTTACGAGGACGAAATAAATTCGTCATTGTTCTACCGATCATCTGTCAACAAAAACAAATCAACGAAGGAACCACAAGCACGTGACTAATCTTAACCATTGAAAAAGTCTTTGGAAAAATTTTCTGTTCATTAATTCGCAACATCCTTGTCAGAGGACAACCGCGACTGCATTCGAAATGGCACAAAAAATGAAAAATGCGTGCGCAGCCGCGCCTCTGCAGATGCCTTTCAAGATTTTCTTTCATTTTTCGTTAATGAAAAATGCAGAATGAGAATAGAGACGACCCCAAAAACGCAAGTTGACTTGTTTCTTTGTGTTCATGCGAAAAGGTGGAAACGCGATGACTCACCTCTTGCGTAGCGCTATTTCAAGAAAAGGCTACTGTCGCTCCTGCGAGACGCTGAAAAAATCCGTGGGTAGTAGAGCCGTGGAAACTAGTAGGACCTGTTTCTGACAAGTTGACTTCTTGGCTCGATATAAAACAAAGCTCAACAACATCCACTGTCTCGTCTGACTTTAGAATTCTTTGGCTACGACCAGATTTTCTTTTACAGAGGATGAGGAGGAGGATTATCTCAAAAATGCTGGAACTACGATGGACAAAAGCTACAAGTAGGTGAAGCTCGTGAAAACGTCTTTCATTCACGCAGGAGGAAGCAGCGTTTCTTTCCCGCCCGTTTTTGGTTGCGCGTTTGGCGTCACCCCGCCCATCTCGACATCCTCACCAATTTTGGAAGCGCCTTCACCGCTCTTCTTTGATGGTACTAACACATCAGCATCGTCCTCGTCGTCCCTGTCGTCTTCCCCAGCTACTTTGTCTATCTCGTCGTCGAGGTAGTTGTGAATCGCAACAACGTGCCTGTGCTCAAGGGATGCCGGAAAATACATGTCAAACCAGGGCTTATCTTCGAGAGTTTCGTCCTCCTCATTCCCGAGTTCGACGTACATTAAGTAGGTCTTCAGGTCGTTGCCCGCCTTAGTCTCAAACTGCATCTTCTCCACAATGTACGTCTTCAAGGCGTTCAACAAGACCGGCACGTCAACATTCGGCTGTAAAAAGTGATTGAATTGATTTCGATGCCATTGCAACCACCATGAAGAATAAAGGACGCATGCTTGTTCCGCTTTGTCTGCAACTTCTAGCGGTAAGTGTAGCAGTGCTAGCACACATACTAATCTAAACGAGACACTCCAATTTGTTTTTCTTCGTGATTTTGATTCTGATGCAAAAAACTAACACCATCATTTTTATCAAAAATGTCAACATCTACCTTCATTTCATCCAGCACCGCCTTGAGCTCCTCCGGAAGCGGTGTTTTGAATTGAATGGGCACCTTGTCAAACAAATCTGACGCGAGATTTTCCAAAATTTCGAGTACGTCCACAATTTGAAGCACCTTCAATCTCCTGACAACCGGCATGGCTGCCAGCCCGCACGCTTCCTGAATTTGGCTCTCGTCCAACATGAGCACCGTCTGGCAGTACTCCAAATACAGCTGGGAGTTGATGGAGGCCTGCGGCTTCTCCTCTTGCTGCGCCGTCCTTGGTGTTCCTGGTTTATTGTTGCCGCCCGCCCCTGACGAAGACGAGGACACGTCCAACGTTTTTAGCAACAGATTTGCCACGAGGTCTAGATTTCGTTGGAAGGCCTCGGCAAACTGCGGGTTGTTGCCGAAGTGGTCACGCAGCAGCGTTGTGTCCTCCGGGGATAACGGCTTCAGACTGCTGACCGACTTGAGGGAGGCAACGCGCGCCTTTAAAGCCGTCAGGTTGCTCCGGAACTTATTGGCGTCCTGGAAGGTAAACCGCACCAGTTTCAGCTCCAGATTCACCTTCCGCTTGGACTGGAATGTTTCCACCAGAAACTGCTCGATCTTGTCCATGTCGAAGTCGATGCTGCCGCCCTCGACGAATTTGCAGGCGCGGTCCTTGACCCAAGCGAGCAGTTCCTCCAGGTGGAAGGAGAGGCAGTCGCTGCGCTGCACCACGTCCCGGGTACTGATCTCTTTCGCGTCGATTTCCTGCAACAGCGAATTAATGTTCTCCTCCTCGTCCAGCGCGTCCTCCTCATCCACGTAGGATGGCTTATTTGTTCCGGCGCTGTTGCGCCCGTTCATTTGTTGCTCCTTCCGTCGGTTGATCTTGTAGTTTTGCCGCACCAGGTCCTTCTCCTGTTCGCGGATGCGATCCAAAAACGCGTTGTGCGCCTCACACATGCTCTGGACGAGGGCCAGAGAGCAGATTCCCTCGTCGGTTTCGGAGGCGAGGCAGAAGATGAGCTTCGTGTCGAGCGACATCTTCGTGTTCAAATACACTTCCGGCACGTCCAAACACTCCCAACGCTTGATCCACGACCCGAATCCAGCATTCCAAGCGCTTGCGAAGCCCTGGAAGGCCCTCTCCAAGTTCTCCAGCAACAACGCCGACGAAGAAGTGGCAGGTGAACCAGAGGACGTTGCTCCCGCTGCTGCGCTGCTCGTGACCGTCGTCCCTGCTCCGGCTGCCTGGTGCAGATGTTGGCCAGCTCCAGGCACTGCACCTGCACCAGCACTGCTACTCGAGGAGGACGAACTGCTGTCGGTGCGGTTTATCACGTGATTCACCGCGTTGTTGTTCGCAAAATGCCCCCTCCTCACCTCTTCGAACATGTCGGCAACCGTCATTTTTTGCGCTTCTTGTTTCGTTTTCCGGTGCGAATAAAACGAGGTCACGTACCGCTGAAAATTCAGCACGTCCGACAGGTGTTCCAGGCAGGCGAACTGGGTGTAAATCTTGAACAGGTGTGACAGAATCGGGTTCCGGGCTTCCGTGGTGCGCTGTTGCAGCACTTCCAGCGTCGGGTCGGATCGATAGGACCAGAGCAGCGTTTCCTCCTGGTGCCGCTTCTTGAGTGGATAAGAGCTGTTTTCGTTTTCGATCAGCATGAAGATTTTGATTTTTTTTTACATTTTTTTTTACTCGTACGTGGTCTTCACATTTTTTCACCGATTCCCCTTTGTACGTCGCAAAATCACACATAGACATACATGTACATCAAAGAAATTTCCGAGGACCACATTGAGCCTCATTGTCATTCTCGTTTCTCTTTCTGTGATGTCACCACATTTCAAATGTAACAAAGGAAGCCCGCGCTCGGCAGAGAGAATTAAAGTTATAATCAATCTCTTCATGCTAAATCCCTTTATTTCCCTTACTCAACAAGCCTAAGAAGTCGGTATACCTGATATCGTAATTTTCCCTGAGTTCAACCAGAAATGGCCCGTCCACGTTCTGCCAGCGTTGGTCTGCTTGCGTCAGTTCGACTTTTCGTAAACCGGACGTGGGAACCAGCTCCTCCAAGTAGGCCCCGACGAAGCAGGTCTCCCACTGCTTGCGTTTGTCTCGAGAGTACGGGAGCTGCCAAACTTCCGACAGCTCGTTGCGCCTCGCTTCTTCAATGCCGATGCGCCACTCCTGTGTCTCCACCTCGGAATTCGCATGGTTCGCACTACCCATGTTGGCTCGCTCGGGTTGGCGGTACATTCGATCGATGAGGATGTGCAAAAACTTCGCCACCTCCTCTCCGTTGCTGGAAAGAAACTCGCACAAGAGCCTCCAGTCGAGGACCAACTGGTGGCGGACCCATTTCATCTCGTTTCTCACCAGTTCGGGACGCACGTACTCATTATTCACAATTTTTGCGTAGAAGGTGCCGGTCTGCTGCCCGGAGGATGAGGAGGACGCCGCGGTACTCTGCTGGGCGGCGCCTCCCGTCTGCATGACGCCCTCGAGCACCTGGTTGCTTCGCATCACCAGCCCACACCACATCGCCGCGTGGGTCAGCAACCTGGTCACGCACACGTAACTCGGGGTTGTCAGAGACCGTCGCGCGGAGTAGTAATCTTTGTTGCTCCCCTTCGGCTTCCGCGAATTTTGTTCTTCATAAGCATCGAAACTGACGTTGTGCGTGTAACCCGGAGCGGATTCGTCGTCGTTCGACATGCGTTTATTGGTAGCGAGCAGGTTGTGCGCCGATCCACCGACGTCCTCGCCACACTCCGGGCATTTCGCCTGGGTGTAAGCCTGCCCACAATCCCCAATGTAATACGGATGTCCGTTCGGGCAGAGGCAAAACCGCGACATGTTACTTAGCTTGTGGTCCTTCATTGCGCTCGTGCAAACCTGAGAAGTTCGTTTAGTTGTTTCTAGGCGGCTGAAGACTCTGTATGGACAAGGAGCCCTTTATTTTTCGTCCTAAGATCCTATACTTTTCATACCATGCAAGAAAAAGAACAGATCGCGCGCCGGGTTCACAAAAATGAAGACAGCAGCGCTGTCACAGATTCATTTTCATACCGTCCTCGTCACCAGTCGAATGATACACAGGACACAACATCACACATCAATTTGTACTAAGGCACAACTACTTGTCGTCGTAGTCATTCGGTCCCTAGAGCTTACCTCGCGAATGTCGATCTCCATTCCCGGAAGCCAGCATTCCTCGTCCTTTTCAGCGTACGGCTTGGGATTTTCCATGAGCTCTCGAAAGAAGTACAGGACTGAGTTTTTGGGTGCACTCCACACGACCGACAAAAAGTGCGGCAGGAAGCGGAACTGAGCGATTTGCTCCGTCGTAGAGCTTGTTGACAGGTAAAAATAATCCCACTGGGATATTATCTGCTCGTTTGCCAGCTGCTTCTGTTGGTACAGGTTGCGCAGCGTTTCATCCCCGAGGAAGTAGAGCAGAATATTCAGGTATCCCGGAGGAAATGCTGCTGAAAGCGGTGAATTCGTGTTGAAGGACTGACTCATCCGCGCCCACTGTGCCAATTTCTCTTCGTAGTTTGTCGGCTTTGTAACCTGCGTGTTATGTGGATCAGAAATAAAAGTCAAGATTTAAATATGCCAGCAGCAGCAGAGTACTGAATATCGTTATCGCTATGATTATGAAGAAGATCCTCTACATTCAACATCATTTGGTCTTGACTGCAACACAAGTATCTTTCAAATTGCAAACTGCCCTAAGCAGGTAAAAAGATGAAGTTTCGAACGTGAATAAAGGTCGTCATATTGATACTAACAACAAACTGTAACCGCTTCGTCTAAAACTAGTACCGCGCGTTCCTGCCCGCAGCGACTCAGACGAAGCGCCAAGGCACCGACCAGGCGGCGCTGTGTGTCCTGAGGAAACCGCGTGACGTTTCGTAGGTGCTCTTCGAGCGTAGACTGATCCAGATGCACTGCAAACCCGCTAATGACGGTCTCAGCGTTTTGGTACTCCTGTTCCCGGTTGAAGTCCTGGTACGGCAACCATTTCGGGAGTTTAGACCCGCCCATGTACCCAGTTAGGTCCTGGGCCTGCCCGTCGTTGCGCCACTTGTCAAACCAAGGCACGTTCAACAGCGGCGCCTCCGCCATTGCCCGTTGCAATTCGGAGCTTCCGCCCACGCGTTCCCACTGCTTCAGCGCCAGCATCCGGGCTGAGCGAATGAAAAAAGTTGGCTCCCGCGTCTTGCTGCTTGGAAGAATCGACTTCTCGTCCTGGTCCAGCAGTTCGTTTTCGCAGACCTTCGCAATGCGGGTGCCCACCACGCCGCCGTTCACATTCACCGGGCTGGCTGAATCTGATTCAGTTTTACTTTTATCAATTACTGGTGTGACAACATGCATACGCTTGCTGCGCATGTACTTCGACCTAAGCCAAACCGAATGCGCAGCTACTGAAACGAACTCGATGTGCAGCTTTTATTATAGCTAATTTCTGGAAAGTCTCCATCAAAACCTGTGCCGGAAAGTTAGAGATTGAGATACCTCCAGAAAACGATTGCACCGACAACCCGGAAATGGTCCGCTGCTGCATTGCGGCCTCGGGTCCCGGACCAAACTGCTCCAAGCGAAGGTACTCGGCGTATGCATTGCAATACTAGTATCGCACGACTCGGAGCCTAAAGCTAAATTTTCTTTCATCTTTATAATCACAAGCTTAAGTCCGCATATACAAATTTGATTTTGAATCTCATTTCTCATGCTGGGGAAATAATTTCCCATGCGATTTCTACTAGTACGACACAAAGTTTGCAAAGGATATGGCGCGCGTGTTGGCCATGTAGTGGAAGAGGTAGGCACGGAACTTTGCCACGCCCCGCAGCTTTTCCAGCAGCTTCTTTGGGTTTTCTTCGGCTTCTTTGTACAAACGGCCCAGCTCTATGTACGCGGTCATCAGTATCACAAAGAAAATGACCACTAGCACCCCATCGCATAGGTAAAACCTAAAATCTGTTCACGTGAAAAATGGCGGCAGGGTGAATGAGCCTTTTTTTTAGCAGGTTAGTCCTTTTTAGGACGGAGCTAAATATGAGTATGGACATGGGGCTTTTCTTGTAGTTGCGCAGTAGAAGTATCTATGCAAATGTGGTGCGGTCGCCTTTTCCTTGTGAATATTTAGGTCCAGCTCTTCCTCGTCTGGCACTGCGAGTTTGAGCCTTTTCAGCGGCCGCTCGATCTGAATCACCGGCGGCGAAGCACTGTTTCCCCCGTCAACCGCCCCCGAGGGCGGGCTGCTGTTCGACTTAACCGACGAAGCTCGGTGACTGTTGGTGGAAGAGCTACCACTTCCTTCGTGCTTCTCCAGCAAGGCAGCTAGCCGGTCCCGCGCCATTTCCTCTTCCACAATGGCGACAGACCACGCGAATTGGGTGTCGCGGCACTGTTCCTTGTTCTTCTCCTGGGCGCGCTGAAGCATGTTGCGAATCTCTTGCTCAATGATTGGCGACCCCAATCTGCGTAGTTTGCGGAGGAGTGCCAACGTGAAGGTGGTGCTGCACGGCACGGCATCCATGCCAAGAATACCTTGGGGCTGGTGACTCGAGGACGAAGACGACGCTCCCGCGCCGCTGCCCGAAGATGAACCGGCAGAAGCAACTACGCCAGGCAGCAACGCGATGGAGTCAGCGTCGTGTGTCTCGTGTGCGACCAGCGTGTTGTGTCGGATGCAGCACGGGCGACCGGAAGCGTGGCAGCACAAGTGCTTCAGCAAATCGGTTGGGAGATGCGACAGCAGGTAGTCATTCTCCTGCTCAGACAGAAGCCAACCGTCTAGGTACAACCACTCTAGCACTTCACCCAGCTTCTTCCGCATCTGCATCGACAAAGTCACGTGAGCGCTGTTACCGCGCCCCCCCGGGCCCCCGCCCCGGTTTGGGGGGTCGAACAGCGTTTTTGACCCCTGCTTCCGAAACGCTGTGGCCGTCGTCAGGTCAATGCCGCCGCCGCCCCGCTCCAAGGCGTAGAAGTTCGTGGTGCACACGTACTCGGCGTTTTTCTTCAGGACGTCGTGAAAGTTGATTAAAATTTGCTCCACTGTGCGAATGTCCCGGAAGCTGTTCTTGAAGTGCAGCTTGCTCGCTTCCGCGGGGGTCTCGGCACTGTTCTCCGACTTATCAAAAGGGTCCCGTGTTTTGGTAAATGCAAAAACGGGGGACAAGTCGACCAAGTGCGAGATGTGACAGTCGAGCGCGAGCTTTTTCACCAGCTGGCACAGCAGATCCAACTTCAACACCTTGATATTCCGGAAGAAACTGATGCGGTTTTGCAGGAGAATGTAGACTTGTTGCAGCGCCTCCCCTTCATTGACCGCGCCATTGGACGTACTAACTCTGTTCGAGGCGTCGACCTTGCTCGCCTGAAAGAGGTAGCTATCTTGCAGTAAATCCTGAATGTGCTGCAACAGCCCTTGCGCACGTTCCGTCCACTCGGTGAAAGTTTTGAAAGTGGCCGTGGTACTACTCTGCTCGTCCTCCCGGAAGGCCGCCATTTGCCGCAACTCGGCAACCAGGTGATCGATTACTATGGAAGCCAACAAGGCGTTGAACCCAAGCAATTTCTGGTTTTGCGTGTACGGCAGGGAGGCTTGTGCGGTGGCGGACCCCGCGCTCCCGAAGGCGGCAATCATGGCTTGCTGTTCCCTTTGGTCCCACTCGACTTCCTGCTGGATGCAGTTCAATACGGGCGCGATCGCCGCCGGGCAGCAGGACAGAATTTGACTCAGAAAAACCATGCGCTTCTCGTTCAACCAGTAACCCACCTGGACCTCGAACAGGGACGCCGGGAAGGATAGAATCGGAAGGTCGGTGTCCTGCGTGACAGACTCCTCGTTCTTTATAATCGCTTCCTGTGCTTCCTCCAGCTCCGCATTTCGCACGTTAAAAGTCTTGCGAATCAGGGCGAGCAAGAGCAGCGTCTGGCTCCAGCGGGACAGTGAGTTTGTGTGCGGTACGGACATTGCAACCAAGTCGTGAAGGTAGCGCAAGTTGCTAATTCGGCAGTTGGGTTTGGCAAAGAAGGGCTCCAGCGGAAGGCTGTAGTTGGTTTGGATCGCTTCGGCTAGCTTGCGAGGGTCCGTGGCAACGGTCGAGGACTCCAGTCGGTTCTGTACCAAGACCCTGCGCTGATCGAGCGACTGCACGACGAAATAGGAAAACGGAAACATGGCGTAAAAGGGTGCCCGCTCCGATCGCGAATCGTTTAGAACCTCCTCGAAGTTGTTCACTGTCTCGTTCGCATTGTTGCCACGGATGGTGAGGGAACGCAGCAAATCCAGGGTCAGTTTGCAATTTGCATCCTGCATCACGTGATCTGCCAGGTCGAGGCTGACCGAGGGATACTTTTTGAAGAGAGACAGTCCGTGGTTGCGGTCCAGAAACGCCAGCATCTTTGCGATCAACGACTGCAGGATCCTGAGCAACCGGTTGTGCAGGGAACCGCAGAACGTGCCCGACTTGAAGGTGGAACTCGTCGCACTAGTGTCGTCGGCGTACCAAGCCTTCCTGACCACGTTCTGCAGCGCCAGACTGTAGCTCTCTTCGGCCAATTTGCTGTCTTCCAAGCGGGGACTCATCACACTTTGGTTACCGGTTTGCTTCAGGATCCGCTGCTGCTCCGCCTGCACCTTCTTGTTGTGTTCCTTGTCCTCTTCCGCTTGAAACTTCTCCAGCACCAGGTCGATCAGGTTCTTCACCAAGGAAACGAAGTCGCCACTCTGGCACAAGAAGAGCAGCATGGTGATTTGCTGCGTGAGTGCGCTGGCCGCACGCCGGGAGGGATAGATCAGTCGGGCTAGGGACGGACGGAGACACTGGTTGGTCAGCACGTACTGGAAGTCCACCAGCTGAAACACATCGCGCAGATTCCGGTTCAGCATCTGCGTCAAGTCCGGGAGTCCGGACCGCTCCGCAAGATTCACGCTGTCGATGAAGACCGCGCGCCAGCGACGGTCGAAATCAAGCAGAAAATTGCTGCTACCCAGCCCGGACGATCGCCCCATGGAAAGATGGATCACCAACAGAATATGCTTTTTCGGCGGCCGCTCTCCTGCTCCTGAGCGTAGTAACGAGCCACCGCTTTGGTTGATGTCACCAGCTGCAGCATTCCCTTCCGCATTAACGAGTTGCGAAGAGGCGAGCAGAGCTTGCTTTCTTTCTTCCGCACACCGCAATCTGTACAAGTGTTCCGCTTTCTCACAGATGCACCTACAGTGTTCAATCTGGCGATCGGAACTTGCGATCGGGTCCGCTTCGATTAGGAGGTAGTGGTGCTCTTGCCGATGAGAGGTGGTCGTGGTTGCACTTGCAGTTGCTGTTTCTTCCTGCCCGAGAAGGAACTCTTTCACTTTCCTGTCGCCCGAATCCTGTTTCATGGGCTTTTTCTGGCCTGCTGCAGCCGGGTTATCCTGGTGGTCCTCGGCACCGCTACTGCTCTGTAGTTCCCCGGCAGCCCGCGGCAGCTGCCCTGCGCTGTCACTACTGGACGAGGACTGGTAAAAGTCCTTCACCTTTTGATCCAGCTCCGACGCACTGGATAGGGTGTGCAGTAAGAAGTGGTGCACCGGTCGCCCCTCGGTCCGAATCACGTCCGCCAACACGGAGCCGCCGATCATCGGGGTGTAGGTCATGCACATGATTTGCGTGCCTAGTGGCTGCTGCGCCGCCATCTCGAAGAGAACGTTGTTTTTGAATCCGCCAGCCGCTCTAGAAGAAGCACCAGCACCCCCGAGAGCGGCCGCAATTTCGGATCCACCGTCCAAAGTCGTCAAGTTTCGCGTGCTCGCGGCGCTCGAGGCGGAGTCGTGGCCGTCCTGGGCCTTAACGGACACATCCTCCATAATGGCATCACCCTGCTCGTCCATGATGACCATATCGACGTCCTGGCCGTTGGTGTCCTCGTCGCCCCCTCCACCTGCGCGGAAAAACGGCTGCGCACCACGTCCGTCATGATCCGCATACGCCTGCTCTATGCCTTCCACAAACTGCTTCAGATCCCCATGCTGCTGCGAGCGAAAGTATTCCTCTCCCACGTTGGGGTAGCTCGGGTGCGTCTTCGGATTGAACTTCGAGAAGCACGCCGACGTGCCGGCCTGGACGGCCGCCATGTGGGCCGTGACGGCCTCGGGTGTGAGCACCCAGGTGAGGTCGTGCAGCGCGCGCCCCAGCTTTTCTGCGAGGGTCAAGTTGGACGAGGAGGCGTCGAACTTCTTGTTGTCCGACACTACCGAGATTTGCTCAACATCATCCAACCGGTCTAGCTGTTGGTCCACTTGCGCCAGCTGTGGGGTGGGCGATAGACCGGTGGTGTCGAGCCCGGTCACGTTGTAACGGCGGAGGGACACAACCAGCGACGGTAAGATATCGGAGTGAAAGCCGGGAATGCATCGCTTCTTGACAGCGCGCAGCTTCTCCTCATCGTTTTCCAGTTTCAGCTTCTGCTTGTTCTTTTCCGCAACCCCGGATTGCTGCTGCGTGAGCACATCTTTTGCCAACAGCGTGAGCCACTCGTTCAACCGGTCGAGCAGCACTCGGTCCTCTTTCGCGACAAGCAGCTGCGAGCGCAGGAAGATTTGTTTCTCGAAGCGGTTCAGCAGCGGTGGAGCCAGCCGCGTCCAGGCGTCGGCTTTTTCCACGATCACGATGACGCGAAACTGGTGGTGAATAGGACACTGTTTACTTGAAGAACCGTGGGCGATGCGGACGTAGCGCTGCCCCCCGAACTCCATGTAGTGCTGGTTCAGCAGGTCGTACAGGGACTCATACAGGGCGTCGCAGTGGATCAGCACGAGTTGGATCGGCTTGGTCATCACGGAACGAATACGATTCAAGTTGGTCGCGACCATCACATCAGACTGGTCGTCCGGAAAGCTACTGCCGAACAGAATCTCCGTCTCCTGCTCGTACGATATCACGCCGGAGTCGAACAGCAAGCGCAGCGCGCTGTTGTTCTTGGTCAGCAGCATCAAGTGCCGCGCATCCGATTCCTCCAAATTTTGCTGGATGAGTTCCACGACACTGTAGCGCTTTCCGTCCTCCGCGCGCATGCCGACCTTCCGAAAGAAATTTTCGATGTTGCGCTCCATGTCCTGTTGCACGCACCCGCCAAAGTTCCGCAGAACCGTTTTCATCAGACAGTCCGCATCCAACGACTGCGGCTCGCCACGCTTCTCGCGCTGCTTCAGTTCGCCGTTCACCACGCGGACCGTGCTGTAAAACTCGCGCAACCCCCAGAAATCTTGTCTGGGCTGGTTCTGATAGATGGCGTGGAAGGCCTCCGCGAGTGATTTCAGGTACATCCGGAGCTGCGCGGTCTGGATCATCCCCTCGGCGGTCAACGTGAGGTCCTCGATTGTCGGCGGCGACCGGTAGAGGTGGACTGCACGCGACATTTTGGCCGCGTCCAGGGACCAATTGCTAATCCCAATGCAGGTGATGCCCTTGCCCGGCCGCTCCAACTCCTTGTGCAGGACCTTGAGCGGGAGGTGCGGCGACTCCTCGGCGAGCCCGACCTCGTCGAGCAGCACCACCACAATGGTTTTCAACTTGCCCTCGCCACCGCCCTGGTACTTTCGTGCGTTGTCGAACGCGTTCTGGATTCCGTCCGCCGTGGATAGGGGAGAACACTGGTACGGCAAGACCTCGATGGCCGGCATCTGCTTGAACAGCGGCTGGTCAGAAACGGACCCCTTCAAGTTGTCCTGCAAAATGCTTACCGCCAGACTCTTGCTGCACCCCGGCTTGCCAATCACGAAAATGGGAATTTGGTTCATCACCGAAACCAACAGCATGAACAAGTTTTCCCGCAGCGCCTCGTTCAGAGCGATCCCCTCGCCGAGCTTCATCAGGCTCACAAACTGCTTTTGCGTCTTCTCCAGCACCTGCAGAAACGTGGTTTCCTTCGTCAGCTTCAGCCAGGTCATGCCCAGATGCGGAAGCCGGGTTTGGTCGGGGAACATTTCGCCTTCCTTCGCGGCACTGTTTTCCTCGGCTTTCGTGGCGTTCCAGAGGTGACGGTGATACCCCTCGCGGTCTTCCCGGGCGAGGCGACTATGGTAACAAAAGCCAAGCGTGAGCAAAACTGCGGTAGCGAGAGCCGAATTGCTGCCGGTGAGTGAAGTGTAAATCGGTCCGTCTTCCGGGTCACTAACGGGCCGATTCTTGTTATTGCTCGCTGTGGGCGACTTGTTGCCTCCTGTGGTCCCACCCATCTCCACGTCTCTCTCTGCTTCCGCTTGTCGCGCCAGCACCTCGGCCTCCACCTGCTGCTGCTGCAGTGCGGGAGAACTAATCCCAAAAACCAGACTCGGCTCATGCGCTTGCGCCGTGGCCGCTGCGCTTGCTGGTTGCGAGGCTCCTGCGCCTGATGAGGAGGACGCGGCATTGTTGTTTGCACTTCCGGCCGCGGAAGTAGCTGACCCGCCTGATGCGGAGCTTGAAGACCCCGGGCCTCCTGCTCCTGGCGTCGGTGTAGTGGCGGGATGCTCTTGTAGCTTCGTGCAGTGCCTTAGAAACCAGCGAAAGACGCGGGAGGCGCGGGCAATGTCGCGCAGACTGACCACCGACCGCTCGTTGTTCGAGATTTGACGAATGTATTCTTGGGATTTTCGGAGCAAAGTCGCAAAAGTTGTCAAAAAGTTCTCGTACCGGAACACCACCTTCCCAATCGCGGTCTCACGTCGTGCGTCGTTCTCCATATCTGGCAATTTGGCTTCCAGCTCGCGGGTGAGCACCAACGGCAACTCGCGGCGAAGAATCGCGTCGATGTAGAGCGCTTCGGTGCGGTCCGTTAAAGCGCCGAAGTCCGTAACCAGGTCAATCAAGGACTCAGGCAGCTGGTGGACACGGTAGACCAGCTTCTTCATGTGGTCTGTCTTCGACACGATGCCCCCGTCCGCAAAGTGGTGCTGGTAGACCAATCCCATCTGCTCGCTCTCGATATTCTTCCTCAACCGGTAGGGGTTGCAGCAGGCCACAATGCGGATGTTCGGCGGCAACCGCTCATTCTCGACAAAGCGATCGACAATCAGGGTCTTGCAGTGGGCCATGCAATTCGCCGCATTTATTTCATCCAGGAAAGCAACCAAATACTGGTCCTGCGGCAGCGCCTTCGCCGATTGAATGCAGCTTTGAAAAAACTTCGTGATTTCCTCGTCCGTGATACCTCCGTGCAAGTCGAGTTTTCGCAAGGGGAACCGCAGCATGTCGCAAATGAACTCGACCAGGGCTGTCTTGCCGCAACCAGTCTCCCCCATGATAATGGCCGGAAGCCCGTACTCCATGCGCAGCAAAATGGACAAAATCTTCAGCAGGTTGTCAATAGTCAAAACGTACTGCGTGTGCCCCAGCGTGCGATGCGACAGGCCGCCCTTTTGCTGCGCGTAGTTCTTTACGATCTTCTGCAAGTCACTCAGTGCCGCCTTATTCTGTGCCGTTCCGTTCCCTCCTGCATTCGTGCCAGCTGGCGACGTGCCGGAACCGGCGAAGTCGGGGATACCTTTTGCCGCACGGATCAGCTTTCCGCACTCATCGGCACTCGCCTGACTCCAGTCCTTGAAGACCCGGAGGCCGTTGTTGTCAAGCGAACGGGTGAAGGTGCGGTCCATTTTCAGGTTTTGCTCCACGGTTTTCTCGTTGAGCGACACGATGTCGATCCCGGATACCTTGCCCTTGTTCAATTTGAACACAGACACCGGATGGTCCTTGCCCTCCCAATTCATCATACCCTCGAAGCGCTCCACCATGTTTGTTGCTGAGACCTTCCCGACGCCAAGACGATCGCGGCCAAGCTCGGACGTCAGGGCTTCGTGTTCCGTCATTTCCTGCCGACTGCGCATATCCACCATGGAATGGCGACCGCCACCGCCCTGTTGCTGCTGAGACGCGCGGGGCACGGCGCTACTGCGCGAAACGCTCCGCTTCGCAACTAGCGCGCTGCTTGCGTTTACGCTTTGCAGGTCCGCTGGGTTCGCGGGGTTGGCGGGCTCGTGGTCAGAATGCTTCGCGCCGTCCTGCTTCGCGGCATCGCTGTCGACGTCCATGCTTGCAGGGCCTGTTCCGGACGAGGGCGCAGCTGCGAGCTCCAAAGCTGGTGGCGCGGCTTGCGTGGAGTCCATAGCTACGGAGGAGCTGAAGGCCCTTTTCGGAGAGAGTTCCGCCAACACCGCTTCGTCATCTGCGTCCGCGCGCATCTCGTCCATCGTGAGGTATTTCGGGACTTGCCGCAACGAAAAATCGCCGCTGGTCTTGACCAGCATGGAGCAAAAATAGTGCCGCAAGGAGTTCAGCCCCATTGCCCGAGACAAGTTCATGGTGAGCAAAGCGAACTGTCGTGTGCGATCGAACTGCTTCCGCATGAACCGCGCAAACAGATTGAAAGTGAAAAAGGACGGGTGCTCGCGCTGCGGTTCCGTGGTTCCGTCGGGCTTGGTGCGCGTACGCTCCTGGCAGCAAAAGCGCTCGAGTAAGCGCCAACACTCCTCCGTGGAGATCCTTTCCCGCAGCAGCTCTTTGTCGTCGTGGGCGTTCGGGTCCTCCTCCTTTTTCTTCAAAAACCGCTCGCCGTCTAACGCGCGCAGAAACTTGCAAGTGATCAGAATGTCGTAATTCGGCGCAAGCTGCAGGAAGTGCGTTCTTGTGCTTGGGTCCAGCTTGGTTTCGGACTTGCCCTCGCGATCCTCGTTTGGCTGCAGAAACCGTGGCTGGTCGAGCTGCAAGGCCGCGAGGTCGACTGTCAAATGCTCTTTCTTCAGAAGCGGTAAAACAGACAAGTGGTTCATCAACTGATTCCCGGGGGTGGCGGGAATTTCCACGACGTACCGGTCGCGCGGACTGCGAAAGAAGATTTGCGAGGACAGGGGGTCAATAATGCATCCCAGACAAAGAAGCTCGAAAAGCACAATGTTCGTGCGCTTTTGAACGACGTGCGCGAGATCCACATGAATCAAGTGGTCGTAATCCAAATTCTTCATCGCGGCCGACGCAGCGACATCTTGCATGCTCGCATCGTCGTCATTTTCCTTCGCTCCCACTTGCTCGGCCTCGCTCTTGATTCCAGCGGCTTGCTCACTTGCGGACACCGCACCACCAGTCGCTCCAGCAGCCTCCTTGCTGCTGCTCGCCGCCGCGCCCGCGATTCGTGCCCCGCTGCCACTCGGGGGCGTCCACTGCGGACGCCTTTTGTGCCGGTGAAAGTTGCGCCGGACAAAATCGCGATCGTCTCGCTCCTCGAGCTTCTGCCTGGTCTGAATTGATTTCGCAGCGTTGATCACTTCCCTCTTGTCCGTGTTTTCGCGGATAGCCAGTTTGCGGTACACGGACAACTTGTCATCCTTTGCGTGGTGCTGGATCTGGAAGGCCTCGCGGTAGATGAAGTCCGTTTTCCCGCAGCCGTTGATGTCCCGGCCGAAGGCCGCCGAAACTGAGGGGACCGCATGCTTCAGGCACAGCTGCAACTCGTTGGGCGAAAGCTTGCTCACGTTGATGTACTGCACCCCGCACTGCGACGTGGCTGCGTTCAAGAGCATTTGGTTGGGACTTCCGCTCACCAGAACAAGCGCGGCAGCGTTTGCCACACCGTACTCCGACAACAGCACGCCCAGCAGCTCTACCGCGCGGCACTGGATCTGGTAGGACAGCAGCTGGATGTTGCCAATGCAGAAGACGCACTTTTCCCTCTTGTGCAACCTCGCCTGAATGAACCTGCGAATCAAGATCTCGATTTCCTCGACTTGCGTGGTCTCCGTGCATAGCAAAACTTCCTGCGGCTCCGGCAACCGCTCGCGGCGGAAATAGAGGGACAAGACCAAGCCCACCACGTCCTCTTCCTTCGGAGTTGTGCACGCAAAAATCGGAACCACGGTGTTCTGCTGCTCTGGTTTCTTGCTCTCGGAAACGCGCCGGGGCCGGCCCGCAGATGAGCCGCCCGGTACTTCGGCGCAGAGGAGATCGTCTTTGCTCATCGTCCCCGAGGAGACCCCACCGCCCCGTTCCTGGGCGTTAATCTCCTGGATGAGAAGATCACCCTGTTGCAGTTTTTGCTTGGAGAAGTGCGTCGCGGCGCGGTTGCTGATCCAAGTGATTTTCTTTTCTCGGTAGGTGATCGATCCGAACATGGAATCCAGCAGCTTCCCAATGTAGTGGATCTGCTCCGTGGCCGAGGTCCGCGGAAACCGACCAAAGCTGTGGAAGGTTTGGAGCAGCTGCCGTCCGAACTTGAACAGGCTCACCAGGTCCTCGCTGTCCCAGGGCGTCTCCTTCAGCGTCACCGCTGTCACGGACACGCCGCTCGGCAAAAGGCGCTCGCCGCTGATGTACTGCCGCACGTCCAGCATACGGTCAAGCGTCTGCAGGAATGTTCCCGGGTACAGTAGCACCGCCTCCGCCGCCGTCGTTGCGGAAGGCCGCTCACCGGTGCTCGCCGCGGCTCCCGCACTCGTGCCAGAGGGAGGTGGTTTGGCCTCGCCGCCGCCCGCTGTCGCCGCGTTCTTCGGCGTCGCAGTGCCGGCAGCAGCCGCCGGTAAAGCCAGCTGCGCCGAGGCACGCTGCAGGTGTACAGGCTGCTGCGTCGCTGGCGTTCCGTCACTCCCCGGCTGGGAAAGCAGGTGCACGAAATCCGCCCGCAGCTCCTGGTCCGAGTACTGGGGCTTCAGCGGCAAGCACCCGCGCTCCCACAGCGAGCTTTCAATCAGCCGGATGTCGTCGCGGAGACTCTGGAGGTGTTTGACGACGAAGAAGTTGAGACAGTAGTACTGGCCCCGAATGTCGCGCATGCTCGTCGTCCACTCCGAAAGCACCTGCTGCAGCTCCTCCTTCTTGCGCCGCAGCGCAGCCGTGGACTCCAGGGGCGAGATCCGCAGCACCTCGCCGTGCGCGTAGTCGAAGTGACCGTTGCTGTACAAATCCGCGACCAAATGCCGAATGTCTTCCAGCACCTCGAGCTTGTCGACAAAATCGTCCACGACCTCCTTCAGTTTCATCTGTTTCACCCGTTTCTCCGCGTACGCCCGGTAAACACGCTGATGCTCCGCGGTGAAGCCGTCGGCATTGGTCCCGGACACCGTCGACGTTTGCCCGGGTTCCAGCACCAGCCCCTTCGCGTTCCGCTCCAGCTCCAGCACTTTCTCGAGCAGTACGTCGGGCATTTCCTCATCCATTTCGGCGTCCGTGTCCGCGCCCGCCGTCGCCGAGGGCTTGTTCTGCTCCTCGTCCTCCTGCGGGTCCGTCATCAGAAGCAGCCGCCGCATTTCCGCCAGCTGCTCAAACTTCATCTCGTCGACGTTCTCGATCATACCCCCCGCAATCTCCAGGGTGCGGCGGCACACGAGCTGGTAGTTCGTATCCGCGGTTCCGTGGAACACGAACTGCCCTTTCAAGAGAATCGGCTTCACGTCGCGACAGGCCTTAATGCCGGGCGACAGCGTGTTCCGCTCGAGCAGGTCGTGCAAACGGTCCCAGGACACCGTCACCACGCACAAACAACTCAGCTGCTCCGACTCGCGAAACTCGGTATTACTACCACCTCCGGAGGCCTTGATGTTCTGCTGCTGGAGGCCGAGCGGCTGCTGGTAGAATTGGTTCATCAAGGTTTGGTTCTTGGTCGCAACCTGAGCCATGGAGGCGAACGCGGATTTGTTTTGGGCATTGTAGGTGAACTGTAGGCCGTTCTCCTTGGATGTGTAGCAGTTGAGAAATGCCTCGAGCGACTCGAAGTGGCGGCAGTTCTTCGCGTGTTCGGCAATCTTGAGCAGTGCAGCAGCCTTCGCCTTCGCTGCGTCATCATCCTCTTGATCTTTATCTTGCGCCGTGGTTCCGATAATTGCAGCTGCACCCGCTGCGCCTACATCTGTGCTCTGCGGTTGCTGCTCACTAACCGACGCCATGTCAGCCATGACGTCAGTAGCCGCGTCGACGTGGTGCCCCTTGTAGAACAGGTCCGAAACGGTGCGGCGCAGTTCAGATAATTGCGACAAGGCACGCAGCAGGACCTCGTCGTCGGTACACGGACGGACTAGCCGGATTTTCTTGTCGAACGAGGTCAGGTCCGTGTGACAGAACAGCCACAGAAGCACTTCTCGGCGGTTTGCAAACGTTGTTAGAAAATCCTGGTGGTCGTGTGAAATTGCGTCCAGGTACCGCTTGAAGGGTACCACTTCCTCGCGCACGGAGCCGAGAACCCAAGTTGCTTTTGCGTTCTGCACCACCTGCGCACACTGCTCCAGATTTTTGATGTATGGATCGTCGGCGCTCGCCTCCGGAAACAGATAGGGCTTGCTCGTGTGGTAAAACTTGAGAATACCCGGAATCCACACCGAAAGCCGCTCAAGGAAGCGAAGCTCTGCTATGTCCTGCAGCGCAACATCCGCCCAATTGCACCTGCCGCCGGCTCCTGAACCACTCTCGACATACAAATCGTTCACATTTTTCCGCCGGCTGTAGTGCTTTTGTTGCTTCAGCTGATCAAGCCCTTTGTACTTCGGAATGATGTCCGTCATCGCTTGTAGCAAGCGGACCTCTTTCTGCAGTGCCGCAGTACTGAGAGTCGGTCGCCCGGTGCGGTTACCGAGCACGCCAAATAGCTTGAAGCCGGTTTCGAGGTCTTGGTGCCCGAAAATCAGGTTCTCGGCAAGGTCGTCCCACTGGTAAAAGGCGGTCGGAATGATGTCCGTCACGGCTAGCGACTGCTCGATCTCCACGAGCTTCTTCATCTTTTTCTGCCGCGCATCCGAACCGCTCTGGTCGAGGCCCCCGCCCCCAGCAGCCGAAACCACTGCCATCGCGCCGCTCGCCGCGCCAGCCAGCAGGGCACTCGCAGAACTCGAGCTCCCACCCGCACCGCCGGCATTGATTGCCCCTGTGTTTGGAGGACTCATGGTGCTCGTCAGCCCGACGCTCTTGTTGTTTTTGCTGGCAGCCTCCGACGGGGATCCGACCTGCTCTGCCCGGGTGGCCAGGATGTACTTGTCAACGAGCACACCGATAGACGGCGCGCAGCGGGATTTTGCAGCCTTTTGACTCGGGAACTCGCCTTTCTTGTGTCCCCAGATCACGCCGTTGAACCGACCCAGCATCTGCGGCGTCAGCCTTTCCGTAGACGCGGTCGCACCGGTCTGCGATGTGGCCACAGAGAGGGAATTATCCTTCCCTGTTGTCCTCGAGTAGCTTCCCCAGTAGAAATCATTCTGCAGTGCGCTGTTCCCGCTTGCCGCTGATCCATTGGAGCTCTGCACCTGGACGGAAATGCGGTACTGCCACCGCTTCTTAAGCAGCACCGGCTGCTGGAACTTGCCCGTTATGTATTCGATCTCTTCAGAGCCGTAATTGCTTGGCATCTTAATCTTGGCGCCGTTACAGGTGCACTGCGCGACCAGCGTGGACGATGTTGCCTCTCCCGACGAGGAGCTGCCGACTGAGGGTGTCACTTCCCACAAGCTCATTGTGTAGGGACGCTTAGAAGTGGCGGCGTCGTCCGAGGTCGTTGTTCCGTTCGCTGGTCCTTTGGGTAGCTCTCGGCACAGACCGTACACCGGAACCTGGTCGTCCAGAGCCTGGAACTCGATCCCCACCTCTTCCGCAACAGACAGCTCCTTGTGCATGGAGTTCTGCCTCTGTAGCTGCTTCGAATCAGGCGGCGGCTTCGGGATCCCATCGATCCACTGCTCGACGGCGGTAAACGAAATGTTTAGGGTGCTCAGCTGCGCGGTCAGTTTCTTCTGTTCCGCCTCGGTTTGTGCCTTACTGGTCCCGCCTGCGCCCTCTGCACCCCCTGCGGTAGCGCCACTGGTCGTGGCTGCGCTGTTGTTAGTGAGTGCGCCTTGCTGACTCGAGGACCCTCCAACGAAGGTGTTTGATGATGTTCCTCTCAACATATTCGACCGGAAGAGCTGTAGGTTGCCAAACTCTTGGAGGTGCAGGCCGATGCGGCGCCAGATGTCCAGAAAGAGCTCCGAGTTGCGCAAGTCGTAGAGCTTCTTCACGTGGCGCAACACCGGCTCGTACAGGAACTCGGGCTCCGCCGATACCAAAGACTTAAAATTGTAGATTTTGTGCAGCGTTTCCACTTTTTGATTCAACTCCGAACACTCGATGTTTGCAGACTTGCAGTACATCTTGACGTAGATCGAGAATTGCTCCAGCTCCGCGTCAAATTGGCGCAGTTGCCGCTCGCGCGCTTCCACCACTTCGAAAGTGAAGGGATCCAGCCGCGGCTCTCGCGTTTGCGCAACCGAATAAAGCTGCTTCGACGTCAGCGCTGCGCTACCGGTTCCGGTCTTTTCCAACTTTAGTAAAATTTCTCTGTCCAATTGCTGCAAAAACTCCTTCTGCTTATTCGCCTCGTCACCCGGGCTCGCCCCGTTGCAACTCAGCTTCAGATTGAACAGAGCAATGAGTGTGTAAAAGCCTTTGACCTTGTGTTTCAGCATGTCGTGCAGCTCTAGGAGTTGGATGTTCGCGGAGAAGATCCGGTTCAGAAACCTCTGCAGACGCTCCTGGATCATCTGGACCTTGGTACCGAGGTTCGACGCTCTGTATCGTTTCACTTGCTTCTCGTGTTGCTCAGCGGTCTGGTTGCGGGAGGGTCTTGGTCCCCCAGGAGGGTTATACGTGGTCACGATGGTTTGAATCAACGTGGCCTCCTTCAGCACGGGCGACAAGAGATCTTGCCTGGTCGAACTGCTCTGCTGCATCGACTGTAACTGCTGTTGCTGCAGCACGACTGCGCTGCCGCTTTCTACGCCGGTCATCTGGTCATCCTCCATGTCCATTTGAAGGAGATGACCTTGCTGCTGTTGGAAGCCGAGATTATAGCTTGTGCCAGCTTCAACACCTCCTCCCCGTGCACTGGTGCCGCCAACCATATTCTGCATCAAGTGGTTCGTGTTGTGCCCAATCCGATGATCTAAAATGAGGTTTAGCAGTTCGAACCGAAAGTTCGTCGGTTTCTGCAAAATGATGCGGAGCAGTGTAGGATCTTCATCGTACGCGTCGGTGATGACGCGGCGCGTCGACATCAAAATCTTCTGCGTCACGTCCGCGACCACCAATTGCTCGTGCGGGTTTTCCAAGCGCGCCACTTCCCAGGAAAACTTGTCCTCGATGTTCAAGACTCCCATGACCAGCTTGTAGCTGTCGACTTGGTTGAAGAACCAAAAATGGCTGACCTCCTCGAGCAGCTTGTTGTGCCACTTACGGATCTTCTGGCAGCTGACGAAGTGCGAAAACGCGATGAATGTCTGCTGCATGGTTTGTTCGAAACCGCTCATCCGCGCTTCAAGGGCGAGAGTGTTACTGTTCATCTGCGCATCTACCAGCACGCCCATGTCGTCATCCACCTGCTGCTGTACCGCCGCCGTGCCAGGTACCACTAGCAACCGAGATGCGTGGTCGGCCCTGCTGCTGTGCTGCATGTGGTACTTTTCGCGAATCCACTGCAGAAGCGCGCTGCCGCACCGTCTGCTGTCTTCGACGTTGGTCGGAAGGCTGAGGAGCTGCAGAATCGAGTTGTAGTTCAAGGAGTAGACACTTGTGCTATTCCGCAGGATCGCGTGCACGCACGCACTGCTGTAGTCGAACAACTTGCAGATGGCGCGCAGAAACTGCATGTCCGCCTCGCGAATGTCGAAGGACTCGAGAAAGTGCAGCACGACGGCCATCAGTGGCGTCATCTGTCCCGAGGTGTGCATCGTGCCGTATCCTCTCACCATCCCGCCGCCGGCATGACGGGAATTGAGGTTCGCAACGTAATTATGCGGATCGAACTGAGATACATTCGGGCCGCTCCCACCCAACAGCGCCGTGGCACCTCCGCCTCCGCGCCCGGCGACTGCTAGTCCCGCACCAGCCCGGCCCCCGGCACCCGGTAGTATATCCAAGGCCCCCGCGGCGCCACCGGCAGTGGCCTGGTTGCGACTCCAGGTGATTCGCTCCGCACAGTAATCGCTGATCGCACGGCTGTTCTGCCCGTTGGATGCGCCGCCCCCGCCGGTGTGATCGACGTAGGGCAGGGACAAATACGAGGGCAGAATTAAGCATTGCCGGTCCGGCAGAGGTGGTGTGGAATTCGTATTAAGTTTTTGCTGGAAGAATCTGCACAGTTCTTGGTCCACGACCAATACCTGGTTTGTACCCGCCGCGGCCGCGGGATGTTGCTGCACTATCCCTGCTTGGTTTTCGGTCTCGAAGAAGAGCCGAACCACCCGGTCGGTGGTAGTTTCGTCCACGAGGCAGAGCAGTCGCGGAGGCAGTCGCGTAACGATGTAGGAAACGAGAATTTGCAGCGACGGGCAGTACTCAATAAAGCAACCAAAATGGCCGACGCTCTGAAAGTACCGGGGCAGCAAGTCGTTACACTCGACCTCGCGACGCCGCTCTTGGCCCTCCTGTTGCAAGTACAGCTGTTCGAACCTTGCGATGTCCCCGTTCGCCCCGTAGTCGACCTCGATCTGCTTCACTGCAGCCGTGCACCGCTTGATGAAGCTGGCCTCGGCCTTGGTCCGCATCTGCGCGGTGGGAAACGCGCTCAACGCGATTGGCGACGGCGAAATGCCGAAGGAACGCAGCAACGGCAAAATGCGAAGGAAGTCAAAGTCCGCCATGTCGCGGTAGTTAGCTTTGGTTATGTCCGAGAGTCCCTTGACAGCTTGCTGCTGCCACTTTGCGCCGTAGTAGGCGCGCATGTGGTCGTGGAGCTCCTCTTTCGTGAACTCCTGTCGCATTATCAATTGGCTTGCGGTTTGGGGCAGTGTCTGCAGCAGCCACCGGATCCACTTTTCCGGGAACCGCGGCTCGTACTCAATAGGTTTGCTTTTTCCGGAAGACTGGGAGCCACCGACGGTCTGCCCACCACCGGTGAAAAGACCCTTGACGCCCGACATGCTACCAAGTGGACCACCTCTCATCGACGTGCCACCGCCGATAGACGCGGGGTCCTGGTCGAGAAGGTGGTGCTGCTGCCGCTCGTCGCGTGCGCGGTTGCTTCTCTGCGTCATGAAGTAACCCATCATGCTTGCAAGCAGCATGGCCCGCTGCGGGGCCTCGCGCTGGTCCACGCGCAAGTTGGGGAACTGTCGTTCCCGTAGAAACCAGGACAAGGACTCATCCTGCACCCCCGGCGGATCTTTGTCACTAAAGGGTAGCTTCATGGTGCCGGAGCTGCTGCTCTCCTGGTGTCCGCCACCAAACCGACCAAGCGCGCTCCCGAAATTCGGATGGTCCCCCGGAGTATCCACAAGCATGTCGAAATTATTATGCCCACCTGCTTGCGCTGCGCCGGTGTCTGGATTATACTTGAAAATGAATTCCTGGAAATAATTGAACGTCGACGGCAGCGGCTCCACAGCAGGCCCGCTGTTGTGACCGCTGTCTCCCCGGTCCTCGAACATTCCCATACCGTTTGGCATGCCCCGACGTAGTGGCGGTGGGCCGGGGTTGCGGTCGCCGCGCAGCCTGCGCAGGGATCCACCAGCACCCTGGTGGGCGTCGCTGCCGCTGCCCACTGGCCTGAAATGGGCTTCGAGCGCGTGGAACGCACTTAGGAATCCGGAGGTGTTTATCTGTCCGTGCTCAAACTCGTACAACAACTGGATCAAATTCATTGCGTAGTTGTTTTTCCTGTTTTCGGCGTCGTTCCGCGACAGGGACTGGGTCAAAAAGGTGCCCTTGATGTGGTTCCGGTCGTCTTCTTGCTGGCCCCCTCCGCGGGTGGGATTATTTCCGCCTGCGTTGGTACCACTAGCGCTGGCCGTTCCCTGCGCTCCTGCTGTCGAGCTGCTACCACCCCCGTCTGCGTTCGCCAGCTGCGTCGTGCCAGCGTTGTTCGGTGCATGCTGGACCCCGAACGATTGGAACAGGTAGTTCCATCGAAAGAAGTAGCGGTTGTGTGCACCCTTTAAGCTTCGCCGCTGAAACGGTTCGGCCGGCAAAGTCTCGGTGATTTTCGTCGTCCCGTCTGCGATATGAAGTGTAAAAATGTCTGGGTCTGGAAGAATGCAACTTGTGATGCGCATTTCAGAACACACAAAAATCTCTCATGCATAGGTAGCAAAAGCTGCTCACTTTCTGTCACCAAAATGGGGGATTTGTCATGCGGGTTCGGCATTGCGGAAGCTTCTCGAAACGTGTGATGCTAGAGCTTCCATGACGGACCTTCTGTGTCATGCAGAAACAGCATGACTCTTCCAGACCCAGACATTTTTACATTTCATACGCAAGGAAAATCTCGAACCGAACGTGGAATCCGCGCTCCCGCTATCCTGAGTAAAAACGTACCCACGCCAGAGTTGTAATGCAGATTTGCAAAGACAGGAAGACTTGTAATGCGCATCCCCATGATAGCCATTTCCAGTCGTGTTTTGGAAGTTGTGATGCTGTGAACAGGATGAGCAGATGAATCTGTGATGCGGCTGCACTTGCTAACCTGCACTACACTGCATAGCGCAACTTGTAATGCGTGACTCACAAAACTCCTAGGTTTGTGTTGCAAAATCCCCATCCTGACTCTGGTATGGGTACGTTTTTACTCAGGATACCCGCAACTCCTTCTTCACGGTGTTCGTGTGTGCGTTGTTTGCACCCACCTGGTGGTCAATTAGGGCGTCCTGAAACCGAATCGTGTACAGGGAGTAGTGCCCAAAGTTGAGACATCCTGCTTGGAAACGTCCCCAGCACGAGTCATTGACCAAGAACTAGCTGACTGACGTTAGAGACAGAGACTTGAAATTATTGCGATTTTATCTATCACCTCCCAGATGAACAGGAGCAAATATTTCTGATCAAGTCTTGGAGTAGCAGACCATGCACCAGTACCTGCGCATGCAAAATACTAATACGCTTGGTGACCACCGAACGGGGGCGTTTTTGTGCAGGATATGACGGGCGAAAGCGTCATTGGGTGCGGCACGTCAAAGTTTCCCATGACCGTGTCATTCCCGCCCACTTGCCCACCCAGGTGCCCCCGCAGCCGCACCTGCTCCACACGCTGATCCTGGTGATCCGCGGTATTAATGATCAGGGAAACAACCAAGTTCTGTATCCACGAAAAAAAAATAGTGCTACACGTTGCACTCACTTTTGAAGGTTTTGCGACTGATGCGGTCTTGAACTAGCGCTTGTTTAGAATTAGAAATAGAATCAATGAGAGTCAATAGCTAGTATGTTGTTCATAAAAACAATGCGCAAATTCAAATTGATGCTTCATCTTCTGTTGTGCGCGTTGTTTATCATCATCTTGAAAATGCTGCCAGCATGACTGAGAGCAGCTGATTTTTATGTGCACCCCTAGATATAGCATCGCACAGTTTTTTCTTGGATACTCTCGTTGTTGATCCCGCTGCTGTCCTCCACTTGCTGTTGATCGATGCCAAGAAAGCTGGGGATGTTGAGAAACTGTTCCTGCGGGAGCAATGCATCGTCGTCCAGCGCACCGCCCGCACCCGGACTTAGATCCATGAAATCATTAGTCCCGCCGCCCTCAGCTCCCGCGCCAGGCGAGACACCACCACCACGCAGCATTGTCGTAGTCTTCACTACTTATTTGTGCGATTCACAACCACATGAACATGGAGATGCGGGGGTCTACATGAATATACGGGTACACCGACATTCTGAGGAAGATTTAGATCGCCATATTGTTTGTTAAAATTGAGATGATGCAGACTTTTTCTAAATTGCCGATATTTTCATGTTTAGCAAAACGTCATCTGCGTTGTGGGCAAATCATGAATGAATCGCTAACATAAAGATAAACAGACGAGAATAACGGCGGAATGGGAGAAAATAAAAAAAGAGGTGATCTTTACCATGACAAGTTTTGCAGTTTGCTAGAGCGAGGGAACTTCGAGCAAAAGCCAGACCGATCGCAAAAAACTACTGTTGAGATGTTTGTTGTCCTGTGGTCAAAATTAAAATTCGTAGAAAATTTGCTTTTTTGGTCAATCTTTTCGCTGTCGTTGTGTTCATATTAAGCCGTTGCTGCCTCCTTTTGCTGGCGTGCAATAGATGCAACTGGGGCCAGTTTGAAAGTCCATTAGGGAATCATGACCAGCGCATTCCCAGTCGTGACTACAACAATGCTCCATTTGTGACTTACCTAAACAACTTCTTCGCCGCGCGATTTTTTCGATTACTTGAACAGCTTTTCTTGATAGCACCGCCAGCACTTCACAAGAAGAATACGTTCTCATCAATACTGATGAAGCTTCTTGAGCAAAGAGCACACAGTTTCTTGATCGTAGTTATGATTGGTGACACCAAAGACAACCGCTGTAAGTAAAGAAAATGAAAGTCAAGACCTTTGTTCATCTCTCGCTTGGAAAAACACTAATAGATCATGTTGTACTCTAACAACAGAAACTACTTTACACGGTGAATAAACCTGCTCTCCTTTGCAGCTTTTGATTTCTGTCCTTCCGAATTTGAATTTAATAATTCGTCTTATGTCTGTGACGATATCAATGAAAGTCTTCGTGTTGTTGTCTGCACACCATGTTAAGTACCCCTTTCTTCCGAAGACGAAGACATTCGAAGATAGCGATACGCATTTTTAGTTGACTCTAGAAGATTATTTCATTTTATTACTATTAGATACTTATTTCAAAAACAAGTAGAAACCCATGATTGTCACTACAGAGGCAAGAAGAACAGTACAAAAAGATCTGAAAAAAAAACCAGCTTCCGTCCTCTTCTTTTATTTTTTCGCCTTCTTCGCGGGGGCCTGCTTCTTGGCGCCTACTTTCTTGGCGGCTTGTTGCTGCGGCTGCTTCGGTGTTGCTCTCCCTTTCATCGCCATGAGACTCGGCCTGGACTTGCTCTTGGGCGCTGCGGGTAGCTTCGCCATCGCTTTCGCTTTTTTTGCTGCAACTGCAGCTGCCGTCTGCTTCATCACACTGCCAGCTTGCTTCATTGGCTTTTTCACAACTTTCATCGAAGACGCGACTGCTTTAATATTTCCCTTTTTTGTACTTGCCGCAACTGCAAGAGCCTTTTTGCCCTTCGCCGCAAGAGAAATCTGAGTTTTCTTCATTGCAGCGGCCTTCTTCTCGACCACGACCTGTTGGCTGCGCTTCTCTCGCACATCTTTCTTGCTCTCCCCCGCGCTGCGCACCAGATTGGCGCAGTTGTCTGGCGCAATCTGTTTGATGGGGTCGATGATGGTGCTGCGCCCGTCCAATTCCAGCAACTGCAGATGCGGGCGCTTCGCGCAGATCTTGTCCGGTCGCGCGTTCCAGCGCACGTGAAAGAGCCAATGCCGCGGAAACAGCGTACTGTCGGCTATGGATGTGTCAGGTTTGAAATCGTCAAAGTTGAAATAACTTGTAATGCATAAAATCGATACCAGTTGGAAGCCCAATTTCTAAGCGGTGCATGACAAATCTTCCGAGCACCGGAATCCAATTTGTCATGCTGTTTGGGCACAGACGACTGCTTTTGTCATGGTACTTTAGCAGCTCTATTTCAAACCCCAAACAGGCTGACAGTCGGCCTCACTTGCCATCCCGGCAAGACAGGCACTTCATGCCTTGCATTTTATGCATGACAAATCATTTCAACTTTGTCGATTTCAAACCTGACGCGTCCATATCGGCGTTGGCGTGGTTACAGCTGACGTCGATGATTTTTTCGATGGAAACCTATCCTGTGCAAAAGTATCGTACTCGTATAAATGCTAATGCAAGTCTTGCATTACAAACCTTGTTCTCAAGGCAGATTAGCATTACAAATTTTATTTCTCATGCTGAGGAAATTTGTAATGCATTTATACGAATACGATACTTTTGCAGTGCATAAAACCCGCAGCTTCTCAATTTCCTTCTCCGTCAGGGAACCAACCGTGCGCTGCGGGTGCAGGTTATCAGCTGCAAATATGTACTTATTCTGCTTCTCGCTCTCGTCTTTGGAACAGGATGCAATTGCAAAGTTGTTCCACCTTTGTGTCACTGTCACAAAATACTTTGCATGAGTCCAAAAATTTATCCTAACAACTGCCCCCCTCCATACCCAAACACGCTGTGATAAAAAACTAAAAACGTGAACAACCTGTAAGAGGCTTTAAAATCATTAGTCCAGCCTATGCAGGATAATGCACCTCCACATATAAAGAAAAGCATTGCAAAATTTTGTGGCGCTAGTGTATCATGCATTCCGGCTCACCATCACCGCGTGGCGCGTGCTGGGCATAGCAAAACCGCTTGAAAAACCAACGAACGACAAACCGGAGCGTTGCATTGTATTTCATTTGTACGAGACCCGCAGAATGACAAGCACATAATTGCTTTTGATACAGGTCGCAGTCATACAAAATGTCGTCCGCTAGCCAGTTTCCAATACCGCAAACGATCCCGGATTGATCCAACAGGACGGTTTTCAACTTCTTCGTTTGGAGCAATTTGCGGTCGCGGCACAGTTGCAGAAATTGCTCCCTATCGGGCATCGCCACGAGCGGGTCTGGCTTCAACGCTTCGAAAAAAGTTCCCCACAGTGCGTCGATCTGGCTGGCCACGTCCGCGGCCCCGCCTCCTTTGCTCGGCAACACCATTTCCCGGAGCACCTTGATCTTCGCAAACTTTCGGCTGTCGACAAAGGCCAATTTCAAGTTCGGATCTTCGGTGTCAAACAGCATCTTCCAATGCTTCGGAGGCCAGCTCTCTTCATCTTCTTCTTCAGCGCCTTGTTCGCCTTCCCCTTCCATCTCAGTAGAGGCCTTAGTAGCCTTTTTGTTCTTAGAAGAAGTTCCGGCTTTAATATTTTTACCGGTGGCGGGGATGCTGGCTCCAGCCTGCTTCTTCTTCGCACCTGGCCTTTTCAAATATGGGTTTTCCTTCAGCGGAACGAAATCCTCTGCACCTTCTGCGGAGTGCTGACCCTCAAACTCGAACTGCGACCCGAAGTCCGGAGCAATAGCGACAACTTTCTTATCGAAGACCGTGGTGCTGCTGTCGCTTTTTTCCTGCTTTTGGTCCTGCTTCATCCTAGCCGCGGTCGTCTTGGTCTTGTTCTGGCCGGCGGTTGCAGCCCCCGCTGCGGAAGACGAAGCACCGCCCTCACCGCTTTCGTTCTCTTCTGGATGGGCAAGCAGTTCCTTGTCGGGCAGCCAGGCCTTGCGCTTACCGCTCATGTAGTAGATGGGCTTCAGGTCGTCGTTCTTCCTATCCTCGAGGGCGGCCCCCGTCGCAGAAATGTTGAACAAGCCCTTCATGCCGAAGTGAAAATGCACTGCGGTCAGCTGCGTCACCTTTTCGTTCTTGCCCCCACCTGCCGCGCCGCCTTGCTGCTCCTTCGTCGAAAACAGGACCAAGTTCTTTCCAAGACGGCGGACGTCGACTACGGTGGAGTACTCCAACGCATTCTGCACGCTCAAGTGCCCCTTCGCGTTCCCCTTGAAAATTGTCGTGTCGGACGTTTTGTCCATCACAATCTTCGTGATTTGCTTTCCCTTTACTGCGTTCACGAGCAGACGCCGTGCGTACTCGACCTCTGCAAGTTCTGGCATCTTTTTCTTGCTAGGAAACGGCCCCCGCGGAGTTCTTTGTTCCTCTACTATCGTATAGTTTTTGCAAAAAGATCTTTTTCTGCTAGTAAAACTTTTCGTTCTTTTCCTTTTCGTTTTATTTCATCCCCTCTGTAACTCCAACAACTGACTTTCTATTGGTATATTTGCTTAACCACGCTTTCACCAGTCATAGCAGTTGCTGATGAGAGACACGAATCCAAGCCAAAAAATGAGGGATGATGATCCCAAAGAAGTGTAGACGTGTACGATAAGCTAAAAAGGTCGGACTTTTGCATTACTTGAAGCGCGGCCTAAGTATGATCGAAAAAAGATGCGAACCTCCACTGTCATTGAAGTGTAAAGTAAGATGATGAAAGGCATGAAGAGACGAGTGCTAAATTTTTGTATTCATCCATTGCGCTCAGTGAGCGCACTTCCTCGGATAAGATTGATAAGAAGAAGTAGTTGATGTCCAAAAAGATCACACTCGCAATTAGTGTGACGCGCGCAATCTCTCGACACCAATGCTGGCAGCACTGGCAAATAGTGCTAGCGCTGGCGCTAGTGACTGATCCTCATCGCTAGGTAGAATGCTGGACACAGCGTGTGCCCAGGAGGGGCTTGCGGATGCGGTTTCGGTTGCGTATCACTCAATAAGACATCATGATCATGCTTGGAGATATTGTAGTCTATCTCTATCCCTTCTCTCGCGTTAGAAGCACAATAGAGGATCATCACGACCACAAGCAATTATCACGAACGACTTGTTCGCGTGATCAACTGCCTACCGACGTCATACTCCCCGTGCCTGATCCCGACGGCTGTTCTGGTCTTGGGTCTTTCGACTGCTGCTGCTCTGAGTACTATGGTGAACAAATGAAGAACTACTGGGGACGCGACGTATCACACACACAGAGCAATCCAACCAAAAAGCATTCCAAAAAGCGTGCCCGAGGCGTGTGCTCCATGCGAAATGTGATAAGAGGTTCTTGTACTTCCTGAGTCGATTTGCGAGTAAAGAATCTCGTTCTCCCGCTGCTGCAACTCTCCCCCTAGTAAGCCGAAGCCTTCACCAAACCTCGTCCCCCGATGGTGGTCGTGCTCCTGGTCTCTACCAAGACCCCCGGGCCTATTTGGAGCCGACGTCGTCCTAGAGCAGGCACGAGCGCCGTAGTGCTTCCACAGTGCCAGAGAACCATCAGCGACGAACAGAGTCGCAACTGGTACCCACAACGGCATAGGGACACACCCGAACCAATACACCCGCTTTGCTGGCTGTTGCGCGGCGAGGAACCCAAGTAGTCCGCAAACGCCGCCGCTGGCGCCAAGGCAGCGAACCTCCAACATGTCGTTGCTTTCTTCTACTGCAACATTTACATTGTCATCGGAAAACGTAGATTCACATGGGTTCCTTTGAGTTTGTTGTTCCCGTCCTTCTTCAATGTGGTGATGTTCATCTGGGGCGACTTTATCCTTTTCCCTAGTAGAACTCATCAATTTGTACAGTCCGACTTGACAGGTGCAAGCCGCGACGGCGGAGGAGCCGTACACTGCAAGCATGAAAAGACCAGATCGCAGATGGTGTTCTACTGCGGAGGCAGTGCACAACAATCCGAGAAAGTTGCAGCCGAAGTGGAGCGCGTTGGCGTGCAGAAAAGAGCTCGTCGCGAGAGTATAGTGCCGCCCTTCCTGCGCAACACCGACCCAACTGGCTGTAAAGTGTGTATCCCACCAGGATTTGTCAAGCGCGACGTGATCGCCTACAAAAGATGCGGTACTAGGCCCGCAAGATTGATGTCCTTGCACTACATGGCTGTTGGCGCAGAGCGGCCGCCAGGCAGTTCCTTTATTCAGATTCCCCTCGGCAACGTCCTCCGCTGTTCGATCAGGATCGACCCTATTCGCAGCCTGCATGTAAAGCATGAAAGCAACTGTCTTGCAAGCTAGAAGACCGAGGGTACCGGTGGGCAACGCGAGACTCGCTTCACCTTCTTCACTGGTGTCGGTCGATACTAAGTGGCGAGGCTTTTGTTCAAGCTCCGAGACGTCGGTTGCGAACTGGCGCCTCTGATTAGTCGCATCAAAGTGCGCCTGCGGGTCTCGTCCTCGGAGAGCGAGAAGACGATGGACGAAACGTGAACGGGCTGACGGCGCAGCTGTGCGAAACCTAGCAGCAGGTCTCGGTAGCACCATCGTAATGGCCATCAGCATTCGCGACGCTCCGCGAAGAGCCGGAACTTGCGGCTTTCTTGGTTCTGCTAGCAAAGAACCATATAGGAGAACATCAAAAAATCCAAAACCATGACTTTTCAGAAGTCACCGCTACGGACGTCTCACTTGTAGACGCTGGCACGTTCTTCCTGATTCCTTCTCCGCCCTTGCTCCCTTGAAATATTTTCCAAGACGAGGCTGGGGTGATCTTCACACTACATTCGGCTGCACCGTCGCTCCTTTCGTCCCTCAACATCCGTCGTGCATCTAAATCTCATGCTCCTGCAGGACTTCATTACCATCGCCTACTTTCCCTTTCTTACTCTCTTAGTTTTCGTTTTGTTACTTCGCTGCGGCTGCCTGAGAGCAGCATACTTTCTGTAATTAATTGGCGGTCACCACGTCCTTAATAGCTTCCCAAGTGACCTGATACTCGGTCCACTCGGGGTAAGTAAGCCGAACCATCAACCAGCGACCGAAACGGCAGCTAGGTCGTTTGCGACATCACAGGCCCTCCGGTCAGTTGTCCCAGGAGGTGTGAGAACGTTAGCAGGGAATTATTGTTGCTCGCCCGGTTAGTATCATGAACCAGGGCTCCCTCATCACAGACACTTCGAGAAAAGGGCGTCACTCGAGGCGTGATTGCGAGCAACACGAGCTGGGTTGCATTTCTTGCAGGACGACCTAGCTCGTCTGAAAAATTGGTCTGCTTCGTGTCTGGTGGGTGATTGCCACGAAGAGGACGGAAACCGAACTCCAACTCGAAGTACAGGTCGCCCGCGTGCACTTTCTGACTAGGGAGAAGCTCCTTCTGCGTTCTCCTTGCAACGGTCTCCGCGACAGCTTCACCGTGTAATTGCTGTTCGATTTCTAAGTCAAATCCGCGCATCGCCTGGATGTAAGGGGTCACTCTTTCGTGGCACGACCGCTCTTTGGAGTCGTCCTCTCCACGACGACCTGTGCAGCCCAATGCGGTCAACAAGGCTGTGATGTGCCGTCTTTCCAGCGCGACCAAGCGCACTACGGGAAGCTGAGGACTAGGAGATGTGGAATCAGCAGCCGCTTGTGTACGTGCGCTCAGAACGGTCGCGGCGAAGTCTTTGAAAATTGATCTCGTGGCGCCTTGATCGTTGACGTTGACGTTTCCAAGAAGGCCATCCGCCCCGTCCTGCTCTTCCCGTGTTGTGACCAGCGGTTTTCCTGTTGCCTCTGTTTCGTTTTTTCCGAATGATGTGACTGGCAGCTGCAAGACACTAACAGGTGCGTTCTCGATGACACTCAACGGGAGGAGCGTTTCATAGCTTCCGCGGGTAACGAAATTCCCGTCAACGAAGGCGTGTAAAGCGATCTCAAGGTTGCTCGGCTGAATCACGGCGGCATTCCTTTCATTAGAGAATGACCAAAACGCTTCCTCTTCGCCGTACTGCCTCTCGTAAATTGGTCTTTGCGCTCTGTCGGTCTCGGCGAGATGCAAGAGAGAGGCGGCACGCCTGCTCATATTCTCGTCCATTCCGCTACTCGCACGAGCAGTTGCATTTACCGTGCTCCCTGGCGCACCGTCGATAGGGCGTGAATGCGAGCGGTCGTCCACAAACTTGATAGCTCTCTCACGAAAGAATAGGTCCGTAGACTCCACAGCAAGTAATGTCGCACGCTGCCAGCCACAGCTTCGCAAGTCACCGCTTTTGCCGTATCCTGTGCAAAAGTATCGCACCACGCATTTTTTGCATACAGATTGCAATAGAAGATACGGGCCAGATGATCTTTACCCGGTCTTTTTCGATCTTCCTTCATCCTGCAAATTTCTCAAATGATTCACATTCTGCTACTCCTCTTTTTTATTTTTTCCGATTTGTAGTAAGAAACTACGTGTGGGACGATACGTTTGCGGTGCGTATACGGTCTTGGTCTACAACCGGAATCACATACATCCGGTCATGCTGCGCAGAGTACTGTGCGACAACGGAAGACGGTATTGTCGTGGCCGCGCCACTAGCTCCACCACTGCTGGCATCAGCAGTTTGCTTCTCATCCCTCTGCCTCTGGTCCGTCGCTGCAGGGGAAGAAGATTGTCCACCACCGCCATCTATGCTGGTGCCGTTTCCTAGCAGCCCACCGAATATCGAAGTCAAAGGTGCCGCTGTTGCAGCAGCTCCACCGTGTGAATCCGAAAAAACCTTTGCGCAAACCAGAACAAGCAACACAAGTCGGATCACCACCACGACCAGCACCAGATACAGGCCGTTTCGAGCAGTCGCAACTCCTGCGAGACACGATATTTCGTCTACGGTGCCGGGGCCGGCATTTTCCGCGCCATCTTCTCCCATCGGCGTTTCATCAAAATCTCGTTCTTGTGGAGACTCGGGTTGATGACGAAGACCTTGTACATCTTGCAGCCTGCTGCCTGAACTGGCAGTTGCAGGCGGGGATCCCGTGCTGGGAGCGACACTTTGCCCCCCGCTCGCAGTCCGTATAGAGGCAGGAACAAGAACCCGACGTCTCGTCTCATCTTCTCGCGGAGCTTCCGTTCGTGTCGACTGTGCTTCGGAGAGATTCGCTTGCCTGTAGGTCTCATCAAAATCAAGCAGCGGGCGACGCAAAGCTTCGGCAAGATTTCTATCAGATATTTCCTCTGAATTATTGCCTTGCATGCCGGACATCAAATCACGTTCCCGTAACCTATCTCGAACTTAAAACTTCGTTCGTTCTTGGAGGATGCTGCAAGAAAGTACAACGTCAAAATGTCAAATTACCTAGTCAAAAAAAGCTACAGCAAGATGAAAAAGGTAAAAGAACCTGTCATCATTTTCATATTAAGCTAGCGCTTCACAACCAAAACCACATCCACAAAATGAACTACAACGAGAAATGGTGCGAGAAGACAACAAGTACCTAGTGACCATGAGATCAAGATCAAGAAGAGCACGCGAAACAGAAACAAATGGCGGACAGAAAGATCATATTCTGCTCCATGTTGACTACCGTTTCCCTATGCATATTGATCTGGAGTAAGACTAAGAGGAGAAGGTAACAGTCACGCAAGAAACAAAAAACCTGAGAGAAGTAGCAGTAGGAGAACATGATATTGAGTTTGCATTTACCTCGCTGCATGGCCAAAACTGTTCCCAGTCCCTGTGATGCTGATGCAGCACTGTGTCCCTGGCAGTGGTGCACTGTTGTGTCAATGAAACGCTTGGCTTTGGGTGTCCAGAAGCAGAAAGTGAAAACTCAAATGCGAAACGTTGTTGAGCAGATAGATGTGCAGAAAAGTCAATCCAGAAAGAAGAGGACTGGGTTTGTGGTGTCCTTGTTTGTACACGTGGGTTGCGTATGGATTGTCTCTCTTTTGCTCTTATCGTTAGCTTTACGGAAAGAAAATCGGCATGTGACTTTAGAAGAAGTTGCATCGAATCGTGCAACGAGTGAAAATGGAAAACCGCTCGCTTTGGCTTTCTAGGTCAAGCTGCAGCTCAAAAACGATCATACAAGAAGTGACAGATCCAGATGTAAAAAAGATGAAGACGAAGTCACGCATGGTACACTACATCGGGTTCTTTTGTGAAAGCCAAACTAGTTTCACTAATGAAAGTTAGTACACCAGCTGCAGTTCTTTCGAGTTTATTTCTTCGTACAATAATTCTACCAGACCATGCAAATGCCTTTCGCTTTCCGTCGTGTGCCATTCCACCTATTTGTTCGTCCGGCTACGAGAAGGTCAGTCCTCAGTCTCTTCGCCGTCTTCCTCTTCCTCCTCCTCCTCGGCCGGCTCGTCATCGTCACCGAGAATACCGGCGTTGGGACTCGCTGGTGGGGGACTCGACGCGGCGGGAGAAGAACTTGCCCCGCCCTCCCCCTCCTCCATCAGGTCGCTCCCCGCAGCGAACGGCTCCTCCGGTGGCCCGACGGGTTTGATTGTGTTGCCGTGCCGGTCCGTTAAACTTTCTGGAAGTTGTTCTACTGCCGCCGGCGCCGCAGCATCCTCGTCCGCGATTTTATTTTCGCCATCAGATGCTTTCTCGCGCTCCTCTGCAGAAGAAGTAGCACCAGTGGCGCCGCCCTTTGACGATGCTTCGTCTGCGTTATTTCCCTCTTCTCTTGTTCCCGCCTGTTCATCGGCACCTCCGGCGCCCGAAGAAGAGCCCGCCGCGGCTGCAGCGAGATTTGCGGTTTTGAAAGGAGACACGGCTGCTTCCTCAGCGTTGTAAGCCTTCGGCTGGTATGCATTGCAAAAGTATCGTACTAGTACAAATCGCAATACAAATTCTTGGCTCAGCATAACAAATTAAATCTGTAGTGCGGATTTACTTAACCAACTAGATTTGTAATGCATAGCTGCGATTACTACAAGTACGATACTTTTGCACAGGATAGCTGGGGCTTCGCCGGCGGAGGCGGCGGCGCGTCCCGGATCTCCTGCTCTTCAATTATCAAATGCAAAAGTGGCTGGGTCTGGAAGGATCCGAACTTGTGATGCGCATTTTAGAACGCAGAGAAATCTCTCATGCACAGTCAGCAAAAGCTGCCCACTTTCTGTCACCAAAGTGGGGGATTTGTCATGCGGATTTGGCATTGCGGAAGCTTCTCGAAACCTGTGATGCTGGAGCTTCCATGCCAGACCTTCTGCGTCATGCAAAAACAGCATGACTCTTCCAGACCCAGACACTTTTACATTTGATATCAATGTAGCTCTCGCGATACAGCCGCAAGAACGGGGGGGAGTACCGGTCATTCCAGTCCTTGCAGCACTTCCAGCTGCAGCACCTTGCAACGGGTCGCGAAACCTTCTCGTTGACCACGTCGCGGATGACGCCTGGGATGAGCAAATCAATAGAAGGTCAAGGTGGATCCTTGTTGTTGTTACCCCTCACTGAAATAAAAATAATCGAAGCTACTAGCAGAACGATATTATAAGCCAGGGTGGCAGCGAGTGCCTGCTTCTAGACCTGGCCCACCTGGCAGAAGTAGGATAGCTACAACTTTGGCTACAAAAAGTAGAAAAACGGTTTTCATCATCAAGAAGCAAAATAAGGGCAATTAAATAGTACATGTTCTCTCCAGGAACGTTCCGCAAGCTGCGCATTCCGGCCTGTTGGAAATTGGCGGTGGATTCGGGTATCCACAGTAAATTTCCCGTACACGTACCAATGCAGTCTCTGCATGACAAAACTTGCCTTCAGTCCTAGTCTAGCATGACAAGTTGTACACTGCAAATTAGCGGAATTTGTCATGCATTTTGTACGTGTACGGGAAATTTACATTGCATATCGGGTGTGCTATGTACACGTCCTTTTTGGTGAACAACTCCGTGTAGGACTTCGAAAACAGGTCACCACTGTCATTCCGTACAACCTTCGTGTCGGGCCGGGCCGCACTCAGCGGCCGCACGCTGTTCCATTTCCGGTCCATTCCTCGGCCGCGCTGCTGCAGCTTCTGCTCGCGAAGCTCGTTCATCAGATGCGCATTGTACTGCGACAGAATCGGGTCGTACCCCTCCTTTTTCTCCCGCATCATCCGCGCCACACTGCTGCTCGCAGCCGATTTACTCCGTCGCACAGACGCCTGCTGTGGGTCGTTCTTTTGCGCGGAGGAAGCAACAGCCAGGTTCTCTCCTGCTTGTTCAGAGGCCTTACTCACGGACTTGTTTCTGTTGGAAGAGACGCTGAGTTGAGTTGTGGAAATGTCGGGCATGGAAATCTTCCGGTGCTCCAAAATGCGCATCTCCTCGCACAAGACCTTGCTGGCAAATTCGAATATGGGGCTCGGTTCGAAGGGAAGCGCATCCCGACTCTTCTCCTCCGCCGAAGTCAGGAACGGAGTGAAGCTCTTTGCGGTATACAGCTTTGCGGGACCCGAGACAGGTGGGGCCTGTTGAATTTTGCATAATTTCGTTGCGCTCCTCAAAGAGAAAAAATCGGGGATAAGTAAGTACGATATGAAGTAAATAATCTACAACTCCGAGCCAAAACCAAAAGCATTTAGGGAGGAAAACCGGGCGCGACGACTAGGATCGGAAAATTTTTTTTGCGCGAGCACGTAAATAGTTGCTCTTGGACGGTCATAGCTCTTTCCTTTTTTTCCCCTTCATTCATCACCCCCACATCCAATCTTCGCCATCGTCGTCCTGTGATGTTGGTGGTCCTTCTATGAAAGTGCACGCAGACACTTCCTGCCCAACAATGTCCATCATGTCTTGCCCCTCTTGGCAGGTGTGGAACTTTCTCTGGCTGACCCTCGCCATCCGTAGGAAGCGGGTGGTCGGAAGCGGGCCCGGCCGCAAGAGTTGGGGGGACTTGCGTTGGGGCGGGGGACGGCCCGGCCCGGGCCGGGGCCGGATCCGGCCCAAATTTTCTAGTCGTCCCCCGCCTACATTCCAACAAAATCCCTTTCAAATCTGGCCCAAATCCGCGAGGGCCGGAAATTCCCGGAAATTCCCCCGGTTTGGCCAAGGATTTGCCCCCTTCCGGGGGGCCAATCGGCGCGAAATCCCCGGCAAATCCGGGCCAAATTTCCTAGTCGTCCCCCACTTGTATTCCAACAAAATCCCTTTCAAATCTGGCCGATTTCTGGCGAAAATTCCTGGAAAATATCTGGCCCCAAAAAATGTCCCGGATTTGTCCCGGATCCGGGAAAATCCCGGGAGGGCCCCAAAAGTTCGGACGGGAGCTTGGGCCCGGGCGCCCGGGGCCGGCAAAAGCCCTGCGGGGGCGGGGCGCGCGCGGGGCGGCGCGCTTGACCGCCAGCCGGTAGCGCAAACGGCGGGACGGGATCCGCGGCCGAGGCGGCCAACATTGTGAGGCAGCTCAATCAGGTGGCGCAAGTGCTTATGCTACTCGTGGGCGCCCAGTTGTTACTGATATTTTCGATGTTGTCAGAAGGGGCCCCCGGCCATCGCAACAATTCAGGGCAATGGGTACGCCTTTTGGCGGGAGTTCGCACAGTCGCAGTACTTTCTGAATGCGAGGCGTTGAGCTGAGCATCCCCGGCGTTGATACCGACCAAAAGCGACTACTTATGTCCCCGCGCAAAAAAAAATTTCCGATCCTAGTCGTCGCGCCCGGTTTTCCTCCCTAAAGCATAGAGGTAGTTATAAAATCACGACGCAAACAAGAACAGCAGCTGCAAACTACGTGACCACTCCACCTTTTTTCCTCGGCGACTTGCATTCGGACCGCCCGCCCCATCGGGGTTGTTTTCGTCAAATTCTCCTTCCTGCTCTTCTTCGTTAGCATTCAGGGCCATCTCGTCCAGAACGGCGAAGGGCTGGAACTGCTCCGTGCGCTTTCCACCCGCGTGCGCCACAAAGTGCTCGATTCTGGTGCAGTGCTCCTGAAACAGGAGCCGCACGACGCTGATCTCGCGACTTTGCTCCAGCTTCAGCCTACTGGTCACCACCGCGATGCGCCGATCGATTTTCAGCTCCTTCTCTTCGTTTTGTACGGCCAGCCGCTGGATTCGCCCGAAGAGCCGGTCCCGCTGGGCGGTGAAGGACGTCTGCACCTTCTCCGTCAGAAACTCGATTTTTCGCTGTTCCGACTTCTCTTGCTCCTTCTTGAACAACATACGCTGGTTGCGCTCCTCCGCCTCAGCTAATTTCTGCAACCGGTCCAGCGCGTCGTAGTCCTTGGCCTTCTGCAGAGTCTCTTCGAGCGCGAAAAAATCGAGCATGGAGGTGCTGAAATGCATACGGCTCTTGCTGGTCGTGCTAGTTGTATTTGCGTTCGTCGTGTTAATAGTACCTTGCTGGTGCTGCACCCCGCCCTCAGCAGAAGCTGCGGCCGCTCCTGTAGCTCCGTGTCGTGACGCGGATACTTTTTCCATGGTTGCAGTCGACATTTCGTTGCTGGTGGTTGTGGTCCCGAGCAGGAGCGCTTTCTCTTCGTTCAAATAAACGTTCCACTTTTCGCCGATTTCGGTCACCTGCTTCTGCACCGTCTTCTTCGTCTCCAAAAGCTCCTCGTACCATTGCTGCTTGTACATCTCGGAATCTTGCGCCAAGGAACTCTCCACCTCAGCGAGCATGCGCTTGAACCGCTTCTCCACATACTTCAGAACGTCGCTCACGAACTTCGAAGGATCACTGGTAGCTGACGCGGTCAAACGAGAGCTGCGTTTTGAATTGATATTGACATGATATGCCCATGAAAATATTACTAGTACAAATAGTTTTCGAGTGTCAATGAAATTGTCCACCCATGATCGTGCAAGCATGCTGTCGCTGCGTTCGATGCGGAAAACCAAAATCAGTCGACAACTGCGAAAAAAAACTGGTGGTCCAAAAAATAGGAATACATTTGCTTCAATTCCTTTGGTGCGAGTCTTCTACCGGCCCCCTCTAGCTTTTTCCGGTGCAAACCGATGTCGTACTTTCGCTTGGCATCTTTGTGATAGGCACACAGCACCCGACTGCACTGCGCGTCTTTGCGCTCCTCTTGCTCGCGCCGCAGAAGCCGCGCGAACGGGGACCGGAGCGGATTGCTGGCGGATTTGCGTAGCTGCTCGTCCTCATCGAGGTCCATGTAATTCTGAAACAACTGCCAGCATACCGGGCACTGCAGAATACCGCCAAATGCCGGGAGATCCTTAGGTGCCCGCTTTATTTTCGTCCCGGGCGGAAGCTCCATTGCACCAGCATCAGCCCCCGGGAGGCCAGGCTCTTTGGCAGCACTGCCAGTGTCCGCCTGCGACACCGCAGATGCAGACGAACGTTGCCGTCCCGGCGCAGGCGCATCGGCTTTCGCAGCCGTACCAGGGGCGGGGCTTGCTGCTGGGATGGGATGATGCGCATTGGATGCGGAAGACTTTTCTGTGGTTCCCGCAATTTGCGGCACCGGTGAAGGTCTGTCTCGTTCATGTGCTGTCGATGAGGTTGGCGAGGGTGAACCCAGGACATCGTCATTCAGCGGGTCACTTCCAACTTCACCCGAATCCATAGCGGTTTACGTGCCACAGCCACGTCGCGAAAACAAAGGCAATAAAGCTTGATCGAAAAACTAGGCAACAAAGAACGGCCAGCAGCTACTCTGTACATGTTGAAGAAATACGATGGACAACACGATGAACAAGGGAAATTGTCGACAAGTAACAAATCGCCGCCACGCGCGTATGTCCTTGTTGAGCGACACCAGTGGCGGCAGATTTTTCCGAGCGGCAGCTCGTCGATATCAGGTTTGCCCTGCATCGCCGACCACGCCTCAATCATTTCACTCATCTCTCATGCTCCATCTTCTTCAGAAACACGCGACGACCTGCGAGATGCCGATAGGATGAGGTGGATCTACTTTAACAAAAGCCAGGCATTTCTGCCTTGATTTAAAACCGCTCAAATCTTGACGGGGACCGACCGAGGCTGTATGTGTATCTTCTGGTCCCGCACGCTTGACTTGCAAACTGCTTCGCGCAAATCGAAGATGAAGACTCACCTGCGGTACACCACCCGTAGCGAAAACAACGAACAACTGGTCACCTCACAATCAAGAACCCTAAGCCATTTCAAGCTGCGATGCTTCATTAGTTTTTCTGAAGACTATTGCTGCCTCTACGTAAAAGAAACTAAAAAATTTAATAAAACCTTGGGACACACCACGATCATGCAAGGTTTGACACTCGAGGATGTATTGCCAATTTTAGAGAAATCCTACATAGCAATCTGGATTCAGGATACAATTTGAAATGATGTGATGTCGAAGATACGAAAATCCGTATCATATCTATCCACGAGAATAGACTATTTGTATTTCACATGTCATTTGTAGGGGCACAGGGACGTACCGCGAACGCATATTGTGGAAGGAAAGTATGTACATAAACATATCTTATTACAGCATCACAAGAATTTGAATGACGTGTTAATTAGGACTGCTAATTGAAGTACGGGTAGAAACGAGAGGACTATAGCTGAGCAAGCAATCTTCCACGACACCGACGAGACCTCCGGGCTGCTCCTCACAGGAACTCGTTCTTGCTGATGGGATTTCTCAGCGGTTCTACCGCCCCGAACTGGCACCTGGGCTCCTTTTCGGAGTCGTCAATCGCCTCGTCAAACAGTTTTCGGACTGTGTCGTGATTTTCCACGCAGGAAAAGCCTTTCTTCCCGAACTTCGCCACAGCAGGCTGGCAAAACTGGGCGTGCACCTGTTCGGAGTTTTTCCGGCTCAACTGGACAAGGTCACGCGCGGCCTGGAACTTTGCGATGGTTCGTTGCAACTTGATGTAGGCCTGGTCGTACTGCCGCACCGTATCCCGCCACAGCTGGAATTTCTGGTCTGCCAGATCGCTGGCCTCGTCGCTCATTTTGGCGAAGAAACTGCCCTCGGTCTGTGCGCTAGTGCCGCCCGCCTCGTCAGCCGTTACCACACTCCCGGGCGCGCACCGACAAGCGGCCCCGTGATCCGTCCGGCCGAGCAAATGGGCAACGGAAAAGGATGTAGGAGCCCTACTTCTACTTGATGTTTGTCTCACATGAAGGTTGTGTGCTGTCGAAAGTTGTCCACCTCCTACTTCGAGTGTGCAATCATGGTCGCGCCCGGCGACAGACAGTTCTTGATTCGTCGACCAGTCAGATGTTGACCCGACCAGGGAAGAAAGCGGTGACGACATCATCCACTGTAGGAGGCAGGACGCCATCCTTTTCCATGTACCTACACGACTGTTTTTTCACATGCTTATTTTCTCGTGGCGTGGGTGATAGATGAGGTAGACTAAAGGTAGAACTTGAACTCTTTGATGAAACTAGAACTACATCAAAAACGTTGCACTTCAAAGAGGAAACGATGCGGGGCCGTCAAAATACACCCATACGTCGGTGCTAATGTGAGGATCAATATCATGAAATAAGTATTTAGAATCTAGTTGTGTTGTAGAAGTCGACGAATAACACATGGTATTCTCTTTCGCGACGACTCGCAGCAACCAACGTAGCACTATATCAAATGGAAATGCCACGACTGTGTACGAGAAAAATCTTTCTTTCCACGATTGGCGGCAGACAAATCCCCGTCTGTGCTCCGTGCTCCTGTACTTGCACAGCAAGACGACGACAATCTCCCGTCGACGACAAAGAAGCGGCGAGCAGGAGCTTGCGATCAGAATACAAGAAATAGTAAGGTTGGTACGTACGGTCGATTCGACCTGCGAAACGATGATGAAGATGAGCAAACGTATTTTTCAAGAGATCTGGAATTATCTTCATTATCATACTACTTAGTTGTCCACCGAGAAAAGGAAAAGAACGACAGAGGATTCTACAATTGATGTCGACGACAGCAAACGCAAACCTACCCACCAACCGGTCCCAGAAGATTGTAAATCTGTTTGTCCTTCACGAAACACCTGCTGCTAGAACTCCCGAGCTGGAAGTGGAGAAGCGGCTGGCGCAAAGCCAAAGCTGCTTCTTGAGCTCGTTCGCAATTTATTCAACTACCAGTTCTTCTTGCGCCAGGTTCGACGTACTTCTACTTCTAACTAAGTATGTAACGATGTACTGCGAGGAAGGGAGATCGGCAACGGCAGCTTCAGCAATGCATGGCCATGGGCATGGATAGTGATGTTTAAGTATCAAAATAAATATGCACGTCACCGCTGCGGGGACAACAAGAGGGATGAAACAAGCAGCACGTCACGCTTGGCGGTCACGCTTGGCGTTTGATCAGCAGCGAGAAATGTTCCGACGTCATGGAGAACCAATTTGGCTCCTTCACGTAGCTAAACTCGAGCGCATACATCTCTGAATCAGAATCAAACAGGATGTGATCTTGCACCGCCATAACGGAAAAAAAATCTTCGGTCCTTGGTGATGTTCTCCGTGCGACAGACCCTTCGTCTTCTCGCGAAAGCTCAGCATCTTCTGTTTGATCAGGAAAAGGCTTCACGTCCCTTACACACTGGATCCACTCCGCCCTCGTCAGCTGGCTTACTGCATAAGTAGCTCCACTTCGCGTCGCACTTTGGTGTCCTCCGCGGTGGTGATGAACATCAGAAGCGTCGACGTTCTTTTTTGATGAAGCCGATGCAGCATGATGGGGAACAACATCTTCGCCGTCCTCTTTCTTGTCTACCTGCCCCTCATCTTGTTTCAAATTTTTTCTGTCCTCCAGCAGCGGCATGCAGCCCAGCCAAGCCGTGCCTCCAACCTTTACCTTCAACAGTAGTTCCTGCAGTTGCGCGCAGGGCTGCGCGGCGTGTATGAGGGCCCCGCAGGAAACCACGTGGTCAAAGCTCTCGTTCGGAATCCAGGACAACCCTCGATTGCCATCGGCTTGGCAGTAGCTCCCGACTCCGAACGCCTGCGAGAACTGGACCGCGGGCTCAAGAATTTCGATGCCAAAGCCGCGTATTCCGAAGTACTTTGCAAACCAAGTGAGCATGTGGCCGCAACCGGAGCCCCAGTCGAACACGGTGTCGCCGGGCTGGAACTGCTGCCGGATCCCGATGGTCGTCATCATGCACTTGAAACGGTCCGCCATTGGCTCGGCCCAAAGACCGCTTTCGTAACTACATTGATTGCGGCGCACACGAAACAAATACTTGTTTTCCTCGCCGATTCCGTCCTTCCGTGCTGGCGCGCCATCGACCACAGCCGTGGCGCCCGATTTGTCGTCCTCGGCTGCAGATTGTTCCGATCTACTTGTGCGCTCCCCGCCCGTTCCTCCAAATGACGCCGGGGGGCAGGACGGCGGGAACTCGGGGCTGCTCAAAACTACAGGTTTCAATCCATGAGTTGTGGTCATCGCAGATGATGATGACGTCGTTTCTGTTTTCATGTCGCTGTACCGTGCCCGACACAGATTCACCAAGGTTTTGTCTGTGAACTGCATACCGCAGCGAGAGTGCGTCTTGACTCGAAGCACAAGTCGGTCCTGACTCTGTGCGCACTGGCTAGGGACGCAGCAGCCGCCGCGCGTGAACGCGTAGAAGTTCATATGCAGTGGAATCATGCGGTGAGAAATCGGCCACGGCTGCGCCAGGGAGAAACCGGTCTGGGTGTAGTGCCGCAGGTTTTCGAACACGTGCCCGGAATCCAGAAACGCGTACTCCTGCGCCAAGTACGAGGCTGAAATTCGCACGACGTACCACTGAGCCACCAACGCCCACACCGCGAAAAAGCTCACCTCGCAAAAGTTCAAGCGCCCTAGCCGAGCAATCAGCTCCTCTTGAAAGGCGCGGTCGTCGTGAAGGAAATCACTTATGCCCATCCCCCCTCCGCTGCCTGGATGATTACGTGAAGGTTCCTGCGGCGTCGACGAGCTGCCTGGAGAAATGTCAGCAGGAGCTCCGACGGGGGCCCTTCTTGCTTCAACATCTTGTTCCGGCTCGAAGTGCAATGAAGATGTTCTCGTTCCTAATGCACGACCTCCGGTAGGAGATGCTCTTCTTCGCTCCGGGACGACCAAGTCCGGCGGTACCCGCTGCGCGTGGGAGCTAAACGTCGCGGCCTTGTAGTACATACGGTTACTTGGGTGCAGCAGGTCGCTGTCCGACGCAAGATGCAGAGGCGTTACGATGGTGACGGAAATACCCAGCATTTTACCCAGCTCTGGGAAGAGCTCGCGCGCCAGAGAGGCCATCTCGTCGTGGAACTGGCAGCCCTGTAGGGTGGGACGCAGCTCGTACTTTTCGAGCCGCTCGACATCGAGGGGCTGGTCGCCGGTCGTGGTGTCGTGATTCTGTCCTAGAATCACCTCTGATTGCATGAAGTACGCACAATTTTGGCACGCCAGGTCGTACAACCGGTGCAATTTCGCGTCCATCGCCCGCTCGGCAGAAGAAGAAGCCCCGGGTGACCACGACGACCCGGTCGCTGGTGCGCCCCTTCTTGTCGAGAAGTCACCGCCGCCTTCCTCTAGTACTGTGGTCATCTCCCCACCTACAACCTGGTCCTCTGCAGATGTTGTTGACGCCGGAGGAGCTGCAAAGCATGTTGATGGTATGTGTTGTGTTGCGTCGACGAGGTCCGATCTGTCCAGAAACAGTTTTGCAGAGCACGTCTGTGTATCAAATGCAAAAATGTCTGGGTCTGGAAGATTCCGGGATTTGTCATGCTAGTCCGGCATGACCCATGATGGCTGTGATGTATGCCCTAGCATCACGGATTTTCTGAGTGCTTCGCGATGCATATCCTGCATGAGAAATGCCCTCTCCACGTGGCAAAACCTGGACTTCTATTGCCTTTCATGCAATACAGATTTTTTTAGAATCCAAAAATAGCATTACAAGTTGCATCTTCCTTCGAGACCCAGACCTATATGAGTATTTGCATTTCATACTGTGTTTGAAAGCTGGTATCGTTCCAGCTGGCGATCCGGTCGAACTCGACGAGCCACCCTTATGGCGTTCTCAATTGTTACATTCTCAACTGTTACATGATTTGTCATGCAGAATCGCCTTGACTATGAACGCCACCAAGCTGCTTCGCATGGCAAATTCTCAGACGGCCAAACAGGCTAAGAATCTGTGCCAAATCTGTCATGCACGACGCGCAAGGTCCTTCCTTTCACTTTTGCTATTCTTGCATTACAAATCTGTGTAACAGTTGAGGATGTAACAGTTGAGAACGCCATAACCCTGCGGCGCTGGGTACGAGGGATAAAATTACGCCTATCAACACCCAGAATGAAAGAACTACCCGCACCCATCCAACGTGAACACCGAGTGGCAGCGCTGATGTACGAGGATCCCGTTCCCGCCCGAGGTGCTGCTTGCAGTTCCTGATGATCTCGCAGATGATCATGGTCCTCGCGTCGTGGTCCAGCGTTTGGCAATCTCCTTTGCTTCGAAAGAATGCTCGTTTGGACCACCTTCTGCTGTTGCCGTAAACGGGACCACCGCCGGGAGCTAATGCTGCATCCTGTGCGAGCTCCTCGTCCAGGTCTACGCACCCCCGTGGGGGCGATAGACCACCGTCCTGCAGCTCCTGGTGCAGTCGCCAAAACATCGTCCGACGAGGCAACGATAAACGAACTCTCCGGCATGAGAAAACGACGAAAGACAGACCAGACCTCCCAGACTAGCACAGCGACAATACTAGCGAATTAGCACGACAACGACGGACTTTCTATGAATGTGGCATGAGCACGAACAGCAAGCACCTCCGTTTTTGTTCGTGCTAGATGCGAAACTGTGCAACATTTCTTCACAACTTGCACAAATCAAAATGCGCACCGACACAGGCGCCTTGCGAACATCGCACACCCGATGAGCAAACGTGAGTCTGGAATGATGAACAGCATCTGAAATGAGCGAAGTTCAATATATCGTGCGCGCGCGCACTGTAGTTCGTTCTTCGGACGACAAGTACCACATGCATTCCCGCATCCATACTTCTTTTCGGACATTGTCGAGCTAAAAAAACGAGCACTGACTGTGAAAATGTTGCTTTCAACATCTCAACAATCGAAGAACTACCTTTTGGCTCGCATCAATGAGCCATGCTCATGTAGTAAGTATCTAGTATGTTGTATTTGTAAGTATAAAGTAAATATGAAGTATTGCTCATGTCGTCATACCCGTCTACTTTTTATCAGAGTTGGGCGCCCCGTCTGAAACACTTCAGAATCGAGTTACGGGAGTTGGAGTTGTGAAGTGAGTTTTCTTCTTTCCTAAAAAAAAGATCAAAACCAGAAAAAAACGTAAAAGCGCAGTGGATGGTATGGACATGAAGGTCCGACAACCGAAGCTGTGAAGCTAAAGGCATTTGTATAAGTAACGCAACGCGTGCAACCTCGCACGCTAGGTTCCAAATCAGACCTTTTTTTAGTTCCTCTACTCCTTATTATGTGCTTCATGTTTGTACATGCAAAAAACTTGAACGAATAAACATCTGTGCGTTACTTCAGCAGTGTTTGTTCAGTTCTGGGAATATTACCCGAAACTGCTGATTACGCTGGTGTCAAACAAAAATTTATTCTGTATTCTCATGAAACTTTGTAGCAATACGTATCCACGTCTACGCTAGTCCTCCTCTCCATCAGAAACAACGGGCGTCCCCACCAGACCCGATCGCGGATACTTAGACTTTGAAGAGTTTGACATACGCGCGATCACTGTATTCACATTACAACTAGACTGCAGCTTCTCTTGACAACACGAAAAGCCCAGGAACCTCCTGTCTTCATTGCTGTTCCGGGTTCTGTCCCCGCTCTGGTTCGTCGTGGTTCTGTCCCCGCTCTTGTTCTCGCTTGTTCCGTGCGCGAACTTCGTCGTTGTCCTCCGCCGAAGCCGATCCCCCCGGCCCCGACATAAATTGCTGATTAAAAACTGCGGACGCAATCGATCTAACATTACCCAAGTTGCCACCGCCTTCAGCGTTATACTGCAAAGACCACCCGGGACCGTTCCTGCCATACTTCACAATGCCACCTATTCCCTTTCCCGTCGTGTCATCGATCGCAGCCGCCCCAGCAACAATGCATCCGGAATTTCTGTCCCATTGCATGCCGATACCGCCTGACTTCGCTTCGGGCACTTGCTGGTATACTTGGTAGGCCTGATTTTTGAGGATCAATGTCAATGAGTCAACTGTCTTCAGATCCAAGCCGTTTCAATTATAGTGGTGTGCCAGGTGATGACGGACGAGGACGAAAAGAATTTATTTTTTCCCCGCCAGAGAAGTTTTCTCGTGATGAGCTCGATTCCATCTGGCTGGTCCTTTTGCAGGAAAAACGCTGCTCAACCTGACGGCGAGGGACGCCTGCGCGAGCCCGGGCAAGCACAACAAGCAGGTACAGGAAATGCACAAATAATAAAAACAAATGGCACTCCAGCACCATATCCCTTCTTCAGTGGCTTTATTGGCCTTTTTGTAACTCCGTACTCTATCAGTATCGCTAGCATCTCTAGTACCATCAATGAAGATAGATTGAATGTCAACACAGAGCCTGATCCGAATATCGACAATGGTGCTATACCGCTGCAGCGGAGATACAGCAACACGTAGTAGATGCTGGACCCTGTACGTAGCACAAAGAAGCTGCACCGCAGACGGCTGCGCTTGCAGCGAAACAGCATAGGTTTTGATCCTGTAGCACCTCCTCCGCCATATCCGTTACCCTCTGCAGAAAACCTCCTCGAGCCGTGTTGCTCCCGCTGACGGTGTGTGGCCAAAATCCCAGAAGTGCCATGAGAATCGCGACGGATCGCTTTGTCATGGCCCGGTGAGAGGCAAAAATGCCAGCCGCTTGCACTTTCCGCACGTTCATGATTTCTATGATTTCGTTCCTGACACTTGCGCCTTCTTTATCTAATGTTGTGCAGAATCCCAGAGGGAAATTTGAAGTTCGTGCGAAATGACTAGTCTAAAACAAAAAAATTTAAATTTATCTATGTCTCTGCTGCGCAATGAATCTCACATGCACATTGTACTACCTGTTATAACTTGCCCATGGATCACACAACGTTACCTAGCTGCAGGATACAACATTCTGCATGAACTACAATATGTCGACTGGAAAAAGGTGATCGTACATACACAGGACTGATACTATCGCAGGATCTTCGTGCGCGCTACGTTCCGCGTTGTATGCTGCGCGTTTTTCTCGGCTGTGCCTTTCAAAGAAATCCGGTCAAAGTGCGCACCGGTCCAGCAAGGCAGGGAAGCCATCCTCAATCTTTTCTACATGCATTCTGGTTGAAATTAACTGTGGTGCTGCTCGATTTCTGACGAGGGGGACAGCCAGGGGCGCACGTCTTTTGATATTGCGTGGCAGCGACCACGGCCGCCCTGATTCTTGATCGTGCTCTCGTGTGCAGAAATAACGACACAAACACAAGGTTGCGCTTTGAATACAACTTGCGATCATTCATTGTGGTCTTCATTCATGACATTAAACAAGCCCGGCGAGAAACAAAAACTAAAACTCCGCCTGTACCTGTGCAAACAATTATAGGTCGTGTCAGGGTTGCGAATCTTCTACGCATGAGCTCAGAAAAGCAGTTTTATCCGTGTGTGTCGGTCCGAAGACGTCTTTTATGATTATGCGTCCACCCAGCTCCTGCCAGTTCTGATGCAAAACTAGATGGCAAGTAGCTGGATTTCATGTTTCAGGGTAGATGCAAACATTTTGCCTTGGCAGCAAAGCGTCTTAGACCGCGACCTCCTGCCTCGACATCAAGGCATAAGTATGTGGGTCGACGCCTCCTAGTAAGTTGATGTCAACGAAGATCTGCGCTGCCTTTGGCGGTGAGAGAGAAGAGAGACACTATATCAAAAGCAAAAAAACGGAATCAATAGAGAAAGATGACTCATACACGTATTCGACAAAATATCAACCAAAGGTAATGGAGAATACAGCCGGGCAAACAAAAACCTTTTCGTCTGCGCGCACAGCTTCTTCTGTTTCTAAAGCTTATTCGAAGGAAGTAGTAGCTGAGAAGTCAGCTGCATTGCTCGCAAGCGGGCGTGTACTAGATATTGAAGTAGAGCAGGTATAGCATAATTCTTTTAGGATTCAACGTAAAGGGAAACTAACTGGAAGGACGAAGGTCTCCGCTGCGCACTACTTTCCACAGTAGCTACTCGACGACACCGCAGCTACTGGAAGGTGATCCGGAGCATTCTAGGCGGGGGCAGGCCGCGCCCAAGAAGCGCAACTGAGGCTCGCTCGGCTCGATAGCAGACAACTCTACAGCAGTTCGGCCGCTGTTTCCATCGGAAGCCGGGCAGTGGCAACAAAGAGAAGTAAGAGGCCCGCAGTTAGGCTGCTCGAAGCACGCAATCGGATTCTCCTCCTATGGGTCAGCCCAAGGAGCTTGCCCTCGTCGCCGTGCGACGCGCATAAGAATCGAGTTCCTGAGGAGAAATCTTCACGAAAGGTATGCACTAACCCTCGACATAAGAAGCCGCAGCTGCTCCAGCGACAAATTCCTGCTTATGCTGCGGGCCGAGAGATTGCGCGCCGGTGGAGGCAGCCCGGCATCGAAGAAGCTCACTAACGTAGTCCGCCGCGACTCGCTTACATTCGGCGGTCTGCTCCTCCACCGTCCTGACAGCTGGGGCGGAAGTACCGTCACCCAGCCAAGCGCCCGGATGTGGGTCTCGAGTAAGATCGTCTTCTTGGTCGTCGCGCCAAGCCAGCAGCTGCTGTTCGTGATAGAGCCGCGGACTGTGAAGTGGACTGCTCGTCGACGAATCAGGAAAACCACCTTGATAAGTGCCATCGACGAAAGAACTACCATCCTGTAGCTCGAGCAGTCGTGGTGAACTTGCGGCTCCCCGCTCGTCGTGTGGAGCTAGTGCCTCGCTGCGCATCTGGTCATCGACATCACCATCGTCTAGTGCCTCTATCAGAGGCCCGTGCTCACAAATATCCCCGTGATCCAGACGACCGCTCCCGCTGGAAGCACCAGCGCTCTGCCTGTGATTCTGTCGAAGAGGGAAATAGTCGATGTCGAGGATTTCATCTCCTGACGAGGTTGGCGACGACGATCGTCTGCGCCGCCCGTGGCCTTCTTGTCTATCCTTTACGCCAAGCGGATGGCGCGGGCAGTGTTTCCCATGCGCGTACCATGAACCGGAGTTCCAGCGTCCAACCTCGAATTTAATCTTGCCGTGGTCGTTGTCGTTGCTTGCTTCGACGCGCAAGAAAGATCGCCCACCCCTGCGCAAAGTATGGCGGTGATGGAAGCTCTGTCCTTACGTTGCAATTGCTTCGCATACATATTCTTCATCGCTGTCCCGGGGCTGCAGCGCTAATAACGATAACCATAACGATAACGCTCCGGCCAAGAACTTAATACAAATTGCGTGATCTGTATCTAAATCTATGCTTCCACATGCAAAACTTCATCCCCTACAACATACATCGAGCACTTCAGCACGAGTATTCTCGCGTGCCGATCCTGGGCCTGAAAGAACGGGGTCGGATTTACTCATGCAAATTTGATGTGGGCCCGAGATTCAGCTTCAGGGGCCGTGCGCGCGCCGAGACGCAGAGACAGCATGATGGAAAAGAGAGCTGCTGCAGCGTAAGCACGAATCATTTTTTTTTGTGCGTAGCGTGTTATTGTGGCAAAATCTCGAAGCGAGGTATCTTCAGTCGAAGCTGTAGCATGCGACACTTCTATAGATTCTCTCATCTCGCGGCATCATGCAAATGCAAATGCGTCCAGGCCCATAATCAATTATAAAATCCCCACATTGCGAGAAAGAATGCACGCAGATCGCGCGTCCGTGTATATGTGTTATTAGAATGGTAGATTTTCATCTTATCGCTAGCATACAAGATGATCCCGGTACTTACAGCCCTCCTCCGTGTCATTTCAGTCTGACACAATGTTCTTGCAAGCTACAAATTCGAATTTTCTCGACTCAAGTTTTGACTTTCGTAATGTTCCCGGTCGTGACAGAGAATTTCGAACCCGGTCGGATGATGTGCTCGTGTGCCTGTAAAAATATTTTGGTTTTGGTGGTCGCGGTGCAACCACATACCTACAAAAGCAAAGAAGAGGCACTAAGACCGGGTGCGAACCGCAGGCCTCTCTGTTGATTTTTCTGCCGCTTCTTATAGTGTCATGTGGTGCGGACAGAGGAGACTCATATCAACGTCATGGAATAAGATTACCGATGAATTTCTGAAAAATGTGTTACGAGTACTTACTACCATCTTCATCCCTGTGGCCAGCGTTGCTCCGCCGATAAACATCGGCCAATTATTATCGCTTCGAAAGAAACGCTTTCTGACAGACGAGGACGAGCGACTGCGTTTCAATTATAAGAATATGGGTATGCTTCCGTTCCTCTCATCTGGTGCTGCAGTGCCTTGCATTTCTAACCCGCGGCCCACATGCCAATTTTCATTTCAGCAGAAAGTGAACATGCGTCAGTAAGTTGAATTTTATCGCTCTGTACATCAAAATGCACACGGTCAGGCCCCTGCGCCAAATCTCTATATTCGTATTTGCCACAAAGCGGCAGTAGTACATACAAGGTGAAGACCAAGCTGCATGACTACTACGTCAACTGAGATGGGGCTGCGCCTGGTGCGGGTCGTGACTCTAATAGTAATAATCGAAGTACCGACAAATCGAGGGAGTGTGTTCCTCTACTACAGCTGCAACGAGAGAAGCGATCGCGCAGGCCGCTGCCCTGCCTCTACAGAAATGTGCCTTTCGTATGATTCACACCCGAGAACGTATGCTCCGAGCGCTGGTGTTCCGAAGCCCGCCAACATTCGCCAATCTGTCCAGTAGTTCCACCCGACGAACTTACCGCACTTTGCAGCTTTCATGCAACCCGCAACGAGCTGTCGCTTCAAGCGGTTCACGCACGGATTGATTTCCTGAGTACTCGACTCCTGTGCCTGTCCCGGGTCATTCATTTTCCTGAGAACCTTGTGCTGTAGCCTGGCCTCCACGCCGGTAATCAGCAAGGCGCTCGAGCTCAAGTGGAGGGTCGTGCAGATCAAGGACACAACGATGTTCAGAGGAAAAACACCGTTCCGCCGGAAGTTTCCGAGGCGAGCTCGCACATTTCCGCTTCTGTTTTCGGCGGAAATTCCAGTTCCTGGCGATGAAGACATCATGTTGCAGAAGTCAGGAGACCGATCGGGTCGATTCCTGCTTTTTTCAGATAGAACTAGAAGCTACCAAAACTTGTGAAAACTAACCATACGGCTGTGAGCCTGACTGAAGGGTCGCACAAATATAACCAATTTGAATTTTCATCAATTTATTGGTGCTGACGCTATCGCGCTCGTGCTTAACCATGTATCGACGACATCACCATCAGTATCAGAATCGTGAGCAGCCGTGCGGTCGCGGTTGTGGCGTAGAAAGTAATGAAGTACGTGTAGTAAAAAATGGCAAGGAACATATTATGAGACCGCAAAGCCATGTGTAAGATCTTCTGCGGATGGTGTCGCGCAATGGGATCCTTCCACCTTCTCGTCGGGGCACCTAGCTATGTTATCAACATATTACATATCTTTCATGAAACAACAAAATCGATCCTGAAAGTGCTTGATCTTGAAGATCAATGTTGTTCTTCCGCTTTGGTTCATCACTAACATTGAGCTAGAGAAACAGATGTATCGCCCACATCTCGAAAAAAGATCAAACACAAAGAGCAAACGATGAACATGGCCAAATGCAAATGCTGCTGCTCTCCACTTTGCTTTAACAAAAGTGCTGCCGATTCACTTCTGCGCACACATTGTCACTGGTCAGTCATCGATGTTTCTGTTAGAAGCTAGCGCTAGGAGGTGAACTTCTCGCGATTCAAGATTTGTTGAATCCGTCATGTACTCGGTGGAGCAACTACCAAGCAGTGTAACTGTATGACATTCCGCGCGAATGCACTTATTCCGCTAGAACATGCGAAACTAACGACAGCCTCATCCAATTCTAGGAACCAGTGTAAATCACGACGAAAAGCCGTTACTAGCGAGGCGCAATAGGGGGTCTTCGACATCGATGTTAAAGCGTGCCTAACTCGCGACCGGGTGCTCTATGACTGCCAGCGTTGTCGAATACGAGACTCCCCATAGAGAGCGTCTCACGACTCAGCGGCTGCACTAGGTGTTTCTCTTGTCGCGCATTCACCCGCTTTTCCTTATCTATAGGATTTTTGTAAGTCTCGTTAATCTTCAACAAAGTAGTGACGCCAGTTGTCAGTACTCTCCTCGTACCATTGCTGGGATTCACTGAAAATGTACTTTACACGTGATTGCTTCTCATCAGTAGTGCTGGAGGTGGAGTGTCTCGATGTATTCTCTTTAGGTATTTTCTTCGGGGCCGGAAATCCCGGGCTCAAAGTCAAACGATAGGGTTAGGGATAGCACGAGCACCCGCAACGCAATAAAATCAATAATTTTATGGCACGCCATCTCCTCTGTGCCTATATCGTTAAGTGACGAGTGTGACTGTCACCACCAAAGGATGTCATCTGTCTCCGCTAAAAAAAAAAGAAGATGATCCATGAGATGGTGTTCTTACTTACGATTAAACAAGGTAGATCTCTCCTCTTCGACTCTGCCGTCAGGATGCGTAATTTTATTTGTACGCTCCCAAGTCCGCTGGTCCGCTTCCGCATCGTCAACTTATCATAGTGAAAATAAAAAGCACTCTGCAGTCCACACCAGCCACTCGCGTGAAATGTATAGAATGCGCAGGGAGTATTATTGGTGGTTCAAGTTCTGGTTGCTTTCTACAATCCACCACGGCCGCAAATATCTACCCATTCATAAGGAGGAAGGGCAGCATGCAAGCGAAGCCAACATCTTCCGTCGTTGTGGCAATGAATGCAACCGTGCTCTTTTGGAAGGAATGATGTGTAGTGTGAGAAGTCGAGGAAGTAGTAACAAGAAACTGAAACGTTGTGGTGCTGCAATATAGCTTGTACCGCTTCATCCTTCTGCGGCCCTGCACAAAAATGTTCACGACTTGGCTGGTAGACTTGACGGATAGTGACGTGCTCAGTTAGATAGTTTCAGAGCCTTATTACTCGCGCCACCGGTCAGCATAGATCGATTCCGCTCGTTCGCGACCTTCTCCAAATCCTTCTTCAATGCCGCCTGTCCTCCTTTAGCGGTGACGTGAATTTTTTCCACCACTTCGCCCTTTTCGTTCCGTTTTTCCGCCCACAACATCTGCGGGTCGTTCTCTCGCTGTGTAGCAATGAAAAATATTCCCATGACGATTCCGCTGTATACTCAACAGTGAGCGTGATTACGTCGTATGTATAAGTTGACGGCGCGCGCCTCTCTGTGGCCACACTTCAACTATTGGCGCACTGTACACAAAAACAGAACGCGCCAGCTGCCCTATTATTTGCGTTGCTCGCTGGAAGATACGCACATGTCCTATGGGTGCGGTTCTGGTTCATCTTCATGCTGCAATAACTAAGTAGATTGGAGCCGTTCATGACCTCGCCCTCGTTCAGAGTCCAGAAGGTGATAAAGGAGTCATGGCAGCACCGTCACAAATCAATTATTTACTTCGCTGCTCTACTTGTCTCGTGGGAATCAGTCGTGGGGATCCTGAATTACCAGAAATATCTTGTCCGCCGGCGTACGCATAGCGTTGCACGTTGCCATCTTCGTTTCTATACCAAAGAAACGCAAACACTAGAGAGTCACTAGCAGAAGGCGGACATGACCGCCACAATCCCGTAGAACTTCTTCGACTCATGTGGCTTGACACCTATCAGGACGTCTACCACTTTGAGACGTGGACGTGCAATAGCTATTAAAAAAAAATGCATAATAACTAAAGTAGCAGATGAAACGTCAACCAAGCACGAAGCCAGATCAAATGTTAACTACGGAAGCTACAGCAAGGCCTTCAGATCAACCAATTTGATCGAACTCGGTCTGGTACACGATTCTGGGATTGATGATATTCAAAGAGCATAGTGACTCCAGTTGCGACCGCATGCTACGATGCATGTCGTACTCTTTTTTGTAGCAGTAAACTCCGCCGGTTCCGGGAGCGAGGACATGAGTGTACACCTGGTCGCCATGGAAAATGGAGTTGACGTCTTGACCGAAAAAAGGATCAAAACAAAACATCAGGCATTCTCGTATTTTTATAGCGTTGGACACAAAACTGCCAGTACTTACAAACAGATTCGCCAGGAACTAACAAAAACACGACACAAGTGGATGCTGGTGCCGAACATACCTGATGGGCTCCGAAACAGCAGCAGGCAGTCGCACATGCGTACAGCGGAGACTCCAGCACAGTGGACCCACAGTTCGCCGCTGCGGCACACAATCCGACGTAACTGTTGATAGTGGCGTCTCCCGCCTCAAGAAGCGGAATCTTGCATATCGAGTGGGGAAAGCTCTGCGCTCTTAGTCCCACATTCCGATGGGGTCGACACTTACTCATCATGCGGGCTACTGCAAAGATTGCAACACACTTCTCGTGTCCGTTTTCCTAAGTGATTTTCATAAGACGCTTGGCAGGTCATGGGAAAAGCTAGCCTCGCCACTAGCAAGCGTTGACATCGATGTTAGAACGAGATGTCGTTGCCTGCAGAGTAACGTCATGGACAATCATCTTCAGATTCAAAAATTCACTGCAGATGCTCAACTTCTTTTCTTCGTTGATGCGATGAAGAATCAGCTCTCTATCTTCATCATATCCAATGCATCACAATCAAAATTTCCCATTGTATTGCAAGTGCCATAGAAGACGCGAGTGCGACCAAAAGATCTCAGTAGCTATCATGAAGAAGTGTGCCAGTTCTATCGATGTCTGGAAAATGAACGCAGCGGTATGCACTTGATACTGAGGCAGTCGTCGCAGTGCTTGTTGGTCATCTGGTAGCAGCAGCTGGCGCCAAGACACCCGAGCACCGATCCCCCTAAAGCCAAAAGCTCGTCCTGGTTCTTGGGGGCCAGAAAGTCGGTATCAAAATGAAAATCACACTCTCCTCAAAGTGTCTTGAAAACCAAATCGAATACAACAGATTTCAGGAGCAGCTACCTACTTTTGCAGTTAGGATCGATCTCTCTCTCTAAAATCACAAACCTCTTCTAGCCCCCCGGCACTTCCTTTAGCAAAGGCTGACGCGCATTCGCATTCGCGCGAAATGCTAGTCACTAGTAATCGCAACTAGCTACACATCACGGCAGGTCTGGCAGCGACACGAATCGCTTTCAATGCAAACAAAAAAAGGATGCTTCATCGTGAATCCGCTGCAACACGTGCACTCCAGAGGAGGATAGAATTTGGGCACAGCACATTTTCTGTCCGATAAGATTTCTTTGTCAGGGCGAGTTTTCCCTCCGCGGAAGGGCAGAGGCCCAACCCCCATCCGACCGCGACAAAAATCGCCGTGGCCAAGCGCCCGCACAATCCCAGCTTCATCGCTTTCTTCATCGTGCCGTTCTGCGACATGTTGTGCCCTGAGCGTATTTCCTCTCCTCTTTGCTTGATAGAGAAAGAGACGAAGATCCGGAGAATGATCTGCAGAAGATGAGCCGAACTCTTTAGCCTTCTTGGTTTTGATGATGCGTCCACGGGCAAAGCCAGACAAGTGTGTGTTTGTAGACTAGACTACTTAGATTTGTAGTTGGCACGAATGTATCGCCGTGTAATATAGTTTTAGCTGTTGTCTTGTTCTGTACTACTTTCAGTGTACTTGTATTTAAGATGATTGGTTTTCCGCAGAAAAATTGTATCGAAGCTGAGACTCAAAGCCTTGAATCCCACCCGTCAATGTCTTTCGCTTAGTTTCCTGTGAAAAGAAAGACGCCACGTTTGAAACATGCGAAATCATTGTACAAAACTCGCACCAGGACAAGCGCCATGAATATGGCACCATGAGACAAGCAAAAGTCCGCGGCAAGATATAAAAGACCAATCTTGTTCTTGACTTCGAAAACTTACGCACGCGGATCACCTTCTTCCGAATTTGATCATCAGAATTCGGTTATCGTGCCGGGAGAGAGGAGATCGTGAAAATTACCCGGGCGCAGGCACTGGCAGCTTTACGCGCATCAATCACCATCGAAAAAATTAATTACCAAATAATGCTCGAGTCGCTTGCGCTTCTTCCTGCTACCGGATTTTGAAGTAGCCATGAGACTGCCCGCTTTAGCTTTTAGAAATTGATATCTTTTGTAATAAAATTGGTACACTGAGAATAATAGATCCTTTGCGTGCAATTCAGCAGTGGTAGAAATTCAGTGTTGCGAAGAACAACAGGAAAGTAATTGATTAGTACACGCACGCCGAATCCCATTCCCAATTCGCAGGTCGGGGCTGCTCACAACAAGGATCTCCGGCCATCTGGATGTCTGGCCACATGTATACATCGAGTTCGTACGTATCTACATCTGATGTGGTAGAAGTTACAGTTAGTAAGTACAACCCCTGCGATTATGTCCTGAACAACAACTGTGAGTCATCCATCAAGTCTAATCGCCGGCGGCGCACCATTCTCGTTGCGGCTCTCATGCTGATGACGTACTCAATGGGGCAACAATTGCCGCCCATATCTCAGATCGCAACTATCGGCACCGCTCTAAATGCAGAGCGTCCTCCTTATCTCTACAATTCCCTTATCCTTTCCGCGCAGTTGTATGATTTTGATTATGACAGCATGCTATCTGCCATTACTAGCTCAGCTTCCTACAAAGTGACGATAGATTTGCGCAAAGACCTAAGTACTTGCTTACACCGCCGGACCCGATGGTTCTAGTAGCGGTTCAGACAAAAACGAAAAGACTCGCAATCGGCTGGTCAGTTGCGATCTACTTGTCCTTCAGTTGACCCAACCCCTTCCGCTCATCTACGATCCGCTGTCTCATTTGCTGCTGTTGCGGCCCGTTTCCTTCCGGAGTAACAGATATGCATAGAAAAAAATCAATTTGCAACTAGAAGCAGCCAGTGTCGGCTACGCAAGATCAATACTGAAATTTGGTGCACATCATACAAACAAGGAATGAAGAAAGCCCGAAAGATACTGGTCTTTCCCGGAGAATACTGCTTCTTCTTGCATTTCTTCCCGGAGAATCCACTTGTCTTTCCCGTTGCGCGTTTACTGCTCAGGGGCAGGCTTAACATGCAGCATGAACAATGCGGTACCAAATGCAAGAGAGCGACCCACGGGAGCTCGCCCTCCCGCTACCGCTACTAGTGGATTGCACATACACGAAAACAAAAAGGCGCCAGTGTAGGATTGCAAAAGAGTTTTTCTCCCGTAGATCCGATATTTGCTTTCTTCACTTGTCCGTCGGGACCAAGTTCCACCTCTGCCCGAAAACCTCCACCATCCTGTGCCTGCCCTTCAATCTTACCCGCTGGGTTCCCACCGTCGCGTTAATAGGGAGTGAAGCGGCACTGTTGCCGCGTGGCGCAGGTGGCAACGCGAAACTAATCAGTGCGCAGCACAACAACTACAAACCGGGCCATGCACTTATTACACATGGGCCACACATTCACTACAGACGCGCGTGTTTGCAGTGCGAAAACACAAACCCCCGGGCCATACACTTATTACCGATGGGCCAGGGGAGCGCCCGGCAGTGCAAAAAGTAGCAGCTGCTCCGGCGCTAGTGTCCAGCGTGTCGCAGTGGCAGCGCAACCCTTCGAATTTGGCTGCCCCGAAGTGCAATTGCTAAATATAAAAACGGCGACGCACCAGCGACACCACGGTGCGCAGCCGCCTGAGGGACAAAGCGTCGCAATTCATTAACTGCAGGTCCGGCCTCTGTATAGACTACAAACATGCACATGCGCCGCACCTTTGTCGATTGCCAACACCAAGCAAGAGTGTACAACCTGTGTCCTGTTACGCTTGCGTAACTCTTGTTGATCGTAACGTGATATTCGCCACTCATTACCTTCTCAAGTGTGACATTGTCTACTGTGGCCATTGTTTTGCTCTGCCGCCCCCGTGGGGAAACATATTAACTGCGGGCATCTCATGCAAGTAGGAGCGGGCAGTAAGACCGGGGAACAAAGTAAGTGGACAGCGAGCCATAATGTGCCGCGCTCGCAAAAATGTAGTCATGTCCAAGATGAATAAACCTCTGAACTGAACTATGCAGGAGAGTTTCGATTGGCGGATGAGCCGCACTAAGCAAACCATCAAGTAGGGAGGCCTTGTTTGCATCATGACAAACAAGAAGATGGAGCCTTTGCTTTTCCGTGATTAGGGTCGTAGGACCTCGCCCGCTGAGCAGCATCTGTCACAGTTGAGTGGTCACACCTGCGAGTCGCGCGTAGCTTGAACGAAGTACTTCCAGCCCTGTATTAGTATTATATTTTTCAGTGACCTTTTTGTAGATATGATGAAAATGTGAATAGAACTGTCGCACATTCTTATGAGATCAACACACAGATAAAGAGAAGCAGACGCTTCATCGATGTGTGTCATGACGGAAAGTGCTAAAAGAAGCCAAAAAGAGTGCCATTTTCGAGCTCAATCCGTTTTCCGCAGACACGCTGCTTCTGCAGTTTCTCCATCGTCACGACCTTCGTGGCTCAACCAAGTACGATACTGCGAAAAACATGAATGTCGTTCTGATAGCTTGTGCATCGGTTTTTATCCTCCCAGTAAGGACCAAAGAACAAGCGAAACACAGAAAAAAGATAATCCTTACGGAGTGACGCGATCATGAGCAGTTCAATCTCAATCTGCACACACAGAGGAACGACGAACATTCAGGTTACATCAGGCTGTGGATCGTGGCGAAATCATAATCGTCGGCCATCTTGTGGCCACGAAGTAGTCAGACCCAGCAAGTGTCTGAAGGTTTAAAGATGCTCTGCTTCAGAGGGCGAGGCAGGCAAGTTGCGAACCTCCAAATTCTATCTCACTTTTCTCCTGCTAGGAACCTTGGAAAGCACATAAAATGAAGCCCCCAAGGAAAGTAATGAGGAGGGAGAGTAGGATTACCAATCGCAACTTCGCAAAGAATCTGAAAAAAACTCATTATACCAAATGTCCGCATACAGAAGCTGCTGCTGCACAGGTAGCAGACGTCTCTACCGAACAACCACAGCAACCATTGTTGACCCCGTACGTCACGCAGCAAGCCGCACATGTTTTCCAGTCGGTAAAAACACTCGGCCGCAATTTTTGGACCTTGAGAAACTTGGCTTCCACTCCGGGAGAGCAGATGCCATTGAAAATAGCGCACCACAACAGAGTGGCACAACCAATTCCGAAATAGTGGCGCAAGGGCGACTGCATCTTGAGCACCACTTCTAGTCGGACAGAAGGGCTTTCGTTCTACGCAAATGCGAAAGCGAATCTCGAAGTGTCGACCTGCTGGCTCCTCCTGTGCGTCGAAGGGGTTCGTGTTGAGGATCACTTATGTGGCCATGTACGCAAAGGACGTACTGAATAATTGTGTGTCTAAATGAACTCCAATGACTTCTGTGAGGATTTCGATTTTGTTTGTACTTTTGAAGAAAGCTTTTCTAAAAGAGGTGCGATGACTTCTTTAGTTTTCGACGCTAATCTGCCTGCAAGCAGTAAGAAAATTGACTGCCTGCCCCTTTTCGTTTTGCGAACGTCAACGTCCTCGGCTTTGGGGTTACACATTCATATGTAGGAAACCTCGGCGGTAGAGCAGAGTGATGAAACAACAACAAACGAACTAGTGGCGAACCCTTGCGAGGCAATGAAGCAGCGGGATCTTCATCAGTGTGCATATCTTGCGCGTTAATCGCGACGGAGCCACCAGCGTATAAAAGGAGATCAAGCTGTCTTCTCTGTTCATCATTGCACCGGGGGGATCCTCGGGGGGGATCTCTAGAGGAGGCATCAACCACAGATCACCCGGAAGACGTGCAATTAGCGAAGCTGTACCGTCGGGAAAAAATGGATCTGCATCTACAACCGATGGTGAAGCTTTGATGAGTGCTTCCGTTTCGTGCTCACAGACACTAAGGATCGATCGCATGAGACGTGTCCTCTTGCCCTCAATAGAGCAGTTCCTTCCTTGGCCGTATAGATCTCTCTTGCGTCACTGCAAGTGCAACAAGTAGAACCTTATGTGATCAAGCGGCGAGATCTTGATATTAATTTTATCGAAGCTCTGGATATCGATGTGGATCCCATTTCCGCAGAGCCATTCTTTTCACCATCGCGCAGCACCATCTACTGACTCCGTCGCCGCGAGACCGTGGGAAGGTCATGCTAACACCGGGAAAGGCAAAAGCCTCGACCTCTTCCCGAATATGTAGCCATCGTGATCGTCAGCCTCAGCAACCCAAACGCGCCGACAGAGCGTCCTGTCCTACAACATCTTGTGAATGTTCATGGAACTTCAACTTCCACCAACCCCTTCCTTGGCGCTCTCCCTGGTGCAGCATCAATTCTTTACATGAATTTTTCTTTTTCAGCTGCTAGTTTTAGTCTGCTATCAACTTCTTTACATCGCGTATATGAAAAATACCACAAAAGTCAAGGACAAGGCGCAGCTAAGCAAGCTGTCAGTCTGGCAAGTAACGAGCGTGAGTCTTAGTAGCAAAGATCAACACGAGTTCGACGGCACGGTGCTCCTACTCGTATCTGATTCATGATCGTAATCGTGGTTCTTCCCGCAACTACGTACTGGGCATAGCGATCGGACAGTACCGTGCTGAGGTAAGAACTAACTTTGAGATACCGTCCATAATATCATTGCTTCCTAGTACGAATCAAATATCAATACGTTTCCCCGGAAGACGTATTATTGCCTCGTCGTCCTCGTCTCTCCCACTGCAGCCCCATTTTTGAGCTATGCGTCGACGCTCATTCCAGCTCCAGCAGCCGCTTCAGCGTCGTGCGGCCACCCTGCCGGATCCACCGGCGCGGAAGCAGCCGCGGTAGCCGCGCCCCCGACCCGCCCGAGGAAGCCACCGGCCCCGCCGAAAATATCGGCGTTCGAGGATCCCGGACTACCGGTTTCCTTGTCCGGATACGGCTGGCCCGTCGGAACACCATTAGCATTAAGGTACGCCGGGTGCTCCGTGGTCACAGGGTAGGAACCAGCGACACCTGGCTGCTCCTGATAACCCTGATGATCCGTGCTTCGGGGAAGCTCTTCGTCGGAATCCGGCACTTCCTCAATTTTCGGTCCATCATCTTCATGGTTCCCGGACGAGCTATACTCCGCACTCGAATGAATCCGCGGGCTCGGCGACCCACTCCGGGGTTTCTTCGCTCCCGGGCGAAATTGTAGGTCCACACCAGGCGGGGACCTCGACCGACGCGACTGCTCTTGTTCACCGGCTCCTCCCATGTCCTGCTGCTCCGGAGCATACCCGGGTTCCCCTCCAGTCAACGGGGTGACTCCAGCGAAAAACTTACCCGTTGCGTCCCAGCCCATCTCGGCACTCACGCCAGTGCTGCTTCCAACTCGCAAGGACCCGCTTCGCCGATCGTCCTCGTTCTCCGCACGTACCGACAAGTGCTGGCCCCGTTGCTTAATGGTATGAAAACGAAAAGACCCACCCTGTAGATTTAGCATGTGCATTCTCAAATTGGAATTATCCAGCGAAATGTCGATGTCGATAAGCGGAAACGCCTTGACACGTGACCTAGAAGATCGCCTGACGCTGATTCTCAGCTACTTATACATTCACGCTTCGTCCTGAAGTTCGAGTTCCAGTGCTAATTTGTCTGCTGAGCTTCAGCGATTTTTTTGCCAAAGAACCGAACTTATTGTTCAGGTCGAACAGAAAGAATGGAGCATCAACACTGATGACGTAGAGAGCTGGGCACCTCTTTACCAATACCAGCAGGTCGACCACGACAACAGAAAAAAAACGCCTGCGACTTCGATGAAAAACCTCAGCAATGTATCACTCACTCATCTGTGACCCTGCTGCAGCTGCATTGGTAGTTGGCACAAGAATTTGGGGTGGCCTTTCAGACAGGGATACCTGTTAACGAAAGTGCACCTGACCTCCGAACCCGGTCTGATGCAATGCTCGGTCGCCTGAATTGGTTTTATAGTTTGTGACACTGAAAAAGCCACTACGTGCGCAAGAAAGCGCTATCGGAGCGACACTCGTGCCGTTGGCCCTAGTGTCTGTGTGTCGACGTCGTCGTAGTTCGTCTACGACTACGTATGTCTGACTCTACTCATGCTTCTCCAACAATACATATACAAGCGAACCGCAACGTCTTTCACCAGGTTGAATAAAAAGGCTTCGCAGACTCACGACCACTTTTGCGGACAATTGTTTTTCACTAGAGCGCAAGAAGGAGCCCTATGATATTTACAGCAACGATCATCATGTCCAGTTCCGCAGGACCGTAAGTCAGCCGCACTGATATAGTATCGTTGCGACATTGTGCGTGTGTTTGGTCGGTTGTTGCACCCAGTAAACATATGAATCTATACCGATCTTGCTACAACTACATCGTCGTGCTTGGTCTCGTTCTACACAGTGGCGGCCAGCTTTGCGAGCAGTTGATGCACAGCTAATGTTTGTTCCGCGATGTGAACATAGCGAAGATCCTCTCATACTTCCTTCGTCACTCATCTACTTTCCTATTTCATGTGAGTACTAAGAAGATGCACACCGTGCAATAACATCATGTACCATCTTCGCACCGGTCGCGCTGACGCCGGCAGCCAAGCACGCCGGCCAGGCGGGAACCCCGCATCCATACTGGAGAGTGCCATACAGACACGCGCAACCCAATGGGACTTTCTTGTTGGTCCAGTAGTTCCAACCCACGAACTGGGCGCCGTCGGAGGCCGCATTGACGAGAGTCCTGAGAGTCTCCGACGTCGTCGAGGACTTCAGCTTGGTCTTTACCTTCAGCAGCTTTGCGTCCACGTGGCCTTGCTGGATCATGACACACATCATCACGGTGACGACGGAGCGGACCGTGGTGAACCGCAGAGCGGCAGAGGGCGACCGTGAGTCCCGCGGGAGACCGAAGGACAACGACATCCTGTGCAAGCCTTTAATGTGAAAAGCAAGCACGGGCGATTTCGTATGTCTGATTCCTGAGTTCAATCGTATTTCTATTTTCTCGAAAATAAGAAGACCAAGAGACTTCTGGCGCCGCACTGTGTAGCAAGAGGAGCCAGCGTGGGCTTAGTATCGTTTCCTTGATTTTTGACAAGAAGATTCAGGTCCTGTGTAAGAACGCTAGATAGCGTGCGCGTATTTTATTGATGTTTACTGCTTCTTATGAGTTCTCCAAATTCGTGAATCGCGAGTGCGAGCTCCCGGATTCGTTCTTCAAGGTGGACTGCGGGAATTCATATTTTTTGATAGTTGAGTTCATACAATGAAAATTGGCATAGAAAATCACACGCCGGATATCTTGCGCCGCAGCCGGAGCCTGCAAAGCAAGTACTTATAGTCAAGACTTTTCTTTGCTCTTGCGATTGCTGAAATCACAGTGACGTACGTATCGCTTTCTCATCCATAAGGCCGCAAAACGCAAGGCCTTTCCGACTCCAGGACCGCGTCACGGGGAAATTGAACGGAAAATAAGATCTTAGTGCGGATGAAAGGACACAAAGCTACTTATTCCGTACGTACACGACGGTCATCTCGGTGGAACCATGGACCCGCTTCGGCTTCTTTTCCTGTCTCGTGGTACTTTACTTGTACAAGACCAAAGGACCTCCGAAAAATTTTGAACGAAACGATGACTATGATGAAGCAGAACCTAAGAAAAGTTAACACTTTGATCTCCAAGTTAGATCTTGTCAATCTTCCGAGAAAATTGCCCTGCCTCACAGGTGCCCGATGATCTGACGGAGATGACTTGAGTTTCGGATTTTTCCTTGTCTCTATCGTATCTGACAACAAGTGAAACTACCAAAATTGAATAGACCGATGAATTTGGATTTACATCAGTCTCGCGAAAGCAAGGCACCATATTTTTAGCCCTATGGTAGATCTGCCCTTGAGCTTTGATACGTACCAATCGACGTCCGCCGTCGCCTGACGTCAATAAAAGTTATTGTTACTAATACAGTGAGTTCTGTCGCGTGTTCTTTCGCTTTCCGATCGCTTTCCACCTCTTCCGTTAACCATACTAGCCACCGCCGTCGACCTTTTTCGTTCAACAAAGCAGAAGGGATCCGGCGTTCGTGTTTTCAGAACGCAATCCATTTGCCGTTGAATCAGATTAGTGATCTCTCGCCAAGGAGACACAGCACCAACAAGTTCCGAAATTCGGCACCGTGTGCCTTTTATTCGGCTGAATGTGAACAGTGCCGGTCGCGATCGCAACTACATGTTATTAATAACTTTATTACTCTGTGCGGTCGAATAAACCATCGAGAAGTCGAAGTGATACCAGATGAAGGAGCGATCGAGCACAATCTTACTTTACTGTCTTTTTTCCTGCAATAAGTGTTTCTACAGGCACCGCATTGTGTACGACGACACGAAAAGTAGTTTCGAACTTCTGCGGGCGCCTTGAATCTTCCACGAGTCATGAGAGGACTGCGCGTGTTTTTTTCATCTACAATGCAGATCAACTTGCTTACCAGCCTGCCATTTCGATTCCTCTTTCTTGCTTTTAATACAACAACGAGCAATCGCGGTCGTCGTGATCGGCGGGGTTCGTGCTTACGCTGGTTTATTTCGTGATGTTGTTGTAGTTGTTCCCACTGGTATAAATGATCGTAGTACAACCTCGACTCATCATCCTCCACTTAGATGATACCGCCTCGCAGCCAGGAATTGGAGCAGCACTGCCACCACCAGCAGTTGAAGAAGAACAGCAGGAGCAGGCCTTCACTCAGCATCAAGAACAGGATTAGCATCACACCGTTCATACGCACACACGCACCCTGAACCGAGTCACGGGCCATGTCGGTCACCACGAAGCTGGCACGAGCCGGGTCCTCCTCCGATAGCCGTTTCGCCTCGTCGGCCAGATCCTGAATGTTACTCGGCAAAAGCTGCGAAGCACTACTTTTCTTGTCGCACGGAACGCGCTGCGATTGTCTGGTCGTTCCATCTGCAGCAGCACGAGGGGGACAGCTTCCGTGGTGAAAGTTCACAATCTGCTGCCTGGAGAAAAGGCTGCTCAGAGATCGCAGCAGGGGGCTCGTTTTGGTGTTCAACTGGTGTTTTCAAAATTGGTATAGCATCAGACCGTTCATCATTTTTGAAGAAGTAGTTGCCACACAGCCCAGCTATTTTCATGTCTTTGTCTTCAAACTTGATTTACAAAATTTTCAAGTAGCTCGTAGTATTTACCTGAAAACAGGACGCCGCTGAAGGTGCTGTGCAACTCGTTACGAGTGGACCCGTGGCAGTGCTGGCCCGCCGTAGAAACTGGGAACTGCCCGCTACGCAGTAGCGGCCCAACATCGTGCCGTACCTGTCTTCAGCTCAAGCTTTTTATGGTTGCACGAAAAATAAATGTAGAAGATGTGAATAGAGCTCGTTCTGCATCATGGAATGGATACCGTAGCACTACGTCGTGCTCGTGACATGAAGATCACCGTCTTTTCAAAATACTACATCTCCGGTAGCGACCACACGCACACCTGAGTCGCAACTCCAAAAACGTTCGTTGATGTTCCTCTCTCGCGCAGATGCTTTAGATTTAAGAGAAATGCGCGTGCCTTCAACGATCCACACCTTGTTCGCTCAAACCGTCCTTCTTGCCCTCTACTGCTCTTCTCGGACGGCATGCGGCCAACAGCAGCTTGCAGCACCGAGCGGCACATCGTAGCAGGCCACTCATGCCAATGAATTCATTATTTTTTGGCCATTCGATGTCGACGAAATCATCGTGCATGCTTGCGCCGAGCCGACTCCGAGCGTATTTCTTTTTCTTGTAGCGGTATCACTACCCAAGCATCGACCATACAACGTTCCGCTTCTTCGTGCTGACACGAACAAGAATCCTGAGGGGCGTTGCGAAAAAAAAACATTCGCTTCCCCAACTACCAAGAAGAACATAGTACTTTTCAATGTGTTGAGTTCTTCTTCTTCTTCTTCCCTGGGGCCAACAGCAGCAGCAGCTGCTGCGTTGTGAAAACAATTCAATCGACATCGGTCACATAGATGTTCCTCACGACAAGCCTGTTCCCGAAGATATGCGTTCTTTTGTCTTTTCTGTCATTGTACGCCGTGCCCGCCGCGTCTCATCGACAATGCATAAAATCAATCTTTTATTATGTGCCTCACTTAAAGGCAGGACGGGGTTGCGCTTGATGCTGTGGACGGGGGACATTCCATTTCAACTGCAACTGCAGCTGAGAATACGATGCATTGTGGAAATCAACATTGGCACTGGAAACTAGTGTAGAAAAATGGCAGTGCGGTCGCAGGGGTAGACGAAGATAATTCTATTTCTAATTTTTTGCTTTGTTGAAAAAATTCATACCCGACGAGGATTGGGGTGGTGTTCGGTCGTATCGCTTCGATTGATGGAGGCAATGTCAATGTTTTTTTCCCGATGTACAATCTGGTAGTTTCATCACATTGTGAAGATAATGATGGCATTTATTTATGCAAAATCGAAATGGTAAGGTACTTCTTAATTAATAGAGGTTAACAAAGCAGAACGTTGCAGATGAGTAGTAGAGAGCAGCGACTGGGACTCCCACAGGTCAGCCACTCTCTCAAGTTTACGAAAAAATGCATTTGATTCTTTCGCTTGTGTCGTGGTTTTTCATCCCTGCGGCCGCAGACTCCTTATTGTCTACAAACCAGGTTGGACGGAAGCAAGCGTAAACATTTGCACTATTCCGGGTATCTTTTTTATCAAGAACTCATTGAAGACAAACTACAACAGTGAATGAAGTGAAACTACGCACATTTTTTGCTCATTTTTCTCGTGAATATCGACCTGGATCGTGAAATATCGAGGACGATACCACGGTAAAGGCCGTGGGCAGAAAATTCGATTACTTACTTAAATTACACACGTTCCACGAGGTAGACCGACGGCCGCGTACTGACGAAGATCAGCGACACTTTTTAAAATCCGCTTGCCGCCATTGTCGCATCGATGATGCTATTAAAGGTGGGCGATGGGCGCATGGCCTGAGAAGCCAGGAACGGGTCAGGCATCCAATAACCACCGACATCCGTTTTGCGCCCTTCCGCGGCAATCAGTTCTCCGAGAATCCGCGACTCATTTTCCTTCAACTGCTGACGCACGCTCTTGAACCTGTATTTTTTCTTGTTGTTGGCATGGTACGGAATAGGTGCAGCACCATCGTGATTTGTGTTTTTTCTCTACTTGCGCAAGAACTGCAGCAACAACAAACACCACTCAACTACTCAACTCCCACAAAAGGAGACACCTCACACACACCAAAGGGGGTTTGTTGGTCTCCGGTCCTCGGTCCTCAATCCATCCCAAGGCAATAGAAGACAACGAGAGAAGAAGGGAGAAAGCTCACACACATCAAAGGGGGTTTGTTGGTCTCCGGTCCTCGGTCCTCAGTCCATCCCAAGGTAATAGAAGACAACGGGAGAAGAAGGGAGAAAGCTCACACACATCAAAGGGGGGTCTGTTGGTCTCCGGTCCTCGGTCCTCAGTCCATCGCAAGGCAATACAAGACAACGAGAAAAGAAAGAAGAAAGCTCACACACATCAAGAGAGAAAGGGGGTTGGTTGGCCTCCGATCCTCGGCCCTCAGTCCATCCCACTGTAATAGAAGACAACGAGAGAAGAAGGGAAAAAGCCCACACACATCACAGGGGGCTTGTTGGTCTCCGGTCCTCGGTTCTCAGTCCTCAGTCCTTCGCAGGGTAGTAGTTGGCGAGATAAGAAGGCAGAAGGCCAACACACAGCAGAGGGAGTTTGTTGGTCTCCGGCCCGCGGCCCATCACCGGGCAGGATCCGACGGGGAAAGAAGGTAGAAAGCCGCCACACAAAAAAAAGGGGGCCAATTGGTCCACGGCACCCCCTCAGCCCATCGCGGGGCTGGCACATGACAGACATCGCGGAGGGAGCCCGGGCGCAACAGGAGGCGGCCGAGCGCCGCCATTTTTCCTCGCCTGGCGGGCGCGCCCATGCGTACTAAATGAACAGGCGGCGAACTGAAGCGTCGCGGCGCCCCGGCCCCCGTTGCTTTTGATCACACAACCGGCAACCGGGCGACACGACGGACGTGAGCCCGCGCGCGCTCACATAAGGCGCCAGGGCCTTACGGCTTTGCTTCAGTCATTGACCCGCCTGGCCCTGAAGGCGAAAAGGTTCACTGCGCGGGAACAAAGATGGCGACGCACAACGCGCGCCCGGCCCCGCTTGCGATCTGCCAGGCTGTGAACCACGCGCGCGCGCTGTTGTTCTTTGCGCCCCCCTGCAGTTTAACACGAATAAACGCGCCACCTGGAGGCAGATTGGTGGCCGCCCACCGAAATCACTAGCCGCCTGCGCCGCCTTCGTCATCGCCGGAACTTCGAGGCGACGGGCCGGAGCTCCGGGGGTTGCTGTCAGTCGTTGTCGCTGGGAGAAGTCCGAGGCAGTATCTGCGCCGGCCCCTTCGGCTTCCACCCCCGACCGGTTGGCTTCGGGCTGTCCGATTAGGGGCGAAATGAAAAAAATCCAGCCGGTTTGTCAGCCTTCAGCATACATTTTTGCAACACCCAGCAGGTATCCGCCCCAATCAAATGAAAACGGCCCGCGTGGCCTTCGTTTTTTTTTCGCGGCAGGCCTTTCGGTTGCTTGTCGGCCGCGACCTGGTCGGAAAGATCAGGAAGAGCACTCGGGTCGGGACTCGGCCCTCCCATTTCAAAGTGGCGGGACCATCTTGATCCATTTCCATTACGGGCATGAAGCTGATCGCACTAATCAGAAACGCGCCGGCCCATGTGCTTTTTTTCCACCCTGGGCCGCGCATTGCGTAGACGGATCTTGGCAAAGCCTAAAAAATTTACGGCCTTCGCCATTTCCGGCACAGGCTTTCGCTTCTGGCTGCGCCCCCTTTTCCTGTTCGCTGCCCTCTGTTTTGTTGCGGCCGCCCGCCCATGGCACTTCCGGAATTGGGAGAAAGCCGGCGGGGCGTCGCCCTTGTGTGCGAGACCTTTGCCGCGCTCTAATTCGGGGGCGCTTTCACGCTCTTGCGTTTTGGGCTTGCGTTTGTGCCTTACTTTTGTTCTTATGTTTTGGCTGCTGCGATTTTTTCGCTTTACTTTTTCGCCTTACTTTTTTGTCTTACTTTTGTGTTCTCATTTGTTTGCAGTTTTGTTTTTTGTTTTACAGGCCGCGCGATTAATGGGCCCCCTTTTCGATACCGAAAAGGAGGGGGGTAGGTGCGGTCGGTCGTCTGGCGGGCCGTGTCCACAGATGGCCGGGCCTATCCGGACCCGCCCAGTGTTTCCCTTTCGGACTTCAAAAATCTAAGGCCACAACTTCCCCACCCCGGCGACACAAAATTTGTTTTGCTTGCTGCGGTTTCTCGGCTGGGTTTCTGCGCAATTTCTGCGGTGTAGCTGGAAAGGAATGAAATAAAACGACAGATATTAAATAAAACGAATATTAAAAAACTTTTAATAGTCTCNATGGCGACGCACAACGCGCGCCCGTCCCCGCTTGCGATCTGCCAGGTTGTGAACCACGCGCGCGCGCTGTTGTTCTTTGCGCCCCCCTGCAGTTTAACACGAATGAACGCGCCACCTGGAGGCAGATTGGTGGCCGCCCACCGAAATCACTAGCCGCCTGCGCCGCCTTCGTCATCGCCGGAACTTCGAGGCGACGGGCCGGAGCTCCGGGGGTTGCTGTCAGTCGTTGTCGCTGGGAGAAGTCCGAGGCAGTATCTGCGCCGGCCCCTTCGGCTTCCACCCCCGACCGGTTGGCTTCGGGCTGTCCGATTAGGGGCGAAATGAAAAAAATCCAGCCGGTTTGTCAGCCTTCAGCATACATTTTTGCAACACCCAGCAGGTATCCGCCCCAATCAAATGAAAACGGCCCGCGTGGCCTTCGTTTTTTTTTCGCGGCTGGCCTTTCGGTTGCTTGTCGGCCGCGACCTGGTCGGAAAGATCAGGAAGAGCACGCGGGTCGGGACTCGGCCCATTTCAAAGTGGCGGGACCATCTTGATCCATTTCCATTACGGGCATGAAGCTGATCGCACTAATCAGAATCGCGCCGGCCCATGTGCTTTTTTTCCACCCTGGGCCGCGCATTGCGTAGACGGATCTTGGCAAAGCCTAAAAAATTTACGGCCTTCGCCATTTCCGGCACAGGCTTTCGCTTCTGGCTGCGCCCCCTTTTCCTGTTCGCTGCCCTCTGTTTTGTTGCGGCCGCCCGCCCATGGCACTTCCGGAATTGGGAGAAAGCCGGCGGGGCGTCGCCCTTGTGTGCGAGACCTTTGCCGCGCTCTAATTCGGGGGCGCTTTCACGCTCTTGCGTTTTGGGCTTGCGTTTGTGCCTTACTTTTGTTCTTATGTTTTGGCTGCTGCGATTTTTTCGCTTTACTTTTTCGCCTTACTTTTTTGTCTTACTTTTGTGTTCTCATTTGTTTGCAGTTTTGTTTTTTGTTTTACAGGCCGCGCGATTAATGGGCCCCCTTTTCGATACCGAAAAGGAGGGGGGTAGGTGCGGTCGGTCGTCTGGCGGGCCGTGTCCACAGATGGCCGGGCCTATCCGGACCCGCCCAGTGTTTCCCTTTCGGACTTCAAAAATCTAAGGCCACAACTTCCCCACCCCGGCGACACAAAATTTGTTTTGCTTGCTGCGGTTTCTCGGCTGGGTTTCTGCGCAATTTCTGCGGTGTAGCTGGAAAGGAATGAAATAAAACGACAGATATTAAATAAAACGAATATTAAAAAACTTTTAATAGTCTCGAACTTGTTTCAGAAGTGCTGTTTTTGGGCGCGCGCGGCGCGCGCGCGGATCGGCATACGGGTGCAACAACAGAAAGCACCTCAAGCGCGCGGCGCGCGCGCGCAAACTGAAAAAAGCTCGCGGCGCGCGCTGGTGCGCGCGCGCAGCGGAGAACATGCAGCGGAGCGCGTGCCGTCCCTCCCAATGGCCGAAGTGGCCGCCTCAGCTTTTGCAAATGCAGGCGGTGCTGAGGTGGTCGCTTCAACAACCTGAGGGCGGTTGCGCAGTGCTGCGCTACAAATAGCTGCCTCCTGGTGGTCCATTTCTGAAATGGCCTCTGCGTAGGCCTCTAAGCAATCCTTTACTTAGCAACGCCTTTAGTTCTGCCTGCTTCGCACTGCCTCTGAAATTCTTCTAATTCTTTCGCCCACGCGGCAGCTTCGAGGCTTCTAAAAATCCGCTAAAGCTGCCGGGTAGGCGAAATCATACACAAAGCCGGCACTTCGCGACTTTAGAAGATGAAAGAGCAGCACTGCGGACGGCAAAACCGGAAACGGAGCCGGAAGGCTCTTCCGGTGAGCCGGAAGATTCCTCCGCTTGCTTCGGCTTCGCGGGACCATGTAAGATCCGGCAGCTGCAGATATTTTCCTGCGGTCTGCGGGAGATGATGCGCATGCTCGAGAGCAACGAGCATCATCTTCCTTCGCAGGATTTCCACCCTAACGCAAAAAATTTCGGAAAATCCACATAGCGCAAAAACAAAATCCAAAAAAAAGCCAAAAAAAATTTTTTGAATTTTTTTGCTTCCCCGACGGTCTGGCTTATGTGAGGCATGCCCCGAGTCTGTTCTCGCCCCTGTTTGTCAGAGGAGGGCCGGGCGCAGGTGTCGCATACTTGCCCGCTTGGGTGGTCCACATCTCTTGGCCTCCGCTGCTGGTGATGAGAACCCAGAGCGGCAAATCCGTGCGGGGTTGCGCCTTCTTCTGTCGGGGAGCAGAGGCGCCCTCGTGGCGCATTGCCGCCGCAGAAGATTTCTCTTTGGGTTTGGCCAGGAAAAATCGCAGAAAAAATTTGAAAAAAATCCGGGAAAAATCAAGAGGCGCGCAAAAAAAATTTGAAAAAAATTCTAGAAAGTGGCCAAATTGCAAAAACCAATGGGATTTTGCTAATGTGGCCGATTTTCCGAAATTTTTTTTGGCCATTTTTCGCACCTCTTGAAATTTTATCCGGCCAAATTCAAATTTTTTGTGGGCAGATCGAAACTTTTTTGAAATTTTTCTTGGCCACACGCAAAGGAAATTCTTCACTTCAATTCGAACGCATCCGAGCGCCCGCGTTGTCGAGCAGCCACGTCCATCATGCCTGCGCGCCGCCTCCCGCGCGCTCCTGAGGCATACCGAGCCCGTGCGGCGTGGCGCCTTTGTGTTTTGCTTCATCCCATTGCGAAGCACCGAAGGCAGCGACCCAAATCCCGCCAGCCTTCTTGTGCAGCCTGCAGGACGGGCCCCAACCCGCCCCCGGCCCAAGAGCCACCCCGCTACCCTTCTCGGAAATTTTAAAAAATTTCAGAAAAAAAGTGGATTTTTCGGCCCAAAAGCGTTAGGGGCAAAATCCGGCGAATCTTCCGCGAAACGACAAGCAAATGCCTGCCCTCCTATTTCCATCCACACCCACTGCGAAACGCCCAGCAAGGTGGTATGTGCCTGGTGCCTCTACCTTCTTGCCCCATCATCCAAATATTGCTAGCTTCGAGATGAACTGAGGCCCGAGGACCGGAGAGCAGCAAGCCCCGCCCTGCGTATGTGTCTGGTGCTTCTGCCTCCTTGTCTCGTCGCGTATTATCTCGCGGGGAACTGAGGACCGAGGACCGGGGGCCAGCAGCCTCCTTCTTATGTATGAGGTCCTCAGATGTGAAATTTGAAAAAAATCGAAAAAAAAACCTAGCTACTTTAGGTAACTTATTAATTATTTCATGAAGTAGCTAGCTCAGGTAGGGTGGTTTCGTGGTCTCCGGCTGCGTGTGGTCGAAATGTGTAGCGACTTCGGACAGAAAAGCGCGCTCGCGGCTTTGCGATATCGTAAGAATGCATTTTTGTGCTTGTTCCGAACTTTATTCCGCATGGTATGCTTAGAATATGCCGGCTTCTGTCCTCAGAATTGAAAGCCCCGGGGGGGGGCCCCTCAACCCCCCCCCCCTCAGGCGCGCTAAGGGGGGGAATTTCTCGGCTTCAAAATGATTTCTGCGCCGACCTGAGTCCCTCGATTTTGCGGATTTCGTCCTCAGAATCGAACTGATTTTTGAGGGGCCCCCCCCAGGCCCGACTTTTGGGGGACCAAAAGATCCCCCCTTTTAGGAGTAGACAAAATCTCGCCTTCGCGCCCTTACCTATCTTGAAATACATAAAAAAGCGAAAAACAGGCGAGAACGTCATCCACTGCAACAAAGCGCGCTGGCAAAAGGAGCACTTGTGCGCAGACGCAGCCGGAGACCACGAAACCACTCCACCTTAACTAGCTACATAATTATATAACATTTTACGCGTCGAAGCTAGCTAATTTTTTTTTTGGAATTCTTTGAAATTTCACATCTGAGGACGTCATATTATGTGCCGGGTGTTTCTACGTTCTTATCTCGTCAGATATTGCCTCGCGATGAACTGAGGAGCGAGGGCCGGAGACCAACAGCCTCCCTCTTATGTGTCTGGTGCTTCTACCTTCTTCGCTCCTCATATACTACCTCGCGACGGAGTGAGGACCGAGGACCGGAGACCAACAGCCTCCCTCTTATGTGTCTGGTGCTTCTCCCTTCTTATCTCCTCACATATTACCTCGCGATGGACTGAGGACCGAGGACCGGAGACCAACAACCTCCTTCTTATGTGTCTGGTGCTTCTCCCTTCTTATCTCCTCATATATTGCCTCGCGATGGACTGAGGACCGAGGACCGGAGACCAACAACCTCCTCTTTATGTGTGTCAAGTGTCTACCGTTTTATGTAGTGCGTTACTCTTCTAAATGAGCTTCTTTTAGGGTCTTCTGTTGTTACTTTTTCAATTCCTTTTAGAGCAAAAACACGAAACACGATGGAACTGCACCTATTCCGTACCATGCCTTGTTGTTGATATGCTTCGGCTATATTCGTCCAAGTGCACAGAATGTGGTTGTGAATTTGCTTCCTTCAACCTAGCTAGGCAGAACACTCCACGTCACCTCACTGAGAGGTTAGTATTTTGTTTACTTCATATCAACAAAGGTAGTTCTACCGTTCCTGCAAGTGCTGTGACTCTGACTGACCCGCGAGCGCCTCGGCCCAGTAGAGCGAGAGGTAGAAGTGCGACCCGCGGTTATCCAGTTGCATGACCTGGCGCTTGGGCGACTTGTTCAGGGTCAAAAGCTTTCCCACCGCGGTGTTCAGGGTCTGCGCGAGCACGATGGCGTCCTTGTTTTCGGTTTTCTGCCCCAGGTCTTCCATGCTCACCGCCATGGCGAGGAACTCCCCCAGCGAATCCCAGCGCAGGTGGCCCTCCTTGAGGAACTGCTGGACGTGCTTCGGGGCACTCCCCCCGGCCCCCGTTTCGAACATGCCTCCGCCGGCGAGGAGGGGCACGATGGAGAGCATCTTCGCGGAGGTACCCAGTTCCAGGATGGGGAACAGGTCGGTGAGGTAGTCCCGCAACACGTTCCCGGTCACCGTGATGGTGTCTTTGCCCGCGCGTGCGCGCTCCAGCGTTTTCTTCATCGCCTCGGCGGGCGGCAGGATGGACAGGTCCAGTCCCTCGGTGTCGTACAGCTTCAGGTACTCCTGCACCTTCTTGATGACGTTTATTACAGTGAAAAGTGCCCCCCATCTCTGAAATTGCAAAAATTTACGATGCGAACTTTCCAAATGAAAACGTTTTGTCATGCATGAAAGGAAGATGAATCTTTCTGATGCAGAGTCTAGGCGTGTATTGCATCGCGTGCATGACAAGCGCCGCGCTTGCTGGGGTCTTTTGCATTACATATTTTTGCTACTCACGATTGGAAACCTGTGATGCTGATAGATGCAAGACGGTGAGTGTTTCGCTTGGAAAGGTTTGCAAGACAAATGCTCCCAAGTTCGGGTGTGGGGGCATTTTTCATTGTAATAACGTTGGCGTCGTGTGCCCGGTGCTCGTCCAGCCAGAAGATGGCGGCGGCGTTGGACGCGCGGGCCCGGTTCTATCCTGAGTAAAAGCGTCCCCACCCCATAGCCAAGATGGGGATCTCGCAACACAAATCGAGAAGTTTTGGGAGTCAAGCATGACAGGTTCCTCGCTGTAGTGTAGTGCAGTTTAGCAAGTACAGCTGCAACACAAATCCATTTAGTAATCCCGTTTACAGCATTACAAAGTCCAAAACACGATTGGAAATGCCTCGTCTCATGGGGATGCGCATTACAAATCTTCCTGTAACTGCAAATCTGCATGACAAGCATGGGGTGGGGACGTTTTTACTCACCATAGGTTCACGGCCAGCTTCACCCAGTCCTGGATGGGCTCGTCCTTGGTTATCCAGGAAAAAACCACCCATCCCCATCCATTTTTCGCATGACAAATAGTGGATTTTATGCATGTCTTGCATGACAAATTGGATGGGGATGGATGTTTTTTTCTGGATATTGGTCTGACACATCCGCCAGATGTCCCCCTTCTCCACCGGGTGCTCGAACAGGGTCACGCCTTCCTTGGACCGGAGCTGCACCTTCACCGTGCCGCTCGCGGGGCTTCTATCAAACCAGAAAGGCCGCGGTGGCGCTCGAAACCGTTAAGCATCATCACGCAAGAACGCATATAGCATTACTGCATTTATGATAATCAGCAACTACATGGACCCCTTGCATTCATCGCTTTGTGCATCCTCCGTAGAGACGCAAAAATCGTGGTCAAACAACTTTCCGTCAATTCATGTCTTCATTCAAGTATGACCCTCAGGGGAAGGGAGGTAGAAACGCAACACTTCTATCTCATGTTGCTACACATGCATGGGTCTATGTATGAGAAACAGATCATGGACCGCCAGCATTTATTTACTCGTACGCGCCTGACAGCGACCGTTTCAGATTTGATAGATTTCGAAGGTCTTGTCGTGGCTCCCATACTCCTCGGCTTTCGCTGCCATCAGCCCAACGTTAGACGTAGCGCCGACCTGAAAACGAAAGAGATGACACATAGGCTGCTAGTACTTTTTGGACCTCATTCAAGTTCAAGTAAAACTGGGAACTCCGACTCGTAACTAAGTAAAACGACCTGACGTTGCACCGTTAACATATTTCCTGAGAGTGTGCTGTGGCTGCGCAAAAGTTCGAATATCAACATTTCGACTTTGTCAAGCAGCCTAAATAAACGTATCAATCGTAGCAGATTGATTTCTTCAATACGGTGGTGACGTCGAGCTTTCCATTCAGTTTGCAGTCATCGATGATTGCCTGGTAGATGCCGGCGTAGGAGCGATCGGGAATGACGAATTTGCTGTCTTGGAGGGAGTCGTTCTTGTCCCACATGCGCCCGCTGTCGCGGACCGCGGCGGCCATACTCGCGTCCACGATCACGTCGCTCGGCACGTGCAGGTTGGTGATGCCCTTGTTGCTGTCCACGAAGGCGATCTCCGGGCGGGTCTCGTACACTTTCATAATGTCGGCCACCACTTCCTCCTCCTTGGGGTGTCCCTCCAGTTTGGCGTACACGTCGCCCAGCCCGTTGTTCGGGTTCACATTCAGCTCGGCAAACAGCGCGCCGTGCTTCTCGAACACGTCCTTGTAGAACACCTGCACCGCGTGCCCAAACATAATCGGGTCGGAAATCTTCATCATCGTCGCCTTCAGGTGCAAACTCCACACGGTGCCTGCCTCGACCGTCTGCAGACTCTCTTCCAGCATCTCGCGCAGCTTGCCAATCGACATCCGAGACGAGTCGATGATCTCTCCGGGAAGAAGCACGGTCTTGTTCTTCAGAACCGTGGTCGTGCTTTTTTAGTGAGGATACGGCTTTTCAAGTTCTTTCGAAAGTCCTAGTATATTTTACCACCTAGTATATATTTACCACTTTATTCTCTATCTCTTTCTGTTTCTGGAGCTACTAAAATGCGCTCAGCCCTAGTAGTGGTTAGCTTGAGCAGACGACAACGCACGCAAGACATTTCTTGTACTGATCCGTATGATACTTCTGCGAAGCAACAACAGGCAATACAATACCCGTCGTCCTGTTCCAGGACAATTTTGACAGAGTCTGGCTCGCTGCCGTTGACCCAAGACGTCTCCGATGAGAAGAAGTCGCCATCGGACATGGAGTGCACGTGGCTCTTGCTGTCCGGGGTCCAGGCGCCCACCTTGTGGGGGTTTTCCTGGGCGTATTCCTTCACCGGCTTGGCCACCCGGCGGTCGCTGTTGCCCTCGCGCAAGACCGGGTTTACCGCGGACCCCAGCACCTTCGCGTAGCGTGCGCGCACCTCCTCGTCCTCTTTCGACGCGGGCGTCGCGGGGTAATCGGGCACGTTGTACCCCTTGGCCTGCAGTTCCTTGATCGCCCCCAGCAGCTGTGGCACCGACGCGGAGACGTTCGGGAGTTTGATGATGTTGGCCGCGGGGGTCTTCGCGAGATCCCCGAGCAGCTGGAGTTCGTCCTCCACCCGCTGGTCCGGGTGCAAAAAGTCGGGGAAGGCGGCGCGGATCCGCGCGGCCACGGAAATGTCACGCTTCATGATTTTCACGCCCCCGTGGCGGCAAAAGGCCCGGAGAATGGGCAGCAGCGAGAAAGTTGCGAGCATTGGCGCCTCGTCCGTCTGCGTGTACATCACCTTCACCTCCGGCATCGTGAACTGCACCCAACCACCGTTCTGTCATAGTACGATAATTCAAAAGTAAGAATCAGTATCAGACAGATTTAGGTCGATACTTACCACCTCAACGATGTTGAAGTAGCTGACAATGAAAACACTGAATGCGACTCGTGATGATCGGCGGCAATAATTCATTGTTAGTTCTTGCGCAAAAAAGAAATCGCATGATTTGACGATAGGAAAATTTGAAAAACCTTGTTTTTCTCCTCCTGATCGAGAATGCGGATGCGCGTTCCCTTTGGCATATCAAATGCAAAAATGTCTGGGTCTGGAAGAGTTGGAACTTGTCATGCGATTTCTGGAATGGGCAAAAATTTGTATTGCATAAGCACCAAAAGCTTCCCATTTCTTGCTACGCAAATAGGGAATTTCTCATGCGGGATAGACATCAGGAGGCCCGCGCAAAACCTGTAATCGTAATGCTTTTGCGTGCATTAGAGACCAGTTGCGTGATCCAGAAGATGCATGACGAACTCCTGCAATCTTCCAGACCCAGACATTTTTGCATTTTATATGGCAAGTTGTCGAGCCATTCGGCCAGCTCGATGGATCCGTCATTGTTGGCGTCCAGCTCCTTGAAGAGCTGCGCGACGTCCACTTCGCCGCTGGGGAGTTCGAGGTCTTTCAGTGCCCGCTGCAGCTGCGTGGCGTTTAGCGCCCCGGTGCCCTCGCCATCATACCGCTCGAACCACTGCGCTAGGGTAGCCAGTTCCTTTTTCGCGGCGATGGCACGCTTCTCAATGATGGATTTGATTTCTTGCTGTGTGGAAAACGACCTCGAAGATGCACCAGAACTGCTCGCACTCGTTTGCGCTGCCAATTTTTGAATCGCGTTATTGGCTGCCGCGCACGCCCGGCGGGCCGCACTGCTGCCAGCAGACGAACGCCGAAGCGTCGCCGCTAGGTTTTTCTTCAACATCTTTCTGGCTGCCCGGCGGGCGACTTACACTTAAGCGATGCAATCTATTTTTTGACGTGTCCTTTGATCTACGTACTTTCGCTTGCTGAAAGAGCGCTGTTTTCGTTCACGAATTCTTCAATCAAATATCTCTTTCTCTATCAAGAACAAGAGGAGAAAACCGACATCAAGGAAGTTTCTAATTTTTGATTTTGCTTTCTTGGTAAGGTGAGTACAAAAAAATCTAAAACTCTAATTTGGTGAAGCGGAAACACAACAAGGGAGAATCCGAAGTAGTTGGCGATTCAGTTCAGAAGGTATGTCAGTCTCCTATCTCATCAGGCAAAGAGGACACAATTACTTGAATAGTGTGACGACCACGGGGTGAGCCTGCTGGCGGAGCACCAAGTTCGAAAGAATCGACGGCTATTCGCACTGCAACCGCGGGGAGAAAAAAGTGGAAATGACGTGAAATTCTAAATCAAATTGGCTAACTATGGCAGAAGCAATGCGTTTGTACTGCACTCAACTCAAGGAGGATAGTGAAACAAAATCACTAAATCACTCATCCAAAAAATTCATCACGGCCTGTCGCTCAACATTCCACGCCTCGCTCAAGGAGAGCGAAAAGAAAACCTCGACGGTGAAAAAAATGCGCCATGCACGGCCCAAAAAAAACTTAAACTTCAACAAAAACAACCATTCCAACGACGAACTTACTGACGGCACTAGGACGCACTGCAGATAACCGATGTTGATGTAATGCGAATAAAGTACGATGCTTTGAAAGGCACGATGAACAGCTCGATTTGAGCACTCGCCCGCGGTCTCCGACCGCGACGTGGACTTCACAGCTGCCAACGACACAATTTGTTTTCCTTTTGGCGCGATGAAATTATACGTGAAATGGAGGGAGATACTGTTGGTGTGCGACTGCGCAGACAGTGACATCGTGAGCGTAGCTCCCCGATGAACGCTGAAAAGCAAAGTTTTCTGGTGCACGAAAAGCTGCATGTAGGCATTGTTTATGATCGTCGATGTCAACAAATCATGCGAGCAACACGGGGACCAACAGGAACAAAAACAAAATACCGAAATCAACAAAAGCAAAATATGAATATCTGTATGGGCGGGTAAAAAAATGCGTGCGAAAAAGCTTTGAAGGAGAAGGCAAATGAGTCAACCGGGTCGGTGTAAAGAAAATGAAAAAAATTGCTAGGAGCGTTTCTTTTTGAAAAGTAGATGTCCAGAAATTGAAACATAACGATCACAAATCTAGCCTATGGATGTTTCCAAAGATGTTGAAAAAGACTCTTTTCTAATCACTGGCAGCACGACGGGTCGCCGCGTCACAAGCCCACATGAGACTCACAGAATCACGATTCTGCTCCTGCTGCTGCTGCTGATGGTCGGATGTATTTTTTAGGTACGCAGCAGGGTGTGAACGCGCTTCTCACTCCGACTGACGAAATATGGAATAGAAACAATTCTGGAAACCATAGCCTATTTAGATATAGATTTACGATATGTGTAGTACGTACAAAAATGAAAACTATGACCTCATAATGATATTACTGATAGAGATGTAGATGAGTCTTACAATCATACTGGAACGATGATGAAATACAACATTGGCAACGCTTCTCTTCGTTCCTGCAAGCTCCTCCTGTATTTCATAACGTGTCGACGAGAAGTACAACAACTACAACTGCCTCATCTACAAGTCGGAGACAATAATTTCGTTTTGCGCCCGCTCGTTGGCACAGGAGGAGCAGCACATTCCGAAGAACCCGCCGCCGCCACCGGATTTCGCGGGCCGACTGAGGGCGGCCGTCGGCTCCGTGTTGGTCACTGACCGAAAGAGCATGGGGAGCGGGCGCACCTTGGTCAAGAGCTGCATCTTCTCGTCATCCGTCAATTCGGTGTAGCCGCTGTTGTTCAGCGCGACGAGCTCGTCGCCGACCTGCAGCCCCAAATCCACGGCAAAACCCGTGTCCGAAAGTCCCGCGACCTTGCGTCCTTTCAGGCGACATCCCGGCGTCTTCTGCGTAAGTTGCCCGGACATCAACTGGGGCTGTTGCGATTTTTGGTTTGGTCTGGTCATTGTGATTCATTGTAACTACATCCCAACCTCATTACAAGCAAATTATGCGCAATGCCCAAAAGTCCGCGTAGTAATATACTCATTGCAGCGATTTGTTTCCTCCTCTTGGCTAGGCCAAGAGCGGTTCATCAGTCTCTGTCTCTTCAACCAGAAGTACAATTAGAATTATGATTTAGTATCAGGAAACAACACTCTTCATTAGAAACTCAGGCTTGCTGTAATATACTCGTCGTTCGGGGCGCTCCAACTTGAGTCGCAGGTTCTTGGATTGGTACAAGGCTCGGCGATTGGCGATGTCTTTTACGGAGCTCAGCTGCGAATCGTATCCTGTGCAAAAGTATCGCACTCGTAGTAATCGCGGTCATGCATTACAAGTTTCTTTCTCAAGTTAAATCCGCATTTATAAATTTTATTTCTCATGCTGAGGAAATTTGTCATGCATTTATACTACTTAGTACGATACTTTTGCAGTTCATAAATCGTTGCAGGAAACAATTTTGTCACCGGCCTCGATTCCGCGGGTCGCCGCCCATGACTTGGGAACAACCTGCACGATTTCATCGCCGCAGATAACGATGCCGCCAAAGTCCGCCCCATCATTGGGACACACTTCCTCCCAAGTTTGTGGCATGATGATTTGCAGAAGTTGTTGAAGTAGTACTTCCTTAAACTTTTTCAAATCTTTATTGTGCAGGAAGCGGGTTCACAGTCAGTCGGGTGACTTTCTGAGCGTTCAATAAACGAAAAGCCTGAGTTACGGGAATACGAAAAAGTCTCTTGCTTCACTGTGGATGTGGAAAATAAATAAAGGAGGAAAATGATAGTTGTACGTTAGATACTCACAAGCACCACAGGTCAACACGGGTCTTTTTTTCAGCGTTATCCTCGAATGCGAGAGCACGACCGCAGATTGTACGACACAACCGACTTCAGTCAAAAGTGCTGGGAGTTACTGCTGGAACGATTTTTATGGTGTCTCATCCTTGCGTTTTCTGCACGAAACCGAAATTCTTGATATTGACTTACAAAAGCAAGTCTTAACACCATTGCACGATGGAGTTTTACCGAGATCTCATTCTTTCATGCTAGACGGTGCAGAAATCGTGTACGACTTTCTTCATGCGTTATGTGCCTCTTCAACTCGAGGACGAAGATGATTCATGATCTAGCAAGAACGACCGAGGCGGACTTCGGTTCCACCGAAATTTTTCAGGCCGAACGAACAACTCCTCCTGTGGTGGAGGACGGTCTTGATATTGTGAAAAACCCGGCTCGTTCTTTTTAAAAATAAACATGTCCATGAAGTTGCAGCTCGTCTTCTGTACATTGCATAAGTAGATCTCTGCGATTCTGATACGACATTAAGTAATTCTAATTGTATTCTACTTTTCCACGGCGAAGATTGCGACGTAATCGATGAAGGATGGAAATGAAGAAACCTTAACGTACGATTTTCGTGCCGTGCAGCTCTAATTGGTTCTTTATCTCTTTCGAAACACATACACAGCGACGTACAAATACACTACGAATACGTATGATAGAGAGTTGTCATACATGAGGATAATTACACGCTCTGCGAGAGCAGTGACGAGTGTGACATGTACATATCCACAAGCGCAAGAAGCGAGCTGTGGTTTTGTCTTCAATTTAAATGAGCAGAACGCGACCTGCTAGATATGTTGTATGCTCGAGCTTAATACCGGCCAAAAGTCATGTTGAATTCTGAAGTCTTAGGAGTGCTAACAACATAAAGTTGGAAACTGTGTCCGATGCAGACAAACCTACGTGTCCAGTGACCATCTGCAAGAAGCTTTTCTATGACAATAGGGCTGCAGGCTGACTTGTCGCCAACGCCGGGCTCTGCGCGTTCGTTAACCTTGATCAACATCAGTACATGAAAATAGCTGTCTTTAGCTTTACGGTTAGTCTATGTCTAGAAAAATCTCATATACGTCTGATACTTTGCGCGTATGAATCGCTGTGAGCAGCAGTCTTAATTTTCAATAAAAGTTGTGGGCTTCCTGTGGCGCTGGGGCTCCTAGTGCTGACATCTATTGATGTGAAATGAGTCATGTCATTTTAAATTTGAGCACCCCCATCAGGATCACTTGTTAGCACGCATGACCTGCTGACGGGCGTACTGGCCGTATCTTAGTGCGTCTTCGTCAGCCCTGGCTTTGTCGCTCACGCTAGAAGCGGTGCTCTTACGTCGACTAGAACCGCGGCCCCGCAGGAGAGATGGTGCAAGCAATGCATTGTGCTCGTAATCCTGGATTTGGTCCGCCTGTCGAAAGTCCGTAGTAGTGGTGCCTGTAACTTGTCCTCCCGGCAGCGATGTCCTACTATCTCCAGTGTCTAGTCGTTTGTGCGCTGCTAAGCTTTGTGGCGTGTTGCTCTTCCCCGAAGTACTAGCCGCGCCAGCGGCAGCGCCTTGGAGGTACGGAATCGCGGGCGCCACAGGCGTTGTCGCGTTCGCGTTGCCGCTACTTTTGCTTTTGGACAAAGGATCACGAGTGAGCACCAGGTCAAGCGATCCTGGAAACTGCACGACGCGAGGCAAGAATTGGTGCAGAAATGAGTGCTGTTTGCGGAGCTGGCGCGGGTGCGGGCGCTCCGAGAGCTTCAGCGACTTAACGATCGGGATGTCGAGATTCTTGCACACGTCAATCAGGGCCTCCCGCTCGTGGGCGGAGTCTCCGATGCTGACAACATTCATGAGATGACGGTCACCGTGAGGACAGCTCCTCGGTGCGCTGGCTGACGCAGTAGAGGCCGCACCAAGGTTAAAGTATTTCCGAACTTCGTCCTCGAAAGTTTTTCGTTTCCAGTCAAACGGACTTCGGTAGCCCGCGGGTTCGTACCTCGAGCGCGCGCTTATCTGGAGCACCCCGTTCAACTCGGCGAACACCTTGGGCATGAGCGCGCGCGCACTGCACCCGATCCATCCCGCCTCTGCGTTGGTAACCAATACGACGCGGCCCAGCGATTTCAACACCCGCAAAGTCAGAACCACCTCGTCGGCCAGCAGGTGGAGCTGCTCTTTCTCGCTTTCCCGCAACGGGAAATCTGCCTCCGGGAGAATCTTGTGCTTCACAACCCATGCGGAGGGGAGCAACTAGTAAGAGTTTTAGAACAGTGGATGGATTATTGATATTGATTATGATTATCCTTCTAGTTTATTTCACGCGCGTTAAGAACGAAAACCATTCCGAGAGGAACAAGACCGGACAAACAGTTGCAACAGGAACCGGCCACGCAGTATCAGGATTATCATAGTAGACAAGGCGTAAAGTAGAGCAAGCAGCTGCACACGCACCAACAGAATGAGTTATGTCATTACATTGGCCTTTCAATGCATATCAATATGAACAAATTATTTGACATACCGTGTCATCCCAATCCAACAGAATCAAGGTTCGTGCAGGGGTCGCAATCGTCGAAAGCGCTGGTTTGAAAGCTGTGTTCATCGGCTGGCGGTCCAGGCTTGATTCATGTCTGCCCGACACTGCAGCTGCCAGCTCCATTGACTTCGCATCTTCCCTGAACCTCTCCTGCCCGCTCGTCTGGTCTTGCACGCTCGGAATATTTTGCTTCTGGTGTTGCACGCTCGTGAACGCGTTCTTGTTGAATCCCGCTTGTATTTCCCAGTTGTCGTCTAGTTTTGCAACCAAGCTTTGCTGCACTTGCGCTGGAAGCAAATCAAATGGTATGTGTTCGCGCATCGAAAGTTCGATGCGCTTCCCGGGATGCTGGGCTTTCTTTTCCACGATGTGACTGGAGGCGGACGAAGAACTCCCGCTGGTGTCACCGTCGTCTACGTTTTCGTTCGGTTTCGTCGTCGTCCCCGAGCTGTCTGCGACCATCGGCAAAATCGCCTTATTTCCTTCCGTGGCAATAATGTTCGTATCGATTGTCAGATTTTTCGCATTCTTCCGAGGCTCGGGAGACGGATGGAGTCCGTCCACCTCCTTTTGGAAAACAATTTGCGCCGGCACGACCCCTGTACAACTCCTACTTTCTCCAGCAGCTGGTGCCGTCTTCTTTGCGTCCGCAGCCTGCTCCGTCTTCTCCATTTTCAAGCGTTTCTGGGGCGGAGCGACCGCACTCTCTGGTGCAGCTTCGTCATCCACATTTCGCGAGGATGAAGAAGACTTTTTGTTGTTCGCCATCCAGGAGAAGCCCGTTTCTTTTGCGGCAATAAAAGCGGCAGCCCGGCTGGTCGCCGTCGCAGTGCTGCGGGGACTGAGACCGGCCCCTACGCGCAATGCAGGCCGCGTCGTCTCCTCCACCAGGGCTTTCAGGGCCGCAAATACGTCCTGCTCCGGTACAGAGACCACCACCAGTTCGTCAAGCGACTGAACGGACGCCACGGTATGAAGCTGGGCATGTGTTCCACCTGTGGGCGTCTCATGGTTTGGTTTCTCCGTTTTTCCAGGAGCGCTGGGCGCAGCTATGGATAGAAAGGACGTGGATCTTTTGTCATGAGACGTTATTTCCTTCCCTGATGCAGCGGGAAAAGCGGGTGGTGAAGAAGAAGTTGCACCACTTGAACTTGCGTCCGGAGGGCGGCAGGCGCGAGTTGTGGATAAGAACGGCGCAACGAGCCGGCCCATCTCACTGTTCGACGCGGCCATTCTTTCTGCAACATCCTTCGCCACACCTTCTTGCTCGACCGAATGAACGACGCGCCAAAAAGGAAACTTCTCGCCAAGCCACTCAATCTTCTTGGCCAGAACAGTGGTGTCGCCCGATAAAGCTGCAGCCGGGTTGTACAACCCCCCGGCCGGGCCCGTCGGGGGCGCCGTCGCCAAGAGCTTTCTTGCGCTCAGAACAACGCAGTCATCTTCTGCAGCGTTTACAAACACACAAACTACGTGCGTCTGTTCAGCTTGATGCGCGCGAGTAGATGAAGCGTCACCCGCGGGTGCAGCAAGAATAAGGCCAGGTGCTTCATCTTTCCCCGATGTGCCGTTCATCTTTTCGTCGTGCGGAGCAGGCGGCAGCGACATCAAGTTCAAGCCGGCATGTCGTGGACGGGTAGAAGCAGCTTCTAGTACTTGGTCTGGTGCACCTTCAGCGTTGGTGGTGTTGCAGCCCTTGTTTCCTGCCTTCGGCGAAATAATGTCGTCGGTCTTCCGCGGGTCCACGAGTGCTGTTGCATCCACTGGCGCTCCGAGCAGGTGCATTTTTCTTTCGAGCCAGAGTCCTACCTCTATGCAAAGAAATTATTTCTTCTTGAAAAAATCTAGTACATGACCAGACAACGCACACAGTGATTAGATTTAGAACTAAAAACTAGGCACCTTTCTCCTGGTATCCTATTCATTGCGACGACTTCCGCTCCACTTGTTTTAACGTCCGACTCCTTCGTATTACAGTCCAAGTATTTCATATTTCAGTATCGGTTGTTCGTGTTCTACTTTCAGTTCTACCCAACGCTCTAGTACGAATCGTCCTCAAAAAAGGACATGACGAAGATACGTAAGTACTTCTTTACTGCGGTGTGACCTCTTCTGCAATCAGATATACAAGTAGCATTGAAACTACGGCAGTCATACGAGTCCCTTTTTTTTGGCTTGAGTCCCTGGTTCTTCGACGTGATACTTACTAGACGCGCCATGGCCATTCCACTTTTAGCAGATTAGCTGCAAAGGTGCAAGATGTGGCACGCGATGTGTATTCGTAATGATACACTATTAACCTCCGCAACGTACGACTCCAGGTAGTAGTTGTATGAGCAACGACATTTCACACGGCTTCAACGTTCATACCCGAACCACGACCACCGACGACAAGGCATGATTACGCGCCAGAAATAAACCACTGAGTACCTCCTCCCAGCTTAGGGCTTGTTCTTTTCTTTTACCGACAAAGCGAAAAATGATTTTCTGTACGTCCATCAAAGAACCCGTGCCCGTGACAAGATCACTGAGTATCTGTGTAGGAGTATATTACTGTGCAACTTAAAGAGAAAGCTTTAGATGGATAGTCAAGGAGAACACGTTCACCAGGGCTTCCCATCGAAGGCACATCGGCGAACGCAGAATCTCAGCGTCGTCGTTTGCAGCAGCAGCTGCTTCATCAAATAATTACTTGGCGGTAGTACGAGAACAGGCGGAAATACAAAAGTCTCGTATCCTAAAAATGTCCGCCATCGATGTCCGAGTCGAGGATCTTTTTATATCTTAATGCGATACTTTCCTCAGTCATGTCCGATCGATATCTGCGTTGTGACTGTCACGGTCAGAAAATGAGAATCACTTTCATAGAGACCCTGCATCTTCACAAACCAGACCGGTGCAGACAGGTCCCAGGCAGCGTGGTCCCGTTTTGATCATCTGCAGCTGCACCTGTCGTCTGGCATTAGTAAAGTTTTCAGGTACTAGGGAGGCCACCTACTCGTCGTCATCCTTTGCCCAGGTGTTGGACCCCTCGCCCTCACTCGAATATTCCCCCTCGTCGTCGCTGTCTTCTTCGCCTTCGTCGGCATACAGCTCCACTTCCCCTCGGTAGTAGCGTATCGCCCGAGGAAAGATACTGTTCTTTAACAGTTGGAAGCTTTCCAGAGCCTCGGAGAGCAGCGTCTCGTAGTAATCGTCCTCGTCCTCCTCGTCTTCCTCGCAGATTTTCTTCTCGTAAGCGTACAGCTCCCCCACGGAACGAAAATCGCACGCGTTTTTCGCATTTCCGCTCGCGTCTTTATCATTCTTTTCTGGTGCTGCCTCATCAGCAACTGGAGGATCCGCCCCGGTCCGGCACGCGATGGCATCAAGTTTTTTCAAATCCGCTAACGAGGGATACCTCTCTGGGTTCAGAAGACCGTCCCTGTGGTCCTCCACATCCTCCCCGAGACTGCGAAAAAATGTGCTGAAAAAGGATTCCTGTGTAACGGTCACTTCGCGGCTGCCCTGCTTGTTACCTGAGAAGGGGAGCAAATCAGTACGTTGCGATTCTATGGGGTATTCTTTCAGGTTCGGCCTGAGGTGGAAGTGCAATTCATCTAGCAGTGATTTATATAAGGAAACCCCGGCAATGATTTGCGAGCAATGCGAGCAATGCGACACGGATGCGACGGCCTGCGAGTCGCGAGAGCGCGGATCTGTCGCAAGTCTTGCGACAACTCCTCGCGACTTCGTGAGCATATGCCCACTATTGGGGCGCACTTCAGCGGGCTACCCCTAATCCTAACCTACCTAGCTAGACCCCAAACGGGCCGCGCAAAGGCCGTCGCTTGTATTTATTGAGTTTGTTTTTGTTTCTTCGCTCGAGAAAGAGAAAACGCCTAACCCTCAGCACTATTCTTCCAAAGGAGAGAACAAGGGCAAGACCACTACAGCCTGCATATGCAGGCCAGCCTCCCGTCAGGCAATTCGCGAATCCCGACGGTTAGGCCCTTACCCTATCGCCACGCACCTAACTGCTGGCGGGCGCCAATGATTTGCGAGCAATGCGAGCGATGCGACAAACCGCGGCCGGTTTTGCGATCAATGCGAGTCGCATTGCTTATATAAATCTCTGATCTAGGCAAGACGAAAAACCCGGCAAAAATCTTGTCGTGCTCGTCTAGCGACATGAAGTAGCGATAGCATTGCCTTCAATTCTTTCGCAATGGCAGTGCGAACCCGCAGTGCTGTAATCATGTGTTGATCGCCTGTAGTAAGATGAAAGCTCTGTACTCTACAATTCCAATCATGCGCACCTTTTCCGCCGCGCCCTTTGCGACCTCGTTCAGGTTTATTGTCCACTTGGACTTTCTTTTGCGTGATGTTTTTGCCTTTTTTCCAGTGGATTTGGGAACACTGCGTCGATAGCACATCGAACTCCCCGTCCATGTATTCTCGCTCCTTGAGAAATACCGCTTTGCGGATGGTTCTATTCGTGAAGAAAGGATTTGGTTTGAACAGGAAGTCCGCGAAAAGGTGGCCGCTCTTTTCCAAAAATTCCATGTTCTCCAGGTACTCGAGACAACAGATGTCCACGTCCTGGACAAACTCCTTCAGGTCGGACCGCTGGAAGCACTCTAGCCAGAAACCGGGAATTTTGGGTGTTCCGAGGGAGTTGGCGTGCTTCTGCATTTCGTCGAGTTGTGTTACCTCAACATCTGCGGCGCTGTCGCTTTGTCCTGCTCTGTCCTTCGCGTTTCCACCCTCGCCCGCCGTCTCCGTGGCGGCTGGCGCGGAAGCAAGTATCGCCTTCCGTGTGTCGAGGTTCCTGTTGAGCTTCTTCGCGAACTGGGCCTTCACTTTTTCCAGTTCCTGCTTCAGCTCGCTCGTCAAAACTGCGTATTCCTCGTCCAGTTTTACGAGGTCCTTCACGACCAGCGCTTCCTCATCCTCGCCCTCCTCCTCTTCGTAGTCATACTGATCTGGAATCACGTCGCTTGGAGACAAGTCACCGTCCCCCCTGTTTTGAAGTCACAAGATCAAGATGTTGATAAAACATCTTTGACAATCGTGATTATTTTCCGACAAAAAAAAAATGAAGTAGATCAAGGAGGGATGCGTCCGTTCAGATTCAGCTGAGTGGAGTTTCAACTTTAAGCTATTGACAAACTTCACAAGAAAAGGTCGCAACTGTACTGTTTCGTTGCCCCTTTTGCGTCACTCCCGTCTGTTCCTGCAGGCGCCATTTTCTGTCGGAGTAGGCACAAGTGCACGAAGAAGAAAGAGAAACACTATGATTGAACAAGGGAACAAAAAGCGAATTACTAGTACGGAAAAATTTTCTCGGAGGAACGAATGAGCCTGCGGGTGATCAGAATGACTTGAAACACACAGTGAAGCAGATTCACCAAAAGAAAAAAAGTTTGCGAGAGCGTGAAGGTGGATCGCTAAAGTGGTTTCGTGTGCTTTGTTGTTTGCCGCTCCACGATCGCTGCAAAAATGCTGAAGACCATGATAGGACGAGGCATGTTGTATCGAGCATGTGCCTGTGAAATGGATCGCGTTGGTGCTCCACCTGTTGCTGTGCTATGGCTATCGTTCTTTCGACATGCTGGTCCTATTAGATCGCGATCTTTTATGAAAAAACAAAAAGTCGGCCACGCCATTCTTTTCCTTCATCTCTTTACACGGTGGACGGATGTTGCCCTTCTCTGCCGGTGTTCGTCTGTGATTGGGAAAACTGGTATGTTAAACAGGACAGAGGACGAACACCAGCATGGTGCTCGGAAATGTGCTTGGATCAGCCTTCCTCTCGTTCAAGTGGTTCTGGTCTTCACCATGGAATTTTTTTTTTGTTCATTTTTAGCTGAAACTAGCCAAAGCGATCATACACGACCGCTGTGCGGAAGATTCAGAAGGCTTTCATGGATGCGGCGCGCCCTCACAATTCATTGTAATTGAGATTGACGGCAGAAATACAAACACATAGACATACCTAAATACGCATATGCTTCTAGTATAAGTTTATCGAACAAAATCTGTACGTAGGTGGATGACAGTTTTTGTTTTTGGCACTGGCTTGTTGATAGCGCATGTGGCAACGGACAAGCGGCGAGAGCGCATGTGTTCCTCCGGACACAAACAGAGGCAATGACTGAGTTACGCCAATAGAAAAAGCGCCCTAGCGGTACTTGGTATCAACATTTTCCAGCGTCTCTATGGTGTGCGTTCAAGAACGCCGTTGTAATTGCGGCAGCTGCGCCGGGTGCCGGGTGGCGAGAAGTAAGTAGACCATCACGCACTCAACCAAAGAATCCGACGTGACTGAGGACTATGTTCGTATTCGTTGGTTTGTGTTGTCGCTTGCAAAATGAGGCAAAGCAGAAATCCTACACGTAACGTGTGAGCTGCTCGGTGTCTGTTGCGTAGACTGACGACGAATCCACATCACGAAGCTCGTCTTCGTTTCGTCGTCCTGGGCTGGATATAATTGGCGCAGTGTCGACAAGGGGAGCGCGGGCTCGTTTTTCCGCTGCTCGTTGCTTCTGTGCAGCCGGTGGCGGCGATCGATATCGCCCAGACGGCAACTCGAGGTCGAAGGGAGACGAAGAGTAGGCTGCTTGCTCTCTTGCAATGTCCTGAGGCGACGGCAGGTAGTTCGACGCCAGCCCTGATTTTGGTGCCGGAAAAAGCATGCTGGTGTTGTAAAGCTTCTGCGTTACTGCAGACGACGCCACAGACGCGCTGTCCGCTTGGCGCAGGTCTTCTTCCACAACTTGTTCTTCATCAGGAGCCAGAAGGAGGTTGTCGTCGTTTTTGACCACACCGAGCGGCTCCTCGACACTGTGGTCATTCAGTAGCAAGCCGCCACGAGCTGCATTGGCCTGGCTGCAGGAGTCCTTCTGTTCTGGCTGCAATTCAAATTCATTGCCTGAGAAGTTTACGACAAGAAGATGATCGGGCGCCTTCCTACTACTCGTCGCTGTGTTTATTTCCCATCCGCGCTCCTGGTGGCTCCTTCCGCCAGGCGAAAGCTTTTGTTGTCCAACGCTTGTGCTCCGCCTAGGCGAATAAAGAAACTCTGATCCCTTGTTAGCGCCAACCGCTGCAGCTTGACTCCGCGGAGACGTCCCTCTTGCATACCCCTCACGATCCGGCGGGATTTGCTTTTTTCGCTCTACTTCCGTTTCAATGACGAATTTCGTCGGCTCCCCGATCTTCGACTTTGGAGAAGCCGAACGAGGCGAGGCGGATGTGGCACGACCACCAGGAGTTCCTGCTCCAGCGAGTGCTAGTGTCTCCAAATACGCCGTGACGGCGCTGCCCGTTTTTGTCTTCGGTCGGCCTGCTGTGTCGACATCGCCCGTTTTGAAGTTATCTGGAGAGGACACTCCACGCGTCGCTAGCATTGTTCCCGAGGTGGTCGGCGGGCTGGCTCCATGTTGATCTCGGACGTCGCGTCGGTTCAAAGTGTTCTCAACGCGACTTGCAGCCGAGTTAGCACCACTGCGTGCCAAGTTGTGATGATGTGATGCAGAATGATCTGCTGTGCTACTCTTTCCCGTGATATATTTTCCAACATCCCCCTTCGTCGCACTGGAGGAGGAGGTGAGTCGCTGGAACAAGGCTCGAATGCTCGGTGCCTTCAGTCGAGCGGCGAGCTTGTGCACGAGCTTCATGCGGCGCGACATGGCGTTCACTTTTTTGCTGAGCTCCGCGCTCAGCAACTTCTGGCCCTCGTAGTTCTCCGCCAGGTAGGGATCCTTGACGCGTTTGCGCTGGATGGTTTTGTCCTTGGCGTGCAGCTCCAGCTGCATGTGCTGCAATTTGCGCACCAGTGCATGGAACGCTTCCTGTGCCTGCAGGTGGTGCCGAATTTCTAGGCTCACCTGGAGCTCCAACGATTCCACTTTGTGTCGCCGATCCACCAGCTCCGCGGCCATTTTTTCGCAAGCTGCCTGCTCCTGCTCCAGGCGCTCGCGCGTGTGTGCCAGGTTCCGTGAGGCTTTCGCCAGCTTTTCGTGCAGCTCGTCTACCTCCAGGCTCTGTTTCTGCGTCAACAAAAGCTCCTGTTTGATTTTCTCGCGCAACGCGTCTTCGTCAATTGCGGGAAGCCCAGTGGATGGCTTCTCGACCTCCACGATCTCTTTCTCCGGGGAACGGTTTCGGGACAGAGCCAATTCGTATTCCTTCTTCGTCAGGTCGGCCTGCAACTGCGCCAGTTTGTCTATGGCCCGGACAGATCGTTTTTTTTCATGTCGTTCGAAAAATTTTGAATAGCTCTTTTGAATGCATGAAGTGCAGCTTCTGAGCTGCTAATTTGTATGAGTGTGTTAGCTAATTCACTAGCTAATAACTAGAGAAGCACATACGTAGCTACACATGTGAACTACTTAACCTTAAGCTATCTAGTCTAATCCACAAGACTAGATAGCTTGAGGTTACCTAGCTAGCTCATGACGTGTATTTGTATTCACACTAGCTAGCTCGTGATGATTCTCTATGGTACACATGTTTAGCTACACAAAAACGACTATCGTTTGCGATCATGCAAATACGTATTCAAAATTTTTCGAACTAGTTGGAAAAAAACGATCTGTCCGTGCCATATTGTCAGTCGTCGTATGCCAGATGAAAACAGAAAAATGCTACTAGGTCGAGTCGAAATTGAGTGATATTTTGTATGTCATCAGTGAAATCCCTCGATAAGCAACAGCATTTGCAGCTAGTAGTGCAGGAGGTAGTGCGTGTGTTGAAAACGCATTTTGATTTTTTCGTTTTGCAGAGAAGATGCAGTTTTGTTGTTCCTGACTTGAGTGCTGTGGACAACATTTTTCTGTTTGAATACTTAGCGGCCGCGTCATTGTGCAGATCGTCCTCCATCTCCGAATGCCGGCGGAGCTGCTTGTTCAGGTGCGCCATCTCGTCGACTCGCTTCTGCAGACGCTGTTCCAACGCTTCCACCTTGGCCTGTGATGTAAAAAGTACTCTACTCGTTGTTCTTGCAGCGAATTGGATTGCAAGTAAAGCGCGAGGCAATTCTAATTCCCTTTCGTAAAAATGCTGGTAAAATGGAAAAGATCATCATGTACTTATTCACTATGGTAGGTCGTAAATGCACTAGTTTTTATTTTTTCATGGAGACCGTTTTAATACGTGTCAAAGGGATGACTACCTCGAGCTTCTTCCTTTCCTGTTCGCTCTCTTTTAGGAGCTTTTTTCCCTTCAGTACTTCCTGCTTCTTTTCCTCGTCCCTCTCTTCCACGAGTTTCTGCCGTTCCTTCGCGAAGCCCTCCTTCAATTTGCGCAGCGCCGTCTCCTTTTGCGTTTCAGCCACCTTCAGATCCAGCTGCGCACGCCGGTCCGCCTCCGCGAGCCGCTTCTGCACTTTCTCGTATTTCCGTGCCAGGACGACCTCCTTCCAACCCTGCACTGCCCGCGCTTTCTCGACGAGAGCCCCGCTCTTGTCTGCAAGAAACTCCACGGACCCGCGGCGGTGTTCATGGGCCATGTCCAGGGTATGCTGCGCCCTCCGCCGTTCGCGCTCCGCAGACTCGGCGGCCTCCTTTAGTTCCTGATCTCGCCGAGCGACTTTGCCCTCCAGCTCCTCTGTGGCCTCCTCGAGTTCCTCCATGCGGCCTTCCGTGAAGCGCAGCTTCTCCTTTAGGCTGACGTTGGCGTTAAATAGAGTGTCCTTCTCCTCCAGAAGCTTCTTGTTCCGCTCCCGCAGCACCTCGCACTTCGCGGTCCAGTCGTAGATGGCGTCGTTCAGCCGCGCGAACTCCTCCTCCATATCAAAAGGAAACATCCCCCCTCCCCATATCGAAACGAGGGCTCTGATGCTGGATTTCCGTACACAAATCAGATTTGTCTTGCAGTAGAGGACTGCAGGCATATGTCAGGCCTCAGCCGAGGGGTTTTGACGTAGGCGCCTAGCATGACAAACGTGCATGCTCTAAGCCCAACAGCATCACAAACCGCCTGCAAAATTCGGGGGGCTCTCTTGACTTGCCTTCTTGCAAGACAAACAGGATTTGAGGTCACAAATGTGCATCACAAATTTTCAGACGGCTGCGTTTTAAATATGGGGAGGGGGGACTTTTCCTTACGATACTCCACCTCGTTCTCCTTGTCCTGCTGCTCCTCGGTGATCAGCCCCTCGTCGAGCAGACACGTGCGGTCAAACATCGTGCCCTTATCCCGCATCTTGCGCACCATGCGTGGCTCCAACAGCATCTCCGTAAGCTCCTCCTTGTCGCAACAGATGCACTTACTCGCCCGCCCGCAGTCGTAGCACGGCAAGCTTGGGTAGGAAGCTCGCTTGGTGCGGTGCATCTCCGTAGACACTTTCTCCCCTGTCAATGCAGTAGAATTTTCGTGAAATAAATCACATGGACCGCACGTATCTGGCGGCTAAACCACGTCGCAGGCTTGAAATGCCTTTTAGTTTTAGTGATACTTACTTTCATGATCAAGAAGAATACACCACCGTTGGCAGAAGAATGAAACACGATCGAGATAGCGCTTGATCTCATGAAGTCGCTCTTCGACTACTAGAAGTAGAACTAGCGCTTTCTTGTCGCTCATTATATACCCATCAGCTCTTCCGCGGAGTAGCGCATCTTGTTTCGCAAGGCGGCGGCTCCAGCGATGCGCGTCTCTTGCTGCGCCTGGATGTCGCGCTGGCCCGCTACGTCCTTGCGAAATATTTTGACGGGTGGCGGCGAGCCAACGTCGAGCACAGCGCTGCTTGCTTCCGTAAATCTAGCATCGCGGCCCTCACGACCGGAAGTAAGACGCGCCGTTCCTCCAGATAGCATCCTGCTTCACCTTGTTCTTTACTTATTCGATCTGCTACTCGCTAGTGCTGGCAGAACGAATAGGCCACCTCAGATTCACAAGAATCCCCTCCATTTTGCTTTTGTCAGACGTCCGACATAAAAATCCCGCGAAGACGTGACGTTCATCTTGATGTGTCGTCGCGGCCACGACTTCTTGTTGCGTTTCTTCTTCCTGTCGTTCCCCCGACGCCTCAATCATTTTTGTCAGTGCGGCGCGAGACCAGATTTATACAGGCCGTCTCTCATAATTCTCAATTGGACGAGCCGATCCGGTCCCAGGTCCAGACCCCGACATTTTCGAACTACAGTCCCCGGTCTTTAGACACGTTTCTCAGCAATAGCGTCAATTTTTCTTGATGCAGCAGCATCGCCTTTCTGCGCGAGTAAAGAAACAAGTGAGAGCCGATCACGTCACTTCTTGCTTCCCTCAACAGTAACACCGGACCCACGCGGCCTCAACATCCATGCAGACTCTAAGTTATTTCCGCGACCTTTCGCTCGTTCTCTACGCGGGTACTTACACAATGAGCATGCCGAGCATTAGCATTTGCACAGGGCAGATACGTGTATTTCTATCATGCGCCTCCGCCCCTTGTTCCACGTTCCCGAACGTGCGGTGGCTCGCTCAACACGGAATCAAAAAGAACTCGTGTCTAACAGATTGAGATTGCAGAACTTAGCCCCCGTTGTATCGACTGACCTGAGTAGAGCACTCGGGTTATCGCCCTCACGACCAGGTGGAGGAGGGTTGATTAGCACTTTGAGCATCTATCTCTGTCTGTTTGTAGTTGCTGAGCATGAGCTACATTCTTTCTCTTCCAGGAACAAGGTGCTAGCTGTATCTGCATGCGAAGATTCTTTGACACGCAACTGCACATAGCACCTCCGTGTTCGCTCGGGGAAAAATGTCCACCGTCAACCGTCGTCACGTGCTGATGGTGGATACAGGTGAGGGTGCTTTCACCTGTGCTCCCTTCTGATGGCTACACACCAGTTCCGCCGGGTTTCGCTTCGCGCGCGTCGAGAAATCGTCCACCGTCTTTGCGAGGCCGGCCTGCAACGACACAGTGGGCTCCCAGTTCAGAAACTTCTTCGCCTTCGTGATGTCAGGCTTCCGCCTCCTCGGGTCGTCCTGTGGGAGCGGACGGTACTCCAGGCTCGAGTTGGTGCTCGGGAGACACTTGATCACTTCTTCGGCAAGCTCCTTCATGGTATACTCCCCCGGGTTTCCGAGGTTGATCGGGCCTGATAAGATAGTACATCACTTTTATTTCCATACAAACGCCCCTTGGTACTGGTGGCACAGGTTGTCCTCTTGCATGCTCCTTCGCTTTTTGTTGACACGTTCATGTTTCTTTTTGTGAAGACCACAACTTGATGGCTTATCCATCATTTTCAGTCCGCAGACCGGATTCGATCTTCATTCACCAGCATTAGCATTGTTGTAAACCCTAACAAAATAACGCCTACCTATTGTTTCCGTTTGGTTCATCATCCGGTAGATTCCTTCGACAAGGTCGCTGACATAGCAGAAAGATCTGCCTTATGAAAATGCAATAACTGTCGCGTAAACGTTGACATCCGTACTGGTTAAAGCTTTGCTGGTGCGTTTTCGTCATAATGATTTATGTCATCTCGATCATGAATACACATACGCAACGCGGGTTGTTAATGTAGCAGTTGGAGCTACAGCTCCAACATGTCCTTTTCACACCGAGTTCCACCATGCGATTTCCTCAGCGATGGCCACCGTTAATGACAAAAATGTCAATGAGCTTCCTGGTGACATAAACTAACGGAAAAAAAGGCACTTCGGATGAAAGACACGACACAACTGGTTTTCACACTTGTAAACTCTGCGATCCGTCTCCGTAAACCGTTATCGGGTCGTTGCGAAGAGCCTGAGTTTGATTTTAAGTTGCTGTAAGCAGTGTTTGGAATTGGAGTATTGAATTTTTACATCCAGCAGTTTGCTTGCCCTATCCCTACTTCCTCGCTGTTGCTGCCCCATACATTTATTGTTATTCTAGGCAAACGATTACGATGTTGCACTAGCTCTAGCTTTAGTACTTTTTTACTAGCATGAAAGAGACAACAAACATCAAGAGTCATGCTAGCATCGCTCGATGTGGATGCGGTGGATAAATATGCTGGCAAAGAGGACCGAAATTCGAAATTTTCCTGAGATGCTCAGCTCAATACCTGGACGATAAAATTGGACACAACTCGCCCGTCATTGAAAATCATGCGTGGACCGTAAGTGTTAAAGATTCGAATGATGCGAATATCGACGCCGTGCTGCCGATGGTAGTCCATACCTGGGATGAAGATGACCTTGATCATAATTGGAGGTTCTGATAATTATCAATGGCACTTTCGAAAAAAATATATCGCAAGGTGCTGCTTCAGAAGAATGTGTCCAGTTGCACGGGGCAAGCACAAGCAGTGAGTCTTTCCGCTGTACAGAGTGTTTCTGCCGTCCGCTTGCCTTCGTCGTAGCACGACCTTGGGCCGATACAATTTACGTTTCCAAAATATTCTTCCGGTTGTGGATGCACGTCGGGATCGCCATACACCTCGGACGTGGAGGCCAGTAGCAATCGAGCGCCGATTCGTTTCGCCAGACCGCACACGTTCATGGTTCCCATGATGTTGCACTTTATGGTCTTGATTGCGTTGTGCTGGGGATTATGCATCAAAGCAACGGATCTATCTCTCGTCCAGTGCTGTCCTGCTGGCCGCACTTTAGTCGCATCTTGCGGCTGCATCTTTTTCAGGCCTGTTCTTGACAAAAAGCAATACTTAATATCATCATCACAATGAGGCCGGGACGGCGATGGTACTGGCGAGGCGCTCCTCATATAATTCTAATTTTTCATGAACTGCGTTGGCGCTTGGCATTGCTCCTTGTCGTCATCATGATGTTCAGAACTACAACGGCAACGCCAGAGACCGCTACTCTGCTGCAGCGCATCCGTTGCTTTGCATACTAGTGAACCGGGCTGGCAGGACAGGCAAGGTGATAGATCTGGTCCACCTCCACCATCAGGTGCTCCACGATGTCGTGCCTGTCGACGTTATGGGTAACTTCCTAAATGTAAAAATGAAGAATCAAGATGAAGCCAAACGCTTTCTGCGTTCCTTCACCGACATGATCGACTAAGTGTAAGTATAGAAGAAAAAAAAAGGAAATACACCCCAGGGCAAAACAACACGGCGTGGCGAGCGGGGCACAGCACTTTAATCTACTTATGTGAGAAGTAAAGGCAATGTATGTGGCGTATGCAATGAATAGTACCTTATCATCTCGAAATTAGGATGGCCCATCCAGCGAGCTACGTTGTCCTTCTTACCGGTGAAAAAGTTGTCACACACGATGCAATCATAGCCGCGCTCCATGAGATAATCCAGCAGGTGAGACCCGATGAATCCCGCGCCACCCGTGATGAGAACCCGGGTTCGGGCACCCTCTTTCCCGGCATTTGCTTCCAGCATTTTCTGCTGCTCGCTCACCTCCGAGGACGCCGTCATCTTTTTATCTGCGCTCCTTCTACGCACTCTGAGAAATCTAAAAAGAAAAACGCTTCAAAATAGTACCCGACACCAGCTCAAATGCCAATCATTGATTTTATTATGATTTTGGTAGTACAATACGGTCTCTAGTTCAGAAGCAGGCTAAAAATTCTGCTCCGAGGAGGGTGAACCAGACGCACTGAAAAGAAATGGAAGCTATGAGTATACCATCGGACGAATGCCAAAGCACTGCGATTAATTGAATTATGGGGCACATGATCGCGATACTAGACCTCTGCGTGGAGCGGTGCCGCAGTTATTTCGTGTATACCCAAGTTTAGTTTATCATTCTCGCCGGAAAGCAGCGAAAAGGAATTAGTGGTCTCTCTAGTAAAGATACCAGCGAGCAGGTTCAGGTATCTGTAACTGAAGTCTTCAATCATCCTGTGGAACAGCACAACAGACATCTCATCTGCGTAAAAATTTACCATGTTTTGCAACTAGGTTGTCAGCAAATTTGTCATCAAGACTCCGACTTCCGAGGCAGTGTAGAAGCTGACTTAAGTCGGCTCCTTTTCATCTCTAATGAAGAAGATGAGTCTGAACGGACTGAGAAAAAAGGAGAGGGAATTGCGTTCGCGGGTTTTAACACGAAAATCTCGATTCATCGCCGCCCTATGATTCAGCTTCAGAGCAGCACGCTCGTAGGCTCAATGGTGAGAATTGACACCAACACGCCCGCTACCCCCGCATACACACCTGCCATCGCTGCGAATTTGGCCATGCTCAAACTCTTTGCGGTCTCCCGCCGAGTGTGCCTTCGATAGTTGAGTAAGATTCGCTCTTTCACCGGCGCCGCCGGATCTGCTACTGGAAGGACCTGGATCTGCCCGTTGAAGTAGGGTAGGACGATGCTCACGGCAGTCTGTACCAGGACCGCGCAAGCGGCTAGGTACATAAAGATCTTTGCCCATTGCTGGATTTCGCCGCCTTGGGCCTATGGGCCAGTAAATACGCCCAGAGCGTTGTTCTACCACCTCTAATGTGGCCAATCAAGCGATGTCGTTCTCTATACACAGTGTTGTATGCCAGGCCTTTTTAATATCGCATGCAGTCATTGTTGCATCTTCTTGCGGCACGTTGCACCGTAAAAGAATGGAATGGTGCTGGAACTTGGAGGCAAATTGCGCGTCGAGTGTAGTTTTTGCCACTCCCGAGGCACGTGATGCATCTTCCAAAGTGTCGCCATGCAATATACCACAGGAGAAGGTAGCTCCAGCTTTGGGCCGAACCCTTCGGTGGATAGGTTTGGGCGCACCTCCATAGCGCGGAACCGAGCGGCCACAAACACGACGCCCAACATTGGAATCAGCTCCAAGGACGGCAGCGACTCCTCGAGCATGATTTCGAGGTTCGTTTTTGCATGCAGCTTCAGGACCCAAAGCGAGTAGGTATTGCAGTGAAAAGTGCCCCCCACCCCTGAAATTGCAAAATTTGTGATGCGAAGTTTCCAAATGAAAACTTTCTGTCATGCATGGAAGGAGTATGGATCTTTCTGATGCAGAGTCTAGGCGTGTATCGCATCGCTTACATGACAAGCGCCGCTCTTGCTGGGGCCTTTTGCAATACAAATTTTTGCTATTCACGGTTGAAAACCTGTGATGCTGATAGATGCAAGAGCGCGAATGTTTCATTTGGAAAGGTTTGCAATACAAATGCTTTCAAGTTCGGGGGTGGGGGCATTTTTCATTGTAATAGTAGGAGCGAATCATTTGGAGAAGGATGAACACCACGAAGTAGACCATGACTACTAGCAAAATGCACTTTCCAGGCGTGGAAAGCGCAGGAGTGCTGCTCCCGAAGTGCTTCGGTAGCTCGAGGTCGAAAATGCTGTAGATCACCACCACTGTGCCGGCGTAGATCGAAAGGAGAAACAGGTACTTGGCGCACTCGAGCAGAAACCCCAACAGCGTGTTTAACTGGTGCACTAGTGGCTGGAGCAGCGCCAATACCGTCTGCCCCAGCACGGCGTAGGTAGTCACGTAGAAGGCCGTTTTCGCGTACTCCTGCGGCTCCGTCTTCAGTTGATTCGCGCGCAGTCGCACCGCGATGAAAAGCACCGCGAGTATGGGACACAGCTCACTGGCCTCCCGTGCCTGTTGTCATTTTCATTTATATGCTTTCCTGCGTCTCTCCCCAAAGAAACATCAAGCAGTTGTTCATCTTCTACTCCGGCAGTCTGTAGCGATGTGCTGTGATGTACTCCAGCATTTTGAACACACGAGCAAAAACTTCTTGTTCTTACATACGAGTTTTAGTATTTATTTACCCGCTCCAGAAACTTCGCTACTTTGGTCGGTTGCCGGTCCGGGGTGCAAAAGATGGAGTACATTTGGGAGGCGTAGAGTGCCAGATAGACCGCGAAATACTGGAGCGTTAGATTAATGAGACACTGCAGGCTCGCGGGCACGTCGGGGGTCCAGGACCAGGCACAGGTGGGGCAGTGTCGGTTTCCGGCGGGCGCCTCCATCGCAATCAGCGCGAAGATGACCACGGAGAACGAGGCATAGACAGCAAATGTGAGCGCTGTGCGGGTGATCGACAGAATCTTCACTGCCCGCATGGCCACCAGCTTCCTCTGGTAAGCCTGCTGCCGCTTTTCGTGTCGCGTCAACCGCTTTCTCTTTCCGACGGAGGGGACAGCCGCGCCGAAAAACTTGGTCGCCCCCACGTCTTCGTCGTGGCTTTTGAAAAGGGAAAGGTGGCGCTTCCTCTCTCAGTCTCATTTGAACGATGAGGGAACAAACTCGACTCCCCTTCTGGCTCGGAAAATTTTCTTACAAATCCAAAAAGTTGTGCCGCGGTTTCGCTTTGGAACAAATACGAAGCCTGTCTGAGTCTGTGTAAATCATACATTTACATATGCATATCCATATGTTGATTCCAATATAAAAACGGCAAGAAGCGCGCAACGACATCCTACTTTCCGGTGCATACCGTCAGATTCACCCACGTCGCCGTCTCCGTCGATGTCGTAGCCAGTCGCACTTTCTACGGCGTCTTCTACCCGATCCTTGAGCCGCTGCAGCCAAGTATTCGCGGGCGGTGCCGGGGGCGCCTCCGGATCACCAGCAGCTGTGGGAGCACCGCCCACGGGGTCGTTGGCCGCCATGCCGCTCTCTGCCTTGCTCACGTCCGAGATGAAGAACGGAAGGACAGCGGCGACGATCGTGTCCGTCAGCACGGCGTACGTGGCAACGTACATGCAGGTCTGCGCGTACCCGGGCGGGCTCTGGTTGTCCCCAAGCGTGGACGCCCGGAGCCGGGTCGCGATGAAGAGCACCGCCAGCATCGGGGCCAGCTGCACAGTTTGCACCATTTTTTGCAGCACCTGCTCCAGTTCTAGCGCATCCGGCCAACGCGTGGATTTGAGCGTGGTCGTTGCCTGGTCCCTCGTGGACATGGGAGCCGATCCGCGCCCGGTCTGGCTCTGAAAGTATTGAGGTTGGATCTGTCTCTTCAGCCATATTTACCGATTCTTTATGTATTTTTGTCATGTTTAGTTTTGTGCTCTTCTTGTTCCTTCAGAACTTGTTCAGCTAAAAACGTACTTAATTTCAAGGACGAGTCCCTGTTTTCTACAACAGGTTGACCGCCACTGGAAATACTCAGGCATGATGACATCTTCACATCATTAACTGCCGCTACCTGAATCAAAGGCCGACCCCGTTCGCTACTTGGAGGCGCTCGTGTGGAGGCAGTGATAGGCGCTCCATTTCCATCTATTGTAACATCGATATCATTGTCCGGCTCGTTGCCACTTGGATTTGTCTCGATCGCGCCCTTTCTGAGTTGGTTGTAGGTGCGCAGTATGTGGTAGGCAGCGTAGACGAGAAAATACTGAAATGTGAGGGAAATGACGTTGATCAAGGTGGGACTGACCTCAGGTACTACGGCAGTAGTTCCGGACCCAAAATTACTCCAGGACGTCGAGCCCGAGCCGGCAGCAAGGAGATGCTGCATCTGCAGCAAATTGGTGTTTGCACTTCTACCGGTGTCGCTGCGCGGCCGTCCGAAGGGCGACGAAAAAAACGCGCGACCGGTGGTTTGCGTAGCATCCCCGCGAAGCTCACTGGCGGTTAATCCTGCCTGCGCTCGTGCCCCCGCTCCTGACAGATCAGAACGATTTAGAATAGATTCGATAGGAGCATCGAATTTAGGCGAGCTCCGATAGAACTTTTTTTTCCGCCTGCGGTGCGGGGAAGCAAACGATGATCATGAATGCACGCACGAGCTGGGGCTTGCTCAGTCTTTTGGATTTTTGTCCTTGCAGGAACCAAAATAGGCTGCGTCGCGTGTTTCCAGACGGGCAGCAAATAGATGACAGATCAAATCAAGAGAAGCTGCTAGTACTTTATTTTCACTTCCGCATTCTGCCACTCAGAAACAAAAGTACCTCCTGGTATCTTAAGTACCTTGCGCCACCTCACCTCTACTCAGACCTGTGGCTGTTGTCTGTACGAGTCGCGTCGCATCGTCGTCGGCCCAGCTGTCTTCGCCAGCACCGCCTCGATCGCCTCCGCTTTTACTTGGGCCAAGGAAAAGCTGTCGTGCCCACGAGGAAATAAGCCCACCACCTCCTGTACCTCCACTGGTGGCCGTCGATACTTCGTGTCGGGAAAGAGCCACCGCCGCTTGGGGCGCCGTGTCCGTGAGGTGAGTGATAAAAATGACGCAAGCAACAGGGCGCAATCTGCTCAAATAAATGGACGATGGCGCTGAGGCACCAGAGGCACGCGGACAACCTGCGGGAACGGCCACCATTGTTTCGCCCTTCGTCTTGTTACTCGTCAGCGACACGAATGGGAATGCGTGGCTCGGTGACGTAGACACAAGAAGAGACTTCTGCCTTAAATGACTCGCCCCACGCCATCAATACGCCCACTGAACTACATCTTCCACCTGGCTCACTGCATTCATTTCAACCAAAACTTCTTTCCATGAGGACCATGGCTACGCTGCATCTTTCGCGAGGGGAACGCACCTCGTCAAACATGTACATGTCTGAGTGGTATGCCACAAGGACTTGTGGTGCGGCAGTGTATCGCAGCAGAGCGTCCGCTTTGTCGCCGGGCCCGGGCCGGATACAGAAAAATACGACTGCGCGAAAAGAACCCAGAAGCGATTGTCTATCTTATCCCTTTGCTATGAATTCCTTCCGTGGTTCGTAGGGGCGATTGAAACATGGCACGTCAGTATTTTTCACCGCTGCCATCAATCTGTTCGAAAACTGCCCTCCAAATTCAGCAATATGCAACAGATACAACTGTTTTGGCTACTCTCTGTCTTTCACACGAAATACACTTTGATGCCACTTTGCGCTCACGCTCCGGTGATGCGCACCTTTGTTGAGATAGACAGAGATCGCGGTGACATTAATCAACTTCACCTCATGCCACGCCGACTCTCCACAACGCTTCTCGTTCCCCGGAAGATGCTGCGACAACGAAAACCTGCCTTGTTGCGCTTATCATCCTGGTATATTTCACATTTTCATTCAGTTATTCACATTCTTTAATTTTGAAGACTTATTATTATTTTTCTTTCATACATAAGCAAAAACATTCTTCCAAAAGTCTTCTTCACCATTCACATGTCGATCGATTCTCTTACCTTAAAAAAATTCAGTGGGTTTTACTTTCAGCCAGTGCATGGCTAGGATCTGGATCCATTGGACGGCTAATCTTAATGTTGATGAAAGACAAAGATAGACACAATGAAATAAAAATAAATGCGAATCCATGTTGTCAGGCACGTTCCTCAATATGTTTGCGCATCCCCCTCGAGTAGCCGTACAGCTTCAGTTCATTAGCACTGTTCCGCAGGGTTCTGATCCGAAAACATCGAGAAAGGGAGACCAAAAAAAAAGCAATGACTATGTCAGCATGAAGATGAGCATCGTTTTCATTTTTTGTGTGAATGTGCTTTGAGTACACCTACACGGTGCAGGATAGAAACCGAAAAAGAAAGGTTAAGGTGGTATATATAAACAAAACTCGTCTCATAACAAACTCTTTCTTTTCAGAGGTTGGCTTTGAGTTCGCTGGTCACAGTCGTCGACTTTGATGTGCTTCCGCTGCTCGTGGCCGCACACAGTGCGTCGTACTCGGCTTGTCCGAAGGGTTGGTACCTAGCGCGTCCACCTTGAACGGTCCTACCCCGACGAGAAAAAGCAGTGACGGTCCCAGCACGATGGTCCTCCGGGTCCTCTGCTGCAGTTGTCGTGACTAAAGAGAAGAGACGGTCGGGGGAGCAGTGTTGCGGGTCGATTCCTTGCTGGCGCATTCCGCCTTTCTTCCTTTTATGCAATTGAGAACTTGAACTACTAGAACATGATCAGGTTGGCGAAATAATATGCAAACCAATACGAATTGTTCCGGTTTGTGTTCTGTGCTGCGATCGCCGCGATAGCATGAAGATAGGCAGAAGGACATATGCGCAACGCACTCCTTCTCCCGCGATAGGCAGAGCTCACCTTTTTTTTTGTAAGAGGCACTTGCCCTTTATTTTTCTGCTTCCGCAATACACACAGCCAATGGAACAGAAAGGTGTTACGCCAACTAACAAAGTGTCTAGCCACGTACGACGAGAATTACATCGTATCGACCTCATTCCGTCCCGCGTCGGAGTTCTCATTTTGAGGCTACAAATAATTTTCTTGTTTCTTACAGCTTCCAGGTTTCTGTGTGCTCCATGGCGGCGTGCGTGTGCACGACTCGCACGAACAGCGGCACAGCGTAAGAGGGTAGCTTCTTGCGGCAAAGCGGCAACAGCCGGTCGTTAAGAAACCGCTGCAGGCTTCCGCTATCCTCATCGGTCTGGCCGGTGGCAGAACCGCCGCGGGCGAAATCTTCGCGACAGCCACGTTGCAAAGTCAGCGCGACCAGCGGCGCTCGGCCGTCGGGTTGGTTTGGCACGACAACGCCATAGACATTGGCTTCCTCGATCCTTATCACGTCCTCAACATCGGTCCTGTTGCTCGTGTCCGCCAAGCCAGATATTTCTCCCGCGCCGGCCGAGGAAGGCAGGTCGTCGTTGACTGAAAGGATGACCTGCTGCAACTCCAGCGTGGATACATTCTCGCCCTTCCAGCGGAACGTGTCGCCGATGCGGTCAACAAAGTAGTAATTCCCGAACTTGTCCCGGCGGAGCAAGTCGCCCGTGCGGAAATAGCAATCTCCGGGGCGGGACACGTCCCGCAAAATCTTCTTGTCGGTGGAGGCCGCGTCGCTGTACCCGCTGAAGGTGGTGTGCGGAAGGTAGCTCTTAATCGGAAAAAGCAACTCACCGGGCTCGTCCACGTCACACTCAACGCAAAACGCAGGCCTGCAGACACGACCGGGTTGTGGTGCCGTCGCACTTTTCGAAACGTCGGTCTGGGCCTCGCTGACAGGGACTCGAAGGGGTTCCTCGGTTTCCACGTCAAATTTGACGATTTTCAGCCCTAGAATGGCCCGGGCAACAGCTCCATAGCGTCCAACGCTGCCGACCACATTGCTCGCCTGGTTTCGGCCGCAAAGCAAACCACCTGCTCCGCTTCCAAGTGGGGATCCGCCGCGAGGCCGCTCGGCTCGTCCGCCCGTGGTTGGTGATATTACCGAGTGCTGGGACGATGAAGAAGATCTGGTGACGAACGCGAACGGCGACGAGAGGCTCCGCGAGACGAACTGCAGAAAGGGTGCAAGAAAGGAGTGGGCGCTGGACCGACAGTCCGCCAGTACGGAATTTGCCATGGCCCCATTGCCTTCGGTTGCTCCGTAGAACTCCAGAACTTCTGGGATTTGAAAGGAGTTCTGGAATTCACGCCACACCTCAGGGCGCAGACCGTTGCCCACCGCCAGTCGCACGCAGTGATTGCGGTGCGGCTGCTGCTGTGGTCGCAGCTTTGATGCAGCCTTTGAATACTCTACTCCGGAAGTTGTCTTGTTCGACGAGGCCGAGGGGATTCCTGCGGTTCTTCTTGGATCTTCGCGACGGGAAAATTCGTCTCCGGCCTGCTCGCTATTCACCAGGTATCGGCACAGTTCTCCAATGTACTGAATAATGGTACAACGCTGCTCGACGACCTCGCGCCAGAAGTGCGTCGACGAAAACCGGCGCGCGAGGACCAGAGTAGCCCCTGTGATCATCATACTCATCACGCCGATGCCGCCCCCGGCAGAGTGGAAGATGGGCAGACAGGTGTAAATCCGGTCCTGACTGGTCACCTGCCCCAGGCCGCTCAGGAACGCACCGAACTGCCACATGCGCAGGTGCGAGACCCTGGCTGCCTTCGGTAACCCCGTGGTACCAGAAGTGTAGATGAACCTTTGATTGTGCAGCATCGACGTGGACGCGGATGTTCTTATCGTTACAAAAGTAAGAGCTTACGATTCGGTTGTATCCACTTCAGACAAAAATCTTTCCTTCACAACATCAAATTGAATTGAAGAACCACGTAGCCATGCACTACAGGACGAAGGAGCGCACAGCAAAAAACATACTCATCAGCTGCAGAGTACACGAGGGCCCGTCATTCGTGTGAAACACGACTCTGTGTTTTGTCAGTTATATTGGCCTCTAGTACTACAGCAAACAGATAAGAAGTACCCGAAAAGGTCTTGAAATTTGACGCCGCGCCTGAGAGCCGGGTCAATTGGAGTTGCGGGAATCTGCAGCAAATCCGTATAGTCTACTTCGTAAATCTTGATCATGTTCGAATAAAATGCGTCTTGATGTTGCTGCTCAACGGGAGACAGCTCTACTTCCAATCCTCGTCCTCGAACAGGCATAACGGTGTTGGTTGTGTCCTCCCCAAAAACATTCTCACCGCCTGTCTGCGCTCGGAGTGGTGCGGCTGCTGATTTACTGTCTCCGCACCAGAGTACGATCTTCACCTTGGGGGGTGCTGCTTGACCGCTACCGCGAGAAGCGGTTTCGTCTGAGTCAAATTTTGCGGATCGCGCCGCCGATTTTTGGTTTTCTTGAACATCTTCCTGGAGGAGTTCACGTTGGATTTCCGCGACGTGCGGCCAGAGAGGCGCGTCAACAATGATGGTCGTGATGCGATCACGATCTGCAGCACCGCCACGCTCTACCTCTACCGCGGCGTCCTGTTCTTGACTGCCATGTGCCGTGTTTTTGGTCCTTGAAATACGGATGCAGTGCAACAGACCTGTCTGCTTCAAGTTGTAATTCAGGAGGCCTCGGTATGCAACTACACAAAATCGTTCGTTCTACTCGACGAGGCAGCATGTACTGGAAGAAACCGAGGAAAGAGAAACTATAATGCATTTCTCATTAATTTCGCCCCACGAGGACAATAGGCCTCTAGTACCGAAAGAAAAAGTAGAATTCACTTCGTCCGGAAGCAAAACACAATCGTTATCAGTTTCAGTACATGGGAGAAGTGATGCATGAAATCTGACCCGCCAGTGTCTGTTGTGCCTTACGATGCTCTTTCGAGAGAGCGAGGAGCAGGAAGTCTCATGTTCAGACAAAAAAACTGTTACTGTTCGTCAGAGGAGCATTTTTGTATTTTCAATGGATACAACGACCGCATTAATTCGGGTTAGCGCGAGCCACCAGCAAACGAACTCAGGCTTGTTCTCCATGTACAAGCAGACTGAGTCCCCGGTACCTACCCGGACAGTTTCTAGCAGGTACAATCCAGGAAAAAAACTGTGTAGTAAGTGTAACAACTTTGTAGGAAGAGCAGCATCACAAATTCGCTTTGCATTACAGGGAAAACCTGTCATGCGCAACTAGTACGTGGAAACGCGTATGATAGTTGCCTACGACGCACTTCCAGCATGACAACTGTATACTGTTTTGCATTTTCTGCATCACAGATTTACTCTTACACAGTTTTTTTCTTGCATAGGTACCTGGCCATCTGCAGCACCGTGCGCTCCATGTCCAGGAAGGTGAAATGCTTGTTCTCGAAACAGATGGCGGTCTTGTGGTCTCCGTATTTGGCCACACTCTCGAGCCACACATCCGTCACCGTAAACTCCTTGTTGGCCATGCGCCACATTTGGTAAAACTGCGGAAAGTATCAAATGTAAAAATGTATGGGTCTGGAGGAATGTCAGACTTGTCATGCAGGTTTTCCATGACCCATGAGGTCTGGCATGTAGGACATAGCATGACAGATTCTGTGGCAGTTCTATCATGCCTATCCTGCATGAGAAACTGCCTCTCGATTAGGTCAAAATTGGACAGCTTTTGGTAATGATGCAACACAGATTTTTACATGATTCAGATTTGGCATGACGGGTTGCTTTGTTCCAGACCCAGACGTTTTTGCATTTGATAGAAAAATTTTCCACGCCAGGTTCAAATCGTTGGTCAACCCGAGGCGCTGGTCTGCCATCTGCAGCAGGGCGAGGCCCGCGAGCCCACCTGTAGCCATGGCGAGGGACCCATTGCTGGAAGTGGAAGTCGATATCGTCGTACCCTGTCATGCCTGGGAAAAGACACTTGGTGGTCTCCGTCTCCACAGCAGCTGCCGACCCTACAAATAGAAATCTTACAAGCCTCGACCTTGTACGCCTTTCGTTTATCTCTCCTTCTTTTTCCATGCTCAAACTAACTCAGATGAACGCGGCGACGCGGAATTGCGACTGCACTACCGTCTTCCGCAGGCAACAAGGCAAGGCGTATGCAACTATAGCTCCATTTCGTTTTGCCAGTGTCTGATCCGTTCATGTTGATGAGCTCAACGCATACACCATAGATACTTAGCGTTGCTTCTTTAGCTAGCTGAGTAGACTCATACATGATTAGAGTATCGGCAGAGGTTGTTTGTCCGGAGCCGCGCGCGGTTTATTACTTCGGGATATTGCACCTTGTCTGTTGGTTCCATTCATTTCGGTTGTTTTCGGATCCAGAACTTGCACCCGCCGGTGGTTTGGCAACAGCGACGACATTTGCATTGCGGACCAACTACGTAGCGACCGACCGCTACCACCAGCTACTCAAAGAAAGGCATGAGTCGCGACGCCGAGTTGAATTTATTATTTCAGTGTCTGCTCAGTGATACAGATCTACCTTGAAGTTTTATTCTACACACCAGTTGTAGCGATTCCGATTGTCTCAATCCACTCAATGAGCCATGTAGTGCTCGCCCCGGTCTGTCTCGCAGAAAAAGCTTACTTGAATACGGGGTATTTCAGACGTTGCGTGTGGCCAGATGCGTGGTGTAGCCAACAATCACCCTCCTTCGAATGGTGACTGCTACCAGAGGAATGGAACCGAAGCGGCGGTCTGAATTTTGAATCGCACACATAGTACCCTCAAGTCACTCTTCATCTTCTGTTTAATATCCTCCGATGGATGCATGCCAGGAACGCTGTGAACGAAAGGGACACGTTCGAAGAGTTACCTTTGACATACGATCCAGCTACGCGGCTGGCCGCGTGGATGAAAAATTATCTGTCATCTTCATGGTCGGGTTCAGTCTATCTTGCAATCTTTTTTTTTGTTTGCAAAAATTGGGAATGTTTTTAGTGTCTGCATTCTGGGGTCGGCCTTGCAGTACTCATCGATCGGTGCTCAAGCAAAAAGATTTAGAAAAGTGCGTGGATTGGGGAGATTCCACGCATAATATGAACTTTTTTCGTCAATGTTCAGGATGAGCAAAATGTTGTCAAACGCGAATAGCTGAAGCTGACGGTACTGCGTGAGAGCCCAATTTTACTTCAACTGGGGGACTTGTTTCTTTCGTTGGCGCGGAGAGCGCTGGGGTGGTAAGGGTAAGGCATAGCATTAGCAACAATACAAATAGAAATACTGGCAAAGCAAAAAATAAAGCAAAATGGATGGTGTGGAATAGAGATGGCGTGGAACGTACACACTTTTTTTTTCCTGACAGCACCGAAGGTGGCGCACTTCATTTGCAATGAATCTGGTTTCGTCTTTGATCAACAGACTGATGAGATTTTGCCTGTTGGGTAGCAGCTGATCGAAAGAACGGCGCCAGAGAAGAACTCAAATCACGGGCTGCAAGAACGAAGGCAAATCAGAACCCGCTTCCCCCTCTCCAGCCCGTTCCGAAAGCAGAGGAGACGGCCTGCGGGTCTTACCCGAACCAATGTTGGTTGTAGACGATGTGCCTGTCGGGAGTTCCCCTTCGTGCTGAGGCTTCTGATTCTCCGATCCGGAAATGGCGTTGCCATTCTTGATATTTTTCTTCACTGGCAAGCGATAAGACGGCAGTCCGCTCGCTCTCTCCGGAGGGGCCGCGGTAGAGTGTTCTATCTTGCTGCTCTGCGATGTCCTTGGGCTGCTGCTGGCTGATATCAGAGCAAAAAGACGAAGCGCTGACGATGCCGATTCTTCCTTGGATAGATTACGCCACACGTGTTCAAGTGTGTGTGGAGGTGGTCTCACAAGACAAAGACAGCTACTACGCAGACATCTCCTGTGGTAGTTTTTCATTACTTAATTTATGGCCAAAGTGTTCAAAACTTGTTCCACTCGTTCGGTTTCGCATCATGCGATTGCGAAACGGAGATGACTGAAAGGCAACAGCAAATAAAAGGAAGAAACACGTCATCGCCGGCACTGTCTTCATCTCAATGGATATTGGTGAGCACTCCCTGCTGACGCTCCGCCACTGGCTGGGGCTCGGAAGCCTGGTGTCTCTCTTTCGTTGTCAACTCATGACAGTTTCGCATTTGCTTCGGCGTCAGTTGGTGCCCGATCACCCACGTGCGCGGATTCCGACAATCCATCGCAGTCTGCTCGTCAGTCGTCGCACAACAATCTTCAAAAGTGCTGCTCTGGGATGGTGATGGTCACAAAAAAAAGCCGCACCCTGCTATAATTAAACTGATGGGCGTGATTTTCAAACTTCTCTTTGTCTTTCATCTCGATAAAGAACGTCTGCAAAAATTCCTCTTGAAGCACACACGCTCGCGCTCCGACTAGTACGTCGTATTAAAATTCTTTTTACAACAAAGCGCTGTAGTACACGACTTCCCTCGTGTCTGGCTCCGCATGGTTTTGAATATGAGTTTTCTGTAGAAAAATGTTGATGATAACTAAGGATCAGCTGACGAGGAAATCAAAATTCCTCCAGCTCCCCTGGGTCCAGGAGAACGAGAAGTAGGTGTAGGAGTAGCTTCCACTATAACATGCACGGGTTGCGGAGTTTTCTTGTAGTAATGAATCGAGGTCCAGAAAGTTGGAGTGTCCGGACGTATCCACGAGCTTGACCGGAATTCCTGCAGGGATCATGTACTCCGCGATCCAAATTCCCAGTGACGCATCCTCGCTGTTGTAGCTGGGTAGCGTCTGCCTGTGGTCCCGGACGAAGGAGGCGACTCCTTTCGTGACCGCATAGGCCGCCCCGCCCCGCGGGTAGTCCGGATACCACGGTTTGTCGTAAGTCGGCTCCCAGTTTCTTGCGGCCATGTTTCGCAAGACGTGGCTGCTTCCTTCTTTCTTTATTTCACCCACGACGACCTGTTCGCCAATCGGATTTTTCCCGTGCGGAACCAACGACAGCAGGAACGCTTCGAACGGTTGCACCTTGACGTACACATCGTCATCCGCATGCAAGATCCAGGTAAAATCAGGATAGGTCTCCACCACCCACGAAAAAGCCGCCTTGTTCTTCTGCGCAAGATCTATCCCGTACGAATCTCGCACCGGCAGCAAAACGAGGTCGCCGTGCGTCAAAGCTTCGGTCCGCAGCGTCGCGTTCAACTTCTCCTCGGAGATACGGGTACGCTCCAGCTCTGCCGTCGTTGCGGGGGCGCTGGCGACCACGTCTTGGTCCACTTCGCAACCGTCCGGAGTTAGGCGCAGCCTCTCAGGCACGCCATCGCATCCACGCGCGCCGACTGCAAAATGAGCTGCCAGATTCGGCTGCATTTGTGCGGTTTTCAATATGACGATGAAAAGATGAAGAGGACCTGAGGACGCTGTATTCAATTTACGTCATAATGACTGAGATTTTTTTTTTGATATCGATACAACTCACACTGTGTACTTACTGTGTAAGTCTAAGTTTGATGCTACACAATAAATACAAGGCGAGTACAAGCTTCTTCGATAGTCTTACAATGACACGACCGGCTCCGCTGGAGGCACTGCATTAATTTACTTTTGCGTGTTGATTCCCATAATGATGATTGGAATCCAGCATACTAGGAAAAAAGATCTTCATCATGTTGATAGGCATCCAGGTTTCGCGAACGATCTGCCGCTTCTCCGCCCCTTGTCTTCCAGAATGAACCTGATGTAATTCATTCTAATAATTTGAGTCAAGTCTATAGGCATTCGCATTATTCATTTACTTCGGCTCCCAAAAATATTTCTAACAATCGCTTGCGATGCGCACCATGCAGTGCGCGGACCTGACCGGATGCTCCCTCGAATCCCGTTCGTGCGTCGGCATATCACGTCGGATACATTCATGATACTTCTATATTTCATTTTTACTGTTCGCAGCACGTTGCATCGACTATGCCTGTCATGTGTAAGCACGTACTGTGTGGCAGCTGTATCGCGATTCGTGATGTGAATAAAGAAAAATAACAAATACTGATACATTCAACAATACCATCAAGACAATTGCGGGCGAAGCTTTCCCGGAAGATGCACTTCCTCTAGTTGGTTGACGCGCCTGTTCTTCGGTCATGAGATTTCGTTCCATTTCCCTTCTCATGTGGCTCCACACTTCAAAATCGCTTCGCGGTTTTCCGGTCTCCGGCATGTTGGCGCCACCGCAGGAAGGGCAAGCTACTTCATCTGCGTTGACAAACACCCAGGGCTTTTCAACTCCCTGAAAATGCATAATTTTTGCATTCTCGCAAGAAACTTTGGACTTGCTTGGCCTGCAGTTGAATGCGCTGGCTTCGAAGCACACTGCTCCGGTGTGACTGTTTTTGGCTTGCGGGGCGTGCAATTGCTCCTCGCCGGCAATCAATGACGGATCCGTCGCAGCTTGGTCGCCCGCCGCAAAATACATCTCGTGTACGATCGTGTTCAGCATACCTTGCTCCCCTCGAGCGCACGCCATGGCAATGTCCTTATCTTTGGTAGCTAGGATCTGCATGTATGCGCGGACCAGCTCCGGGTTGCCGGGTCTGATGGCCAGAATGCCCGCATTGAAGTCTACCATCTTCGCACTCATGATTGGGCCCTCTTCACCACAACTGGAAGATTCATCTGGGAGAGGGTGGCCGCCGTTCATGGCGTTTTCCCGCAGTTCCGAACAAGGCTTCATGGAGATGAACGGCGAGAATGCAATCATGGCTCCCTCGTTCCTCGCGCCAGCTCGTCGCCCTACTTCTTGAGAGTGCTGTCCCTCGTCCTGCTCGTCGGATAAAGATAATCCTGCACGATTTTCTTGCTGGTTGTGCTTGGGATTAATGATTGCGAAAAGCTCGGCGGCCCCCGCCGGTTGCAGCAAGAGAGTATCAACATCTAGTAGAAGTAGGGCACGATATCCGGTAAGGCTCCAAGCGTGGATCTTGTCGAATGTCCCACGCAACATTGCTTCTCCTTGTCTTTTATTTGTTGCGTCATTGCAGGACATTTGGAACCAGAGGCTCTCTGAAAATGCCGTGTGACATTCATCGCCGATTTTCACCTTTGGAACATCCACGGCCTCCACTTTGAGAGCGTGCATTTTTCGTGCGAGTGAGGCTGTCGCCCAGGTCGCATTGCGTTTTATCCCTGAGACGTCGGTCGTAGGCCGCATGGCAATGATGTCACGACAAGGGTCGGCTTTGCGAATTGCGTACGCGGCTGTCAACAGAGGTACAAAAGCGGCATCTTCGGACTCACTTCCCGGAAGGGGCGCGAAAGAAAACACGTACGCTTCCTCGGGTCTGGTGTCCCTATTGTTGTTGCTGCACGGCGGGAGATAACGATTGAACGTCTGAGGACCGTCAGTTACAACAGGAGTTCCGTCACGACTGGAGCTCGGGTCAAGAGTGCCGTCAAGTTGCTCTGCGCTGCTGCTGGTCGTATGTGAAGAGTGTGAGATTTCCAGCATGGCGACCGATAGCAAACTAATAACGAGCACTCCGGACAGTATGAGAGCCCCCAGTATGACACCGCCGCCATGCTCTTGCATCGACGCAGAGTCCTCTTTGCAGGGAGCTCCAGCCGGTGCCGTCAACTTGCTTGTTAGCGAAGATGTTGCGCCAATGCTTCGCCGCGGTATAATTTCCGATGTGTTGGGTGATGCTCGTCGATAGTCGAGACCACGGGCTCCGCCTTTACCATTGTCGATCATGACTTCGTCAATGTCTGGCCTCACGTGATGTACTGCGTCTCCGACATCTATTTCTTTGTGCGGGGGTCCTCCAAACCACGTTGAGATTTGCTCCAAAATTCCACTGCTGGAATTCGGATTCGTTTTCCCCGCGACCCTATCATCGTCCTCCTGGAGCCGCTGCTGCTCCTCAGCTTGTTCCTCGCTCATCCCTTCTGATAGGTCTGAGTACTTACGCTTACCTCTACTTCCTCCAAAAAATAAATTGCGATTTTTGAGGTAAGCAAAGTTCTTTCTCGGTTTGCAAAGGCGTGGGGAGCAGAAGACTAGAAGAAAATTTCGAACTGAATGTGATGACTAGAACGAAGGGTAAGTGTAAGTCTCGAAGTTGAAATCGCACTATAAAGCCCTTGGAGTTGGAGTTAAAGCTTGATACAACATCAACACAAGGAAAGGCATGGGTTGTGTTTGCAGATATATATCACTGACACTTCTGCCTGTTCAAAATAGCTTTATTTCGTTACATATCATGCTCTAGAAGTTCACTGCGCATGGATTACAAGCGGCGCACGAATTCTGTGCATGATAGGCATCAGCTGCCCCTCGCACGAAAAGAACGAAAAACATGGACGAAAACGATCAGACAAACAAAGGCAGTGATAATGATGATGTACTCAACTGTGGGGTCTATACGTGTACTGTCGTGTAACTGATACTCATAAAGATGAACGAACGCCGGAGGTATACGCTGCACGAAAACACCGACGCAACATGTGTAAGAGCAACAAACCGATGGAGACGACACAGGAAGACAAAAAGATACAAACGCGGGTAGGTTCAGCCCCTGAGTGAAGTGACGGCAAGTACGGCTGGTGCAGCCGTATCGACAGTGATAAAACGCCACAATTTCTAGCACCTTTACCGAGTGTTTTCGTGCATTTTCGACAAAGATTTTGGTTTAGTATGTATACAACAAAAAGGGTCGAGCCTGCGATTAGCTCCTGCCTCCTGGGACACGTGAAATAAGAATATTCTGAATTGCAATATATTTATAAGATGAAGCGTAGTACAAGACTAGTAGAGAAAAGCGCACAACTCGCGGTCTCGGCTCTGTTCCTACGGCTTTTAGGCTCAGAAAAATTCTCAAAGACCGTTTTTCGAGCCGTTGTACACTTCCTCACGGCCTGCACCTGTATGTCAAACTACGTGTGTTCCGCCTCCGGAGACTGGGGGTGGGTTTCGCGCGACTTTCATGTGCTTGATGGGGATCTTTTTCTTGTTCAGGTGTTTCTTGGCTTTCCGAGATTGAACGGCCGGAAAAATAGTCCGGTCGACACCACCAGCCTCACCGGCATTGGCAGCAGGCTTTATTCCCGTATGCTGCTCACTCGTATGTTTGTGAACGGATGGATCACTGAAAACGAGCTTCTCGGGCTCACCACCACCTGCACGACGTTGGAGCTCCTGGAGTCGAGCAAACTGCTGAGGAAATGCTGCTGAATTGAGGAGCTTCTGCAGGCTGCTTCTGAGTCCCGACTCTGGCACGACTGGCTTATCAGCCTGCTCTAGTTTCATGTCACCCTTTTCCGCGTTCTCGAGTTCTTCCTTCGTACCTACTTCGCCCTCGCAGCATGATACGTGTTTGTCACGAGCTGAAGTGGAGGTTGTCGAACGAGGATTGGCGCTCGTCTTGTCTATCTGGCCCGTTTCATTTTCGCGGATACGTCTGAGCTCCCTTTGAAAAAGGGACCGATCTAAATTGATCATTTTCAGTAGAGGCTTCGGAAAGTCGGCAAGTGACTCGAGCCGCTCCATTTCGCACGTGCTTGCCCCCAAACCCGAAAAGACACCGCTTGCGCACAACTCTCCCACATCTACTTGCATTATTTTCGCGGCGCCATTGCTGTCTGATAAGCATGATTCTGTCCGTACCCCATAGTGCTGCAACGCTGATAAAATGGTGCCTGCCTCTCCTGTCAATCCAACCGTATTCACCCCACGTGTCTCGTGTAGGGGACTCGCGGTCGTCCCCGCCAGCGGATGAAGACCTTGATGGGGAGCAGTGCCACCGCTGCTGGTGATATTTGCAGCCTGTTCTTGCAGCTGCACCCCTCCCGCCCCCCGTTGTGCGGAAGTAATGTAGTGCTTCTGCAAAACCGCGTTCATGGCAAAGTAAATCTGATGCTGAAAGGGGTCAAGGTTGGGCTGCCACATCGTCACGCCTGCCTGACGAAGGTCCTCCCAAAAAGCCTCGCTCCCCGCTAATTGGTCCTGTCGGAGATCTTCGAAGGCTTTCGCAAATTGCACCAAGGTTTCGTACACAAACGGCTCCTGTGGGGCTTGCGCAGCAATCATCCAGCTTTCGAACCAGGGGAGATTTTCTTCACCCCGCGCCAGAGGGAATGATAGCTGGTACGCTGGGGTCGTCCAAGCGTGGAAAAACACCAAATTTGTGACGCCGTCCGCAAAGCGACGCGGAAGCCAATCCGCTAGAGGCTGGGTAAGGACAATGGAAAGATCGAGAAACAGGCCGCCGTAGTTGTAGATCAGAAGGAAACGCACCCAGTCGCTCACCAGGTTCCAGCGCGGCCGCCTCGTCACATTATCGCGAAACTTCGCCAAAGCCTCGATGAAACGCGTCTGCTTCTCGGTGAGAAAGACCCGCAAATTTTTCATGGACAGATGCTCGTGTTGATACTGTGGCACCACGACGTGGTCCTGCTGCCCTGCGTTGGACACGGAGTGGCCGCCCTCTTCTAGAGGACCATGATCTTCCCGGGGACTTCTACTTTGATGTTCCTGCACCTGCTGCTCTTGGACCAGCATATTCTGCAAGAAAACGGTTTCCAAATCCTCCAGCTTCTCCTCGTGCCAGAAGGTCCACACCCGCCACGTGTTGCCGACACCCACCACACATTCCGGACACGGTAGGGACGAGAACAAGTTGGGACCAGACAATTCCGATGCTCCATTCGGTAATTGCGGTTCTTGGTGCCTTTTTATCTTGATGTCGGTACTACTCGTGGTAATATCTTCTGCGGCCTCGTCTTCCTCGCGACCCCGCACGCCGGCATGTCGTGGTGAAAGTGTTTCATCAGCTGTGCTTCTATTCACCTTCGTTGTCCGATCGTGCAAGTCGTGAAGGAGCCGTAGTTCGTCGAGCATGGTGATGCGAAACTGTTGGAGCTCCGCCTCTAGCAGCTTCCCGGCTTCTGTGTCCTCGGCGGAGGAAGCTTCGGAGGATCCCGATGGTGCCCCCTCGCCGCCGCAAATTGTCCCACGAAAAAGTCGAGAAAATTCGTTGCTGCATAGTCCGCAGCTGCGCACATGAAGATTTATTGTGACTCTCTTATTCCTACAAGTTGAAGTTTCGGAAAAATACCCGAACGTTGAAGAAACTGAAAACCACAAATCACGCATCAACAATACCAATACCAATAGTTACAAAACTTGCTGAAGAGCAGGATACTAGAGGGGGGTGCACCAGACTGTAAAATCTATATGTGTCATCATGTGCGTAAGAACGCTACCTGGACGAGATCGCCATCCTTTGCATTTCTTGCATGCAGGGCAACATGAAGAAAAGCAAATATCACGAAAACGCATTGAATTGGCTCGACTTCGACGACGTTTCTTCAGCATAAAACATCCTGCACTGTGTTCAATACGCTTCGCCAGGTTCCAAAACCCACCGACCAGCGCAGGAGCAAGCACCATCGTTGACACAAACAGAAACACCAAGAGAAAAGTGCAGCACACTTGGCTGTGGAGACAGCACGGCACATCATAGAACTCCTGGCTAAACTTAGCAGGCCTTTGCATTTGCGTTCGTATATCCCGTTTATCCTTTCCGAAACCCGTCCGGCGCCGCAGCACGCCAATGTACTTTAAGTACACTTGCAACAGCTGTTCCCGTATCGTTTCTCCAGCGGCCTTCGCATTTGCACTGCAATCGTTCTCATTCCTCTCAGTTTCATCATCCTGCCGCTTTTCAGCGGGTTTTGCGTCCACAACAACTGTATTGGGATTTGTTGCTGCGGCTGCGCTCTTCGGCTCGTAATACCAGCCAAAACTTCACTGATCACATCACAGGTTCTGTTTCTGCCCCCCCCCCCGCAGCGCATACGTATATCTCTGTCGCTGTCCTTCGTTCGATCTTGTTGATAAAAAAACTTTATCAACCGAGTGGACCTGGCAAAAATTTGTCAATCAATGTTCTTTGACTTGCTCTTGTATCCATTGCATTTGCAACGACGCTGAGATAGCCCTCAGCAATTCTAAGTAACTTATGCTCATGAACGTGACCGGAGGTGGGGGACAACAGTGATGCCAAAAAACTGAACCCGTGAGTTGACCAGAAAGTTTTGTCGGATATTTTTCGGCGGTGGCATAGTCAAAACGGTTACCATGGAACGCGATATGAATCGCTGTCGGAAGAAGAGGTACAAAGAATAGTAGGGCCAGAAGTATCTGGCCCCATAGAAGAAAGTTGAGAAACGTCGACGCGATCAGCACTACATATTACAGTGAAAAATGCCCCCCACCCCTTAAATTGTAAACATTTGTGATGCGAAGTGTCCAACTGAAGACTTTTTGTCATGCATGAAAGAAGTAGGAATCTTTCTTATGCAGGGTCTAGGCGTGTATCGCATCGCTTGCATGACAAGCGCCGCTCTTGCTGGGGTCTTTTGCAATACACTACATTCTTGCTGTTCACGATTGAAAACCTGTGATGCTGATAGATGCAAGAGGGTGAGTGTTTCATTTGGAAAGGTTTGCAATACAAATTTTCCCAAGTTCGGGGGTGGGGGCATTTTTCATTGTAATACTACAAGCGACGCATTCGTGAGCTTGCGAGACGAAACTGCGTTGATTATCCTGAGTAAAAACGTACCCACGCCAGAGTTGTAATGCAGATTTGCAAAGACAGGAAGACTTGTAATGCGCATCCGCATGAGAGCCATTTCCAGTCGTGTTTTGGAATTTGTGATGCTGTGAACAGGGTGAGCAGCTGGATTTGTGATGCGGCTGCACTTGCTAACCTGCACTACACTGCAGCGCTCAATTTGTCATGCGTCACTCACAAAACTCCTAGGTTTGTGTTGCAAAATCCTCATCCTAACTCTGGTCCTGGTGTGGGTACGTTTTTACTCAGGATATTGATGCTTTTTCCCAGCCTCCGCAATAAAGGTTCCTGATTGCCTGCCGGAAGAGTATTCGCTGCATCCATACACAAAAAAGTGCCTGACGTCGAGAAGGCTGCGCTTGCGCCGTTCGTGTCGCGGTGGCCCCTGGAATGGAAGTAGTGCGCCATAGATTCATACATGATGAGCAATCAAACAAATTGCGAGGTTAATCTTAAACTTAATGGTGTATGTAATGCAAGGCCGAAAACTGACAATGGCATACCCCAAAAAGATAAAGAGCTACGTTGGCATGCGACTATCAGATAGATAGACTTAAACATAGATTTGCATTTGCTCAGAGTCAGCCCGCATGAAGGCTAAGAGAAAGAGTTAATATCACCAAGATTAACAAGTACCCCGTCGGAGATAACGGATCCCTTTTATCTGTGCAATCCGTCCCACTGTAATCCTTCGATGAAGGGTTCCTGTGTATTTTGCTTACGACCGTCGGATTGCCCACGGTGTCAAAAGTAATGGTAGCATCGTCGTGGTCGATAAAGTGCAGGTCTGTGCCGCAGCTCGCCACTGGGGCGCACGCGGACGCTTCTTTTTCCTGCTTTTCGTCGGCACACCCCGCAATTCGCTCCTCCTTCCCACAGCGGTGCCTAAAAAATGTTGCACATTCAATAGATACAAGATAGAAGTAATTACCGCATTTATAGAGCCGAAGTGGTCCCCCGTGAGAGCCGGACGCCTACTACTTAGAGGGCACCCAAAGTGCGATGTTTCTGTGATCGGTGTATTTTAACCACCTGTATGTAAAAATGACGAAACGAAGCAATAAATCAAGAACTAAAATCAACAGGTACTTCGCCGTGTTCCGACTCCAAGAAACTTGACCGCATCCCAGTTGCCACACCGGAAAGTAGTGTCCCTCTTGGAACTGTCGGAGAGAAGAAACAAACAGGAACACATGGGTGCAGACGAGGCTACCGAAGCCAGCCGACAGGATACCATATGTGATCGGTAGCGCTTCCATGATCAGAGGAAAGCCTCCATACCCGTGAAGAAATCGCACAAGGCCGGGCATGGCTCGAAGTATGAAGCGGAAAAATGCTGCACGCACCGCCTCCCCACCAGGTACTTTGCCTACACTCGCTAATTCAGCACGTCGCAGTTCACATCAATCAGAACCACGACGAATAAGAGCGAGACTGTGGTATACATACGTATTTTGAAGACATGCACTGACCACGGCGTGAGAAACTAGAGAGGGTTCTTGAGTATCTGTATCTACTTCCACCTCAACTGCATACCGGGGTGCCACGTCGTAGTCGACAGGTATCAGATAAAGTAGATCATTCAATTGGAATTCCATAAGAAAATACAAATAGCGACCGCAGGCAAGTAGATGTGAGATGGCTAGAGCGCGGGGTCGGCTTTTCATTCTTTTACCCATCCCGGCGCAGCAGGGTACGAGCATGTTGAGGTTGATTATGGAAGAAGCAATTCGCAGGTGCTTCACGTATCTAAAAATTGAGTGCTCCTCGAGTGCTGGTGTCATGCCGGCGTCCGCGATCGTCTTATTTCTCACTGCTGAGGGGCTGCTCTTAATCGTCAGTTGCATTGACTTTGCACGCCAAGCGAGCATGTTCCACACGTTCAAAAGTAGGAAACTTGCTTCCGCAATTCCCTGGAGGTGCCGTCTAGCTTGCTGCATTCGTGCCACGATGTTTGCGAGGTAAGAATTGGACTATCCTCCGGAACAAGAAGCATGCTAAGTTCTCCACCCCATACAAATCAAGAGACGCTAGATTTCAGAGCGAGTCATGTACTAATGCATCTGCTGCTCGGTCTGGTCGCATGTGCCTTATCAGGTTGGTGAAAAGCAACTTCTGACCGTCTTTCGCTTGAAAATGCCTGTGATGGTCTTGTCTGGCATTGTCAATCGCATCGGTGCTACTGTATGCTACAAAAATCCGTCGGGACGACTTCTAAATGTTGTACCATTGCAAAAACACTTGTCTTGGCTATGTATACATGTGGGTGTTGCAGGCCCCCTTGTTACGAAGCATATGCGATCGCTTTCCACAATGAAGTTCGCAAACGGGAGGTCAATTGACACCACTTCCATCTTGCAAACTGATCCACGCGCAGCCGGGACGCCCGTTGAGCTCGAGGACCTGGCGCCCGTTCCACCGCCTGGTCTAGGCCCCGAAGCTTCTTGGCCACTGCTCTCCTTGCAACCTCCCAGTAGAGCCTCCCGCTCCTTGACAGCATCTGAACATGGCAGGTGGTCTCCAGATTCTTGTGCAGGACAAGCTCCATCAACAGCTTTTTCGTCCGCAAGGTGCTCTGGGCGTCGAACACTCCAGAGGTGGGAAACGAGGAGGCACTTCAAGTACATGTGGCAGTCTTCTGCAATTACGTCAACGTCCCATCCGCCCACACGGTCCGCGAGCGCGTATGTTAAGGAGTAAGAACTCATCGGCACGGCCGGAAACAAGGTGTACAAACCCAGCTGCGCATGCTCATGCAGCCACGCCCCGACTGCTGCAAGCTTGCTTAGCGCCGGTACGTCTAGATAGTTGCGGAACGGAAGCTGCACGGACTGCCAAATCTTCCATTCCCGATCAGCGCATTTTTCAGAGAGCGCGGTAAGCGTAAGACAAGCGAAGTAATGCCTGTGGAAAAGCGTGTCAGCGTCGGCCACGGTGAAAAATGTACGAGCTGGGTGCCACCAAAGTCGAGACTCGGCGTTCTTGTCAGACATCGCAGAAGTGTCCGCGTTGTTGGCAGCTCGAGGCGCGCCGACGCGTGCGCGACTCGGCTTTCGACGTTGATCTTCATCATCTAACGAAATATTGACGCACTGTAGCGGGTCGTTCAGAAACGCTTTTGCGCACAAAAAACCGGCGTGCGAGTTGGATGACTTGCCAGCAATCTCCCCCGGAAACTCGTCTTTCTGGTGGTAGCTAACCAAAATTTTCTCAAATTGGTGCCCATGTCGGGCTTGCAGCCTTTCCGCTTTTGCGACTGCCTCGCCGCCCTCTCGTCCCTCCATAGCTAGTACGAGGACCATCGGGAGGCGGTACTGGCACCCGCTCGGGCTTGAATTCAAACATGAACGGTTTTCATCAGAATCTTCTTGTCCTCCCTGAGCGTTGCCCTTCCGGCATGATCTTGATCCCTCACTGACGTCACAATGTTGTAAAACAAGGTTCGTGAGTATGGAGAGCAAAACTGTACGTAGTGATCACCCCATAACAAACACAGATTGAGATAAGTGACCCCTAGCAGCATAAGCGCCCCATCGGCAGCATCAAAAGCAAATCATATGTGAATAAGCAGTACGCAAGTGAATGCACATGACCAGCCCTCGTCTAGTTTCAATGCTGATGCCAGAGCCAGATGCAAATTTGGTGGTACTTGGTTACAATTACTTAATACCCACTTTCTCATTATGATGGGCGACCGCCACGTCATCTGCTTCTTTCCTGTGGTTAGTGATGGTGGCGGATAGAGTCTCCTCGTCTTCTTTGTAGTTTGGAAGGATAACGACGTGCAGCAGTCCGTCGAGCTCCTTCTCGTTTTCTTCAGACGCCTGAGCAAATTTCTGGAGTTTCGCGTTCCAGTCTTCCCGCACAGCGTGCGCCATCCGGGAAACGCAGAGCCACGCTCCCACGACCGAGAAAACCAAGTGGTACAGTACCAAGGCTTGCGAGGGAAGCACGGCGTATTCGAACCAAATTAGCGGGTAGTAGCCGTAGACGTACGTCGTCAAATACATGTACACGTAACCTACCACAAAAGTAAGCAGTATCAGCAGCGGCAACAAGCGGGCAAGAACAGCAGCAAACGAGTCGGAATGAAGAGATTGCAGATGAGCGAATACCGGCGGCTCCTCGTGCAGCAGTGGCGTTCTTCCAGCAGAGGCATCCTCTAATCCCCCGTTTTTACCGTTTCTTGCAGACGACCTGGCACGAACCACGTCACCTGCGGGAAGCGAGGATTTGGATTCCACCGGGTCCTCCTGTTTATCGTACGCCTCCTGCCGATACATGACACGTTCTTGCACAGCATCCTCCCGCTCCCCTCGTAGCATCAACAGAAGCTCTTCAGCCTCACGTCGCCCGGCCGCCCTCATGACGTCGTCCCTACTTTCTATTTGGTTTCCTTCTTCTTCCCAACCTGGCTACGGAGTGCTGGATCTCAAAAGAAAGACACCACGTTCATCATCATCAGAAGAAAGCTGATCGGGTCTCACTGAGCATACAAACACTTGCAATAAAATTGTACAGGAAATAGTAAGGGGGTAATCAATAGTTTCCGATGGATACGAGCGAAACACGATCTAAACTGTTAGTACTAAGGATTTCTCGGGTAGACTATCTTTTCCGTAAACAAACAGGTATATCAGCTTGTCAGGAGGGGAAACTGTACAGTTTTCGGAAAACCGAAAGCTAAAATAACGTGAAAGAGTAGGAGTCATCAAGATCAAGAAGAGTAGGAGTCATCAAGATCAAGAATGGACGAAAGAAACAAACGGAATACGAATATCCTACTCCGTTAGTACGTCACGATCAACGAAAAAGTCGCGATTGCGACTAACGACAGAGGAACGGTCCGAAGGAACGATAACGGTGAACGAATTGAGGACAACGAAAACTTTTACGGACATGGAAATTTCTATTTCAATACGAAAACCTGCTACCGATAACGCTAACAAACAAATTTCTACCGAATCCAATTTGCCTACTTCTTCTCCTTTTCATTCCTTGCATCAAAGAGCGACAACACCAACCGAGCAAAACGACCTTACGCAGTTTCAGCCGCGCGGACTGGCTGCGATTCCGCAGAAAAGAGAAAAATGAAAAAGTAAACCGACCTTTCACGCGCACCTGGGACACTTGGACGTCAAACGTGAATTACGTCAAGCAAATCGAGACAGATGATACAACAAGTCACATCGCTAAAACTGCAGCCGAAATGCTCATTTCATTCGGGTCAATTTGTTTAAAGCTAGTCATGAGCATGTTCCTCTTGTTCAGCAAATTTGAGCTATGTTTCATCTATGCGAAAATGTGTTATGTTTACCGGGTCGAGAGCATCAATCACATTGACAGGCATGCTTTGTAAAAATTAAGAGGATACCAAGGAGGAAAGAAACATGTACTGACCCCCATATTCGCGTGGGTTTGAAGCTAACAGTAACACGCATAGCACTTTTCCAATAAACTGTCGCTTTCAGAGCATTAATTTGCATCCAGCACTAAAATCTCCTAGTTTACGTGCAATCACCTGACCCTTGCCTTCACTACTCGTTCTCGTTCGCATGGCGAAGGCATGTGTCGAAACGCCTCTTGAAGAATCTGGCGCAGTAGATTCTTCAGCGTGAGAACGACGCTTTGTGCCCTACAGAAGCTTCCTACAGTGCGCATTGGTCTTTCGTTTGTTACTTGAGTAGACCCATTACGTTCACGGACTACTTACGCCTCGCAATTTTACTGTCGGTTGCAGTCCCTGGAAGGAAATCCGAAGCAAACGGAAATTCCGCTCCCCGGTTCTGTAGCAGGTGCATATTCAGTTGTGACAGTCTAGAGATAGGACAACCCAACCACAAAAGATGTTCGCTTCTCTATAGAGCGTGCAATAATGACCTTGTCATGGAAGAAAGGCTTCTACAAACCGCCGAGATATAAGGGTCGAGAGGTGATTCTTTTGCGCCCCGAATGCTCTGTCTTCGCGACGGTCTTGCTTAGGTCCGATTTCGCACTGCCAAATGGTACTATTCGTCTTCGCGCCGCTGATAATTGGTAAAAGAATGATGAGTCGTATGAGCCCGCCCTTTTGACTTTGAGATCGATGCTGATAGTGTCTAGAAAAGAAAGATAAATCGCATTTGCGTTATGTTTCCTTTGCGTTACTGTCCGGTCGAACTCCAGCCTGCGATAAAGGAACTCCACTTTGCTTTCTCCATGGTTCTATGCTAATTCTAAATATCCAGAAGAAAACACAAAGCTGTGCAATATTAAGCCAGAATAAATGGACTACATCTGTACTTTTTGTCCGGGAGAGTACAAGCCGAAACTTGACACTGCTTCTCCGAAATCGTATAACAATATGCTACTTTCCTGTTACTTCTCTTCACCGCTAGTATTAGTGCAGTCATTCTTCATGTAACCGTCCGCTACATGGTGTTGGTGATCAATTGCGTTGAGAAACTCATAATTTGAATTCGATAGCCATAACATGATTGAATAACCGTTTACTTTTTTCATATATCGAAAATTCAAATTCTGAATAGCAGCTGCGTAGTGCCTATCGTAGTATCGCGAAACAGTGGGAGCAAGTGATAGTGAACTTATCGAATTTCATGGTGATAAAGCTGGAGTGACTAATTTTATTCGATTCTCTAAAAGTTAAGCATGTCGTTAAGATCGACATTATGCAAAATTAAGACTGTGACTGGTAAATTGAATTTAGGGTTTGGCTGTGCTGATACTGAAAAATGAAATTGAAACTTGAACCGTTCGTATAAATTCAAATTGTTTGCCATACATCCAAATGATACAACATGTGAAAAAAATTATAAAGCAAACGCTTCCTTGACTGCCATGCTTCAACGTGGATTTCATTTCAGACTGTCTGAACGTCCCACAGCATATCAGTTTTATGCAGCGCAAACGCTATGCTACGTGCTCTCGCTTGCTGCACCTTCCAGGATCTTCACGCTATGTCATGCAAGACATGTCTCGTTCTCGGTAACCAAGGAACAAAGCCTAATCCGAAAGAAAACCGCATGCAAACAGAGAAAATAGAATTGAGTAACACCTCGGAAGTGTGGCTCCTTGCATGAAAGTTGCAATGCAAAGATCTCGTTGTACTAGAACCGGCAGCGAGGGAGTGAGCATACAGGTACATGTATGGCCACGCGTAAATCTTCATCTTGATTCTGGAGTGCTTTCACTTTCAGTGATCGTTCCAGTCAGCGAAGGGATCAGATGCTGCAGACACTTCCGGCGGCACTTCCTCGCTCTCCGGGTACTCCTCGAAGTTACCTTATTAATGTGTTTCAGCTATTTCGCTTCGTTCCTATCGTCCTATCAATCTGAACCAACCACCCGACACGCCCTAAGCCGTGATCGGAGGAGAGAGGGCAAGGGCGTCTCGGTCCCTCACCGTAGACCATAGAGCATAGCATAGCGTGGCGCTTGGAAAAAAGACCGCATCGGCCCAAAAAAAATTCGTCCAAACACCACGGCACTCTCTTACCTGGGTTGCCGGGTTTTGGGGCCAGGTAAAAGAGGAGTGTGGTGCTTGGGATGCGAAAACGTCCTGGCCTGAGGAGGTGGCCAGATGAAAGAGACACTCTTGAAGCACAAGCGCCACGCTGTGCTCTTACCTGGGCCTCCAGACTTTGAGGCCCGGTAAGGGCATAGCATTGCGATTGGAAGGAAAAAAGACCGCATCGGCCCAAAAAAAGTTGGCCCAAACACCACGGCACTCTCTTACCTGGCCTGCCAAGTTTTGGCGCCAGGTAAGAGCATAGCATGGCGTTTGGAAGGAAAAAAGGCCCCGTCGGCCCAAACAAAGTTGGCCCAAACACCACGGCACTCTGTTCCCTGGCCTTCCAAGTTTTGGGGCCAGGTAAGAGAGCAACGTGGTGTTTGCACTTCCTCGCTCTCCGGGTACTCCTCGAAGTTACCTTAATGTGTTTCAGCGAAATAATTCCCAGTCTGGACCACATCCTACTTCTTCATGATCGTGCTGTGTGTATTCATGCAGCATTACCGCCACTTTACGACTGATAGAAAAACTTTCATCCGTAAACTTACTCATTAATACTCATCATCTTCATCGTACCAAGCGACAACGAATCAACAGTCGTGTGCTTGTAGTTAACCACGTTCTTCTGCATTTTGTATTTCGATTTGCAACGGTCGATGACCGATCTTCTTCTTCATGCCCGCAAACCAATTATCGAACTATGTACTTCGGTTACTTAGATTCAGAAAGTTCAAGTTGAGCACAGAAAAACAAGTAAGTACTGGTGTCCGTTGCCGACTTGACCTGTGGCTTGTAGGGAGCACAAGTATGCATTGCAAGTCGCAAGTGGGTCTATGTGTCAAAGTCAAGGTCAACATAAGTAACTCATGCATAATGGAGATGGATCATAATCACAACTCGTCTTCTGCAGCTTACAGCTGGCTTAAACGTACTCCCATGATACGCTCTCCAGTGGCACCTCCACATCGTACTCGTAGTCACTGCGCAACAACGTCGAAAACTTCGCAAACAATCTCTACGATAATGACATGAGACAGTCAATGATGACACGACACACACCCACACGCCCCTTGATGCATTGCATAAGGAATTTCTCTCTGCAGCAGCAACTCCCAGTCCAGTGCGGCGAACCATTTGCACTTCTTGATATCATCCACCCCGTTTTTCAGGTTCCCGTATCGCTTGCCTGGTAATTTGATGAATCAATGTTCGTTCTACTTGTGTAGTTGCAGAAAAAAAGTCTAGTTCTGCGGTAAGGTTGTCCTCTTCAGAAGCGAAAAAGGATTGAGGTCGGAGTCCATGCGTGCGATGAGACCATACATTTCAACAAAAAGGAGCCAAAGCTACAAGTGCATAATAACTGATCAAAAATTAGGTGAATCCTGCGTGTTTCTTAAACTCCTTGTTTATCATACCGAGGTCTGCGGTAAGGAGTTTTTTGACGAGCATCTTTCCGTTCTTGTCGAAAAATTTGGGGAAGACGATCTTTCCGGATAAAATCTTCTGGTAGATCCCCATCGGTTCTTCATCGACGAAGGGCGGACATCCCAAGCAAAACCTCCACCAGCATCGCCATACACAGATTCACAAACTTTGGAATGCGTGTGGTGCCTGATCGATGCTAATATCCAAGATGAAGATAAAAAACGTGTATCCTGTCACATCAAAGATTTGGATGCCTAATGCTTACTTAACGAAACAATCTGAATGTGACAGGATCTCGTTGATCCACATGCTTGCTACCTACGCACGCCCGCGCGCATGACAAAGTACGTGACAGCGCTCCTGGTGATTATCAACATTTTACGTAGGATAGTGGGTAGCCGACAATCATTTCGTACACCAAGATGCCCAACGTCCACCAGTCCACCTAGGTTTAGGTTATTTTGGATCTGTCTTTCGTAGGCAAATTTCACCTTCCGACCCCGGAAGAATAACTATATCAAGAAATACCTCTAACTGAACCTAGCGCAGTAAAAAGTAAGTACTTATCTATCTGACAGACTAAAAATTGCTCAACAGAAGGAGTGGCACCATTTGTTGCGCGATCATAGTGCGTAGCAATTGATGTCAGTTGCAGTTCTGTTGCTCGATGCAAATTGGACGAAACAAGAACAACGGCAGAAAAAAGAAAAGCAAGTTCGGATGAAGCTGCGTCATGACAAATCAAAGAGCGACCCAGTACCGGTTTTCCGTGTCCCTTGTTGAGCAGCACTTCTGGGGCGATATATTCTGGTGTGCCGCACAGAGTGTATGTTCGGTACTCGATCACCTTTGCAAACCCAAAGTCGGTTAGCTTGAGGTACCTTGAATGTTTTTGCACGGATATTGAATGAATTCTGAGAAAACCAACGCTTTCGTGGTTTCCAACTCGTCTCCTTCTTGCTCATACACAACTGTCGAAAGAAATCTGAAATCTACCCGTCCTTCCCTAGTAGCACGTTCTCCGGTTTCAGATATCAGCGGAAAGAAATCCGGTCGACCGACGCTCAGATTTTAATCTGTTTCTGCATTTGCAAAAGAAAAAAGAAAAACCCTTGCATCGAAGTACTTAAACATGAAAAAAAAATGCGCATCAGGATGAGCTTCAATAGACCAATAGGCGAGAACTTCTCACACAGAAGATCATGATCGTATTTTGTTTTCAGGCCTTTTCGAGACGATTAAAATCATATATGCGGTGCCCGTAGATTTGCGAGAAGGCGTATCAAATCGCGGTAGATGATATTTCGTGAGTGGCAGTATTCGAAAATCGTGGTGATTGCGGCGGCATAGAATCTTGCGGTCCCGTCCTCAAATCGGTATCACACGAAAAAAGGTCCTTCCCATCGCCGGCCTCTTGCACTGTCTCGTCTTGACTCACGACAAGAGTACTAAATTGATAATATCAATTCACAATGTCAAAAATCATGCGTTTTTCCCAAGCTTCTTGCTTGAAGATGCAAGTCGACTCGGAGTTGAAATTGTTAGCACGAGACTACTTCTGCTCTCTCTTCGTGAGCACCATCATGCATCTTCGACATTCATCGAAGCAGCTACTGCTGTTACATCGTGGAGTCACAAATGAATCTACTTACTTAGTTGTTTCTGCCGGAAGAGGGTAGGTGTAGTTCTCGATGCGATATTCGGCCAACTTTTCGGAGGTGCGTGAAGAATTCGCCTCCGACTACGTATTCCAGCACGAGGTAGAGATACCTAGAAGTGAGTTGGAAAACGACTTTTCCTCAACGCCAAGTTTTTTAGGAAGAAAGCTCAACAAAGTGACAATGCTGCGGAAGATGAAAAGCTTCGTCGTACACGACAATACTTCACCAGGTCATGCAAGATCTTCTTGACGTTGGTGTGTCCCTCGATTTTCAAACGGATAGATACAAAACTTGATCCTTGGTGGATATTTTGAGGCAATGGCGGAAAGCCTCCCGGAAATTCAAATTCAAATGGTACCTTGAATCGTGAAAGCAGCCGAAAAGGTTGACGATAAAAGGGTGCGATAAGCTCATCAAAATGTCCTTCTCACTGGAAATGTGGTCGACCTGTCGTGAAGTTGTTTTGGTTCTCGTGCCGGCATGTTTTGAATTGTTTATTTTTCCATGGGCGCTATCAAAATCTGACTCACTCCGTCGTATCCGCATCAAGCAAACAAGATGCAGCATTAAATTTGACAACGAAGAGGTACCTGTTTGAGCCGGATGATTGCAGACTTTTTGAGAATTTTGAGTGCGTAGAAGTCCGTTGATGGGTTGCCATGCTTGTATTGTGCGAACCGCACGCGACCGAAGCTGCCGGTTCCCAGTGTTTTCCCGAGGTCGAAGTCTTTGATTGCGAGGGACGTTTATGCAGGAAGAAACCTTCGCAGTCGACGTCACTTCACACACAGAAACAGCTCTACTAGCCTGAAAACTTGTTCACTGATGTAGCACTTCCTGATCGATCCGTGAGTCGACAGCGGATTCCAAACAACGAGCTCGTCTCTCATCGGACCGATCCTCATCGAAAAAGCCAATATCTAAAAAAGTGCGTTGCTGTTGTAAAGCACGGCATCAGTATCGTCCGGTGTGCAGTTGTAGCTTGACTCAGAAAAGCCAAACGCGGCCAAAACTTTGTTGAGAAAAGATCTACAAGGTGTATCTGTGAGTTTGACTGTGTCCTAGCGGAGACGATAAGGACGTCGGCTCATCGAAAGTTCAAGGGCATAGCTTGTCCCGGAGGTCTAGCGGTGCAGTCGTCATTACTTTCTGCGGTATTCCGGTGCAGCTTTGAGTCGATGCAAGGAGTTGGCACCCATTTAAGTACTTCCCCTGCTAGTGCTGCAGTGTGAAGGAATCAATATATTGACATTGAGCTGCTATGTACTTAGTGTTGCAGCTACGTTTTTCCTTCCTTCAAATAATATCTTTCAAGCTTGCAGCTCATGCTCTTTCACTGGCACATGAGGTATATACGGACCGGGACCAACATGTCCGCAGGTTTTGCTCGTTACAGCTTGCATGCCAAATCTAACTGGTTGAACCGTTCTCATACATTGATCGTGCCATATGATTGACAGACTCAAATCTTGGATAAGGTCCTCGGCGCTGGCTTCGCGCCCGGGTTTTGCGCAGACGCCCACAATTTTCGATGACGGTTATCGAAATGAAACGATGTCGAGCACCCACTCTATCTATTCAGATACGTACTGCTCGATGTGCGCGCTGCCTTGCGGTTGTTCGTTATTCTTGATAATATCACGACTGGCGTCTACAACAACCATCTCCATCTCCATCTCCTGTTCGCTGTATCTCTTCCTTTTGCTTCCATAGCATGTAAATGCATAGCCAAGCTCGTCATGCTCGAGGCAACGCGGTGGCATAGCAGCAAAGAAAAATGGAAATAAGTAACTTGAGAAGACCAAGAACGGTTACAACGGTGGTCTTCATGTGGGTAGCATGCATTTCATTTCGATAACGGAAAAGGGATAAGGACAAGCGACGTGAAGCTTGAGGACACGCAATGTGGGGGAGGCTCGCTAACTGCTCCTCCACAAGGACCCCAACGACAAAAACCACTCTGCTAAACACGGAAAGGATGGAATTGGATAAACAAAATCATGAACAAGTCCCACAAGCGTGAAGCTTTCTCTCTCTCTTGAATATTCGCAGATTTTTATTGTGCTGGTTCCGTGCTTAGACCAACATTACTGAGAGGAGTTGGTAAGTTTTAGTACGCGCACTGCTTCTTCGAGCCGCTCTGTAAAAGAAAGAGACCCGTTACTTTAGACAAGGAAAACTTGCTTGTGATTGTCGTGAACTAAGTAGAACATTGGGCAATCATATTCGTACAGGAGAGGAGGTCTTCGGGGGTAGCTACTTGAACCACCCAGGTTGAGGTTGTCTCTCAAGTGCACATTATGTGGGAGTTGCTATTTATTCGTGTTGTCATACTTCGTACTCGTAAAGCATAAACCAACGAAAAAAAGAACCGAGGACGAGTGGGGGTAAAACCGGCCTTAGGCTGCCGAAAAAACCGAACATACTGTAGTACTACTGCTGGGATGTTTGTCCACGCGCCTCTTGCGTTTTACTGGCTCTGCTTAGGCTGGAAAACACATTTGCTGGAGGCACCTAGCCGCCCTATGTAGCACTTATACTTTGGCCACATTTGCCACTTTTCTTGCAGGATAGTTCTTTGGTGGTCAGGCGGGCCTTCACTGACCTATTTCATCAAGCTCGTTCAACTCAACACCCCGGGAACTGGTTATTGTGGCAGTTTTGAGACGAACACATCACAGCTGTGAGTACGCGCTCCTTAAAAACTTCTATTTTTCGTTTTCAATCTCGTTGCTTAGAAGGAGGCTGCGCGTACGTTACGTGACCTGCTTCTTGCTTGAGTAGCTGCCAGTTGCAAATTTTGTCTCACTCGCTGTCTCCATTTTCACCATTGTACATCCATCATCGGACAAGACACAAAAGACCAGCACGTCTCAAGACGATCAACATTTGCATACCCATACGACGAGGATGCGATTGAATCGATCACCCGTCCTCCCTGCTGCGACTGTCTTTTTTATAGAAACGGGCAGTCGAAATCGAAACGCTAGTACTTGTTCTACAAATCTATGCATTGGAGAATCACCTACCACGTCTCCTAAATCCGTGGAAGCGGTTTGAAAAAGGGGACTTAGTAAGCGTAAGTGGATGGGGGTCAACCGGAAAAAACGAGATCGAGAAGATCAGTCCTGGAGTCGGTGTTCTTCGACGACCCTATTTTCGATTAGATGCTCTTGAATTATCCTCTCGAGCACAGGTGGGTCTGCTCTCTGATACCAGACGTTATCTGGCCAAACGACACAGATAGGACCATTTGCGCAGATGCGGAGGCAGTCAACCTTGCTTCGTGCGACAAAGCCCTGACGAGCAACTTGGTTTCTCCCATCTACTTCTTCTGGTGCTTCGCGTTTGCGCTCGGCGCCTCCTGTCATTGCTGTCGTCGTTTGGTCCTCGCTGCCCGGCTGGTCCTCGTAAAATTCCGAAGCCAGTTTCAGCTCCTGTAACCGTTTCCGCAAGTATTGCCAGCTTGCGTTTGCCATTGTGCAGAGAAAATCGCGCTCTACTTCCGCTGAACTCAATTCGACACACCACAAGAAGGGAACAAACAAAAAGGAATGGCCTTGAAAAACATAAAAGCGCCGAAATAATCATAAGAATGTGCGAAAATTTGTTAAACATGCATCCTCCTGATGTGCAGATTGCGCACTGAGTCATCGTCGGTTTCATTGGCATTGGGTATAGTTGACTGCGCCGCGAGTGCTGGTACACTCCAGCAGGTGCTTAAAGGTCTTCTACGATGAAAGACCAATTTCTATCTAATATCATGCTGGGGAATTAAGAGGTGATCATGGTCATGCGGGCATTGGCTCTCGGCCTCCTGTAGAAGTTATCACTGTCGAAACGGGTCTTTTGAGAGGCGAGCGGACACCGTACCCCGTTCGTAGCCTGCTCACGATTGCAACACTTATCCTTGGTCTGTCCGCAACACAAAAAGACGTGCTTCTGAATTTTTGATAGGTTCAGCTTCTTTGCTTTTGCCTGGGCAAAAATGAAGTCCTCTGGGGGTCGGGAATGCGGTAACGTCGTCGCGAAGTTCTTGCCGTCGGCCAATCTTGGAAACGTCTTGTTGTTTCCTTCTTGGAAATTTGTACTCTTGGAACTTGTTCTGTATCCCGTCTGGGTGTGGGCGCTGTCGTGCGCCGGTGGCGCAACGGCTGGCTCTGTCGATGTGAGCCCCTCGGCAGAATCGGTAGTACGAAGCGGAGCGGAAGCCGGTCCGTCCTTTTCTGCAGCTCCATTGTTCGCATTTCTCGTTGGTGAGCCTGAGTTCGAGAGGGTGCGCGAGGTCTGAATTTGATGCCGGAAAACAAGTGTTCCGCGACGGGCCAGCTGCCGTCGCCGACCGGCGCAAAGTAAAGGTTGGTGCGGCGAAGAAAACCTCCACCAGAGACTCGGGCGGGCACAAATTGCACTGGACATGCTGAGACAAGTGACAAATAACTATATGAAGATGCAGCTACTGAACGATACACATACACTCACTGTGTTGTTCATGACCCCGAACAGTTCTGGCTCGACAATGTCAACGACTCACCAGATAGATACTTATGACTAGAAGAATGTACCTCGTTCAACATGTTCTTTTTCTTTTGAGGAGGTGGAACTGGAATCAATGTCATATCGAATACCACGGTCTCATGAGAAAAAAATGTATCTGGTCCAGCAATTCTGCTTTCCCCGCAGCTCGCCTTCATCTTGTATAAAAAAAATTTGCTGCGGCTCACGCATGCACGTGAGCATACGAGTCACGCTTCAGCGAGGTGTTCTGCACAGCTAAACTTGGTGCACTGCACAGCTACGTTGCCTTGTTGTGACGTTCGCACATCAGTTGGATTCGTCCACAGCTGGCACTAATAATTCTCTGTATCAGAGATACGCTTTCTCCAGGAGGAATGCTTAGCTAGAAAGTGAACACTGGACCATAGTTCGGGTCGCACGTAAGTACGCTTGTCCTGGTAGAGCTGGACCACCGTCATTTATGTCCATACCTAAGATTTTCTACGACTCCAGTGGTCGATCGACTTTCGAATGTTACTACGGTCCTGGTGCGCCATATTACCATCCATGCACTTACTATGTTGACCTGATCAAAGATGAGAACGGGAGCGGAGTGAGTTCTTAGCGTTGGTTTCAAATATTGTTCCAGAATCCGTCTCTCCTCGTTTGATTTGCAGCTACAGTTCTTCACGTGATGACCCCGCTGAGGTTATCCTGAGTAAAAACGTACCCACGCCAGAGTTGTAATGCAGATTTGCAAAGACAGGAAGACTTGTAATGCGCATCCCCATGAGAGCCATTTCCAATCGTGTTTTGGAATTTGTGATGCTGTGAACAGGATGAGCAGATGAGTCTGTGACGCGGCTGCACTTGCTAACCTGCACTACACTGCAGAGTGCAACTTGTCATGCGTGACTCACAAAACTCCTAGGTTTGTGTTGCAAAATCCCCACCCTGACTCTGGTGTGGGTACGTTTTTACTCAGGATAGAGGTTTGTGTGGGCAGCGGTGTGGTCCTGCGCCCGGACACGATTTCCGGCTCTTTGCTCGCATAGGATTCGTCGTTGCGCAGCATGCATTTGCCCTTCATGGAGCCCCGGAAACCAAAGCTCCAACGCGTGCACTCGGGCTCCAGATCGCATCGCTCGCAGCACTCTTCCGCTGTGTTCGTGTCCATGTGGTCAACATCGCCGTAGAGCCATACGGTCCCGACCTCTGCAGCACACTGCCTTCGCACCTGGGTCGCAGCGTCAAACGAAGAACTCGTCCCGCCCATGTAATTTTCCACTTGCCCGTCGGCTGAGGGAGAGCCCCCGGCCCCAGATATTTTCTTCTGCGCGGCTTCTCGCTCCAGGAAACGCTCGATTTCACCAAGATCTTCGTCGCCACCCGGGGCTGCTCCTGACTGTGGTACAACAGGTTGTACCGGAGGAACTGACGCGCCTGGTGTAGTGGCTCCGCTCGTTCTCAAATTTACGCCTGCCTGCTGCTGTGCCCCGCCCTGTGCGGAGACTGAAGAACTGGGAAAAGTGGTACGATTCGCGTTCTTCTTCTGTGGCGATGCGGGCGGCGAAGAAAGCGGCCGCGCCTGATGCAGCAAGACGTCATCAACTCCCGTGCTTACTTCCGGTAGTGTTTTTCTCCGTGCCGGGCGCTTGAACTGCTGACCCGCGACGCTGAGTAAAAGATAGCCTCGCCGCGGCTTCTCAGTCGCGGCACCTTCTTCGCTTTCAAAAAAGTAAACCACTGGAGTCAAGAAATTGAGAAATCGAATGCGGAGCAGACCCAGGAGTACAGGCACAGAGCTGCTCGACCGCATGTTATTGTCGATTTTTCCGGGGGGGGCGGGGGGTACTTCTGCGAGATAGCTTTTGCTTGTTACCTATCTCGTACGCAAACTTAGTCGTCTTGCACAATAACACTGCTGTCCCGAGACAAGATTTCATTATTTTCATATGCAGCTTCTATTTATAAACCTCATGCCGCAACTCATTCTGGACGATCAATTCGAAGCCAACAAACCACAAGTGCCCTCAGCCTTTTCTCTCTGTATGTTCTTTTTTGCGTTCATACTCTCAACTGGCGCTCAGAATAACTACTAACTTGCCCTCGTCTTCTGAGAAATCTCCTTTGTTTCTATAACAAAATCATGATCATCTAGCCGGCAATACAAATCGCTACATACTCGTCTCATTAAGGTTCTCATTGATCGTGAAGCGTGCAGGCTGGTGCAAGGTGGGTGCCGCTGCCGTCTCGACCTGCTCGTCTTCGCGTCAAATAGGAAAAGGAGAACATAGAGACAAGAGTCAGCTGAGCTTAAGCTTGGATAGTATGTCACCCAAAAAGCAAAAAGACGAGGCATGCGAATGCATCCTGAAGAAACTTCTAGTACCATGCCAAGTTTCGAGAAGTTGCCATATGGTGTCCCCATTGACGAACAAAATACAAGTGGAAGAAACTATGTATATGATTACGATTTGAGCAAGGGCAAAAGAAACTACATATAATCACGTCCGATTCATTTTCATCTCGTAAGTATCGATCGAAAAGGGGACGATGGGACGTAGTCTTGGGGCCACTCCTGGCTAGCTACGTGGGTGGCACACCCACGACCCCGATAGATTGATAGATCGTCAAGTGCACAAATAGATACGGTCGTGAATCAGAATGAATGTACAGAAGAAATCGAATACTCAAATTCGAAACAAACAGCTTTAAAAAGATGGACAGCATGCGAAGGTGATGTAGTAAAGTTGTACCGCCGTAATCCCTCTGCTCTGATCGGATTAGAATCTCAAGATCATGGTGCTTTCTGATTATAATTTCGTCGGTGTCGGTGAAATACTCCTGAAGTACATAGTGTTAGTCATGCTACCGGCACCGTCTGTTCATCTCACCAGCGCGGGTCTTAGAGAGGGTTCGTGTAGGGTTGCAGCGGACTTCGCGGGGGGCTGCAACTGCGGCGACCAAGAGGCTCCCGACCAGGAGGCGAGGGAGACTGTGCTAGCAAGCGGTCGACGGCCGAGGGCGAGGAGTCATCTTCGATGAAGTCCACTGGACTACTGGCGCCAGGGCCGAGAACGAGCGACTTGGACTTGGATTGGGACTTTGCCTTGAAGTGGGACAACGTGCGGGCAAGCTTGCTGTCTAAAATCCAACTGACCCTCTCCTTCGAGTAAAACAGCCACAACAGGAGCACCACACAGGCGGAGGCCACAACAAGACACAAGATCGTTAGCCGGTAGAACCACGCCCAAATCAGAAGCGAAGGGCCAGGTGGGTTGTACGCCGCTGACACGAGGTTGGCCCCTTGATCTTCTCCTGAAGCATGCGTTGGTGTACTACCCGCGGAATGGGAAAGCTGCTGTTCCCCCATACGATTTGGTGCTCGATCCGTAGACAGAATCGGCACTACTTTCGTGGTGCCAACCCCGGAGTTCATATCAGCACCTGCGGCGGTACCGAATTCGTGCTCCTCTGGCGCCTGCGCAGAGCGAGAAAGCACCTCGTCTCTACCCTTTTCGCTTTCGTCGGCCGGCTGTTCAGACGCCAGAGCTTTTGCGACGGGCGCGTGGTCGCGGTGCGGGAATTCTGTCGCGCCGCTTTCTATGCAGGAAAGCATCGGTTTGGAGAACCAGTTCAGTCTGCGGCCTTCCGTCATGTTCTTCAGGCCGTGGCCGAACGGGTTTTTGCTGTTGGACGCCCACCAGTCGAGGGCCCAGGCCTGGTCGTAGCCCAGCACGCGGATTTTCAGATGCGGAATGAACCGGTCCGGATGCAGCAGCGTCTCGGTAGCTGCCCCTTCCGCGGACGGCAAAAACGTCTTCCCCTCCTCAGTCGAGCTCTTTGTTTTTCCACTTTCCTCGGAAATTCTGATCTTCTCGGACAACAGGTTCGCTTTTTCTAATGCGCGATCGAGTGGCTGATCCGCCGTGTCGCCCGCAGCGAGCAGGATGCCTTCGTTCCGTTCGAACTGCTCCCCGACCGCGTCGGACTTGGGCGCGGCGGCGGATCCCATGCCTAGGTGCTCGCGAACACAGCCGATCACCTTCGCGTACGGCGACAGGTTGTCCACCCTGGCGTGCAGGTTGTTAAAGGCGGTCTCGCAACGCGAAGCCGGAATCCCGAGCGCCTCGGGAACCGCGACGTGAATGGCGCCGTTGTCAGCGGAGCTGAAGGCAGCCCCGTTTTCAGGCCGGTGGAACTCCCACGCCGCCCACTGCCGGAGAAATTGCCGGGACCGCGGGTTGTTGCGCAGCATGTACGTGCCTGCCATCAATTCGTTGTGGTTTTCCAAACCCCAGGTGCGCTCGAAGAACATCACGTCGGCAGCCGCCGCCACCGCGTCCAGAGCTACTGCCGGCAAAACTTCATCTGCGGTCTCCGTGCCGCTGCTCGCCGCGGTTTTATCTTCACCTGGCTTGTCGCTGGAGTGGGTTGCAACCCTCGACGGCGGGAGCCCGGCAAGCGTCCCCGCGCCAGCCAGCAGCGCCACCCAGGGGTCCGCGCTGAGCTCAAACGACCGCGCAGCGATGTCTGCGTCCAGGGCGACGTAGACCGTTTCGTCCGGGATCTCGTCTTCCTCGCGACGTTCTGCGGTAGCACCATCCGCACCCGCAGCTCCACCAGCTTTCGACTCCAGATACGCGACCAGCAGGCAGTGGCGAATGAAGAACGCGTCACGGCCCTCACCGAGACAGGCCGCCTTGGTTTGCGGCGACGCGTTGCGACCCCAGTCCTCCGCGTCCTTGGTGAGCGTGAAGTTCCGAAACTGGTATAATCCGGCTTGCTGGTTCGCAAAGCAACGCAAACTGTTCAGCTGGTCCTGGTAGCGATTTTGAAAGCTGCGGTCCGCAAACACGACCAGCTCTACTTTGATGTTAGCTGCGGCAGCGGAAGATAACGCGTTATTCTCGGCTGCAGCACGGGGTGATGGTCGCTCCTCACCATCCTCATCGACTACAACATCAACTACCTCCTGCTCATGGCGCTGGGGAGTAACTCGCGATCCCAGCGAAAAGAACGGCTGCTCAGCAACCACGGACAGAAAAAAAATGGTCGTCGCGCAACGAATCGAGGAGCGCCGAAACCAGCTTCGGCTGCGCATCTGGGAGTAGAAAGTCAAGCTCATGTTTGTTCGTGGTGCGGGTTTGCAGTTGCACATGCCGAAAAAAATAAATTGCACAGAGGCGCTGCTCTACATAAACGCTTCCTTGCTCTGGCTATTTTTCCTTCGGTACTATTTCCGAGGAAAACGCGTGCCTAACATGTGATAGACGAAATGCTGGGGGGGCGTAGCACCTGTGGTAAAAATTAGAAACAAAAATCTTAATCTTGGACAATGCCCTACTACTTACTTATCTTTTACTTATGTTTTTCCTTCACGCACTAAAAACGGAAAAAGGTGAGCTGCATCAAAGGACGACTGCGATTCTACATCTATTTCCCTTTCCCATGGACATAAACGAATGAACGCATGACCTTGTTCACCAAGCACGAAGAGAGTCATGCACGACGGACTGGTGGCAAACGATCAGTAGCAGTACCAACCTTCGCAACCCACATATTACAACACGAGCGCAAGCTTGCTATTGATAAATGGCTTCATCATGGAGAACGAATACGAAAAGACATTGACAAGACTACGAAGTGAATCTTTACGACTACTATATTGGGACACGACTTCGGATGTTGCTTCTAGTGACTGACCACACTTGAAAGTGCGCAAGGAAGAGCAAGACACAACGAGTGCCGACGTGCTGCTCGCATCAAACCATGAAGTACTTGCATACCAGAACGAACGAGGTTGGACCATGAGGCACAAACACGAAATGTAGCCAACGCACACCTGCAACTCCGTAAAAAGTGCGCCAACGACGCGAGCTCGTAGGTACACGTACACGGACGGGCCGGCGCCGGCGTGCCTGTGGCTGTGCGCCAAGAAAAATAAAAACGTCGCGTACATGTTGCGTATTATTGAGTGAGTTCTCATTCGCCAGAGCCGCGAGGCGGAGGCAGGAGGCGCACATCAGGGGTCCTGCACTCATTGTCATTGAGCCTCGTCGCTTAGACTGTTGTATTCGAGTGCAGGGCTCCTGCACTCGACACGGACAGTAAAAATGCAGACTATGACTATACTCCGCGAAACGACAAGAGTTCTACAACATCGCGATCGCATTCGCACGCGGCCAATTCGAAGACTTACAAATTAGATGCGTACGAAAAAATAAACGGGGGAACTCCTGCAGGTTTTGTTTAACTTCTTAAAATTCGAGATCCGAGGGAATTTTTGGCGAAAACAGAAAAGCATACTTGAGTGGAATGCGAATGCTTGTACCAAGGGGATAGCTACATTACTAGATGAAATGTTGTTTGTAAGGCAATTAAAGTGAAAAGTTGAAAAGAAATCTAGTGCAAAAATGGCTGTGGGTGTGGATGCAGACAAACAGAAAAACTGAAACAGAAACTTAAAATGGTATTGTGAATATGATTGAACAATAGACGGCATCGGCAAATTAAAATTTACTAAACATGTTGAAAAAAAATTAAGGAAAAAGATGTGGCAATCCAAATACTGTAAAGAAAGTTTGCTTTAAGAGGATCAAGATCTCCCTTTTCTGTGTCTGGTGACGATACTGTTGAAACGCGATAAGCACAAACAAGTGAGAGCATCGATGAAGAAATGGCGTCGTCCTACTCGGCATCGACGGCTCTTGTTGCCCAAGCGAACTTCCCTTGTTTCCCCTTTGAAAAAAGGTACCACAAGCAGGTCAGCGAAGCGCCTGCTCCCATCACCATGAGAAAACCAAGCCAAACGCAAACCCCCGTCCACAGCTGCAAATAAGACGTACGGGCGCCAGAAGTGGTGCTAGATTCTTCAGAGTCCTGTTCTACTTCGGGAGATCTTCTTGGACGAGGGTCAGCGCTAGGAGAGTCCTCGTGCGCCAACGGCGAAGACTCAGCTGCTGGGACCAGTGTTTCCGGGCGTGCGTGATCAGCAACCGCGCTTCGTTTGCGTTCCAGTACTGGAGCTGGTGCCGCTGGTTGTGTCAGAGCGTTGTTGATGGGCGCCCTCTCCTGGTCCTCGTCGAACAGTTCCGACTCTCGCGCACAGATGTTTTTCACAGTTTCGGCGTCCGGGTTGTTCAGACTTCTTGTCAGCACCTCGGCAAACAGCGAGTCGCCATTCAGACCTTCGACGCATTTCGCCGTTTTCAGATCCTCCGGCGCTCCCAGACTGGCAAACATGTGATAAGCAGTGCGACAGCGTGCGCTAGTATCAACTGCAAAAACGCCATAGTCCGACACAACTACATCATGCACATCCTGCACATTGGGTGCATAAGTAGTCGAGCACAGTGCCCAAGGCCATACAACAACCTTTGCTGCACATTATTACTTCAGAATCTGGAGCGGCCTCGTGAGGACATGAAGGCCATGATGACAAGGCAGCCAAACCACGCAGCGGCACGTTTCGAAAAGAGAAAGAGGCGACTATTTGCTCCTCAAAGAATCAGCACACACCACGCAATTCTAACTTTCTATTTCTACACAGTATATTGCATCACGCAGGATTCTTTTTCAGTAGAGCAGCTGCAGTGACAGACTATGACATCATATTTACGCTTGATACTTGGGGGTTCTTTGTAGGTTTTGGATGTCGCTTTTTGAACTGCTCTGCGATGTCGACGCGTCAAGAGCTAGCGATTTGCTGTGAAACGGGGCCAAGTGCTCATCCCCTCGGAAACAAGTAACCACGTTCGTTTTTGCGTCCCGGCCTGCCTCGGTCTCTCCGTTCTTGACCTCTTCGATGCCGGGAGCAATGACAAACTGCGTCATTCCTTCCGCGGTTACTGGTTTCGTTGTGCACTCTTCAGCGGAAGAAGTAGAATCGTCGGCGGGCAACGGTTTTTCATGTGGTCCTTCATTTTCTTGTAACTTCAGTGGGTCAACATCGTCTTGAACGGTCGCTGGCTTTAGGGGGACCGTGTGTGCCGTGCCTTCACCTAGCGACCCAAAAGAAATGTGGCAATTTTTGGTCGGGTCCATACCGCAGCAAATTGGCTCGCTTTCCACCTGATCCGCAGCTAGCGTATCGCAGACCGCTTTCGGCGCCACGGCCTGTTTCTGTTCCTCCCAAACGCGTTTCATGTATTGGCTTCCCTTCGTGGCACCCAGAAAATTGGAAGAAAATTTGGGAGCAAAATCCCGATCCTCAGCTCCTCGGCAGCGTTGACCATCGTACTCGTAGGAGAACAATTCAATTCCCGGCACCACGTTGCGGGCACCGGCGTCGTCAGAGTGAATGCGGTCACGGTCTTCGTCTGAAAGAGCCAGAGATAGCAAAATGCGAGGAAGTTATTGCGCGAAACAGCTCCCCGCCCCAAAAAACCAAATTTTCAATCTTTCGCAATAATGATCCAGGGCCGGGCCCAGGGGGTATCGAGATCGAGTAATAAAAACACCACGTACTTCTTTGTCATATGCTGCACCCACTGAATTCCGATTTCCATTTCGTACATGCAGGACCGAGGCTGCTTGGAAGTTAATTGTCTTGTGTTCCTTCGTTACCCCTGACTCCTTCGCTCGACGAACTTCGACAAGGAAGCAGAAGCAATATCAAGGTGTACTAGCACTAGCTACCTTGATCTTATTTCTTCAACTTTTGGCATACAATTAGGGGTCTAGAGGAGTGGAGTTGTTTTGTATGATAGGTGTATGTCGCGCTGCACCAAGAAGTCAGTGTCCAGGTAGGTTTATCAAATCCAAGAACTCTCGCAGTCGCCGACCACTTATGTAACCGAGACAGATCTAAGAACAGCACAACTTAGCTCGGTAGGTTAATACTCAGCGTAGTTTTCGTCCCCCCCAAGAACTTCTAGTCCCTAAGGTTTTTATGCAAAAATTCATCATACGAACTCTACCTACTCGAGTGACCTGATAGATGAATTACACGCGGGTCTAACTGCATTCTTGCATGTGATAAGATTCCACCATGGCCGTACAGAAGAGCATAACGAATGAGATCAGACTTGCTTTGCGCATCAGGCAGCCGATCAAACTCGTCCGGCATGTCGGGAATGAACGTGCGCACGTTGGCATCCGTTACCAGTGTCAGTCGAGGTTCGATACTGTACACATTTCCAACTGTGCCGCGAAAGTGAGCCTCCCAGGTTGCGGCAAGCAGTGGAAATGCGGGCAGGAAATGTGCCAATTGGTTCCTGTCTTTGGGATCTTCGATGTAATAAAACACATTCACGAAGAAAGCGGCCTTCGCGTCCTCTGGAACTTGAATGAATGAATGATTTACCCGACTGACTTGATCTTGCGCAGGACCCCGTGTAGCGGCAAGTAGCCGCGAGTAGCCGCGCTTCAGGCACTGATCTTTCACTTCGCCCGGCTCGGTGCTCCCTCTACTAATGTCCACCGAATTGTCGTCTGCGTAAAATTCTGCTCCCTTTTTTTGCAAATTTCCGTTCCCCGGCTTATGATGCGCGACGATTTCGAGGCAGTGATCTTTCATCACCTCGCAGCCGAATCCGTTCGTCTGGTAGTTCCACTGGCAGCGATCGACCGAGACTGCTTTGATTGCGCTCTGCGGAAGCCCGATTTCTTTGTAGGTCTGCTGTACAAGCCGTGCACTGGGGTGATAGAACAAGCTCAAAAAGAACCCCTGGCCAGCCTCACCACCCACAAAGTAACCCTTTGCCGGTCTTTATCGCATGCAAATGTGTCATTTTCAGGAACTCTGCAAAAGCATTGAGTTGCTTCTTTCTGTCATTGCTACGGAAACTGTACAACACGATTGTCTGGACCTGTAGAGCATACCATACTAAAACCGAATCGATATTAAGCTCTTGTTCCGTTCCGCTACTTACTCGGAAAATCATATCGCGTTTCTTGCGTGGCCATGCACCATGGTAGATCATTCGTTAGCTTGTCAGAATCATGCAAAATTCATCGCTACACAAATAAGACAAATGCCTTTGCATTTAGATTTACTTTTACAACAAGACCACAGAATACCAAACAAATTCCAAATCAAATCTTGCAAATACTTGCATGAGCTCCCAGCTGACATATTTGCAATGCCTAGTGTCCATCCGGAGCGGCCCCATCCCGTTTTTTCGTCGTAATTCGCGACTTTGGAGTAAGCCATCGCCAAGTCAAGGATTTTGGCTCTAGGCTTTACCGCGAAAAATCCAACGCTAACAGGTTCATTGAGACCACCGGTAGTGGTGAGCAGCAAATCTTGCTGCGCGTCCACGCAACGGAACAAGGCCAGCAAATTCTCCCCGCTGTCCTGCAACTCCACGTCATTGTCATAATAAGCAACCGCGTCGTAGGTAGTTTCGTTGAATGCGTGCAGCCGGATGAAATCCTTTGGGCCTGCCCAAGCTTCGCCTGGATCATACTTTGCTTCTGGCGGGATCACCCAGGGAACGCGTTTAACGACCACATGCGAAGACAGCACGCCAAGCTACTTATCATGTTTCAAAACTACCATGTGCCTATGCCCATCCGTTTTCTTGTACTCGCAGCCTCATTTCGAAGTGCCCACCGTAGGCGTAGCTTGATGCATATAGTAGATAGCACTGACGTTGATTTCATTTAGTTCATGTCGCCCTCAAATACAATGTAGATGTAGAAGTACAAGCTGCATACTAACTTGAATGAATATGCCATATATCAAATTCGTAGAGCTAAGGGACAGCTCATCTTGTGCAGATGACAACCCACATCCAGGGTGGTGCCGCCTATTTGCAAACATGAAGCAGCAAGACCAAGGAAGAGCAGAATCCATGCAAATAAAGCTAAGCACCTTCTACGACCACTAATCGTCATCGGATGAGTACAACAAGGTAGCATGTTAGTTTCATTATCCTATTTTTCTTGGAAAGTCTGGACTAGGGAATGCGAGTTCCCAGCTGAAGTCGATCCGGAACGCTCCTGCTCTTGCTTTTCTGCGATTCTTCCAGGATGCACGAGTACCACAATGTCCAATGCCGAGATCGACTCTTCACGGTCGTGTTTCAATATGTTTTGGCGGGCTAGCTCGAGAGCGGCAAAATTTGGAAAATACGTTCCCGCAAGAAGGTCGTCCTGCTGAAAGGGCTCCTCGTTGTTCCCAACTATCGTCGAAATCAGTGCGTATTTCCGCTGGACGCCCGAGGACAAAAATTTCGAACTCGCTGCACTACACTTCGCAACATCAAGACATTCACCATCGTAGGTAAGGGGGTCACTGCCAACGCTGGGCGACGGGCCAACGCAACAGCTCTTGCAAAAATGCGGTTTGCGGGTCAAAAAGGAGTCAAGGTCTGAGCCGCCAGGTGGCTGCATAGAATCCACCTGCTCCTGAAAGGAGGAGACCTCCTGCGAACCCCGGCGGGGCAGGGAACTCGCGGTGAGCGGATGTGGAGGTTCTGCTTCGAGATCATCAGCCGCTGCGCTCGAAAGAGCTCTCCCCGCCGCGCCTTGCCTCGAAGCACTTCTTGTTCCGTGTCCATCAAGGGTAAGATCAGCAGTGTTATTGCTCTCCAAGAACGCCTGTCTGACGGTGTTCTCGTCAGGAGCTGGAAGAACACTACTCGACGATCTCCCAATGGAAACAACTTCCTCGATTGACCTCCTGGCGCTGCTGGGATTCGATCTTTTGGAAACAACAGCAGGCTTCTCCAGGGTGGACTGAGCAGAAGGGCGGCCGACTTTTTTATTTTTCTGAAGAACGAACGACGACGACTCGCGGATGGCGGCTGTGGTCACAAAGAGGCAAACAAAAACTTTCGAGGCCATTTTAGCATCGAGCGCCATGTCGATGATCTTTTTTGCCTTTAGGTTTATTGCGCTTTTTTTGCTTCTTCTTGATCTTGAGAAGTCATTTTCCTTACAGCTTACGTGCATTTCATCTTCGTCCTCTTTACACTTCTCAAGTAACTAATTGCACATTTGAGCAGGATGAAAGCTGGAGAGACCAAATCAATGGACTACTTCAACGTTGAACTATGAGGGGAGGTCCTGATTTTCCGGTGTCAAGGGGAAATGACAAGAATAACCAAAATAAGAACAGCGAAGACAAGTTCAATAAGCACGATGCGGGTTGTGAACGTTCGTACTGGGTGGTCGGACGAGGCTCGCAACGCGGACGAAAATAACAAGAAAATGTGCGCCGATCGAATACAGACAATGGACGATCGCCAGATTAGTGAACGCAGACGGACGACGTAGTACCGAAGTACATAAATAAAAGCCGACAGACGAGGAATACGAACATCTTCTTTCAACCGACAACGTATCTTCTACTTTTTCGCAATTGATAACCATGACGAAGACGATGGACGATCTCGCAGAATTTCAATCGCCCAAACGCAAGAGGTTTTAAACTACTTGGTCGTCCCCTTGTCCTCCTATTCTATTGCCGAAAACTATGTGCATTGGGGGTATTGCTGTTGTGATTCATTGTATTCGTATTCCCGTGTTAAACGCTGATCCTTCAACTACCAATAAGCGCTGCCGAAAACCTGCACGTCGGTCTCATCTGGCATCTGCCTGTTCCTGTTGCACTTGCAGCAGCAACATTACACCTGTAATGCAATTAAAACATGAACTAGAACTAGGATGAATGCATATTCATGTGTCGCCACGATATCCTTTTTCATTTCGTCTTTTTCATTTCCAATGAAGAATTCAGCTCTCTTTCTTTTCCCGAAGCATTTCTACTGCCGTCGTTTGCGGACGATGCCGGGGTCTTTCGCGTGCCTATCGCACTGCTCTTTTCGGAGATATCCGCACCTGCAGCTGCGTCTTCATCTGCAGTCCTCGCGGAATAAAGCCTCTTCATGCTGCTGAAAAGAAGTTCTCCGCTCGAGTACAGCAATCCACCACCAAAAACGAAGAGGGCCGCGACGCTGTGCTGCAGGGACCAAGGATTCTGAAAGTACGCATCAAATGAAAAGCTGCACTGAGCATAAACACACGCCTCGGTTGAATTTGTCTTTGACATCCTCTTTCTCATGATACCGATTCGCGCGAGAGAAAGAAAGAATGCAACCAAGGCTCGCGCTTCTGCTTCATGCGGTTTTCGAGAGATACTACAGAATCGAGAAGACCACGGTAAAAAATTTCCGCATCGAAAGCGTGATGTTCACACGGAATCCTAGAAAAATCCTGAATCAGTTGGAACTAGAATTTTCATTTTGTTCGCACCTGCATGTTGATGGTGGTGTACCCGAATTTAACAGGAAAGAAATACATAGGAATACTTACCCAAATTACAAACATGCTTCTGGTAAATCAGAGAAGAAAATTCTCTCCTCGACCTGACTCAAGTTTTGCTAGCACACCGTGAGCGCGGAGTAACGGGTCGAGAGGTAAAAAACACCTTTTAGACAGCAAGCTTGTGCCACGTTGTTTGCGAGAATGTAGCACCACTGCAACGGGATGCTCACAGAAATGTAATTGTTGCCGCCATTTTCGCCAGAGGACATCAACGAGGGCACGACGGCCGGCAGGTCCAGTGTAAAAGCTGCCGGAGAGGCCCACGCGTTACCTGCGTTAACCACATACTTCTACATGCTTGCAGCTTACTTGTCACAAATGGAATTTTTCATTATGCACATTTGGTTTTCGATTCATCAAATCGTATTTTTGTTTTTCGTTTTCCGAATCATGTCCACAAAATAAATACCCCAGTGAAGTTTGATCTCGTCCCAGAACACGACGCAACCGAGCAGGGACGCGATGGATGAGGTGTAAAGAAACTCCTCTGCAAGCTCGTTCTTTGAAACTTTGGGTTCCTGCTCCCGCTGGAGGTAAGGATCGTAGTCGTATGCAAATGAGAAATCCACCATGCTTGTTGCAACAGAGGAGTACGAGTAGATGATAGCTAACGGCTCGAAATTTTCTGTTTTTCGTATAAGATGTTGCTCCTTTCCCGCACAGATTCATGTAGGGTAAGCCTCAAAGTGATATGATGTCCTCAGGGTGGGCATCAAATGCAAGGTAACCGATATAATGTCAACAAAAAACGACCATAGGTAGAGGCATTTATTTTTCTGAGAGGCGTGCAAGAACCACAGCACATGCGGAACTCCGTCGCTCTTGTGCGAGCCTGGTATTATCATGATTGCAGACAGAACCTCCATTTCATTCATGGGCAACGCATGGCAGCACTTTTCGTAACATGTTGCGCTGTATGTGACCCAGGAACGACTGCGTGACAAGACAGAGAAGCAGTACCTGTATCCCGACCAGCCAAACAAGAAACGAATCGTTTCCCGCGGCCCCAGACTCTGGTACTCCCTGCGGAAACAGGCACTGCCACACACTTGGCACATTCTGGCAAGCCGCGACGACCTTTGCGTCTGCTAGAGTAGCGAGGAGAATTCCGATCGTCACCAGCACCGACGCTACGCACTGCGTCTTGGAATAGGTACATCGAAAAAACGTATGACAAAAATTGCAAAAACTTCGACAGGATAAGATCAAGATAAAGGCTGACCTCTACGTAAGTACTATGGACCATACTACTCTGGGAAAGATTTATCTACTCACACAACGCAGAGCTTGTTTCCCGTTTCGGTCTTCGGTTTCCACCAGAAGCAAACAACAAATTGCCAAAAAACTGCAACTAATCCTACCTCCCCGGCGGCTCCGCAATACCTAATCATTATCGGTCTATGGACCATAGGCTTTGAATGGAGTTGCTTGTACCACTAGAAACACGATACGAATTAGGATCGTAACACGGATACGTGTACGTAACACGTTTTTTAGCATAACATATTCAAACCGAGTGCAATAAGTTGTAATCCCAAAGACTTTCTGCCGAAGCTTTCGACTGGATACAAGAAAAAGCCAATTAGCAATGTCGCAACGACATTGCATGATCGCACGACGGTGTGGTTGGCATGGCTGTAAAAAAATTACGACCGACGGCGTTCTTTCCTGGCTTTCGACTCGCCCGCTACTCCTGGCAATTGCATTTTTTAGCTCGGGGTACATGATGCGTTTCAAATTCGTGCTGAAGGTTGTCAACTCTTGCAGCACTTCTCATAGAAAGATATTGACATAAAAAATTTTGTCCTTCACGAGTACGTGGAAGGAAGCAAGCCCTTGTTCAGAGAAGTAGACACTGTCAATCGCCACAGCCCTAATATATAAAACGACAACGTACGAAGCCAGTCGCCAGAAGCAAGAATGAAGGTCGGCCGAGTTCTGCAGTGTCATAAATGGGTACGGCGATATTGAAGGAAAACGCGTAGTTGACTAGCCAACTCATGCTGACGAACAAGACGGCATGCTTTAGGTGATCCGATCTTGCGGCGACCAGTGGCTGGAATGTGATCAGGCTGCCGCCACCCTCATTTTTCCGGCCGAAAATAAACCGCCGGGGCAGATTTTCCAGCGCGATAAAGCAGAGCTCGGTGAAGGTAAGGAAGTTGCCGCTTCCCGGATCCTGTTTCAAAGCCTTTTCGAAAAATACCATCGCCAGGCAACAGCCTCCGAAAACCATAAGAAATGGCAAATACGCGTCAAGTGGTGACGCAGAAACGGTTGTGATAGCACTCGACGTCATTATGTATTAACGATGCGGTCATGAATGTGACATTCCGGTCTCCCTGTCAATTGAAAGACGAGGCAAACGATACGGAAGGTCATCAACGGACGAAATAGCGAACCAACACAGCTACAGATCGGCGAACGGACTCAGTATCAGTTCAGTTGAAGAATCAAATACTTAAATGATCCACATGTGGGTCACATCAGGCAAGAACATGGAATTTGGGAGTCGCGACGTAGTTGCTTACATCGCAAATTCCGGTGACTTCCGCAAGCGCACTACAACTTCCCGAAGTTTTTTGATTTTTGTCTTTCCTGGATCACTTTATTAGAGAACATTATCGTCATCTATTTCTATCCTGCACTGGGAGGGCGTGCATGAGGTTTTTTTAGGGGCTTGCTCGGGTTCAAAATTCAAAGAAGAGCACGCTGAAAGGGGATGGAAAGCGCGCAACATTCGTAAAAAACTGGTGAATCTCGTGTCAGTGAGAAAACTCTTTTTAGCCTAGCATCAGCTCGACCACTGTAGACATACACTACAACCGGGACCGCTAGACTTGTTCCCCAGGACTTGTTTAAACTAACGTCATCGCATAGAGATTCTCCTGCGATGGCGCTTCCGGCGCACTGGTGCTTCCTTCTTCCTCACGGACATCATCGGCATCGTGGGGTAGTTGTAGTGTTTTTGCACAGGATACTTCATTGGCCGGACTTCCGCACACGCCCAACGCAGCACGCGTCTCCATCTCGATCGGGTTGACTAAGAACCCCGGCTGACAGAAGTCCTGAGCAGCAATGGCCATCCTCCCATCCGCGTCCATGTAGTGCAGCACGTGGGTCGTCCTTGTCTCATACCCTTGGTCGTGTTCGCGACCCACGGTGCTGTTTACCGCCGGCGCGGCTTTATCAGTGTCAAACCGTGCTCGGTTCCACAACTGCCCGCTCGTGACGAGAAAATGCTGCCGGAGCCGGGGGAGAATGCTTCGCAAACACGGCTGTTCACTGAGAGTGCACGCAACAGCTGCACTGCTCAATTCCGCAGTTTCCCAGGCCTCGGCCTTCGGGCCGCGTTTGTGCGCCGCAAACATGTCCTTGAAGAAAGTGCGACTGAAGGCGTTGTTCGCGACGAGTAGGAAACCGCCGTTCAGATCATCGCAGAACTGGTTCTGCTGCCAGTTCGCTTTGTTCTCTTGCACCTGCCAGTCCTCGTTGGCCGCAAACACGTCTTTCTTCGCCTGCGCCAGATTCCACGCCGCCAGACCTACGGAGTCGAATGCCGTACTCACGAGAGCAGCGTCGGCATCGAGCGAAAAAACGTGCGTAAACCGGTACCGCGCTTGATGGTCCTGCTCTCCTGTAACTGTGGTTGTGCTTCTACTTGTGCTGCCACTGCTAGTTCCATTTCTTTCCAAGTTCAGGTAATCCGCGAGCATCAATTGTTTTTCAAAAATCAAATTAATCCGGTCAAACCACTTTATGCACTCCTCTGCAGATTTTCCCCGGCACTCTTCGCTATCGACTTGCCACTTCTTCAGGTTCGTTTTCCCATCGTATTCATCTGGCGTAAACTCCGTCCGTAAAATCAGACCGTGGCCGAAGTGACGAAGAATCTGGACGTTCGCGGCAAACAGCGCATGGAGCCAATCCGCCGGGGCATTATCCGATGCTGGGTTTTTCCAATCTCCTGGCGCGTTCGGACTTAGATACATCGTCATCACCATGGTAGCTGAAATGCCGGCTTTCGTTTTTGTTCCGCTTGCGTTCTCGCTGTTCACAGGCAGCACCAATTGATCACTTCGCAACAACCAGTCCGGCTGCTCGCACTGCACGGGGAACTTTACGGCATTGGCGGTGAAGTTGGACGGCCAGTCCACGGGTTTCTCAACTCCGGAGGAAACGAAGTTCTTGGTGTCATGGCCTTCTTGACGTTCAGATGAGTTCTTTTCATCTGCTGAAAAGTGTAGTTGGTTGTTCTTCTTTTCATCTGCGTCGATACTGCAAAAATCCTTTACCACGAAAGGCGCCTTCGGAGCATTTTTTTGTGCGACGGAGCCGGAAGAGGAAGACGTTGGTTCTGCTTCGACACTTGCACCTTCAGTGTCTTTCACAACGTGGAGCCGTAGTCTCTTGGAAGATCTGCTACGACGTTCTTTCCGTTCCGTTAAAGACGAAGATGGTCCTGCTGTACCTTCCGCGCTTTCTTGTTTTTCTTCTTCCTCTACCCCGGTACCACCTTCGCTTTCGCTTTGCTCCTCAGCAATAGCGTGCTGTGCGTTTGTACTTTCCGCGAAAGACGATACGCCTGCATCTGCAACGTTGCTGGTGGAGGTTGTTCGTGGCAGGTTTTTTTCCCAATCATGACTGTCCACTTTTTGGTCAAGCCCATTGAAGTCCCGATCATCCGACGTAGCGGAGGGTGCGCTTGAGCCAGTTGACACAGCATTGGTCGATAGCGTACTATCCCGGGAACTTGCTTTCTTCCTTTTAGTCGCAGATGAAAAGACGCGATCGCCGGGACCTTGTAGCGGTGCCGCGCTCTTCTTCTTGACGGTTCCGTCGTACACAGGAGAGTTGTGGCGGACTTGCGTGCCGTCGGCGAGGCGCATTGAAAAAAAGGAAAGGCCACCGGACAACGAAAATGCCCGCATCTCTTCGTCTTATTCAAGTATTTCTGCGCTACGTACTGAGGGCCTGAAGCTGGCTTAGGTGAGGTTTTTTCTGCTAGATATAGATTTGAAATGATTCACAACGCACATGCATGCAAAAAGAGGTGATTATAGTCCAGGACGGCAGCGTATTGCGTTCTGAAAATCAAGAGAACAGGAGTGTAACTGTGTGTTGTGTTGAAATAGTTTTGATGTAATTGTAATTCATAACAAGAGGATAAATCAAAATGGGTTTATTTTGGTCGTGCCTGTCAGAGGGGACAAACGGGTTCCTGTAAATCTAAATGCGCCTCACTATCATAATCATTGCCATGATTTCAGTGCCCAAATTTCTATGTGTAGACGACAACAACGACGTTAACTTTTTCTGCTACTGCTAGTACACGCGGATTCATACATACTTTTGTACCACTGGGTGCACGAAGAAAAGGAACGGCAAGAAGGTGTACGAACCGACAAGAGGACTCAATAGATACAACAGATGCTACCTCCAAAGGTGGTAGAAAGATCCACGAGGAAGAGGATAAAACGACCGAACCGAAAAAATACACTATCTTCATTAGCCACAACAGCAGCTACAAACTCGACCGAATTATCAATGATCGATCTGCACAAAAAACGACACGGCAGCTCAGAAGAAGCGAGACACAACAAGGACATCGCGATAAACATAAAGCAGAGTTCGCTATTAAAGGTAGGGCCGTTTTCACTCCCCGTATCCTACTTCAAATTTAAATTTTTTGAAAAACGAATACCATAGCATTCGCCTGGCAATCACCGATATTCACACGTAAATAAGCGAAGTCAGAACTGCGATGCAGAAATGGTTGTCGTAACACTCGACATCTTCATGATGTTTGGGCGAGGTGGTCTTTGAGTGATGTGATCACTAGGGATCCGGAAAAAGAGCACCTCCAGCTCCGTGAACAAGAAGAAGCACAAAAAGAAACAGTTCCACCAGGCAGATCTTTTCCCATGAAAAAATGAACGCGACGAGTTCGAGCTACAAACAACAGAGCCTAACAACGCAGGTCGCTTGAGGACAGACACAAGCCACAACGTAACTCGTGCACGGGCTGCTCCAATTCATCCTGTTTTTCGGTTCAATATTCGCCCTTCCGGAAACGAGATTCTTTATATTTGCCCTTCTTTTGCTTCTGTTCGGTACTGGCAAAAGAACCGAGCGCTTGTTTTCCTTCTCGCAGAAAAAAAGTTCACACGCAAGAACTACCAGCGCTGTCAGTGAAAACGCCGTCTAAATCAAATTCCGTGTAGTTTGTTATAGTACTCGGGAACCTGACAGTTAACACTAACTTGTTTCACGGGCGCTTTAATCGACAAGACGATGCGCATCGAAAAAACCTCTTCTTCAAACTCCTACTTTCGCCTGCACCTAGGACGCAGCAGACAATGGAGCTGCGAGAAGCGCCCGATTCACGGCGTTGTGATAATTGTAACGTTACGATGGATTCTTCGAAGATGACTCGAGAGGGAACGAGAACGAACCAGCTCCGTATGAAAGGGACACATATTTCAACATGATTATTTTTTAGCGAATCGATCTCACATTCCTGTTGCACAAACCCAGGCGAGAGTACCGCAGCTGCATCAGATAATGCTAGTGCGATTGGCAGGAGATGTGCCGTTCATGCGTTAGCATCACTGCCGACCGTCAGTGTCTCCATACATAACATAGAGCTCCTGTAGAAGTACAAAACGTAAATTAGGAAGCAGCACCTGGTCGGAGTCCTCATTTTCGCAGGTACAGCAACAGAGTGGCTCGTGCTCGTCTAGAATGCTGATGCTCTTTAATAAATAGTGCAACGGTGTGTCTCCCGATCGCGTAATCATGGCAACTATTGGTAATTTCTTTCCCTACTCAAGGAGGCATTAAGATATGGCCTTGCGCTGATTCGTCGTCGTTCGCAGACGGTGATACGGACGAACGATTGGGATATTTTTCTCAACCCAGGCCGACCCACACGGCACAGAGCTTCTGCTCCGCTGGGTGACCACGTCGCACAGCTCCAGCCTAGCCGCTTCCACCTCGCCCACACCGGCCCCGGCGACGCTAGTAAGGTAAATCTTTTGCCGCTGGTCGTTTACAGCAACAGCATGGTGTGTGTGGCGCCGGTGGAGATGCTGCGGACCGCAAACTTGGCGAGCTGGTTGAGCATTTCCGGCTTGGCAATCTTGGGTCGCGAGCGGGCATCGAACCCGAGCTGGCCAAAGGAGTTATCGCCGAACACGTACACCGCCCCGTCGCGGTCCAGCGCCACGGAGTGCTGCCCGGCCGCCATGAGGGACACGATGGGGTACTTCTTGGCCAGTGTGGGGATCAGCGTCGCGGTCCGGTACATGTCCTGCCGCTTGCCGGTCTCCGAGTCCATGATGCCGCACTGCTGGTTGAAGTTGCTTCCGCACGCCCAGGTTCGGTACATGGTCACGCTGGAGATCAGGGAGTGGTGCTCCCCGCAGGCGAGGCTGAGGAAGTAGCTGCCGCCGCCGTGCGGGCGGCCGATTTCGTGCTCGTGGAAGATCACCCTGGTCGGCGCGAACAGGTCCTTGGCGCCGTCGGTGCCGCACTGGCCGTACGCGTTGGCGCCCCAGGAAAAGAGCCCGTGCCGCTCCAACGCGACCATGGTGTGGTCGGACCCCGTGGCGAGCAGGTAGCACTCCGACTCCAGGTTCTTCACCAGCAGCGGCTTCGCGCTCTTCTTCACCTTCATCGGCTGCCCTAGCTGCCCCTTGCGGTTGTCCCCGCAGGCGTGGACCGACCCGTCCCAGGCCAGAAAAAGCGAATGTCGCGACCCGCAGGCAACGAACCGCACCAGGAAGGGCATGTCCAACTGCACGGGGCCCTGGAGCGTGGTCGCCTTGTCCTCCTCCATCTTCCTGCGCTGCTGCTCCGGCAGGTTGGACAGGGCTCCCGTCGAGGACTGCCCGGCCGCGTACACCTTGCCCTGGTTGGTCAAAAACAGGGTCTGCACGTCGCCGGCATCCCCGTTGCAAGACATTTGCGCGATGATGTTCGTCCGCATCGTCTTGAGGCAGCGGGGCACCACCACCTCGGTCAGGGCCGGGTTCAGCCCCAGCTCCCCCACGCGGTTGCTGCCGCAGGAAAACATGAAGCGGTTGGTCACGAAGAAGCTGGACCGCGGTCCCGCGCACAGCTGGCGGATCCGGAACCCGTCCACCGCGTACAGGGGGTACATGTAGCCCGGCTCCCGGATGTCGGTCTTCTGCAGGCGCACCCCCAGCTGCCCGAACTCGTTGCTGCCGAAAATCATCACCCGACCCTGCATCACGTAGTTCGGCTGGTGGGCAGCTTCGGTGAAGAGCTCGTCCTTGAAGCGCGAGAAATCCGCCATCCGCTGGCCCTCTACCCGCGCCCGCTCCTCCGTCTTGCGCCATTCCACGAACTTTTTGAACCGCGCGAAGACCATCTTGTGCGCCCTCGGCTTGAAGTGCGCGATCGCGCGCGGCTCGTTGGTCGGCAGCCGGTGAAGAAAGTCGATTGCCTTGTCGGCGCACTCCAGAAAGATCTGCTCGCAAAAATTCGTGTCTTGTCGCTTGTTCTCGATCCTAGCCTGTCGCAGCTGTCTCTGCGTCTTCGCCAAATGCACAACCATACCTGGGCAGTTGAAGCGGAGCGAAGGTCCATTTGTGCTCTGAAACGAGCAACATCCGGCGATCCATCAACATACATAGGTCAGTCAATACAGATATTCGATTTCGATTCGAAGAGCTCGTTATCTTATCGAATCAATTATATCAACATCATATGTTCAGTAGTACCGATTGCCATTTTCCAGGCTGCTGTGGCCGCGGGGTCCGGGCGGTTGGGGCGTATGGTGAGGTCCTTCGTTGGGTCGCGGATGTTCATGCCGTGTGACATGGCCGTTTCGAGCAAGATCATTTGGTACTCGTCGAGCGGCGCCCGGTCCAGAAACTCCAGCATGGTTTTCCGGTGCAGTGTGTGAAACACGTTCGGCTGGTAGTACTGCAGCTCCTGGGTGGTCAGCAGTAGGTAGTTGCGCTTCCACTTTCGAAAGAGCGCCTTGCGGTACATGTTGTAGCCGAAGAAGACGGTGAAGGCCTGCAGGATCTGGCTGTTGGATAGAGAGGAGTTCAGGAAAAGCTGGTCCAACAGCACCAGCGGGGACGAAAACACGATGGGACGCACGCCCCAGTCGTTGGGACTGCTGCCGCGGTCGAACAGAGTTTTGGATATCATGTCCGGCTCGAACAACTTGCAGATGTGGTACATTATTACCAGTACCAGGCACTTCATGACGTGGTAGGTGCTGTCGTCTTTTATCGGGGTCGTCATCTCCGAGGGCTCCACGCCCATCGGCGTCCCACCCACTGGGCCCAATATTGGTGGAAAAAACCTTTATTTTGTCATTTTTTGTTCGTTTTCCAAATGAATCAGCTCAAGAACAACTGCCAAAGAAATCTAGAAATGCAAGTGAAGAAGCCCAAAAACCCCTCGGTCGTGCATGTATAGGAGGCACTACCTCTACTTCTACATCCGGATCCGATGGTCCTATCGTTCTTCTTCTACTTGCCATTCGCATTTATTAGCACTAGGTACGGCAGATAACGAAAGTGTACCCGTAGAACACCGTGCCGGACTCGTGGATGACGGTTGCGATGGCCATGAGCGGTAGGCCGAACATCCAGTCGGTGAGCATGTAAAGGTCGCGCGTCCCGGCAGTGCCGATGCTGTGGTAGGTGTCGTCGCAGAGGCCGCTCTGGAAGGCCACGTCTAGGCGCAGCAGGGTGGGGAGCGGGTAGGGCTTGTCGTCGAAAATGTACTTGTGCGGCTTCTATCAAATGTAAAAATGTCTGGGTCTGGAAGGATGCGGAATTTGCATTTGTCATGCTAGTCGGGCATGACGCGGAGCTCTGTATTGCGTGACCAGCAAGAGCTCCTCTTATCTGTCATCATCATCATCATCATTGAGACGGACCCCCTGTGGTCGTCCTCACGGTGTCGTCTTGGCCCTAGGCTGTTTCGGACAGATGTTGGCTGTGTCCGGCAAGAGGACGGCTCTGCGTGGGCAAATGTTGGCAATGTCCAGCAAGAGCGCTTCCGTGGCCCCATTTTCTGCCGGTTTTTGGCTTTCGCCAGGCTAACCCGCAACACCACCCGTGGACAGTGAAACCCATGTAAAAAACGCTGTTTGTCATGCGGAATACGCAACAGGGAGCCAAGGATAAATTTGTCATGCCTGGCGGCGCATTACAGTATGCTCTCTTTTCACTGACATGCATCACAAATTTCCAGACCCAGACATTTTTGCATTTGATAGCTTCTGTTTCGGGAAGAAGAACAGGTCCTTCTCCGTCGCGGCTGGGGGGTCCACCGCCTCCGCCTCAAAAAACACCATGTTGTACCGCTTCACAAACAGCGACCGCGAGAAGTAGACCGCACGAGAGAGGAAAAGGTACGTGAACCCCGTTATCGGGGAGTACGGCAGCTGGCTCCAGTACAGCGCCACGATACCCGACAGGAAGAGGAGGGTTTTGAGCAGGCCGAAATAGATGGGCAGCCGCGTGCGCTCCATGATCGGGGTCAGCACGGAGCTCATCCAGGGATCGATGCTCGCCAGGAAGACCAAGAAATCCGTGAGCTCCAGTTCCTTGTTCGCCAAAATCAAAAAGTACTGCGCGGCGGCGCCGAAGAGCGCCATCAGGGGGATGTGCTTCAGCGGGTGGAACTGCCGGTCCGGCTGCCCCACGAAAATCCGCGCGAGCATGGACATGGCCGCCAAAAACGGCCAGAACGCCATCGCCTGGATAAAAGTGCCGAAAATGTTTCCGCTTGTCCCGGACGCAATGAAGGTGAAAATCAGCAGCATCACGGTCATCGTCGCGTTGCACACCAGTGCCGCCATCGTAGGACAGGGTAGAAACACCTGGCATGGAAGTTTTGTGTGTAAAAATCGCGTCTGTGTGTCAGTGTCTCGTCTCTGAAGAAAGAAACAAATTGCAACTTCTGCCCGTCGACGCAAAGTATTAATTTCAAAACTCAGGAAAGCAGCACGCTCGAGCGCGCTTGTGGAAATTGAACTGAAATTGAGTCGACTTGTCTGCAAGAAATATCTTCAGCATTTCTACTCTAGTACCATGAGGGAGTAGAAGGCGAAGATGAAGGGTAGCACGTTGGCGAAAGTGGTGAGAAGGAAAAAGTTGCGCATGTCGAAGTAGACGTTGAGTGTGTTGAGGATTGCGGCGCTGACCTGGATACTGCAGCAAAACTGCAAGGCCAGAATGTAGAGGCGGCGGTCCTGGAACTTGTTCTGCCGGTTCCAGGTGAGCGCATAGAAAAAGTCTCCCAAGCGCCAGTAGGCGGTGTTGAGCAGGTACAGGGTTTTGGGCCCAATCCGGTCGAACATGCGGATCCACCAGATCTCCTTCGTGAGGTCCAGCTGCTGGTAGTTGAAGATGGGGTAGTCGGCCTCCCAGAATTTGGGTTTCCGCTTTTTCGTGGTCAGGTCCACCACGCGCTCCTGCAGCCCCTTTTTGCGCTTCGCCTTTTCCTGCTTGGCCTGCCGGTAGGTCGTGGGCGTCGGGGCCGAATCCTGGCTCTCCTCCGAGCTGCTCGAGTCCTCTTCCACAACCAGCCCGCGGAGCTTGTCGCGCTTCTTCGTCGCCTTATCCAGCTTGCTCATCAGCGAGGAGGCGTTCACGTACTCCTTAATGCCCAGCTTTTTCTTCGTCCACGCAAGCCAATTTTCCCCGTACTGCTGCCACGTCAGCGGGCCCTCGCGCTCGAGTCGCTTCTCCTCCTTGCGCCGCAGCTTCTCCTGCCGGATGCGGTACTGCTTGTAGTTTTCCCGCAGGGTCTGCACGTGCGCCCGCACGGCGAAAACCCCCTTAAGCCGCTGCATGCCGCCCCGTATCCGGTCCCGAACGCTAGGTGGCGGCTCCTTCGGCTTGCTCCCGGCCGGCACCGGGACATTGTCCCTGTTTCCACCTCCAAAAAACATCACGCCTCACTCTGGCTGGTGGAGGTCCGATGAAGATTTTCTGCACACGCTTTGGTGCGTGGTGCTTCCGCCTCTGGCTCTGCGCGCGACGGTTTCTTCTAGCACGATATCACCAAGAAATGCAAGCTGAAGAACACGAGCCTTTCGTTCGACAACGGTCATCCTGGTGATCAAAATACTGCATCGGCGAAATCCGCAGCAGCATCCCGTGGAGCCGCAATCGCGAATATGGAAATGGTGCATCAGCCTTATCAGCTGACATTATTTCTAAAAAACCCGAGGGGGGGAATCGGTAGAAGTCGGTGGGTGCCAATGCGCCTTAAATGCGAAAATCCGTCAACGTCAAGATAAATTCCGTTTTCCACCGCTTCGGCACACTCATAGGTCACATTCACGACAAAGGGATCAATAGGGCTAATCTAAAACTGAATTCTTTCCAACAACTTGCAAAAAAATGACAGTTCGGAGAGCGTGCAAGTACACAAATGTAAACTCAACAAGGGCGTTTATTCAAGTCTAAGGGATTAACAGTGCTGCGTGGTATCCCTACCTTTATCTTTCGACGTGTTCATCTTTCGATACCGGGAAACTAAGCCAGAGCACTGCAATAGACGAAGAGCAGTTCTTGTGGTGACAAATTTTAGATGTATGTTGCCGGACGAAACGAAGAATTACGAACAAGAAACGCGAAAAGATTGTTCTCGCGTCAAAGGAACTCTCTCGGCCTCGGCGTATGAAAACAATAAGAATCACTTTCGATTTCTGATGCCGTCATCTTCACGTCCTCTCACAAGCCCCTCATCTCTCAAACGATTCGAACGCAGTTTGTTACTAGTGTCGGTCCAGCTCCGCTCTCGATCTCTCATGACTCCTCTTCAAACTCAACACGCTCTTTGCAAGTACTAAAATGATTCATCTCCATCGGGGTTCGAGGACGAAGGTCGAGCGTACAACTACATCTACAACTAATGCCGCATAAAAACGAATAAGGACTCAGCAGCCCGTTGAACTTGTGCGAAGCAGTTCAGCATGGGATTGGCAACCACCTAATCGTCCTAAACTACGATGCGAGATACAGTGCATACGCACAACATCAACAAGACAAGGCTCAGCTCAGTTGGTCCATCAGCAAAATGTTCATATGGCCGCTTTAAGGTTGTTCTTTATTCAGTTTTGCTTCTGTAGCTGTGATTCTTTATTTTCTCGAATTCCATTATCAGGACAAAAAGGTCGGAACGTCCCACTGCACCTTGCCGTCTCGCGGGCACCAGTAGTACTCCCGATTGCTGGCGGGGTCGACAATCGCTACCCAGCCAAACATGGGCTTCTGAAGGACTTGCACGCTCGCGTCGTCTTTCTTGTGGTATACGCTGCCGTTCCAGGTCCAGTCCACCAGGGAAAGGGTGCCCACGTTCGCTCTCACCTGTTTCCTCTGCTTGGCACGGGTGCTCTTAGTGGAGGACTTAGTGGAGGACACTCGGTGGCCGATGCCTTTTGGCTGCTGCATGGCCGCGTGCGCGAGGACGGGTTTATTTGAAGCTGTATTCACACTTTTGCAGATCGGTGCTGCTGCTGTTGTTGACGCTGCAGAAGTTCCCGCCCCAACAAGTGCGGTATTGTGCACTAACGGAGCGCGGCACACATTGGCAGTGGCCTGTACGTGCCCACTTGTGGTCGTGGGCATTTTCGTCGTGATTATCCCTGCAACAGAAGGCACTGTCGTCCTCGTCCCCGAATCCGCGACCCCTATCTTCTCAGTCGACCCGGAAGTTGCAGACGAGCTTTTTCTCTTTTTAGCTTTCTTTTTCCCTCCGGTACTTCTAATCGGGGCGTTGTCAGGCTCGCGCTGGTTGTCAGTCCGCTTCATTGCTGCATTCTTGTCCTCTCCTTGGCTCAAGCTCGATTTCTTTTTTTCGTGCTTATTTACTGTCTCTTTCGACGTACTCGTAGTCGCGTCGCTGTCGCCGGCCGCCGGAAGCGATGCTCTCGCCGTCGTCTCTGAATGAAGACATGATGAGCTTCTGACTTCAAATGCTGCCTTGTGATTTTCTACCTTCAAAGATGTTGCCGACGCCTGCGAACTTTCTTGCTTGGCCTTGCTCTTCTTCGCCTTCTTATTTTTCTGTTTCTTTTTGCCCGCCTTCTTGTCTATTTCTGCATCTTCTTCACGCGCTACTGATGCTGCACTGGTGGATAATGAATCCACACTACTTGTTGAAATCGTGTACTTTTTAGCCTTCGCAAGCAGTTTGCGCTTCAGCTCGCTCGGATCTGCGAGAGAACCTACGGTGCTGGAGGTTCCTCCATCTGTACCACCGTTCGGCGTCCGCGCAGGGGATGGTGCAGATGACGAAGAACTCGAACTCGTCGAGCTGCTGAACCCGCGTGTTAGCGTTAGGCCCGGCTCGCAGCACATCTGCCGGCCCGACCCACACGGTGTGAGAACAGTCCGTCGAAAATGGCCCGCCCCCGGCTCCAAGAAAAGTGACGCTGTAATGATTTGCTGTCGGCCAGCAAATGAGCTCGAGGTTTGTCGTGTCCTCGCGGTGTCCTGTTCGGACTTTGATGGATTCCTCCCCTTTTTGAGCACTCTGCTTGAAGGTGATGGAGCTGCTTTTCCTTTTACTTCACAAAGAAAAATCTCAATCAGGGGACGTCCATAATGCAAAATGGAAGTTTTTGAAACTTGCCCATTCGGCAATCGCATTTTGTGATGAAAAACATGGCAAAAAAAATCTAAGTACACAGTAATTGTACCAAGTACGAGCAGCAGATCGAGCCAGCTAAGTACTACTAAGTAGTTTGCGATAAACAAACAAACTGTCTCGACATCGCAAGATGCAAAACGCAAAAGGAGAGAAGGAAAAGAAAAGCTGGTGCGAAAAGGCACGGAAAAAGATTCAGCTTCGCAAGGTCGAGATTTTCGTTTTTACATTCATAAAACGATCATGAAACACTGAAACTTCTATCGGATCTTCTTCTAGTAGCGACGGCGCGCCATTCATTGTGTTACCCACATCACTGCCACTAGCAGCGAATGAGCTTCGTTCTATGTCTGTAGTAAATGCACTTTCCGCTTGTTCTGCGGAAAGGACAACCGATGTAAATTTCCGCTTTCGCTCATTGCATCGAAGTCGCCTGATAGCAAAACTATCAATTTGCTCTGCGTCTGCTGTATGCTCAATCGTAAAGCTGTAATCTCAAGAAAGCATGATGGATGCCAATGCTTTGCTGCATGATACGATAAATGACAAACTTACACTAGCCGCTACTGAATCTGATAGAAACTCGTTAAACATCAAGCATAGTCATAGACGAGACACTAAAACCAAATTTGCGTTTTACTCTTGTGTGTTCTTTATCTCTGTTCTTTGTGAATCATCAAAGCACGCGGTCAAAAATGACTTTGGTGCAGAGGCCGCAGGTTGTACGCTTTCTCATGTACCACAGGCAGCGAACGACCTCGGCGAGAACCACTTCTACACAATGTGGTAGTAGAAGCAGAACAGACGAAGCACTAGTCGTGCCTCGATGCCGGAATTTCCGAGATTCCACAGGTACCCCCGCAAGCTGAACTCGGGGTCGTAGTCATAGAAGCCACAACGCGGAAAGCGCTTCGGCAAAATCTCGACCTGCTTGGACGGAAAATAAGGAGACCTCCGCGTAGTGACTATTGCCGCTGTGGCGCCGTTTTTCATCGTGTAATTGGTTGCAGCATGCACAGAAAGTGGCACCGCACTCGTGTCTCCCGCACTTGTTCCACTCTCTTCTTGTTGTTCTTGGAAGTAGAAGCGTTCGTTCTCTACGGTCGGGGAGATGAAATGGCTATTCTGCCCCAGGAGGTGATTGACGTTCTGATCGCCCTCGTGCGAGAAAAAGCCGGCGGGATTTTTTCGGAGCGAGGAAGCAGACTGCTCTGCCTGCTGGCCCTCATCTTGTTGCGCGGCCGCCTGTCGGAGCAACATATCCTCTGCGTCTTGCTCATTTTGAACTACTCGCCCGGTCGCAATCGCGGCCGCCCCCGGTTGCTGTCCATCCGGGCGGAAGGTTTTGTCGTCTGTGGTGCCAAGAACCACTTCTTGTTCTGGTGCGCCTGCATGACTTCTAGCACCACCTGCAGTGGACACAATCCGCCTTGCATCGTGGTCCTTTTCGCCATCCAGGCTGACGAAGCGAGGCTCCAGCTTTGGACAAAAGTGCGGTTTGAACAAAGCCCAGTGCACGATGCGGGCGTCGCGACTGCAACGCTCCCAGATGAAGCGCAGGCGGGGGACCAGCACGTAGGGCAAGATCGCGTTGTACTTGCAGGGCAAGCGGCACCAGGAGTGTCGATAATTGTCGTTCCAGAAACCCTGTTCGCTGAAGGTCGCATGAGCGGAAAATCCCGAGTCAATGTCAAGCAAGCTGATATGCACATTCTGAAGATGATTTAAAGAACTCTGGACAGGCGTAAATCTATGACCACCACCGGATATCAAAAGGGTGCATCTGAATACTGATTGCTAGCTGTTGTCGAGTACCTTGCATTTCTCTTCTAGTGCATGGGAAGCGACAGCAACAGCGACAAGAAGCTGCGAGGTACACACAAGATAATAGAGCATGCATGCTTTCCTTATCCTTTCCCACCGACATGACAACAAGTTTGCACTTACAGTTGTAGTTGACTCAAGCGGTTTTTCCAGCGTAAGTTGGATCTGGTAGGTACTTGACTGCTTCCTCCATTTCCAGCGCCCCGTTTTCGCTCATCGATGGGTGCGTGATGAAGATTGCTGCGTTGTGAAAAACCGGATCCCGGCGATTTGTCACCGGATTGTAAAGGGAACCTTGCACCGGTCGCGCAGTCAGTGTGTTTGGCGGGTCTTGCGGAAGAAAAACCGCAGTCCCCGTGTCCGCAACTAGTTCTCTGCTCGGATCCGTCACGAGCACGAAGCGCTCGTAGTCCTCCAGAGACAGGCTCGTGGCCGCGGACGATCCTTTATTTGCATCATTTGTACTGTTTGTAGCATTTATTTCTGTCACCACAAATCCGCCTGTAGTCGTGCTGGACTTTTCTTGTCCCAGCGCAGCAGAAGTTTTGCTCGTGTCAATGCTGTCGGTCTGCTGCAACTTTTCCACCTCCGCCAGTGCAGCGCTGCTGAACGAGGCTGAGGTAGCTATGATAGTCTGTCGTGCGGAGACGGTATAATCTATTCCGACCGAGACATTGGTGTGCAGTGGTGGCGCTGAACTCATCTGTGTCTTGACGTAGTGAGAGTACATCTTTTGCCTTCTTTCGACGTCCCACCACATTTTGCGGAGTTGCGGATGGCTCGAGCCGTGCTGCGGGCCGAGCAACTTCATCATGCTGAAGTACTGCTGCCACGAGGGCTCCACGATCATCAGTCCCGCGTTGAAGTTGTGCCGGTTCTCGATGCCGGGCTGCTTCGCGTTCTGCGAGTCGATCATCAGGTCTCGCACCGCCGCCATGCGGCAGTCGCGATTTTCCTGGTGAAAATCGAAGTCGATCAACTCGTCGATGTTGCCGATGATCTGCACGTCGGAGTCCATCCACATCGCTTTTTCGTAGGTGACGAAGGACAGCAGCTTCAGTTTGGTGAAGGTGAACCGGTGCCGCAGCGCCGGCTGGTGGATGAAACTTCGATTCTTGACACAGGTCACCGTGCAGATCTTCCACCCGGCCTGCTGTAGTCGCACCCGGTACGGCTCCGCGATCGGGAACTGGTTGATCTCCAGGATGACCAGGTCCGCGCGCTTGGGCTTGCTTTTGTCCTCCTGGTCCAGCACCACGTTCAAAGACTTCCCCATTTTGATCGCGCCCACGGTAAATTCGTCCTTGTCACCGGGGCCGAACACCCCCGTCACGATGGCGACCCGGGCCTCCTGCCGGAAGTCCGCGTTCAGACACGACGCCGTCTCCTCCACCTCCGGCTCGATCTCGTCGCAGCACACCGGGCGCCCGAACCGGTTCATGCAGCCGCCGACCTGCTTCTTCTTGTCGACCGTGTACTGACCCCGGTCCAGCAGCATCTGCAGCGAATTGATGTTCAGCTCCTCCTCCGCGCGCGAATGAACCGATTTGGAGGCGAAACTCTGGTTCGGAACAGCAGGACTGCTCGGCGTCTTAGAGGCACTGCTTTTGTTGATGATGTTGTCACTTTTCTTGCCTGAGGGTGCGTCTTGATGTTGTTCACCACCTACACCTAGTACTTCCACCTCCGGGTGATTTGCTGTTTTACTGCGACTTTTGTTCTCTTCCACGTTCGCGTGGTGCGTGCTCACCACTGCCGCCGCGCTGTCCAGGTTTGGGTTTTCCAGACTGGGGCCACCGGTTTTCGCAACGGTGGTTCGCTGGAAGAATGCCTTGCGGTTGGCGCTTTTCAGCATCCCCGACGCGTCGATCAAGTGCTTCGTCCGCGGATCCGCGCCCCACTGCTGCCACTGAAATTCGAGGCTCTGCAGCGTGTGCTGCAACAATTGCAGGCGCTTGGTCATGTTATGTTCGCGGATGAACATGGTACCCTCACGAACGCCGAAGAAGTTGGGAAACGGGGTCTCGATCCACCGATCGTAGTTGGTCGCGAGCTTGCGGCTATGGTCAGACTTTCGCTTCTGGTGCGACGGGTCCATGTCCACCTGCAACCACCTGGTCTGCCACGGGCGTTCCTGGTGCGACGTGCGCCCCAGGACGAGACTCTTCAGCAACACCGTACTGTTTGCAAACGCCTCCGGCCTGGCGAGGACCTCAGCGTTGGTGTGATTGTTCCCATCCGGGGAATTCCCTGATTCTTCTTGCGCGGATCGAACGACCGCTAGTCTCGCTTCCTGTTCAGCAGCCAATTCATCCGAAATCATCTGTGCCGTCGTGGTGAAATGATCGGCCTCAGAAGTCGCAAGAGTGCTACGATCCTCTTTTTTCATCATCCCGTAGCCCTCCTGATAAGGCATCAGCAACTCTGGTTGAAGATGGCGTTCTCCTTGTCGCGCTCCAGGAGATGAAATCTTCACCTCCGCTGCAGACGCACTACTACTTGGGGACACCAGGTCGGCCAGCCGCGGTTCGTCGGGCACGGAGAAGAAGCCGGGCGGCTTGTTTTCCTTCGTGTCGTGGAACCACCGGTACTCCTGTCGCGTCAGGTAGCGGCGGTCGTTAGACAGGGTCTTGACCCGCTCCAAGTACCCGTTGTAGAGGACCGATTTGCGCTCCACCAGCACGAACTCGGCCAGGCAACAGCGCTCGTAGGTGTTGTGGTTCCCAAAGAACGTGTGGCAGGCGGCGTTGAAACCGACGCCCTCGCTGGTGCCCCGGTACGCGCCTGGCGTATCCGGGGAGATCTCCATGTCACAGCACCGCTCAAACGAAACCCACATGCCCCCGTGCCAGCAGTCCACCGACCACTGCTCCAGCAGCGGAGTTGGCAGTCCGTTCAGCCACGCCTTGCTCTGTCGAGAGAGCAGGAAATACCACCGGAACTGCGACACGGCGGCCTCGTCCTGCTCCCACGCCGACGGTTCGAACGGCTTCACTTCTGTCGGACTCAGCCGCGCCTGGTCGGGGGAAAGGTTGTATTTCGCGTACCGCGAGTACACGCAGGACTTCTTCATTTTCGCTTTACCGTTCTCGACTTGGCTCATCGTTCCGCTGGAGGAAGATGGTAGCTCGTCTTTCGCAGCAAGACTCTTCTGTTCCTCCAGCCTGTTTACGTGCGACTTGCACAACTCGAGCGCCGTATTCACGGCGTTAGAGACGAGCGCGCTGCTGTGGTCTGCTGCATGCAATAGATCCGACGACATTGCGGTGGGGGATGCAATTGCCGATCTAGTCGTGCAGGCAACCTCGTCGAGGGATTTTTTGCTGCAGAAAAGTCCACAGAAGGAAGAGTGCCGCGCGGTATTTTGCTGGGATCCAGAAGATGAACCACTAGCGGTTTCCATGCCAATTTGCTCATCCTCGCTGTTTGGCCCCGCGGTAGTAGCAGGCCCGGCACCGGAAAGCAAATGCATCGCCAGCTCCGGCCGAAAGTATGCGTCAATCATGCTGTCCTCGTGGTGCGCGTAGGTCGGAAACTTCACTTTCCGTGGCAGAACTGAAAAGTCAACGGCTCGGCGCGAAGAAGATATAACTTGTGCCAACGAGGAATCGGTCTGATTTTCTGGTGCCCCCGAGGTAGTATTGTTCGTAGTGTTATTTGCTAGTGCTGCAGGGGAAGATGATCCAGTGAAAAGTGCATGTAAATTCGGCACCATTGGCAGCTCGGCAGCCGCGAGAAAGTTAACCAACTCATCGGCAATTTTGCTTTCCTGTTCCGACTTCTGCGGCGGGGGTTGCTTCAGCAGCAGTCTGCCGTCGTCCAGCCTCTCGAAATCCAGTGTCACGCTCACCGTTGTGGTTTCCTTCGGATAGAACTCTCGCTGCGCATCGACCGTGAATTGCTGCAGCGGAAACTCGTCCTCGGTGTGCCATCCGTCGTCGTCAAACTCGCAACCAATGTTGCCGTTTTCCCCGCCGCACTGGGGTAAGCACGAGGGGTGGGCCAGTTCGCGGCTGCGCAGCGGCAGTGCGGCCGGCGCTGCGCGGGTAGTCTTCGTCTTCGGGTTGGAAACAAGGGCATAATACGTCTCCCAAACTTGCACGCAATGCCAGGGATGAATCCAGTTCATGATTTTCACTGCGGGCACGTAGTCCGCGTAAAGCTCTACCCGCTGGTGCTCGAGCCAATGCACTTCCTCCCCAAAGAGAATCGACTTTCCCAAATCTGTGTTTCCGCCCGGGAATCCGATGCCCACCGCGGCAGTCAAGAAGAAAAAGTCCACCCCGACGCCAACCCCGTGCGGGTTGGAAACCTCCGTGAAACCCGTGCGCTCGTAGCACACGTAGCCTAGCTTGGCCAGGTGCATCTTGCAAAACTGCGCGCTGGCCAGCTGCCCCCGCCATCGCAACTCGCCCTCGTTGTCCTGCGGCAGCCGCATCTGGCACAACCCGACATCGATGTCGAAATCCAGGGCGTACACGGACTTCGGGTTGCGCATCAGGTGCGTGAGCGTGCCCGTGATCGGCATGATCACGTTGCGCTTGGGCCACCAGCCCCGCCACGCGCGCGCCACCGTCTTGAAGGTGACGATCATCTCCTTGCGTGCACAGTAGCTCATGGTCAGTCCGTTGTCCATGATGTAGTCGCGGGCGAGGAACCACAGGAACTCGGACAGAACGCCCCGCATCTGTCCGACCGCAGACTCAAACTGCGCAAAGTACACCGGCCGTCGCATCTTCGACCTCTTGTTCGAGGTGGAGGACCTATGCGATTTTGAAGTAGAACTCGACGAAGAAGTACTTGCTGCTGACATCACCGTCGTGCTGTCTTCGCTGTTGTTATCCGTTGATGTAGCGACTTCGTCCAGCACCGTCTTGCCGTCCAACTCGTCGGAAACTTCCGCAAGAATTTGGTTCTCGGGGCGCATGTAGCCTCGCTGCAGAAAACCTTTGAGCGCCAGGAATCGGATGACCGTGGTGCAGTCCTCCAATCGTTTGTGTTTGACACCTTCCTTGGGACTGAACGACACTCCCTGATACTCCTCGGCCTCTGTGCGAATCTTGTCATTCCAACCGCGGCGCAGAGACCAAGTCTCGAGCCCGTAGGGAACACGCAAGACCTCGATCTGGTATTTGAGGGCGATGCGCTTGGGGAGCTTGCGCAGCTTGTCCGCGTACGTGTTTTCCTTCAAGCAGGTTCCCACGCCATCCAGCGGCGCGCGCCCAATGTGGTCGGACTGTCGCAGCCACGTGTCGCGACCCAGCCACCGGTGCGTCATGTAAGTGTAGAACGGAACTGGGACAGACGGTTTGCGCGCAGTAGACAAAGCATGAACATTTTCTTCACCTCCACCTCGCGCAAGAACAGGAGGTGTACTAGAGGAACTAGTACCTCCAGAGCGCTGCGACGAAACTACTTCACCTGCGCCCGCAAATCCAGGGTCCTGATCTACCGCCCCTATGTTCATGTACCCCCGGTACTGGAAGCGGAAGTGAAGGTCCATGTCAACAAAGAATTCCACAGAATCCAGATCCCCGTAGTCGTGTCCATTTTCTGCGAAGTCGGCGGCTCCGCTCAGCAAGTAGCGGTGGTCAATCTCGCCGTCGACCACGTCCCCGTGCCACTCGGACTCGGGAAGGTCGCGGCGCAAAATTTCCGTCGTCATCCGGGCCATCTGCTCGTCCTCCGTCGTGCGCCCTTCCTGCTCGTCCCACCACTCCAGCTCGTGGGTCGGCAGATGCGCGTCCGGTTCAGGCATGCTGGTGTAAGACAGCGGGTGTCGCTCTTCGACGTCCTTGCTATTGTTCCTGGCATCTTCTGCTGCACTTCTATTAAAGTCCTTCGGCGGTTCCTTCAGCGTTGGGTCGTTTACCGCTCTGCGCAGCGCTACGCGCTTTTCCTGGCGGCCCGAATCCTCCGAGTTTTGCGGTGGCTGCGCCACCTTTCGCTGCTCTAGACGACCGCGAATTTTGCGTTGGTCCACGAACGTTTCGCCATACAAAATTTTCCGCTGCGCCTTCGTGAAGAAAGATTTCAGGAAATCCACGTACAACTCGCTACTCATGACACGCGTCCCACTCGTAGTTTCCCCCTGCAGCCAGCGGTACTGGTGTTTCAATTTAAACGGCTGCAGGTATCCGGTCGGGTACGCACGGTATTCCAGTTTCCAGTGCTTGCGCGAAATTTCGGAGATGGGCCACGTCGTGTAGCCTGTGTCGTTCTGGATACAGAATCCCGCTACTGCTCGCCGGCCCGTGTAGAAGGGCAGGTGTTGCGCCAGCGTTTTGCTCGTGAAGTTTCGACTTGGAGGTTGATGGGAACTAGGCGCTCGTTCTGTGCCGCCTTCAGAAGAACCGGTTGCTCGGTCATTATTTTTCACAGATGTTGAAACAGGATCGCCACTAGTTGCGAAAAAGTTATCTTCCGTCTCGTCCTCCAACTCCGAGGAGTAGTAAAAGTCGTCCAGGTAGTCCTGGATAAAAGCGGCCATCAGATCCATATTGGGCTCGTATTGCCGCCACCCCATAAGCAGGACCGTGGTCACGTTGTTCACAAAGATCCGGCGAATCATCTCGTGGCACCATCCCTGGAAGTACGTCACGTTTAACGCTTGCACCTCTTGTGCCGTTAGCGCCTCAACGCGCCCGGCGCCAGCCGAAGTCGATCTCGATCCGGCGACTCCTGTTCTGAGCTCTGTGGCATGCGCGGACGGCAAAAGCCGAACTGTGGGCTGGAGGATCTGCTTCGTTGTTTGTTCGCCTCCGGCTCCGGGAGGTGCTTGCTGTTCGGGCGCGTGGTAGCGATTCAGGTACATCCAAGCCGGTACCCCGGTTCCGTCCGGGTTCAGCGGCACCTGGCCATCAATCTCAAACGACACCTCGAACTTGCCGTGCAGCTTCGTGTGGGGCGTTCTTGTGTCAACCGCGCGATTCAGGGGGCCGAAGTGCGCAGCGCGAAAGAACTTCGTGTGGTCCAGCGGCTGGCGGAAGTGCGACCACCAATTTGTGTACGATTCCATCCAGTTGTACGCGCGAGGAATGACGATGAGCAGCTTGGCTATCGGAATCTCGCGCTCGGGATGCTTTGTTTTCGGAATTGAAGTCGAGGTCGTTGGAGTTGCGGTTCTTGTTCCGTCGAGTGTTTGCGCGGAGCTAGTACTTGCTAGCGATGACGTCGTAGTGGTCGTTTCTGTGGAAAGTGAATTTGCGCGGCCCACCGAAGATGTAGTACTGCTATCCGACGAGTGTTGCAAATCCGATCTTACGTCTCGGCGCCAAAGGTCCACTGCGTATGCCAAGGCCACCCAGACCCCGCGAATGCGTTTTGGGTACTGCTTTTCGAAGTACTCATTTTCAGTGGGGTCTTTTCCACGGAGCAGCTGGTGACGCTTGGAAAAAACCAAGCGATTCAGATGCGTTTTTTGCAACTCCTCATCCGTAAAGCCGGGCCCTCGAAAGCAGGAGGCCTCAACCCAGCTGCTCACCACAGTGCGGTTTTGCTCCGCTCCATACGTGGCCTGTCGGCAAGCTGCCCAGTGAAAGTAGTCGGGGTCCAGGAAGAGATCAGCAAACCTTCTGGTCTCGTCATCCCTGCCGTCCTCACCTTCTGCTGACTCCGTTTCGGCCTGATCGCCGTCGACCACCTTTTTATTCCCGGCACAAAAAAGACTCGCAAAGTTCCGCATGTACCTCGAGCTGTCACGCTCGAGGTCGAAGTGGTACTTGCCAAGCGTCGAAGTGGATGCCGACGCGGCCGCATTTTTACCTCCAAATGGCTGCGTTGTGCTGGGGGACGTCGAGACCACAGCCTGCGCACTCGACAAGTTGTACACGTACTCCTCCTCTTTTTCCTTCCAACCGAAGTCCTCTCCCTGAGAAATTACCTTGGCGGCGTAGATGCCGCTTGGCGGACGATCGACCAGCTTCTGCAGAACCGCGCTGACGTCTGCGATCTTCGCGCACCAAGGCAGCTGCAACTGTCCAGCAGGCGCCAAGGAAGAAGAGGGTTCTTGCGCTGCTGCAAACCGCTGCGCGAGGATT